GTTGCTGCCCAGGCAACCGCTGTCCCAAGCTGCCAGCCAGACGACACAAAGTGCTTCATCACAACCGCCCAATACACCGTCCTCGGCTCCGTCGTCTCAAACAACGCAAACTCCTCCGACCCGGGTGCTTCTCCAGCAAAGTACAACGCAACTATCCAGATCAACTGTGTCTACGCCTCCTTCGGTTCCAACAAGGGCACCGGCGCAAACTTCCTCAACCAGCAGGTCACCGTCACCGGCTTCGGAACACCCAACGCCATCTGCCCCCGCAACCTAGGAGTCACCGCCAACCCCAACGACAAGGCCATCTTCTTCATCTCCGTCGCCAACGGCGTCCCACAGGGCGGGATCCCAATCTTCTCCGTCTTCAACCCCTGTGCCACCAGCGTGCCTTTCACCGCCGACAACATGCAGCTGTTGGCCGATACGCTCTCCGCTTACCCGCAGAACGTCATCCCAGGGTCCACGCAGTGTGCTCTCCCCCCGTCCCGTGTCGCTACCCCGACCGCTGCGACCGGTGCCGGTGGTGCCGCGGCGCCGACCAACACCAACCCGCTGGCGGCTGGCAACACTGCCCCGTCTAACAGCGGTGCCGTTTCGGCGACGCTCTCTGCTGCTGCCGGTTTGTTTGCTGCCTTGAGCGGTGCTGTCACTGTCCTCCTCGCTTAGAAGAAATAATAGGGATTGAGGTGTACTTTTATTGTTTTGTACATGTAGACCACCCGAATGTTGGGGTGGGGACGGCGTAGAAAACAACGTCCCCTTTTTTGTTACCTTTTCACTGTCATCCCCTATATTTTTGTAATTCATAATGTATATCATATAGCGCACACACTTCGTCTCCGCATTTACCGGCTTTTTTTCCCACGCATGTACTGAATCTGTAACGCATCTGACACGAGCACAATCAAATGCACTGTCGAACATCACAAAAATTCCCAATGCAAGGGTATACAGTTCTATTCATGACGAACAGAGATAGACTAAACGGGATATTTACAAAAATACGCTACGGGCGCATTGTTTCACTGCGATGAGACAGGTTGACCCTGCGGTTGTTGTTGCTGTGAGCTGGGTTTCAGCAGTTCCTCCCTATAGATGGGCAGAAGAAGAGCGTCGTGTGAGAGAAAGGCGTGGCTCAGTGCCGTATAGCTCCCATCATAGATTAACGGTCCAATCACAGTATTCTCCGCAGGCAGCTCTGTCCTCTCGCAGCACCGGTCCCTAGCACAAACCGCCTCCGCACACCGTGTCCATCTCATCCTCGCCTCACTACCTCCAAAGTCATCTCATACGCTGAAGTCTTCCCACCCTCTGCATGCGATCTTCTTTCCAGTTGGATGTGTCGGCCTCCCATCCCTCCGTCCCGTCGACTCTGCTTCCATCTACGGCCCCATTTGCACATATCCTCCCTCGATCCTGCCCGGAACCGGAAGGGGTCGCCCAGCACAGACCCTTCCTTCCGCATCCTTCCACCCCTCCGTTCGAACGGGCCCAACAAAAAACCCACGTTCCTCGGAAGCCCCATCCTACGGACCTCAACTGCCTCGTAAAATCATCGTTCACGTCCTCATCATCATCCCAGTTATCGTCCCACAGCGTCGCGTCCTCATGGTCTTCGTCTGCTTCCGTCCAGTCTAAGTAGGAAAAGGTTAGATTCACAGCCCCCCGCAAAAAAATGGGAACATTTGAACGACGGGATGTTTGATAACGCACTTTCGATAGGGAAATCCTCGAATTCGTCGTCTTCTTCGAGGAGGCCGAGTTGTGGCGGTTTCGGGGTGGTGGTGGAGGTGGTGGTGGTGGGTGAGGTGTTCATTGTGGGGTGTTGGGTTTGGGTTGGGTTGTGGAATGAATGAATGAAGGGATGAATTGGGTCGGGATCTCCTGGGATCTCCGCAAAGGTCGCAAGTCAGTCGCAAGTGCTGCAAAGCGCGTCCGTGGGAACCCGTGGGGACAACTCCTCTGGTTTTGACTCTCCAAGTCCGACGAAATCTTATCCTCCACGCAGAAGTTTCCCCACCACTATCCAACTCCTCCTCACGGACATACATACTCTGCACGCTTGTGGTAAGTTCGCCTTCCCACGATGGCACACCCCACAGGGCCCCGCCTAACTCGAAAATCGCGTCCTCACCAGCCCCGGACTTTTTAGACGATCTTGGAACAATCACAACCGGACCCCGCAATGGCAGACGATATGGAGAGCTCCGATCTGGATCTGACGAGACAGGAAACCGAGTCTGCTATGCCCATGTCCACCGACGACGTCAGTACCCCAGAGCCCAAATTGTTGACTACGGGGACGCATGTTACGTCGAGTTTGCACCAGGGGCATGTAGGTTGAGAAGCGCGGGAAAACGTTCTGAGGAGACATCTGGCACATTGTTCTCAACGCTTGGCATCCCCTAGACGCCAGCGCACGAAATAACCCCCGCCCTAAGTTTTGAAGACCTCACCTCCCTCCAAGACGGGACATGGCCCGACGACACCGACGCGATGAAAGACACACCCCCGCCGCGGTCGCCCACAAAGACCCTGCTCCCCGTCGTCCTGGTGGCTTCAAAGTACCCGGAGGACATTGCGGCGGGCCTGCTGGAGATTGCAAGAAGTTGCGTGCATAGGAACTTTGTGACGGAGGATAATATGGCGGATTATGGGAATGTGGAGCAGATCGCGGTGCAGTTCTGTAACGATCTGAACATGGCAGACAGGTCGGTCATCGTCCGCCCATCACACAAGAACCACACACAGGTCCCAGAAGGAGAAACATTCACCATCACCGTAACCTACAAACGGAAATGCGAAGCTTTCCGCGCCCTGGGACGTATGCTCGGCACTCTCTTCGATCTAACCAACGTCGAGGATCTCGCCATGTACTTGAGCTGGGAGGAACATGCGCAGTTCGAGACGTTCGGCGTCATGTTCGACTGTTCGCGATGCGCGGTCCTCTCCATGGACGCCGTCCTCTACTTCCTGCGAACATGCGCGCTCCTAGGCATGAACACCTTCCAACTGTACACCGAGGACACATTCACGGTCCCCGGCGAGCCCTTCTTCGGATACCTACGAGGCGCCTACACCAGCGACGACATCACCTTCATCGACAACTACGCGTACAATTTCGGAATAGAGGTGTTTCCCTGCATACAAACGCTCGGACACCTTGGGCAGATATTGCAGTGGCCCCGGTTCGCGGGCGTAAGAGATACGACGGAAGTCATCCTCTCGGGCGCTGAGGAGACCTACGAACTCCTCACCCGCGTCATTGAAGCCGCCTCCAAACCGCTCCGCTCTAAACGCATACATATTGGCATGGATGAGGCGCATGGCGTCGGCGAGGGGCGGTATAAGCAGATCTTTGGGGATAAAGATTCCGCGGAGGTGTTTTTGGAGCATTTGAAACGGCTGGAGGGGATTTGTAGGGAGAGGGGGTTGATGCCGATGGTTTGGTCGGATAGTGAGTATACCCTCGTCAATGATTCCCTTCAAGTGCGAAATGGGTGTTTACGCGTTTTCTTTTCCTTTCATTAGTGCTGTTTACATTAGGTATGCTAAATGGCCATTTCGTTTTGAGGCCCCGTTCGAAAAAGGCACGGACGTACAATTGACACCGCAGGAATTGATAGCGGCAAAGAACAGCTCCCTGCAAAGCTACTACGAAACCTCGGAGCTGCCGAAGGAGATGCGGCATAACATGCCGGCAGGGTTGGACCTTGTTTATTGGGATTATTATCATGTAAGAGGCGGGTTGGAGGATGATCGGGGGATGATGGTTCGGAGACTGACTGAGCGGGGCGGTTTTTCAGACGAATGTGGACGCGTATTCGAGGAAGATACAGCAGCATCGCGATCTGGGGTTTGAGCCGTGGGTGCGTTTTTTTACGCTTTCACATTCCTTTTGATCGAGTTCGCGTATTGATCGTGGCCTTCCATCATTCGCGCAGGTGGCTGGTGGCATATGGTGCGTAACTCCGGCATGTCTGGGAACAGCTGATTGCGGGCATGCACTGTCTAACACGTGGTACAGGTCCTGGAACAGATTCTACAGCGCCCTCCCGTTCTCCCTCGCCGCCTCCGACGCATGCCTGAAGGCCTGCAAGCGGTCCAAAGTTAAGAACGTGTTTGTGACTACGTGGTAGGTAAGCCCCTCCCTGCGCCCCCTTCTTACGTATTCCGGGATTGGGTCCCACCCCACAAAGCATCTCGTATGGAATAACCGAACCCGCTCGATTGTTTTCGCGATCGCAGGGGCGACGATGGAAACGAATGCGACATCCTCTCCGCCCTGCCCGGCATCCTCTACTGGTCCGAACACTGCTACACCGCCGAACCCGATGTCGATTGGCATATGGTCCGGAAGAACTTTGCGGGTGTTTGTGGCGGGAATTTGGATGACTGGGTTTGTTTATCATGCTTTTTCTTTTGGCCACCACCATCTCGGGGGTTTTCGCTGATGTGGTTGTGATACTATCTAGATTTATGCGTCGAGGATTGATGTACCCCTGGATGCGATGGACAAGACCCGGTTTCCGCCGAATGTGTCCAAGTGGATCTTGTGGAATGATCCGTTTTATAATTTCTTGTTGCCGCAGTATCGGGATCTGAACTTGGATCGGATCTACAGTGAGGTATGTAAAATTCCGCGCGCCAGGTTTGTCGACGCGGGAGGATAATGTCTCACCACGATGAATATCCACCCCCAGATCGCCACTCGCCTCCGATCCGTCTCCTCAGGCGACATGCTCACCATGTACCCCCTCAACCGCCGCCTCAAGTTCCCCTACCTCCTCGCCGACACCCTCCGCCACAAATCCCTTCTCCGCACGCACCTCGTCGCCGCCTACAAGTCCGCCGACCCCGCGCGCGCCCTCTACGCCTTCGCCCACGGCCCACTCGCCACGCTCCGCACCGCCCTCGACACCCTGTGGAGGTATCACCGCGATCATGTCTGGCTCGCGACGTACAAGCCGTTTGGGATGGAGGTGTTGGAGATGCGGTATGGGGCGCTGAGGACGCGGTTGGAGAGTTTGCAGGAACGGGTTTTGGCGTTTTGTCAAAGGGGTGGAGAGGGGGAGGGGGGGTCGGGGGATGGGGGTATGACACCACGCGGACCGCCGATGGGGATGCAGCAGCGACAGCAGCCGCAGCCCGGGGAGGGGCCGGTGATGAGGGAGGAGACGCTGCCGGAGCTGGATGTGGAGTTGAGGGAGGTGTATCAGGGGATCGGGTTGGAGATTGTGGTGGATTTTGCGAGGGCTTATACGCCGAGTAGGGCGTTGGGGACCGGGTAGGGGTTGAGCGGGATGCGGCTTTGATTTTTTTATTACCCACCACTGCTGTATTGACGTAGGGCAGATATGGGCTCCCCTTCCCGCTTTTGGGGATATCCTTATGTAGATGTTGTATGTATGTAAATGCAGAAACCACTCACGATCCCAACCGCCGAAACCATGACCTGGCTGGTCCCTGATTGTTATGCCTTGATCTTCGATTGGGATCTCGTCCATCCCAGCATTCTTTCGTCAATCGAAAAAAAGGGTCTCGTTAAACAAAACGAAGCAATAATCACAAAAGAGTCAAAAAGCAAACATATAATACAGAGGTTGGTTGTCTCTCCCCCTCCAACTCATCGTCCCCCACCCATTATCGCGCCAAAACCCCGTCTAGTTATATATAGAGAAAAAGCACAAGTGTCTGGGGGAGGGGGGGGCGGCATCCCCAAAAAGAAAAAAATGGCTCACTCATCATCCCCAAAAAGTTTAAAATTCTTCACTTTCACAAACTCCCCCCAAACCGCCCCTCCATCCACGCCGTCGGGCCAGTATACCCTCGCTGCTCGTCGTACCCCACATCCACCGCGGCCGAGGTCGCCGCCATCATCCCCATCCCGCCCGCCGCGGTCGCCATGCCCACGAACCCGCCGGCGGGGTGGAAGGCCGGTTGCTGCTGCTGCTGCTGCTGCTGCTGCTGGTGCAGCGCGTGCTGATGGTGCGGGTGGATATGATGCACGTACATCTTCTCTGCGGCGGGTCCCAGCACCATGTTGGTGTAATTCGGTGGTGGCATGCTGGGGAGGTGTTGGTGGCGGTGGTGGTTGTGTATGATTTGCTGCTGCTGCTGCTGCTGCTGCTGGTGGTGGTGGTGTGCGGCGAGGAGGGCGGATTGGTGGTGGTGGTGGTGGAGGAGGTTGAGCGACATCATGGTGGGGATGTAGTGCGATTTCTCGTGTTTGCGGAGCGAGCGCGAGTGGTAGTAGGCTTTGCCGCAGTTGAAGAAGGTGCAGATGTACGGTTTCACGTTGGAATGCGTCTAGGGGAATTTTCACATACACGTGTAAGCTTTTGTCTCGCCCCGGCAAAAACCATTAGGCAGAAGACAGGACGTGGACACATACCTTGATATGAGTATTCAACCCATCCTGCCTGCTGAACTTCTTCCCGCAGTCGGCCACGGGGCAGCTGAAGGGGCGCTCGCCGGTGTGGATGCGCAGGTGGTTATGGATCTTGTGGCGTTTGGTGAAGGGGCGTTCCATGCGTGTGCAGCCGCGCCATTGGCATGTATAACTCGCTTTCCCAGCCTACATTAAAAAACAAAAATGAAAAAGATGAGTATATGACAGGCAGGGGAGATTTTTGTTTCGTGTGGTTTGATTGTGAACTCTTACCCCAACATGCACATCCGACGCGTGGCTCACCAACTCCTCCACACTCCCAAACAACAAATCGCAGTTGGTCCACATACACCGATGCTCAACATCCTCCGCCTCTTCCTCCTCCTCATCTTCCTCCTCCTCATTGCCCTCTTCGTCGTCCTCCGCCGCACCCTCCGCTGCCGCGGCGAGCACGCTGCTGCTGCTGTCGGTAGTGTTGTCGGCGACGGGTATGTGCTCGGGGGAGGATTTGAGCGTGATCTTCATATCGGAGTGGATATCCATTGGGGTGATCTCGTGGTGTTGTTGGGTGTGGGACATGAAATCGTCCATGGTCATTTCGAACATGACGCCGGGGGATGGTGTCGTTTGCGTGTTGGTGTTTGTATGCGAGGACGACGATTGGGCTGGCGGTGGTGAATGCTCCATGTTCGCCGAGGCGGAGGACGCCGCCGGGTGAGGTTGGGACGCCAGGGCAGCGTTCATCATCTCGGTGAAATTCGATTCCTCCGTGCCGTCCAGCTGCAGCCCGACAAAGGTATCGACGACCCCGGGGTCCATGTCGCTTACGCCGTTGAGGGCGGGGGAGGGGAAGTAGGACGCGACGGACGCGATGGAGGAGATGGAGTCTGATCGGGAATGCGAGGAGCGGTAGGATGGCGCGGACTGGCCTCCGAAGGGTGAGGAGGTGTGCGCTGAGCCGGCGCTGGGGAGGGAGCTGGCTGCGGAGTAGATGTTGTGGCCGGAGGACGCGGCGGATAGCTCGACGGCGGTGGGGAGACGGTTTTGGTAGAGGTTGCTTGTCATCAAGGCGTGGCCCAGGGACGCGCCCCGGCGGTGTCCGAGGGCCTCCTTCCGCGGGTGGACGGGTGGCGTTCCTGCACCGGCAGCAAGCGAGTCCATGGAATGTTGCCGACGAGCGGCCATGTCCAGCATGGCGTTACCTCCCAAATCTCTGCTCATCGGGTTGGCACGACAGAACATGGGGTCCGCCGTCAGGGTGGGTACTTGGGAGAGCGAGTATCCCCTGCGGTGACCCATTTGACGGCGGGCTGGTCCACCGCCCGTGCCAGGCGACGGCAGGCCAGCATCCGGGAACGGTGCGCGCTGTTGTTGCGATAGTTGCGAGTTTGGGCTATACGATTGCGACATTTGCTGCCCTTGCCAGTTTTGTCCGGGCATCAGGCCCAGGGTGGACGATATCGGTTGGGTATGAGCGATATTGTTCGCGGTGGGGAAAGTGTTGCTGCGGAGAGTAGGGTGGCCAGCATGGAAGGGAGTCGGGTTCACCGGCATCGATGACGCCAGCATTGAGTTCCCGTAGGACTGTCCACGGCGATGTGTTGGCCTGTAGACGTTCCTAGGGTCTGATGTCATAGTCCCTGAGGTTATTGGGGGTTTGCTGGAGGCAACGATATGTGACGGGAGAGCCACCGAACTTGCAGGTAAACCGTACTGTGAGAAAGTCTGCAGAGAGGCTGCGCGGCGATGGCCCGGTTGGACTGGGCCGTTTCCGGTGCTGCCTATGGAGGTGATTCTGCGATGGCGATTCGTAGACCGCGCAACGTTTGGTTCTGATGGCAAAGTGCCCCAGGGTGATATGTCTTCAGGGGCAGGTGCCGAGACTTGTGCGTTCACGTTCACGTTCGGATCGGAGGAAGGAAGCAGAGACGACGGGGCATCGACAAACAGCTCGGGGATTGCGGCGGGGCCTGAGGCAGCAGTCGGGTCTAATATGACATCCGAGAGATTCCCGAAACCGAGAAAATCTGGATTTGCCGGCAGAGATGAGAAATCTCCCAGTTGCTGCGAGTGGTGTTGCTCGTGATCCTGCTGTTGCTGACTGCACACCTCATCGAACAAGGTCATGTCAAAGTCGATAAAGTCCGTCGTCACCTGCTCGTCAACCGGCGCCGCTTCTTCGCTCGGGGCTGCGTTCAGAGCCGCCATGAGGACGCTGTTGAGGGTGGCTTCGTCCATCGTCGCTATGACTGCTGGTTAAAGGGAAAGGATGTAGATGGACAAAATACAACCGCTGTGCGAGCGGGCAGATGCGGAGATGGAACCGGCTCTGCTATGTGCCAGCGCCTAGACCCTGCTCCTCCGTCGATGCTTTGCTGAAGGAAAAGATATGCGAGACGAAACCGTGCGAAATGGAAACTGAAATTGCTACAAGGGCCCTGGCACCGGTCCAGGGGCGTCGAGGGAACACGTTCGTATAAGTCTAAGGTAACGCCTTCTCAATCTCCCTGACACTTTCGGCAACGTTCGCGGCAACCGTCGTTCAGTCGATGTGGCACTTGATACCAAGGTCCGTTCCTGCGTCCAGACGAAAGAGACCCCGGGTACGTTTTTGCTCTTCGAGGCCTTCAGCGCGGGTCCTGCGAACGTCCAACGACGAAGTTGTGTGGCAGCAAGCGAGAGAGGGTGGCTGGCGGGTGACGGTGTTGTGGACCTTTCTTTTTTTGAGAATTCCCAACGGAGGTGACGGTGGGGGGGACCGGGAATAGGGACCAGCCTGGTGGTTTGCGCTATATCAAGCAGAAACTCAAAACTCGAGGCCCGGTGTATATCGAGGACCCTTGCGAGCGTAAGGAAACAACACTTGGTAAGTTTCAGTTTCAGGAGATGTTTCAACAAAGGACCCGAGTTTTTCGAAGTGACCGGAAATCGCTATAATACGGCCCCGATCGGTTCGCTCTTCCCTGTGGTTAGAAATCGAAGAGCTCGCTGTCCTAAATATGATGTTCCGTGCACTGGTCTGGGACAGCTGCCGGATTCCCGCGTGTTGAGGAATGAGCAGTTGAGGGGGAGGGGGGGGCCCTGGTTCTTGGCGCTGACCTATTGGAAGTGGGTTTATGAAACGCAGTGGCTGAGAGGGAGCTATGTGGGAGGGAGTGGTATGACGGCTGAGTGGCGGGTGGGTGGGGGTTTGGGTAGATTGTGCTGGAGGCTGTTTTTGGCAACGTTGAGCGAATGTGCAGACTGGGGGAGGATGCGCCGCCGTTTGAAGAATGAATTGCATTCTTGACTCGCAACAATCCAGCAATCTGCTACGGCCCCTCCCTCGCGCGCGCTGATTCGCCTATTCCTCTTATTCCTCCTATTCTCTGATTCGCTTATTCCTCTTGTTTCTTATCTTAAGTAACCCCCACCCCCCATGATCCAAAGGCGCCGATCTCGCACATGGGCATCACGAACGTTCCGCCTGCTCGCTCTCATCTGCCAACTTTGTGAGTGCATCGCTTCATCAGAGCTTGAATGAAGACCGACAGCCGTCCTCATTGACTCAAGCAAAATGAATGCAAGATGGGGCGACAAAATAAAGCCACCGCTCAACAGTGATGAATCAACCCTGTGGAGACGCAACGCCACCTTCAAATTCAGGGTCAAGCAAGAATCAAGCAAGATCCATCACGTTGGTGTGAGGGGACATAAAGAAGGTTATCTTGAAAATTAATTGATTGATTGTGGGGGAATAAGTCAATAAGGCCAGAATACTGATACCGTACTGCAAGCTCAAAACGCGTCCTGTTTGCCCTTTTTTTCCTTGACGCGTTTTTACAGGATTACCCCTTGAATATGGAAGATTCGTGGCCAGTGGTGGCGGTTTTCCCAGTCAATCCACCCCCCCCATCATCCAACCGATCAGTGCCCATGCGAATCATGCCACAACCCCCTCACATTTCCATTTCTACCACAACAAAAGAAGAAAAACACATAAAAAACGTCGCAATCGTGTCTTACATACACGGAAACAAAAAATCTCGGGAAACATGCGATCGAGTAGTAGAGCGGGGAGGGGCGGGCGATGTAAAAATGAAATGGGGGGGGGGGGTAGATACATGTACATGTACAACACTAGCATAACGGAAGTATGAACAGACTTGCCCGGGATTGTTGTTGGTGGTGGTGATGGTGATGGTGATGGTGATGGGGGGCAGTGGATGTATTCAGAAGAGGGGGGCAGTCAAACAATGGGTTCATCTTGGGTGGCCCCGCAGGTGTGTGTTGCAAGATATGATGTTCTTCAACTATCCCCACCAACCATCGCGACGCTCGCTGATCGTTCCCTTTCCCTCGGATCGTCCGGGCATGGCGGTGGGGACTCGCGCCCATCACCATCCGCGTCATCATCATGACTCGCCGATGGGGCGACAATCTCCACTTGACTGGTGATGACGGCCGGCGCGGCGGGTACAGAGTCGTTGTTTTCGTTTGTTGGTTTCGCGGCTTGTGGTGTTGGTGGGGATGCTGGGGCTGCGGACACCGCCGGTGTTGTGGGTGGGGGTGCGGATGCCCGCTGTGTCTCTCCGACCGATGACGGGCCCGGTGTGGACGATTGGGCACGCGTGAGCTCGTTGCCGTGGTTGCCGTTGATCATCGTGGATTGTGACGACGATACGTTGTCCGCCGCCTTCGTAGCAATCTCCTCACCCACAGTCTCACCCCCCATATCCCCCGCCCTCCCCTTCTTCGCCGCATGCTCCCCATTCAACCCCACCTCCTCCCCATCCTCACTCCTCGGCCGTTTCTCCACTTTCGTCGTCGTCCCCAAGGAAAAACTGATCCGCGGTCCCGTCGACGTCTTCGGTCGCACAAGAGGACTCACGGGTTTTACGGGCCCTTCTGGCGGCCGCGTTGGGTTGGATAATGGCGACTTGTTATCCCTGTTCCGCGCCACGAGGTTGACTAGCGGGTCGTCATCATCGTCATCGTCATCGTCGGGGTAGTCCACAAGCGGGCGGTTGAGGCGCAGATCCGGGGATGCAGGGACGAATTCGATGGCGCCGCGGTTGAAGGCAGATTTTTTGATGATGGTGGGCGGGGAGGTGTGGCGGATTTTCGCGGGGGTTTCTGATGAGGGTGTTCCGTTGGCCTTTAGTGATGGGGGTGGAGAGGTGGCTTTGCGTTTGGCTGAGGATGTTGATGCGTCGTCGAGGTCGGAAGAGAAGTCGAGGTCATCGTCGTCTGAGCCGTTGAAGTATGCGTCTTCGTCTTCGTCAATGCGCGTCCAGCCGTCTCGACGGTGTGTTGTTAAAGGCCTCGCACTATTCAATGGTAATCACAGCCGTCAGTACAGTACACAGGGACGAGGTGTAAGACTCCCCGCAGAGAAAGGCGAAAGCGATACATACTCTTCGGGCGTATCTTCCGGTGGCGGCGGCGCAATGTTCTGCTCATACCTCAAAATGAGGGCCTGGCACGTCCTCACATACGTGACGCCTGCCAGCTCATCCCTGAAATTGGTCACGACATTCGCAACCAGAGGTTTCGGATTCTCCTGTTCCACCACGTAAGCTTACTGTGCCAACTCAGCACATCCGGCGCCGCCAACCAAACCACCCACCTTAACCAAATAATCGAAGATCTCCAAACACGCCGAGTTGAGCAGGTTGGACTTGTGCTTAACCTCAATGAACAGGCGCATAATATGCCCCATGACGTTCTTCTCCAGTAAGATCTTCTTTGTATAGAAGTCGTCCTTCGTCGTCATCGTGAGGCATGTTCTGAACACTCTTAACGCGGCTGTCAAGTGGAACCAGCACATCAGAACCTGGGTCAACAATGACTGGAATCCGGGAAGACATTTGACTTACACAACCGCAGGTAGGTGTCCTTCGCATGAAGTAACAGCGCAACCTTGGGCACGATTTCCGTGCTGACAAGCAGGAATTTGCCTCGCATGTCGTGTTGTTTGATGATAAACAGTAGCATCTCGCAGATGTGATTGCATCGGGATGCGTGGTCCGGATCCGTGCCCACAAAGCCTGGTACATCTGGAAGCAACAAAGCAATGAAAGTCAGTCTGCGGGTCCTTGAAGATGATTTCTCAGAACAGGGAAGCACGGCAACAACGCACCAGCTTTGATTTGCAAAATTGGGCTAATCAGATCGGGCATCCACCGCTCATAAAATACGTCCAAAAACTTGTCCTCCGTTATTGCATTCACACCGCTGTGGGACACGATTCCCTGATGCACGACGGAGAGCATATCAGCATCGGGTTGCGTAACGAGCCTGAAAATCAATGCAGGAACGCACCTCTTGCGTATCCAGCGCCTTCGTATCAAGCAGCGCCCGGACCATCTCCGCATACTGCGCCCTCAGCCCCGTGTTCGTCTCTGACAGGAACAGCGCCACAAGCCGTTCCGCAAATGGCTTCTGCCCAGGTGTCTTTGCTCGCAATTCCGATTGCTCCCTCACGAGCTGCGTGTCGTGTTCGATGACGTGAGCCGCTATCGCTGCGGCAGTGGTGCGTACCGACACGTCGTCCCGCGTCAGCATCTCGTCTAATGCGTTGAAGAGGCCGTATTCTACCATGACTTTGAAGAGCTCTTTTGGCTGGCAATGCCTGCAGTGGGAGAGACATCAGATCCGCGCGTGAAGGAGGCGCAACGATCATTCATTTCCTTACCGTTCGAAAAGGTTTCTATTCATACCCTGCAACTGTTTCAACACCGAAAATAGTTCGTGCAAAAAGTTGAGAGCGTCCTTCTTCTTTTCCTCCGACACGTCCTTCTCCGACAGCAACGCAAAGAGCGACTTGAGGAATGTTGCGTCGGTCTTTACGTATTGTAATATCTCCACGTTGTTGAAAAAAATGATGGAAAGCAACGCCGAGAACATCCCGTCGTCCAGGTATCGTAATAGCGCCGCGTCCTTCAAGTACTGCACGCGGTACGTTTGGATAATCTTTGCTTTGATATCTTCATCCTTTATCGGCACGACCTGAAACCATCCGTAAGCATCATTGAAGATTATAGAGAGACGTATCCATATGTGACGAACCTCCTTGAACTTGGCATTTTTCTCAAAGTGCTCCCGGTGATTTGCTTTCTGATTGGGGAGGTCGCCGTCATCTGTTCCAACTTGTCAGCCCATGTGTCCACCACTCCAGATTCTCTAGAAGCGACTCTACTCACACTCCAGCATGCCCAACGTCGTTTTGAACACTTCATCGCTGAGGAGGTATTGGTATATGGAGCCTTCATTGACCGTCACTGTAAACAGATGGAAGCCAGTCAGAACTTATCCAGCGGACGATCGTCACATAACGGTCAACAACACAATGGAGAACTCACGTATGGCGCGAAGAATGTTGGCTAAAGCATGCAATGTTTCGAAATCGTCAAGATCCTCGGCTTGCTCGAACACGGGGAACAGTTTTGGGACGAAGTTCTACGAGATCCCAAGCGTCGTTTTAGGGGAGTTCGGACATAGACTGGCCCGCATGTCGATACTTACCGTCCTCTCCATCGTCTTCACCAATTCCGCTCTCCCACTATGAAACCGAGCTGCATGACACACGGCGAGTTCCAGCTCCTTCACATTTCCCATGGTCGGGTCGGGAAGATCCAGATGTGTGAGCTCGGACTCCTCGATCTCAGCTCGCAGTAATTCCGCTGAATTCTCAGGTAACTGATCGATATCTGGAACAGACGTCAGTCTCCACTATCCCCATGATCCCGATGCATGTTTGTAGGGCAATTTTACCATGCTTATCTGCGGCCAGCCGCTTTCTGATTTGCGTGAGTTCATTCCATGTGTCATTGCAGCCACCGACGTCCTGGAAGCTCAATGCTAAATCCTCCCCGCTAGGTTCTGTCCAAACAACCAGAGTGTCTACAGAATCGTCAGGTTCAGTGGATTCGGAAGCCCCGCTTCATGTCAGCGCTCCTCACCTTGTTGGCGAACGTAGTTTACTTCGCTGCGAATGGTGGTGTTCAGTAACACCGATCCTTCCTTATCGGATCGAACAACAAGACACATGCAGTCCTTTTTCTGTGAAATGAAACTTGTCAGGAACGCTGACATTCGGCCTGATGTTTGGACCGCATGTACGGAAACGATGTCCTTCCACTGACCTCTACAAATACGCATTCTACATGACCCATACCCTGATCGGACCACTTCCCTTCCGAATCGAGCTCAAAAACCTTCACGAAGCGCAGAGTAGCTGGTTTATCCCCCTCCTTCCCATTGACTGAGCTCTGAGGAGGGTGCTCCTTGGTGGGTGAGCTATGTCCATCTTTGGGATCTGCAAATGGTGGCGGTGTATTCGCCTCCCGTTTCTCCGCCTCTGACTTCGGCTCTTCCGGTTTCGCCTTCTCAGGCTGAATAGCCTCTGGAGATGGAGGGCTCGGCTGCTGTGGTGGTTGCTCAGGGCCGTATTCCTGTTCTCCTTCCTGCGCGGCGGGATCAGTCGCTTCCGTTCCTGACATCAGAGCCGGCTCCCTTTTTTCCACCGCTGAACAGCTTGGTGTCAGCGAGGTCCGTGCTCACTAGTTCGATAAGGGCAATAGTGGGGCACAGAGCCAGAGATCCTTATGCGTCGCGCCTTATTTGATCACGGTGGGAAAATCCGCTGAGGAATGTCGGAGTAGGACTACAACTACAGATTTCTGCCGGGCCTGTCGAAGATTGCGAGTTTCTTTGGCCTTGGCGTGAGTTCTAAAGAGCGTTACGGGGGGAGTATTCCAGGTCGTGCAGTGCGTATTGGTTGAGGCGACGAGGAGTAGTAAGGCAGATCAAGTGGGTTCACTGGTTTGAAATTGAGAGGGTTGGGGGTTGCGTTGGAAACTGAGCTGAGCGGCGTGCGTCACCGACTCACCGCATGCATTCACCATTGCAGTTACCAAGGGTTCTCGTGTCATTTCCTCATCATCCCCCGGGGCCTCCGAACTCACGGTCGCGCAGTCACGTGTATTGTACCTGTTCAGCCAGACTTTATTGAGCCAGTCACGTGAGCACCTTAAAGTCCATTACCGAGACGGTACTCAATCTCGCCCCCACAGTCCGTTCGGATGCTTCAAGGAAAGCCTGACTGTTGTCTCGCCCAACAACGACGAATAAGAAAACAAGAAATGTCGCATCCAAACATCAAGGACGGCTGGTTCAAGGAGTCACAGGCCCTGTGGCCCGGCCAAGGTACTTGCCGCTTGCTTTCTTGTCTGAGCTTCCATGTCGTACGAGGGAATGGTCCGGGGTGTGAGCCTCAACTGCTTTCGGAAGACGCCGATCTGTATTCCCCCCAACGGGAGCACCCCAATGATCTCTATACTCAACCGCTCGTTCGCTCCTTCTCTTCCTCTCATACTCCAGCCATGACCCTCCAGGTCAAAGAGATCCTCCACCAAGAAAAGTCACAATTCCAGGACGTCCTGGTCTTCCAGTCCACCAACCACGGCAACGTCCTTGTCCTCGACGGTGTGATCCAGGCTACCGAGCGCGACGAGTTCTCGTACCAGGAGATGATTGCTCATTTACCACTGAACGCTCATGCTAACCCGAAGAAGGTTAGTATGGGACGGCGGATAGGAAGGTGGAGGTTCGGAAGTTGGGGTGTGATAAGAATTGCTGGAGGTGGGACGGGACAAGTGCGGGGACTTGGCTGAAGCAGATGATTCCGTTGGAGCGATGGACGGCGGCGGCCCCTATTCACAACGTCTGAGGATGAAGGACGGGATGCGTACCAAACAGACAAAAGGCGGGAGGAAACCAGGCGGGAGCAATCGACATTGGCGGGAAATCAGATCAGAGCGAGTTTTCTGGTCGCTCTTTGGCCAAGGAACGAAAAGTGGAGAGAAACAGCAAAATCTAAACAAAGAATCTCGCAAACCCCACCCAGGTCCTTGTAATCGGCGGCGGCGACGGCGGCGTCCTCCGCGAGATCGTCAAACACGACTGCGTCGAAGAAGTCACCCTTGTCGAAATCGACGAAGCGGTCGTCAAAGCCTCCAAAAAGTTCCTCCCCGCCATGGCCGTCGGGTTCCAGCATCCGAAAGTCAAACTGCACATCGGCGACGGGTTCGCGTACCTGAAGGAGAACGAGAACACGTACGATGTGATTATTACGGATTCGTCGGATCCGGTTGGGCCTGCGGAGTCGCTATTTGGAGAGACGTTTTATGATCTGATGCGCAAGGCGTTGCTGCCTGGGGGTATTATTTGTACACAAGGTAGGCAGTAGAGACGCTTGGCCGGGTCGAGATTGCGTGCGGTAGGAGGGATGGAGGGGCCAAACGGGTCGACGACCTTCCAGAAATTGTTGACCGACTGCCCTGCGGCGTACCCGCCACTCCACCCCAAAACACTTCACTAACATCCCCCCCCCCCCCCCCCGCAGGCGAATGCCAATGGCTCCACCTCCCCCTCATCCGCTCCGTCCTCACCCACGCACGCACCATCTTCCCCGTCGCCGAGTACGCCTGGGCCTCCGTCCCCACCTACCCCTGCGGCAACATGGGCTTCATCCTCTGCTCCAACGAACCGGGTAAAGATTTGAAAACCCCCGCGAGGTACTTTGAGAGAAGTGTAGAGGACAAGAAGTTGAGGTATTACAACAGGGAGGTGCATTCTGCGGCTTTCGTGTTGCCGCAGTTTGCGAAGGCTGCTTTGGAGGTTTGACGGGGGAGTAGGGTGAGAGAGACTTAGACTTGGCTGGGATTTTTCGTTTCTTCGTTTTATCATTATCACGCACACATAGAACATTTTCAATAGATTGGCCATCCTCTTCGCCAATGTCCATTTAGGACGTCCCTCCTACCGTCCTAACTTTCTTTCCCAAAAATGCGACACAGGGTCTCATGCGATGATTTTGGAGGGGTTTTGCATGGCATATTTGGATGGTCGACTTTGTGTTGCTTTCCCGAAAAGTTTATGGAAGACCGACACTAGCATCACAGTCCAGTTCTCCGTCATGCATAGGTATGAATAATGATAAGTGAAAACAAAAAATAAAATCAACTATATACGTGCGGTAGCTAAAGGTGCGCGCTGCACGACCTTCAGCTGTGAGTCTGACCACCCGGCGCTATGCCTACCACGCTCTACGCCCTAAACCCCTCAACGATTACACCGCCGTACACCGGCCCCCTAAATATCCAACTCCATCGCATCCGGTTCCATCAATTCGTCCCTGCTACTCGAATTCTGCAACTCCCTCCTGATCTCGGGCGTGATCTGCGGATGCACCTTGTGCCGGACGAGGTCGAGGAGGGCGTCTTTTTGCTCGGGGGTCATGTCTTCTTTATACCTAGTAAGTCAATGAACGGGGAGTTAATATGGGGGGAAATATGGTGTAGAAGCGGGGTGATGGGTGAGACGCACCGTTGGGAGAAGACGAGGAGGGATTGGTGCCACAGGACGGGCATCTCGCGGTGGTCTGTTTTGAAACGGATGAAGTGGAAGACGAGGGCGTCGACGACTTTGAAGGGGAGGGCGTACTTTTTGTCGAGGAGGATGCGGATGAAGTGGGAGTTCGCGCCTGTATGAAGGAGTGAGTCGGGTATTTCATACGTCTGGGTCCCGTAAAGGAGAAGACTTACCGGAATAATCCATCTCGGCCAATTTCAACAGCCCAGCGGCCGAATGCAGGACGGGAATACTGACTTTCGTAATCACACTTCCAATAATAGCCGCCTCCCTCAGTGTGCACGTCCCACTCTCGCACAGGGGGAGCAGCAAGCCCTTGAAGAACGCCGCCGGTTTATACAGCGCCTTCTTCAGCGACATGTACAGATGGTAGTTCAGCTTCTTCGTCTCTGCGATATCATCCCTCACGCGGTCCAAAAGCACCAGGGCAAAGAAGCGTTGGGCCATCTTCGCCTTCAGGTTGGAGACAAAAATCCGGGTGGCCTGATACGTCGCTTGTGGGGTCCATTTCTCCGGGTGGGTGAGGTACAGCACGTCCTCCCAGTCGGCGAGCGAGGGAATGATTTTAAATGTTTTGGGCAGTTTGCCCGATTTGTACCGGGACAGGAGCAGGCCGACTTTCGTGTACACTTCGATGATCTTTTCGTTCATCGCCGGTGGGACAAGCTCCTGCCGACCGTCGGGACCCGAGGACATCCCCTCGCCTGCAGCCTCCGCGGCAGCGATTTTGGACATGATGAGGTCGGAGAGGTTCATCTGCTTCTTAGGCTCTTTCGCCATAAACTTCTCAATCAGCGCCGCGTCCGCCTCGTCAATCTCAATATCGTCCACAGCATCCACATCATACTCCTCATACTCGTCCCCATCCATAACCGCCTCGTCGTCCTCGTCGGAGTCCGCACCATACTTCGCCCCCTTCTTAGCCCCCACAGGCCCCGCTAATAACGGCTGCGGCGCCGCAAACGAGTTCTTCGCCATCCGACTCCCCGTCGTCGCCGTTACCCCGCCGCCCACACGTCCCCGCGCCTCCTGCTCCTCCAATTCGATTTCGTCCTGCTGCTGCCGGACAATGTCGAGGATTTTGCGCGAGGTCTTGCTGTCCAGGAACTCGGCATTCTTGGCGTCGCCGCCGTCGGAGTCGGACCCGCCTTTGCCTCTCCGTCGCCGTTTGGCGCCGGCTGTGACTTCGAGCGAGGTGTCTTTTGCCATTTGGACGTGCAGGGGGTCGTGCCGCGGGGCGCCGCGGGACCGCTTGTCGGCACCCATTGTGAGTGTGGGGGTTGAAATAGTTGTTGCTCGGTTGACACTGAGGGCTTCCCGTCGTCTCTATGAAGTTCTTCCTTGCTCCTCGCTAATGTCACTTATCCTGTTGACGATATTCCCTTTGATGGAGAGAACTGAGCGAGACCATTCTATGCAAAAGCCTCATCAGCGCCACTTCTTGCGCCACACTGCGTGTTCTCCAGTCTTGACACGCGCATTTCCTCGTTGACACTCCGCTCCCTCGGATTTGGCGCCATGGACCGTGCCTTGAAACCTTATATGGTAGTATAAGGCATCCGAAACAAGCAGTCAATCATTCATAAAGCGGTCATAAGCGGCCATCGCCGTCACACGTACATGAAGGAGGAAAGAACTTCATTGCTCAGTCAACATTGCCCTAAGCACTACATATATATAAAAAGAGTCTTTGCCTTTCGTCTCCCACTCCATTGCAGTCTTACACAATCCATACTTTACATTTCACTTCACCGAACCCATATCAAAAAATGATCATCCCCTCCACAACCCTCCTGGTACTTCTGATCTCCGCCGTCGCACCTGCCATTGCCGTTCCAACCGGCGAAACCAGCCTGTCGACGGGCCAGCAACCAACTCCCAAAGCTTCTCTCTTCGTGCGCCAACACGGTGGTCACGGTGGTGATGACACCCCGGGAGTCCCAGACGACAAGGGAAACCACCCCGTAGGCACAGACGACAAGGGAACCCACCCTGCAGGCACTGACGACAGACGGGGAGGGCTCCTCTCCGACGACGACGATGGCGTCCGCGTCAATGCAACCCTGAACGCCGCTGTCACCCTCACACCAAACCGGAAAGAGGATGTGACGTACCCCGACGGCTTTGAGATCGACGTTAGCTCGTCGGTCGCTAATGCTGTGGTGAGTGATATCTGGTTCACAGTCCCCCCGTCAGTTGTGTGGGTTGCTCACACGGATATCCAACTTTTGCTGTAGACCGTCACCTCCGGCCCTCCATCGATAACAGTCCTCCCAGCCGGGTTCAAACAACTCTCGAAAAACTCCTGGAAAGTCGTCTATCGCACCGCGTTGGCGGCCACTACAAATAGCAGTACCAAGATCGAGTTCCCCGTCACCGCCGCCGCTGTCAGTGCTGCTGGTGGCGTGCGCGCATCGGATGCGAGACTGGCTTTTCTTCAGGTACTGCCATCGTTTTGCATCATGCAGTCAGTAACTATGAGCGCTTTTTTATTGATCATCCTCTTGATTGCGTGGCATTTTAGAACGGCGCATGGACGGTAGATGAAGCAAATACCCGGTTCGACGATTCCGAGAGCAAGACACAGTACACTGGTCCAAGCGCAAGTGCCAGCGGGGAATGGATCGTGCTCGTGAAGACGGCGTCGGGAACCGCTCCGTCGTCGTCCAACCCGGCTGTCGCGATCGGGTCTCCGAATCAGATATCTGCTGCGGTGGCTGCGTCGCCGCATCTGTTGGGGTTGGCCTCCTTGGGCGGTCTTTCGGTGGCTTGGGTTTTGGTTTGATGGATGAGGACTTTTGAAGGGACGCATCTGCGCTTGTACTGTACATAGTGTGTATATAGTAACGAACCTTGATGTCACTATCATGACCTGTAGCATTAAAAGGGATCCATCCGAACTGTACATGTACATCTGCTTTGATGAGGCTTGCAATGTTTGACGGGGGGAAGGATGCGCTGTCGAACAGGCGTCAGCGGTCGGCCAACGTCGCGTGTTCTCCAGTCGTGACAACGTGCGCGTTTTCATGATCGAGGCTCAACTCAACTTTCAGCGGCCCTGGCCCACCATCCCCATTCCCCAACCCCACCCCGATTTCACCACAATCCCTAAACCACCCACGGATAACCATGAGCGGAACACCCATCTACGGCCTCGACCGTGAGCTCGGTAACTACCCTCCATCTCATCCCGTCCCCATCTGTCATCACAGGCTAACTCCTCTCGTCAGCCGCAAAGGCAGCAGCGAAACACGACCCCGTGCGCGAACAGGAAGCGCGCGAGTGGATCGAGTCGTTTGTGGGGGAAGCGTTCCCGAGCGAGGGGTTCCAGGAAAGCTTGAAGGATGGGGTCATTCTTTGCAAGTAGGTGGATTGAGAGGGTGATAGTTGGCATGTCGAGCGAGGGAAGGGAGGGGGAGTCTTGGGTGATACGTGCTTGAGCGACGGCGGAGATTTGTTGGTTGGGAGTAGCAACGGAGAGCAAAGGGGAGGAGAGGATGGGACACGGGCAACCCGCACTCGACCTGTTTCCGAGGGATGCGAGCAGACTAGACTTGGAAGTCATCATTACACACTTCCCTCTCTCGCGAGGATGTACCTGCTTACAAAGCCCACCCCAATGCAGGTTGATCAACGCGCTGACACCCGACACACCCGTGAAATTCAACACCTCCAAAATGCCGTTCAAGCAAATGGTACAGACATTGCTCTCACGCCAAACCCCATCCACCACTCTCTAACTCCACCTCTCCCCCCAGGAAAACATCAACACCTTCCTCCAATCTCTCACCACCACGTTCTCCGTTCCCCCGCACGACCAATTCCAAACCATCGACCTCTACGAAAACAAAAACCCCACCCAAGTCGTCGACACCATTTTCGCCCTCTCGCGCCACGCGGGGCAGAAGGGCTTGATCCCGCCGGAGAAGGTACTGGGACCGCGGCTGGCGGAAAAGCGGACTGTGGACTTTTCGGATGAGATTTTGAACCAGGGGAAGACGGTTATTGGGTTGCAGATGGGATATGCTGGTATGTCTCAGCGTTGGGGTTTTGTTTCGAATGGGTTGGGTATATGAGCTAAAGAATTGAATTGCGTATGTTTAGGAGGTGCGAATGCGAGCGGAGTGTCGTATGGCGCGAGGAGGGAGATTGGAGGGGCGGATCTGGGACGGCAGGGGTGAGGCAGGGGCAAGAGTTGTTTTCCTAGAGACCGCCGGCCGGGATTTGAGGTTTGAGATATATGGATATAGAAGATGCATTTTGCAGCCTCATTCAATTTTAAAGCGCTCCTCTGTGAGGAAGCGATTTGCTATGGGGGAAAGTGAGATTTGGAACAAAAACACCCATTCACGTTGGCGGGCGAGAGAGATTTAGGCGGACACTGTCAGTTGGAGTCTTAGGTAAGCGAATGAGTTGCATGGGATAAGCGGCTCTCAATCCATCGGGCGAAGACGGACGAGCCATTGACTCACCCCCGCCTGCCTGTGCGAGAACCGCCCAGTGGAAGATATCCCATCGTCAAAGCAACGAGACCGAAGGCGACGTTTGCTCCCAGCCAGGCTCACAATAACCCTATACCAGGTACGTACTCACTCTCATATACGCACACACCACACACCGGGACACAACAGCAGCTTCAGCAGCAGTAGTAGTCAGCGGTAAAGAGGAGGTAGCCTCCTACTGTTGTGCGAGAAGAGAGTCTCGATTGCGAGACAACAGCCGAGGACCGCCGAATTTGGAGGCCGCCAGGGCTTGATTGTGCGCGTGAGAATTGCCAACAGCTTTTCAGAACGGGAATCCGTTGAGAGACCGTACAGCAAGTCTATACCTTCGTCGACGCTCAGATACTGCTGCTGGACTCGCCTTCATCACTGCCTGGGATTACTGGACCTCATCCTCATCTCTCCCTCTCTTCCAACAGCGGGAAATCTTTTTCACAAGAATGTTCTCCAGGGTCGCATACTCTGCGGCCTCCCGCACGGCCTTCCGGGCACCCCGGTCGTTCGCAAACGTCCGCACCGCCACCACACAGGCCTCCGCCGGCCCCGCCGCATCCCCGTTCGCTGATCGCAAGGCCGCCCTCGTCTGGCTGGCCAAGGCGGCCACCGCGTCCGCTGTCGTCGGTTATGGGCTGTCTAACTACGTCCTCACCGACGAGAGGATCGCACCCGTCGCTAACGCTATTGCTGAGTCGGCTGCTACCTTGAAGAGGAAGGCGAAGGAGATGGGCTTGGAGATTGAATTGCCGTTCACCACTGCTCATGCTTTCTCGACTGCTGATCACGGTTTGCATGCGCCTCACTACCCTTGGGAACACCACAAGTTCTACAAGACTTATGACCACGCTGCGTACGTATTCTTATTGCGGGGGGGAAAATCATGGTAGGGGCACGAGTCGTCTGACTTTCATGTTGGAATTCTAGCATTCGTCGTGGATTCCAAGTGTACAAGGAGGTCTGCTCTGCTTGCCACTCCATGCAGTACATCCACTACCGTAACCTCGTCGGTGTCTCCCACACTGAAGAGGAGGCCAAGGCCCTCGCCGCAGAGTACGAGTACGACGATGGACCAGATGATTCTGGAAACATGTTCAAGCGTCCCGGAAAGGTATGCCAAAAATTCCTCAAACTATCTAAACAAAGCCGGTGAAAACTAAAGTCTCCCTCATCAGCTTACGGACGCCATGCCCAACCCCTACCCCAACGAACAAGCCGCCCGCGCCGCCAACGGAGGCGCCTACCCCCCCGACCTGTCCTGCATTGCCCGCGCCCGCCACGGCGAAGAAGACTACCTCTTCGCCCTCCTCCTCGGGTACTGCGACCCCCCGGCGGGCATCACCGTCCGCGAAGGTCTCCACTACAACCCCTACTTCCCCGGCGGCGCGATCGCGATGGCGCGCGCCCTCTACGATGAAGTAGTCGAGTACGAGGACGGCTCCCCGAACAACGCCGCTCAGCTCGCTAAAGATGTCTCGACTTTCTTGTCGTGGGCCTCCTACCCTGAACACGATGATAGGAAGAAGATGGGGCTGAAGGCGATCTCGCTCTCGGTTTTGATGTTGGGGCTGACGGTGTGGTGGAAGAGGTTCAAGTGGAGTTACATTAAGACCAGGAAGGTGGTTTACCGACCAGGAAAGGTATGTTACACTCACGTCTCGTTCTTTCATCTTTCATCTTTTGTTATCACAACACTCAACATCGTCTCTTCTTCTTTATTAGTTCGAGGACGTCTAAACAACCCCGCCTTGTCAAGAAAACAAAAATTCCCTCTTCCTCCCTCATCATATCACAGACAGACTGGCGGAATCTCAGATCTACCTCTCATGTCCGTTTCACCCCCACCCCCATTGTTATGAATCGAATCAAAATTATACACGAACACACATTCTACCTTGTGAAAGGGTATTGTATCGTCATCTCGGTTTCGCGAAACTCTCCATGAGACCTCGCTCAGACCGAGATGGAACCGAACGGGTTTGAGATGCAAAATAAAATGGAACATCCAACATCAGAAAAAAAAAGGGGGGGAAGGGTCCAGTTTTTCGGAATAAGCTGAAAATGCGATTTGATCTACCATATATATAAACCCACCTCCCGCCCGCCAGAGGCTGTTTGGGTATATTCTGGCACGTTACAACCACTCATAACCGACGGGTTATTTATCTCCAGTACGCCCGCTTGGACCAACGCGAGAGGGTAATCTCCAGTCCATTTGCACCTGTTTTTTCACCCACTCCTCCTGGGTTTGCTAGGGCAACACGGAGATTCACCCAGCCAGGGGATCCGCTACCAGTCACCCCTCCGGCCCCTTCGGCAACCTCGGATCCCTCGGCGGCCCTCTCCCCTCGCCCGCGTCCCAAACGCGCCCTGCGGCATTCAACAAGCTCTGCAACGCCTGCAACGCCGCTTGATCGATGCCTTCAAGCGGGAGCGAGAATCGAAGGGATGTGGGTGACGCCGTAAGCGCCGTGTTCGAAGTAAAAATGGTTGTGGGTGTTATGGTGGTTGTGCTGGGGAGCCACGGTGCGCTTTGCTGTTGCGGGGGAGGCCAGGCGGTGGTTTGATATGGCGTTGGCGATGTGTGTGGGGATGGTGGGGGGGTGTCGGCTAGGGGAGCTGGAGGAACGGCGGCGGGTGTCCAGTAGGAAGGTTGTTGGTCGAGGGGTGGGCGGGCGTAGAGGGCGTCTAGGAGGGGTGAGGCGAGGGGTTGTGGGGTCGTGAAGGGTTGGGGGATCCCGATTGGGGCGGGTGGGGGTGGGTCGTTGGTGGGTTTTCTCGTTAGGGGGATTCGTCTGGTGGTTGCTGTGGTGTGTGGGCCAAGGAAGGGTGGGATGGACGCATTCGAGGGTGGGACTGGTTGTTGCAGCAACGCAGCGGGCGGCGGCGGCACCACAACCCCTGGATCAAACCCCCAACAATCCCCCTCCCTATCCCCCCCCGGCACATTATTCCTCCACACCAGTATCGCAAGACAACCGGTCGCGTCATCCCTCACCAACTCCCGTAACCTCGGGTGACACCCGCTCGGCACTTTAACAAAACAAAACGGCACAAACACAAACTGCCGCCGCGGCTCACCCGGGAGCTCCGCGACGTAGAGTTTCCGCCCGACTTTGCTGACTTCTAGGAACCGCATCAGTTCCTGGTGTTGTTGGGGAGTTGCCCCGGGGGCGATGCGGAGGATGTATTTCGGGTGTGGGTCCGTGCACCATTGGCGGACGAAGCGGACGTTGGCTTCGTTGCCGCGGCGGGAGGGGACGACGGCGAAATCGGTGCTCAGGGTGACGGTAATTTCTTGTCCGGGGAGGTCGAGGGGTGTGGTGGTGCGACCAATGATTTGGATGGGAGAGATGGGGAGCTTGCCGTGGTTGAACTGGCCTTCCCAGACAATGGTTTTCCAGGGGGCGGAGGCGGCGAGGGTGGGGAGGAGGCCGCGGCCGAGGTCCAATTGGCGGGAGATCATGCGTTGGAGTTGGGAGAATTGTTCCATTCGTAGTTGTGCGTAGGCTTTTTCGTAGACGGCCTAAAGGAGAGGATGCAATAATGCTCCTTAGTGATCGTTGGGCAATGGATTAGGTATTGCGCCCTGGGCGCAATGTGGGCTCGCTCCGTTCGCGCTCGCTCTCGACGGCGTTAGCTCTGGGCGACGTCGCTAACGCTCGGACTCCCGGATGAAAACCAAACTCCCCTCCGCTCGCAACTCGCAACACTCACATCAATCTCCCTGAACGAAACCCCACTCTCCACTCCCTCCATCGAAGCAGGCACAACGCCCTCCCCACTCCTCCTTGCCAGCTCAACCAACACCTCCTCCATATCCCTCAACATCTGCTTGCTCTCATCCACCTCCCCATCCTCTCGGGCATGCTCATAAGGCTCAATCGGCAAATCGGCAGGTAATCTTGGCGGCTTCCACACTCCCGCGTCGATATCGTAGGCCTGAGTGAACGATTTCTGGAGTTTTGCAATGTCCTGCATTTGCTCGTAGAGGAGGTGCTCGAGCTGTGATTTGCGGGTTTTGCCGTATTCGGAGATGCTGAGCCAGGGGGTTGAGGCGCTGATGAGGGCGTCAGTTTCGTCTCTGGGAGTTGGGAAAGGGGACTTGGGGGTGAGTTAGGGTCTCAAAGTTGGCGAAGATCACTGTGATCTTGCACACTTCCACACGCGACTGGAACCGAAAAAGAACTTACGCTCCGTCCTCAGGGAACACCTCGACAACACTGTCCAGGTCCGGAGGCTATATATATGTGAGGCAAACATAAATGCGTAAGTATCCAGGCTGGGCTCCCTGCCAAACGTGGCTTGTAAATAGAACCCAGTTCGGCAAGTGTGAAGTGGACAGTGCCGGTGTTCTCGGTCGAAATACCTACGGGTAAACGGCTCCGAGCACTCATACTGAAGGATATGCTGCTGCCTGTTGCCGCAAGTTGGTAACGGTTACGGTTCTCTGGCAGCTATGGGTATGCAGCGTGGTTTGCGACGGGTCTCTGAGAGGACATGGATACGACGCGGGGGTTAGTTGGGCCTCGGCGGGGTTAGGGTTCCGTCGCATGTCGCGTTGATGATCGCCGCCCGCTCTGTTGCGAATGACAGGCACATCGATGGACGGGACGTTGTTGATGGGAATCTCACCGTTATTCCTGCAAGCGCAGACTTCTCGATATATTTCAACTTGGCCAAACCCCCTCCCCCCCAACCCAGCCTCTCCTCGCAACCACTCAACCGCTCAACCAGAATATATCCCAAAGATGGTCGCCGCAGAGAGGAAGATTCACCCCGCTCACATCGACGGTAAGGACAAATCAAGAAAGTGTGAAATGGAACACCTCGTTTCCGCGAGGCGCACCATTCGTTGGACTCGATGAATAAAGCTCCTTTCTAACTCTCTCTTTGTCGCTCTCTTCATTAGCCAACTCCTCCGATGTCCTGCGCACTAAGGTCGTTTGCACAATTGGCCCAGGTTAGTCTTTGTGTGAAACTTGGGCGAATGTGGTCGCGTGATCTCCCCCCTGCATCTGGGAGAAATCTTTACTATGGAGCGACAGAGGGATGGTGCAACGAACGAGGACGTTGCATCGAGTGACTGCGAACGGAGAGGGTGGCTTTGTTTGCGGCGAGTAATGTGAGACCCAAGAATGCTCATGGTCGGAAGCGCCCAGCATCCTTGTCGCGACCGAACCCGTCTTTACCCGTCCACCCAAGGATAACATCTTCACCTTTCATCCGGTACTTACCATCATCCTGCTTTCCTCCACAGCATCAAGCGCGCCAGAGAAGCTCGGCCAGCTCATCGAGGCGGGCATGAACATCCTCCGATTGAACCTGAGCCACTGCACCCAGGATTTCGCCGCCAATGTCATCAGCAGCGTCCGGGCGTACCTGAAAGACAGCGGGTCCCTGGCTGAAGTCGCGATCTGGCTGGACATCAACGGTCCCAAAGTCCGGAGTGGAAAGCTGAAGAACGGCGAGCCAGTGACCCTCCACGCCGGCGACGAGTTTTTCTTTGTCAATGACGCATCCGTCGTTGGCGACAACACCCGGGTGTCTACCAGCTACACCAAGGAGATTGTCAAGGAAGGCGACAAGATCTACATCGATGACGGGCTTTTGTCGTTTACTGTTTTGGAGAGGCTGGCGGATTCCATTCGGTGCAAGGTTGACAACTCTGGTAAGTGTCGCTAAGGAAAAGTTTCTGGACGAGCCCCTGCAGAAACGTGGCATGCTCATCACGAAAAACCTCCTCAATAGGCATTTTGGGCGAAAGCAAAGGCATCAACTTCCCCGGCGCCTTCATCAACGAGCTCCCCGCCATCAGCGAAAAGGACAAAACCGACATCGCCTTTGCCCTCGACCAAGACGTGGACTTTATCTCCGTCTCCTGCATCCGCAACGTCGAGGACGTAGAAGAGCTCCGTCTCCTCCTCGGCAACCACCGCGTCAAACTCCTCGCCAAAATCGAGAACAAGACCGGAATGGACAACTACGAAAGCATCCTCAAGATGGCCGACGGCATCGTCATAGATCGGGGATACCTCGGCGCAGAGATTGATGTGGAGCTAGTGACAATCGCGCAAAAGAAGATGATTGCCCTGGCGAATGTGGCCGGCAAACCGATCTTGGTTGCTAACCAGATGCTCGAGTCGATGAGAACTAACCCGCGACCGGCGCGGTCGGAGGCCGCGGATGTGGCGAACGCCGTCATGGACGGTGTCGACGGGCTGGTTCTCTCTGGCGAGACCGCTATCGGTAAGATCTTGCTTCCTCTCTCCTCTTCCTTACCTTTATCAAAGTTCTAGACCAACACTTATCTTTCCCCCACGCAGGCGAATACGTCCTCGACTCCGTCTCCGCCATGCGCCGCATCGCCTACCAAGCCGAAAAAAACACCAACTACCTCGAACACCAGATCAAAACCATGCGCTCCGTCCCCAAACCCATCCCCATCTCCGAATCCATCGCCTCCTCCGCCGTTCTCGCCGCTCGACAGGCCAACGCCGCTATCATTGTCTGCATCACTGAATTGGGCGGGACCGCCCGTTTGGTTGCGAAATACAGGCCGTTGATCCCGGTTATTGCCGCGACGCTGATTCAGAGGACGGCACGACAGTTGAATGTGAATTTTGGATTGGTGCCGTATTTTCATGCGGGGAGTGCGGATACTGTTATTCATGATACCTTGAGTGAGTGCCCCTTGCCTGTAGCTGTTTCGAGTTTCTCTTTTTGCGCATGCTGATACATAGTTTCCTTCAGAATACGCCGTAGAACTAGGCCTCTGCAAACCAGGCCAGGTCGCCGTCGTTACCTCTGGACAACATATTGGGTTCTTGGAGGGTACGTGAATCTGCTCTTTCCATCTGTTTCGTCGCCTCGGAAAATGTCATTGACGAAAATCAACCTCTTTTTCCCAGGCACAACGACAAAGATGCAAATGATCCAGATCCCATAAATCATATTAGACGTCTCTGTTACTCTGTAACGTCAAACTTTTCAGACGGGATGTACATCGCTACCCTACACATTTCATAACAACCCAACCTCCCCCCTCAATAACAGAACTGACTCGTCCGAACGTTGTATTTCCAGTGGGATTTTTCTCCACCGCCCGTGGATTTGTGTGGCGTTTTCTTCGTATAGAAATTTGAGGTTGTCTTCGTATACGGTGGTTATGTGGGGTTTTCTGACATTCTGCGAGTCCTCGACGCGTACTGTATGTCAGCGGGAGAGACGGAGCGTTTGACATCATCTCCGCATCTGCAGGATGACACGAAGTCAAGACCTGAGCAGTGAGGATCACACCATACAATACGATCAGAACCCTGTCGAGCAGTCTGGGCCAGGATGACGCCGAGAACAACGTACGCCCACGGTCCCGCGATATCAAGCGGACGGACGCAAAGTGCCATTCGACTGGAAGCCGGAGACAAATCAAAGGAACCTGCGTTTTCGCACCGTAACCTGAAAGACACTACATTCTGCAACACCCGCTCCAATGACACCCTCCGCACGCTCCGGGATCTAGGCTCTCGCGATACACCGATTCTCATGCTGGAGCACGCTGGAGACGCTCCTGCAGCGGCCCATGCAGATGCCCGTTCCCCCTTGGCTCCCGAGATGATCGGCCCACTCACATCACAACCAACGCCACCTCGTACACCGAACCTGCGCTGAGCACCTGAAGAAGAATCACCATTGGGCACCCACAAGCGATTGCGGGCGATTGCCCATGCTGCTCAGATTGCCCGTGTTGCCCAGGAGCATCCCCGCTGCCAGAGAAGAACGTCCCGCCGAACAAGAGCCGCTAGCCACCGCGTGCAATGGGAATTGTTCCATCCTGATTGGTGGTGATGAATGCAGTGGCTGCACATTTGTTGCAGAAATGCATCCCCCTATGACCGGGCCCTAAAGGAGGAAGAAAGTCTGGGGCATCGGTATTGGCATAGGCGCGCGACCAACCTTCTACGGTCCGATGAACAATCACCAACACCCCGCTTTGCATCACCGATGCGGCGCCGAATTTTGTCAGCATTGACAGAATTAAGGACGCGTCTAGACGATGTAAAGAAGCAAACCCAACCGAGCATGTCATCTTTCTGCGTTCTGGATTTTGCCCGTACTGACTCCGAATTGGTTTGGCGGGTTAGGGCACGAGGATTCAGGTGTTCCGCATGGGGGCCGGCGAACGAATCGAGCTAGCTGGCGGACGGAGAAAAGGCTCGCATGGAAAGAGCGATCATGTCTCCATCGAAATGCAGGGAAGGATGCAAACCGTCGACAACAAAGGGCAATGTTCGACCTGTCTGAGACGCTAGATGCACCTAATGCGGTGCGAAGGAGGCCACCCGGTGTGGGGACGAAACTGGACTCGCTTCCGGTCAGCAGCCGTCGAGTTCGCGTACAACGATACCGGGAACGCTAGCACGGGCATGACCTCTTTCGAGACGGACTTGGGGCTCTTCTATCACGGGGCGGGCATTCCTCGCGCGTTCAAGGCCTTGCCTGCTCTTCCGGTTGCGGCACCGAAATCCCGCGTCTACAAGGGTTTCCCTCCTGACAAGAGGAAGACGCGCTTCGCACCATCTGAGTGCTGAAAACGAGGTTTCCTGGAAAAAGCGGATGTCCATGGTCGGTCACTATTGGAGGTACTGCACCTCATACAAGGGTCAATCATCGCCATAAAGCAATCAAAGACGTCTCATGTGTCCGATCTCCTCCCCTACGCTGTGACCCTGACAGAGTTGTATGGAGGATATGAAGACGTCGCACACGGTAAGCTCAACACTGCGCTCTGATGTCGAAGATGTTGCCCACCCCCTAACTACCGCTTCCAAACTGCCCATAGGGGATCAAAACAAAAATCTTCAGGAACACAATGATCATATCATCCCCGCTCGATTTGCGACATGTTCGGCCTCGGGACCACATTTCTATGGCAAATGGTGACTGCAAACCAAGCAGTGTCGGAGTCAACAAGCGAACATTTAATCTTTTTTTTCGGACGCATCAAGACCCCTGATACTTCTTCAAGTGAATATACATGCAGTCATTCCCACTGACCCGGCAATATCTGATCGAGTTTTTACGATAACCGGTGTCAAAGTGGATGGGGCAGATCGTGACCTAAAAAGAACGCATCCGCGCCGCGCATGACCGCTTTAGTCGCTTGTACCCAATAGGGTGAGCAGCTCGACGTGACTTTGCCACTCTCTACGGGAAGCAACAGTCATCCATTCGTTCAGCACGCGCATGATGAGAATCTGCTCAGTCAAATGGAATGGCTCTGCTGTGTCTGTCCATCATTCCACCGCTGGGAACTGGTGTCACGCATAGTGGTGAACGATGCTTGGTCGGACTTGGGAATACCACAAATCCCACCGGGACGCTGGCTAGAAATGCTCAGCCGCCAACGACATGCCCGCCGTCCAGAACAGGCTGAAAAGGGATACCCATCGTGCCGTCCAATCCCAACTCGCGGCACACAGGGAGAATCATGCCCTCTACGCCAAACTCGCGGCAATGAGGGAAGAAATTCGAATACTCAAAGCCGCCGCTGCCGCTGCGGTCGAAAAGCAAAGGAGCTCACTCGTCGCGACCCCAACTCATCGTCTGCCGATGGACCCTCCTCCAGAAGGGTTGGATGGGCGCCAGTGATCGGACGTTGCGGCAGGGAGGTGGCTCGGATACAAAAGTGTGAGCACCTCAATGTCCCTCTGCAGCTTCCTGGAAGGAACGACCTATGTTGTGTCAAAGCGGACACTCGCGTCGACCTCTGCGACCATGCACCATTCCCACCTCACTACCCGCCGCACTAAGCACCTCCTCTCGGACGCCGCATTCGCCACTCAACTCGCATATACAGTAGGATGCCAAAACGGACGTTACGACGGGCGCGTCGAAATCGACGGCATTTGGGCTACTACCTAGGTTAGTAGTCGCGGCTGGCCGGCCTCCGGTCAACCACGCAATGGCTAGGCGGCAGCCGGTGACTTCTGCTGGCCACTAAGATTTATTGACCGCGTCCATGCCGTCGTTACGTCCGTTTTGGCATCCTACTGTATATGTAGTTATGGGTTTACGGGTTTCCCTGGACATTAGGTCCTAAATTGCGCGCTGCGCTCCCGATAGCTAGTTCTTCTTCATCGAAACATCCCTCCCTCCCACCGTAGCTTTCAGTCATAGCACTCGATAGCTCAAAAGAGATAAAGGAACGGGAAGCTAGGGTATCTGTTATTTATTCACTCGAGAAGAAAAATAGAGAAGCTTACTAAGCAACCTCCTCCTCGTCCATAGACTCTAGAGGACTACGTTCCTCGTCCAGAGCACAAAGTCGAACCGTCATCACGAACGCGCTGTCGATTTCAAGTCCGGGTCGGACTCCGGACTGACCGCAGATGCTGCTCGCACTCTGGTGTGGGTCCAAACCGCATAGTGAAAAGGCATAACCTTATTTTACATCCCGTGAGTTGGTTACGTCAGGAAGGCCAGGTTTTAATCGCGGTAGTTCCAGTGGCCGATGTATTTGCGCTTGTACTTCATAAGAGTAGTTGCTTCCAAGGACTGCAAGGACTCGTCATAAACGGAACTACCCTAGTTCGTAAACACTCACCAACTCCAAGTGGGCGCGTTTTGCATGCTTTGTCAGGTCGTAACGCTCGCTAACGTGCTCTTTAAAGGTCTCCCAAATTCGGATTCTCTTGCGTCGTTGGGAACTGCTGTCTCGAGTAGGCTCCATCCGGTCAATCCAGATCCGAAGCATCGCGCGCGCCACGTCTCGCACACTCTCATCTTTGCCCAAGAGATCATCACTTTGCTTGCGCACGACTCGAAGCGGAGAGCTGAAAAAGCTCAACATGGCCTCAAAGGGACCGCTGAGCCCATCTACGCTCACCTCGCTGGCGGAGCGATTCTCGCGGGAAACGCAGCATCTCGTAACCCTATACCAGGCAGCGAAAGGGGCAAAGCCAGCGAGCGATGAGAAGATTACGGACACGGATTTCTTGGCGGTCGGGAGCCAGTGGGATTTAATACAAGGGGTAGCGAGTTCGTTGCAAGATGCATTGCACGAGTCCAGGTCTTCCGCTGCGGATTCGAAATCAGACCCAACGGTGGCAATCCCGCAACAGGTGGCGAAAGTCGATTCTGTGATCCGCAAAGTCATAAAGGCGACACCAAGTGACAGGAGTAAAACCATCGAAAGCTCAGAGTACGATTTCATGAAGGAGGTACTGGCACTACTAAGTACGACGAAGACGGTTGTCCGCTCCGAAACCGCGGCAGCATTATCCCGGCATGGCTCGGATCAGCAATTGGCACGGACTGGGGGTCTTAGCAAGTCAACAGCTACCATGAACGCTTCCGCATCTGACCTCGCGGACGCTCAACGGGCTGCATCAGCCGAAGACGTTGCGTCCAATCCCGGCTCTAAAACCGGCTCAGTGACATCCCTCCATCGGCTCTCGGCATTCGGTGGCTCAGCGGCGAACGTTGGTGCTCCGCCGCCTCCTCCACTGGCCACCAAGCCTCAGCGCTCATCGCGTGGGGAGGTCACCAGGAAGTCTGCTGGAGATCTATCTGCAATACGTGAAATCCCCCCGAAGAACGATAGAGGGAATACCTCAACATCACAAAGCTCCGAGAAAATGGAGGAGACAGCATCAGTTCCAAGTAGATTGGAGGATTCAAAGTCGCAGGAGCTTCAGAAAGGTGTGGAGAAACCCATCTCGAGCCTCGAGGCGGTTCCTAAAGTGCATCAGGAACGACCACGACCGCAAGAGCAGCCTAGTGCGTCTGGAAAACCGTCAAGCGGAGACGATCGTTTAGCGGCACTCAAAGCAAAGAAGAAAGCCAACCGCCAATCGTTGATGCACACGCCATCCGTTCAGAACACTGCAAAATTTTTCGAGCACAAAATTGTCGAGGTATCAGAGTCGGCAAATGCTCTGAAGAAGCGCCCTGAGACGGAACGTGTGGCTACACCGACCACTCGGCCTGCGGCTGAACATGTCCTACAGCCGAAAATTAGCAAAATAGTGAGCGAGCTGGGAACGCAACTGCCGAGCCCCGGAGCGTCGAGCGCCGGAAAGGGCCGCTCTACACCCGAGGACGCATCTCGTCGCAATATTCCTGCGCCTCGCGGTGTAGTTGACTTGCGACCGACAAATAAAGTATCTCAGGCCCGCACGCAATTTCAAAAGGGGAATGATGACATTGCTTCCAAACGTACGGACAGTTCGCGTAGCGGAGCGGACAATCTGAAGACGGCTCAAACTCCCCCGGAAGGAACCAGCAATGCGCAGACCAAATTTACGTCGACGTCGAATGTGGCACAACACGAAGCGCCTCGAGAGAAAGAGACACAAGCAGCACATGCGTCCGCCTACTCCCCGTCAGCCGATACACCACGTACTGCTGTTGATCCCGAGGCCCGTTCACCGGAAAGCAAATCGCATGACAAGGCGAATGTCGGAAGTGCAGCGGAGGATTTGCTGTCGAAAATCAAGGAGAGCTTCCGTACTGGATATCAGGATGCTGTTCAGCAGGGAATACAGGAACCTGTGACGGTAATGCGGGTGGCGACCGAGAATAGGCCAAGCGGGATCACAGATGGGCGTGATCAGGGTGAAAGCTTCCAAAAGGATACGTCGCTGTTCATCAAAACACATCAGCAGTCTCAATCCTTTGAAGAGAAGACGGCGGTCGAGCAGACACGCTCGCCGCTATCGCCTCTGGCGCCAAAGCATGTAGAGCCTGTGGAAGCTCAGGAGGAGCAGCAAAATGAAGCCATACCTCAAATTAAACAGAGGAGCCAGCGTCAGTCGAAAGTGGTGGATGAGCCACCAATCGCCACGGACGTCGCCGAAAGTGAGAGTGCTTTGCCGAAAAGCAAACGTCAGTCTGCACTTGCGAGACAATCATTGGCACCATCAATCAGCGAGCAGGCTCCAGCAGTCCAGGATGCATCATATGCCAGGAGCCAACGTCAATCAGCTGCCATAGACGAAACTTTCTCCGTAGGCGGGGTTTCTGATGCTGATTTGTCTAAGCATAAGCGTCTTTCCCGATTGGAGGAGAAGCCTGCTGCATCAGTAGTCAGTCGGAGCGCTTCAGGAGACATGCACTCGCAGTCCACTCGAAGTCAAAGTCAATCACGAATAGCGGAAGGGCCACTCGTGTTTACTGATAATACGGTTTCTGACGCTCTTCGGCCAATCAGTGGAAATGAGATTGCATCCACCGAAAGGTTCATATTACCCATCACCGAAGACGAGACCGACGATACGAAGGCGTACCTCACAGAGAGTTCCGATGAATTGGGCAGAATTGCCGGAATCTCCGAAGAATGTCTGCGAGGTGATGCAGACCAAGCTCAGGGCAAAGATGACAGCGGAGCGAGTGTAATGGCCTCGCGAAGAGCGTCGAATGTACCACCGCGTTCTCGTCCTGTATCTATCGTAATACCGCAGGAGATTCAGAAGCAGCATGAGAATTGGCAGAAGCGATTCTCAGCGGCCATTGATGAAGATGATAACGACGATGAAGATATTAAGTCCGAGTTTGATCTTGGACAATATGGGTCGCCTTACTCGCAGCTGCATCCTGACGAAGGGGCGGCGGTTGCTGCATATGATTCGCCATTCGAAGCCACCATTCCGACCGACGATGAGCCGCATGGAAACGAGCCTGATGCCCTCAAGCAAACTGGTTCTGAATCCGACGACGCTTCTTACAGCCAGGCGTTCAATGCTTCACGGAACCTTGAAGAAGACGACCGATTCGGCGCCCAGTCAGGTCCTTCCCAGGTATCACAGAGCCTGAAGATGATGCCGCCCAATCAAAGAAAACGGTTCACTGCCGAGTCAACCGAGTCAGACGGATCACCAACCACTTCAGCATTGAACAATCTGATCAGCGCCTACGGGGATGATTCACGGTGGTCCCAAGATAGCAGCAAGCCGGTGCCAAGGCTTAGTGAAGCCTCGCACTCATACTCGCCTTCGCATGGCACCGTCCTAGAAGGGCAGGAAGGAGCAGAGGAGTTCGGCTCGCAGCGTTTCTCACGTCTTGGCACCCCAGCCCCACGTCAACACATGGCAGTCGTGCAACCCTCTGAAAGTGCATCGGACACCGGGCGCATATCGATAGCGTTGAACGATACAGATGAAGGCCGGGCCTCGAACGCATCTAAAACCAACAAAAAGACCGGAATGACTAAAGGCAATTCATTTGTTGCCAGCACAGCCACTCTAGGTGACGCTGAAGAGGAACTTGAGAGCAGCGAGAGCGCTGGACCCAAAAAGGGAATTCTGGAAGCGATCTCTGGGGCGTTAGGATTCAGCAGCTCAGCGGCCAGCCCCGAGCACCATGATGGAAAGGAAATCGCTGAACAGGACATCACATCACCTACTGGAATCCTTTCTAGCAGCGCTAACTCCTCTCGAGCTGCATCCCAAGGTGATCTTAAACATCACAAGGCACCACAGACGACGGAAAGCCCAAACATCGAGGAACCTTTACCGGAAATCGAGCCGCGAGAAGAAGTGGAACAAGCCGCCGGTGCAGGGAACTCGCATGTCACCAAACAGCATGGAGGTCAAGCCACGACAGATTCACCACGCGCATTGGCTTCGGTCTCCGAAACGTCTCAAGCAATAACACGCTCCACGGAAATCCCAAAACCGAGCCTGAAAATCACCCTACATCCACTCTCCAGCTCCTCCTATCCGTTCACGTTGGATTTGTCCAAAGGCTCATATCGTCTCGGGCGCGGCGTCCCGCGGGAGGGGTTCAAAGCATTCTCGTCTCAAGTGGTATCCCGGAACCATTGTGATTTCATCGCTCGGGACGGGCGGATCTTTGTGCAAGATTGCGGGAGTAATAGTGGGACGTTCGTGAACGGCGTGCGTCTGAGCTCCGTTAGTCAGAAGAGCGAGGAGAAGGAGGTTTATGAAGGGGATATCGTGCAGCTGGGGAAGGACTATGAAGGATCGGCTTCTGCTACCATCGCCGAATGTGAGTTGCTTACGGGATACTTGATTATGGATGCAGCAATTTGTTATTTCGCATGACTATCGCTAACCAATGTCCTTAGCTCGAAGGAGGGCTGTCAAGCTACGAGTGCATATAGGGTCACCAGACCTTTCTGCCAGCACGGAGTTCCCGAGGTAGGCGTTTCATAAGAGTGCAGCCATCCTGGGCCTCATCTGATGCTCGCGGATTCCCCGTCCAGTCACTCGAGACAAGAGAGCCAAGCCGCTCAACATGAGCGCAAGTAAGTTCTTTCTGGCCTTTGCCGGCATTTGAAAGAGGACACTAACATCGTAAGCAGTGAGTCCACGGCCACGGCATTCAACGAAAAGGGCGATCAAGGGTATCGTATTCCAGACAAATCTCATCTTCTCGGTTTGAGCATCCAATCTGATTGAGCTGTCTGAATTTCCGGTCTTCACAGGCCATCGCAGGTGGAAAGGATCAATACCGGACAGAAGCCGTCAGATAGGAGGTTTGTTGGTTTCTTTCGCTCAACCGTCAGCATCCTGCCTGTCCCATATTCAACACGTTGACTCTTTCGAATATCCAGCAGTGCCGCCATATCCGTCCCTCCCGCGCTGAACATTCAAGTTCGGCCCCCGAGCATCAAAGTGAACACCAACCTCGAAAAAGCGCAGGGTCCGCAGACATCCGCCGATCCATCTCCGCGAACAGCGTACGTCCGCGACGAAACCACAGACGGCAGCGGACCCGCGTTTTTAGCGCCAGGCAACACCGCCGCGCCACCCGTACCCGCCCTGCCGGCCGCTCTCCAACAAGCCACCAAGCCCCGCTCCGCCAATGACGTAGGCGACCTTGGCGGCGACTGGACGTCGAAGGATAATTTAAATACGCAGATCACATCGCATACGACGTCACTGACTGGACAGGAAGAGCATCCCGCAGAGGGCAGGGATACCGCTTCCACCGAGCTTTTGTCGCCATCGCAGGTGTTCTTTGAGAGCGTGCGGGAATCAACGACCAAGTTGGCCCCGCTGCCGGCGCTCCCGCGGAGTCGATACTCGCTGGTCGTGACGGGGACGAAGGATAAGCCGCGCAAGATTCAGGTCTTGAAGGCGGACGGGACTGACGCCGTCAATGTTGGGATCAAGCTGTGGGAGGCCAAACGGTACCATGTCCCATCCTCATATTTCGCATATAAGAGCAACCTATCTGACATGTTATACATCCCTCACACAGCGTGATAATGATACAAGACCGACGCATCTCCTACGTCGCCCAGAACCCCGGCTTCGAGATCTTCCCCGACCCAAAACACACCAGCTCGTCACCAGACACACCCACGCCCTACATCGTCACGACCGCGACTGGAGCATCGCTGGGCCGTCTCATACGGCTGAGCAACATGAAGGTGTACGTCGAATCCGCGCCGCTGCTACCCTCGCTGCAGTCCTTTTACAAACTCGGCCAGGCGCCCAATGCTACGTCGCTGCCAAGTCTTAACGATCAACCGGGGGCACCGGGATCTGCCGTGGACACGACGTCCTCGTACCCCGGCCCGACCTTCACGCTCGCGGGCGACCTGAAAGAGAACAAATTCATTATGGTGATGCGGCGACCCAATTCGCGCGAGCAGAAAGTGGTCGGGGAGGCCTCGGGGAGGCAGACGCAACGAAGGAATATGCTGGAGAATAGGTTCGTGACGTTGGTGGAGATCGAGGATGGGAGGTACGGACAGCTGCTGATGGCTGCACTGGTGTTTGTGGTGTTGACGACGGGGACGTCCGCAGGGGCTGGTGCATAAAGGGGCGTTCTGACATCCTTTTCATTGTGGGGCACTTTCATTTGTTCATTTGGACGCTGAGCGTAAACTAAACCGTCAGGCATCCTTTTATGTGTAATAGAATTTTTTGCAAATGTTGATGATCTGATAACCGAAAGAGCTACTCTTAGAATATCCTCACCCTTTCTCCCAGAAGAACCTTCAAACGCTCATGATTTACATTAGAGAAGTGACTTGAAACTATATGCCAAAACGCCAACTAGCGGATCCCTTGGCCCGTCTCACGCCTCATTCTGATCCCCCATGTACAGCGTCCTCCGCCTATCATCCGGCAATCCCTCATCGTCAGCAACCACAGATCCTTCCGTCCTTGCCGTCCCTGCAGATCCAGTGCCAGCACCAACCGAGGCCTCATCCGTCGCGTAAAACCGCATCAAAGTCTCATACCCCTCAAATCCGCCCGTCCCAAAAGTCGGCGAGAAACTTCCCACCGCGGGTGACCCGGACTGTCCGGAATCCCGTTTCCGTTCCTGTCCCGAACCGGTGGTGATGGTCGTAGGTAAGGTCGTGGGTGAAACAGGAGCCAGCGACGCACCCAGCGATCGGATCGGCGACGACGGCGCCCTTGGGAAGGGCGATGTATGCCGCTGTGGAACAGGGTGTGGATTGTTGGTGTACTCCGTCGCAGGCGAGCTCGCGGTAACCAACAAAGCAGGCTTAGCCGCCCCTCGCTGCAATAAAATCTCCGCCGGGATGTACTCCTCATTCGGCGGTCTCCTAGGGTTGCCCTCATTCAAATCCTCGTCATACCCAGGCGAATTGCTCGCCAAACTATCCGTGCGGTCGGGCGGAAGGGGCCATGGCTGTATGATATCCAAGGCGAGCATGGCCGTCGGGCTCGTCACCGAACTGGAGGCGTCCGAGTCCTGCTCATCTTTCCCGAACTCCGGATTGATCGTATCCGTCACCTGGGATGAGGGGTCGATTTGGAGCGCGGAGAGGGTGGCTTTGAGGTGTTCTTGGTGGCGAGATTGCTGTTGGAGCATGCGCTGGACGACGGGGTTGAGCGGGGAGGAGGGGTTGTTGGGTGTTGGTGGAGCGGGGCCTAGTGGGGATGCTTGCGATTGGGAGGAGGAGAACGTCGAGTTTGCTTGGGATGCGGTGGATGGGGAGGGGATGGAGGAGAGGGCAGATCCCGGGCGTGCGATGCTGGCGGCTTGTATCTGCGGATTGTACTCGGGTTGTGTGAATTCGCGCATAGACGCAATACTCGGGCGTTGCGAAACCGAGTTCGAGCTGTAATACGCAGAAGACAGTGATGGCGTCGACGCACGCATCGGGATGGTCTGGCGAGTATCCCCGTCCCGACTTCCGATCGTGTCCCGACTGCTGGTGCTACGCAGTGATTGCGGAAGGGTCAAAGGCGTGATCGGTACGGGCAGGCCGGGTGGTAAGTTATCCCCGTAGAAGTCACGGTGGGCGCGTTGGTAAGCCATCCGGACCATGGGATTCAACCGTTCGATGATCCTGTTACCAATCTGTGCAATGAAGATCAGCAAGTGCCCCAAGAGCACCCAAAAGCCGTAGTGGAACGCACCTTGTGACTCCCAATCCTCCTCAACAGTCTCACACAAGCGCGTCTAACCTCCCACCGCCAAAAGAACAATCCCGTCGCAATCGGGAAAAGGCCGCCCTGTCGTTCCGGCAAGAGCCCCAACAGCTCCGTAATCATCCCGTCGGTCGCACAACAGAGCACATCTTGCAGGGTCAAAAACATTTTGACGACGGACGGGTCGTAGCCGTCGTAACCCGTGCGGAGAAAGGTGACGATGTGTCGCATGTCGATGGACGTGATGGCCCGGCGTTTGAGGTGGATTGCGTATTCCTGGGCACAAATCAAAGCTCATGGGCCTCCGTTCAGGAAGCCTCCGTTCCCACCCTCAAATGAGAAAAGAAAAACCACTCACCCTCCTATAATTCGCAAAGCTCCTCGTCCTCATCCACGCGCCAATCCGATTGATCAGCATTCCCAGCTCCTTTTTCTTCGCGGCGGGAGACGCAAAATAGGTGCCAAATCCCATCTCCGGGTAGGTGACGTGTTGCGGTTGGATGGAGATGGCGGACTGGCGGTCGCCGTTGTGGTCGCGGTCGTAAACGGAGGCGACTTCGGTGAAGCGGAGAACGTAGTCGAAGAACTTCTGGCGAAGGGTGAATTCGCTCGCGTGGGATTGGGCGAGGGTTAGTGCCTGGCAGGATGAACAAAATGGGTTCGAGATGTGTTAGACTGTCTCCCCCAATAGGGCTCTTGAATATGACAAAGGATGACGAACGCATCTTTAACCGTCGACTTACTTCCAGAGCCAGCTCATTCTCCCCCTCCCAGCGCATCGACCTATTCCACTCCTTCTCCCTTTCTTTCGTACTTCCACCCGCATAGTCATTATCCCGACTCCCAACGCTGGCAATGAGATGCGGACTGACAGTAATCTTGCCCGTGTTGACATTGCACAGGACGTCCCACCATGTTTGCTGCTCTTCGAAGACCGGGTTCGTGACGCCTGCGATATAATCCTGGCTGCGTTCCTTTCAGTCAGAAAGGGTCGAGCAGTGCCAATGTCTAGTAGGTGGCCACACTTACGTCGCCAACAGAGTGTCCAACCCGGCAAGACTAACATACGGATAACACCGCTGCGTCAGCCCCGTGATCACTCCCCCGCCACCGACCAGCGCACACGCAGCAAGCACATAATTCGCCACCTCCCCACTCGGCTTCTTATCGCCCAGAAACAGCACCCGTTTCCCGGCCAGGATTGCGTTCATGATCAGCATGATCGGGTGTGTCTGCGCGCCGTAGTCGATGTCGGGGTGCCAGCTGTATTGAATTCCGGCTTTCCAATGCTCTTTGGAATTGGGTTCTTTGCCTGGGCCCGATGCGGGAGGGTAGATGGTGGCGGTGCCGAAGCGCATGAGGAGGGTGGCGAGGCTGGGCTAGGGAAACGAGTGGAATGTCAGATGGGGAAGGCCGGTGGAGGTTATTCAGGTTGGGGCATACTCACATCCCCGAACTCCTCGCGATACATAACCAACGGGATCCGTAACGGTACACGTATCCCCGAGTATTGCACCGCGGTTTCAAAGAACTGCCGGTCCTTATTGGTAGGTTTATGCGTGGCCTCTGACTGTATTGATGCCGCCTCCACATTGATCGCAGTCAGATCCGACGCCCTGCCATCCTTAGTGTCCCTAAGGGCAGACGCTGCGGCGGCCTTCTGTTCATCCTCTAGGAGCTTATCATCCAGAATCTTATGGTCTTCCGTCCCGCGGAAGATCTTCTTTTCGCTCATGGACAGGCGTGGTATTCGAGAAATGTCGAGGCTGTTGAGGGAGTAGAACAGGTCTTCGAGGATGCTGACGCCCGGGTCTTCGAAAAATTTCTCTAATGCGAGGATAAGCAGAGGCTGAATGTCACCTTTATGTGAGACATGTGGTGGGGATGGAGACGGGTGGGGACACCCAGCGCACTCTTGTAAAGTACCTTGAATACATGCACCCACTGGGGAGATGACTTTGATCAACGAAGATATTATGGAAGCAGGCATACATCGGTAGAAGGCTTACCTGGTACCGAGATGCAATTGCCATTGCCTTCACGCGAGCACCGCGCCGGACGGTTGAAATATGTTTTGTCCTCACAAGATTTAGCACATACAACAATGGTCGTTCCATCTCATTCAACGGCGGCGGTTGCGGTGGTCTTTCTACACGGCCCTTCAGCAATCAGGAATCTTGTGCGTGCACATTGCCTCCGTTCTCGCAGATCACACAAACCTGCTCGACCGTTCCAGACGGCTCCACAAGCGTCGATCAACTCCACAAAGTAGTGTTCATCATCATCATTGTCGAATCGCAGGGCGCAGACCCCCAAATCTCCGTACAGATACAGACACAACGGTGCTACCCGGCAATACTCGGCCTCCCTCAAGTCACTGAAAACAAACAGTGATTCGGCTTAGTGTACGAGGTGACACATGGAAACGATTGCCACAATGAAACAAATATCCTGCTCGCGAGCGAAGGGATATTGGGCGATGCCGCTATCCCACTGCTCGCTTCGCTCGCGAGAAGGATGTTGGTGTGATGCATTTTCCTCAAGCATTTTTTCGCCAGCTTTCGCAACGGACTAGCTAACGCTCGCCCTCGCTTTGCTCGATCATACTTACATCTCAAAAGTCTCCGGGCACAACTGGGTCCAGATATTACAGTACCCGGCCTCAAGGTGCAATGCGACTTTCTGTCCTCTGCCGACATCAACCCAGCCCCTCTGGGATCCCTCGTAGATGTATGCAGACACGGATGCGACCACGGATGAGGTAGGTCTGGCCTTAGCAAACTCCTCATAGACGACCCCGGCCGTCTCTCTGGCCTGGAGGTTGGAAGTCGTGGGATTGTGAGCCCTAAGCATATTTCCGATGATGAATTGTGGAGCACAACGATAGATCCTGTCTTCCCACCTGCCCCGCTTCCTTCTGATTCAGCAGAAACATCGTCCAGTCTTCGTCCCGCAAGTGTGCACCGTCGGGAAGCATAAGTTCGGCGAGGACACTACATACATAACGTAAGTTAGGAATGACCTATGTCCTTACGCCACAAAAGGTAGCATATGGCCAGGTATGGCTACTCACTGTGGGTCAACGCCGGTGTCTATCGGGTATTGGTGGGTCAATGACGACCCCCGGTCAATGTCAAACTCTGCGACGAGAATGGAGTCCACCGCCGAAAACAACGTTGCGGACATATTGAACTTGCGCCGTATTATCGAAGCTGGGGTGGCCGACCGGAGGCTCGGAGTTGTGCTGCGAGCTTAGCCCACTCTGTCGTAGGTATCTGCAATATATGTGCTGTTATGTGCAGAATGGGATTCAGGCGCAAGGAAGAGCCCTATGGAAATCTTGTTTCCTTCGCAATGAATTCTGGTTTTGTGCCCTACATGTATTTCAGCCCATCTCTCCCCAAGCAGCACATCACAAGCGGTTACAGGTTCAACAGTGCATAGTAGGTTTACATAAACCAACCAACATCTCGCTTGACGGAGGACGTTTCTGTTGGAAGGACCGAACTCACTGGTATCCCCAAGGCCCTATATGACACCCAACATTGCAAACACTACTGCACATCACATCCACCTGCGCAGCCCTACATATACACGCCAAAGTCGCCGCGGCTACCCATCTATACTCTACAGTTCGGATACGCCTAGGGTATTACGTTCTCAAGTCTCGAGGTCTGAATGGCAGGGTTCGTCCAGTGTTCGGTCGAGCAAGTCGAACAGGTCTTGTGACTCCTCAGTTCCAGCAAGGGAAAGCGAGCCAGTGTCCTACCCGAGCGAGCTTCACGTTTGCGAGGATGGCAGGCCCAGGATGTTGAAAGAGTGGGGTGCTGGACACGTGCGAGCCCGCGATTGCTATGGCGACCGCAACGAGCGACGGAGTTCAGTATGATGATGGATTTGTGGCGAGTTGAAAAAGCTATGAGCGTACCCAAGGGACATGCTGTGTTCCTTAGGGAGCTTCATATGTTGCCGAAGTTCGTTTGTCCCCTCGAAGTCTTACAAATCCCCGCTAATCGCCCCGTCCGGCTTCCAAGTACTGGCGGTGCAGGCAAATGCTTGCCCTTCCTCCTCATTCTTTGTCGTTCTTTCATGCATGTTCATTTCCGCGAGGAACTTCGATAGGGTGATGTGCGTCTCCTTCACTTCAGGTCCATCGCTCTGAAGTGGAAGACCTCTCGTCGGGTTGTCAACTGTGTTGGTGCGCTGAGTTGCATGTGTCTTCGGGCTGCTATTTCAGATCATGCAGCCGCGATTGCCAGTGAATGCCGAAGCATGCTTCTCGAAAATGAGGGCCAGCGATGCACAGCATGTCTTCGTCAATGTCCGTCAATGTCAATGAACTTTTCACGAGGTAAAAGTCTCTTCTCATCGCAAAACACCTGAAGTCGTTGGAGTCCTGCCGCATCCTTGTACGCGGGCAGGAAGCGCAGGCACGCCTGCCATTAAGCTTGTTGTAAGCCTTCAATGGTGGTTGCGGCGACAGCAACGTTCACCTCATGATTGTACTCCTGGAAGTATAGCAATGATCCCGTCCAACGGTTTATATCTGTCATCCAAGCATGTCATCTGCATGAACCTTGCAGATTTCCTAATCAATTGAAAGACTGTCCCGTTGCCCCAACCGAACGAGCAGTACACCTTTACACCTCAGCTCCACTCGTTCCTCTTCTATATTTGTCCGCATTGTCGAGGGAGGCGTAAGCCTCAATGGTGACGATGCGACCGTAAAAAGGTCACCAACGGCTCGGAGGCAAGAACGCCAAAGGAGCAAAAAAGGGTGGGTGGGACGTCCGAAGGGTTCATACAAGCAAAGTTAGCAAACAAACCCCCACTCAAACGGGCTCGCTGCCAGCTGGCAGCGAGGAAAGCCCGTAAGAAACGAGGGCATCCGGGAAAGCACGCATGCAATCAGCATGACTCGGATTCAAAAAGTGATGTGCGACGGCGCGAAGATTTGAACATTTTGAGCACATTTGGGAGGCTCCATCTGGAATCTGACCCTGGGTTGCAACCTTGGAACCATTGGAATTCAGGGCCAAACCCCGGAACTTTCAAATTCTCGTCCTACCTGCGGGCGTTCGTCCTACTGAGCACTGGCATCATGGAAACCGTGTCGAAGGGTCAAGCCTCCGAGAGTCCGAGTATAAAAGGATTTGGAGAGTACATCGGGGCCCTCCCCCGTCTCCCCTGTTGGAGATCCGAACTATCTTCCGTCTCGCTGCCACGATGAAACGCTTCACACTCCGTCTCGCCCCTGAAGGCGTTCAGTTCTACAACCTCGACCCTGCTGCAACAGTCACCGCTACCCGCTTTGTCACTATCGCCGCTTGGGCTTGTATCTGGTTCCTCGGCGAACGTTTGAGGGTCCTCTATTCTGCTTGGCAGTTGCACGTTGATGGGAAAGTTAGGATTGGGACGCTTGCGATAATTGGCTCGTTCAAGGAGTTGCGGTATTTGGGTGGGAAGAGGACTAGGCGATGTGGATTGGTCGCGTTGCTTCTCCTAAGCGCTTATTTGATTGATTATGGAGGTGAGTGCCCAATACCCTTAATCCGGGCCCTTAGCGAGTCTCAGCGAGCGTCAGATTTTGCGAGGGAAGCGAGCACCACATTGCGCCAAATGCCCAATACTCCCCTCATCCGCCGAGCCCAACCTCCTTGTCGCGAGCGGAGGGAGCAGGGTATCGTTCAATCAACCGTCCAACCGACCTTCGCTTCGCTCATCCAATCAACCTTTGCTTCGCTCATCCAACTCATTCGCTTCGCTTACAGGCGGCTTAATCCTGGTGAACACGACAAAACAATATGATTCATGCGGCATCCACCAATTGACGACCCTGGCTAGGCCCGTTAGCATGCAAGGCGCCCAGTTCTACAACCACACCGACTACACCCGTGCCATCGAGCTCCTGTACAAATCCGCTCAGATTCCCACAGGCGACATCCCCGGCGTCGTGGTGCACGATCCGACATGGCAGTACGTCTCCAACCTATCCGCCGGCACCATCAAATGCGAAGCAACCCAGACGTCGTTCAACTACAGGGGGAATGTCTCGTTGGGCGTCCGATCATCCGCGTTCGCTTTCGAGGGATTCCCGACCCAGCCCGGCCAGACGGGGCCACCGGGGTACCAAAGTGTGCAGTACCTGTTTCCCGACGTGCCGCAACCCAGCATCCGCTACGGGATGGGTCACGGCCGGTACATGCAGCCCTGCGCCTCTGACCCACAGGCTCAGTGCGCGACCAACTTCGACCACCACTGCGTCGCCGCGTGGCCAGACACCCCAACCTCGTTCAATCTCCTACTCATCAACGTGTACAAGCAGTTCGCTGACCCGATCAACCTCGGCCGTCTGAACGGCACCGATCTCCGCGTGCCGTACACCCTCGAAGGCCTCGTCCCTGCCTCCCTCTGCAAAGTCTCCTTCACAAATCCCGACGTGGTCTCCAGATGGGGCGAGATGAACCTCCCCTACCCAGACCGCTTCACCACCTATGTGACCAACCAGCTCACCAAGGAATGGGGCATCAACGTCCGCACCGCTATTCTGACCAACACCACCCCCCAGGAACCCAAGACGAATCCAATCGACCTGATCACTCGTCTTATTTTGACAATCGGCACCGACCTCGCTGCCGACGACCAGACAACGTCGGCCTCCTTCTCGATTCCCTGCTCCGTCCTCTCGTGGGTCGGCGTTCTTACCGTCGTCTTCCCCATCATCCTCGTGCTGCTGATGACTTCTTACCTCGCATACGTGCTCATCCGTGTCGGCGTGGTCATCAGAGAACATTTGGAATTAATTCCCGTGGCGGCGTCCGAGTGGGCTGGGCTGGCGATCAAGGAGGCGACGGGGTTGGATAAGCGAGCAGGGTGTAAGGACGTGTTTGAAGAGCATTGTGAGGTTTGGTTGGAGAAGACCCGGGATGGGGTTCGGATTAGGCGGTGGGGGGACGAGGGGAGGGTGTTATTGAGAGGGGCCGAGCGGAAGCCTGCTCACGAGACGGAGGAGGTATGAAAGGGCTCGATGGCCGATGGCGGATGAGATATAAGGCGTAGTTGGGACTATGAACCCCATAGTTATCTTCCTCATCGTGCAGCGACTCCCTATCATAAATGCACTCGCGGGCGATGTCGCATTATTATACATATTTAGTACGTGACATTCTAGAGACTATACCATCAGGGATGCCCCATACAGTATTTTCATATGTGGCATCGAGTCGGCGGCGGGCGTCTATATGTCTGTCCACTAGCAACCTCGCCTCCAAACGGGAAGCTGTGTTCCCACGCGTTCTGGCTCTTTTTGCGTCTCGCCTGCCGTCGGACATCCAGACATTCCCGCACTTCCCAAACACCTGTCGCAACAACCGCCCAGCAACAATGTCCCCTCCAGTCCCCATCACGGTCTTCACAGGCTTCCTCGGTAAGCTCCCATGCGTCTCCTCCGTCTTCTCCCTTTCTTCCCCGTCTTCTCCGTCGTTCACCCTAACATTTCCATCAACAAACCTGCTTTCCCCCAGGAGCAGGCAAAACAACCCTAATCCTCCGCCTCCTCTCCTGCCTACCCCCCACCTACAACGTCGTCCTCCTGAAAAACGAGTTTGGGGACGTTAAAGTGGATAGTGAATTAGCGAGGGAGGGAGATAAGAGGGGGAATTTGAGGGTGACGGAGATGCTGAATGGCTGTATGTGTTGTGTGCTTGTGGGGCAGATGAAGAACGCTTTGGAGGAGATTAGGGGTGGGTTGACAATTGATCTATGGGAGTGGCGGAATTAGCACGACGGACAGCGAGCGCGGGTGGGTTACCGTCCCGCCAAGGTCAATACGACCCTCTTTTCTTGGAGCGTTGGATATTTGCTGCTCAACATCCCCGTCGCAAGCGGCGTGAGCAGGGTTTTGTTTGGTCGACCGCTCTATTACCACTCGATTCACCACTGTCTCGCTCACGCACGGTCTACCTCTGATTCTAATAGAGAATATGAATCCATCGCGGATCATCATCGAGACATCCGGCTCAGCCTTCCCTGCCCCGATCGCATGGCAGATCCGCGAGCTTGGCGCGGAAAACTACACACTCGACGGGATCGTCACCGTCATAGGTAAGAAACCACCCTCATCGAAGCTCTTCAACAAAGCTAGTTTCTTACCCCTCTGTTCCATTCCCAAAGACTGCGAAAACTTCCCCGGCTACGAAGACACCTCCTACACCGCGCGCCTCCAAGCGCAATACACCGACCTAATTCTCCTCAACAAGCACTCCCACATCACTCCGCGCCAACTCGACCTCGTCCTCGATCTCGTCAATGATCTCAACACCGACACGCCGAAAGTCCTTTGTGATGCCAAAAACGGGGATGTGGACCCTGATTTGGTGTTTGGGATTGATACGAAGCTGTTTGAGTTGCAGAATAGGGGACGGGATGAAGAGGTGTTGGGGGAAGTGGATGTGCGGCATATGGAGAGGGAGGTTGTTGTTATGAGTGTTTCGTTGAATGTCGGGGAGGATGCGGGACATTCGCATGCACAATCGCATGCTGTACACACGCACGACGCCTCCAACCCCTGCACATCCCCAACCTGCACCGTTCCCATCCCAACCATCTCCACCCCACCCGCCCTCACCCCCGCCCTGCTCACCACTCTCCTCTCCTCCATCCCCCCCGACGAGATCTACCGCATCAAAGGCCTCATCCTCCTCTCCCAGAAACTGCACATCCTAAACTGGGCATTCGGCCGCCTCGACGTCACTCCCGTGACGAACAGCGATATTCTGGATGAGAATAAGGATGTGGCTGTGCGGTTAACGGTGATGGGGTGTAGGGGCGGGGAGGTGGGGAGGTGGGTGGAAAGGATTAGGGAGGGGTTGGGTGTGCCGGAGACGGTGGTGGGGGTGGGAAGCGTTTAGATGGGAGCTCAAGGAGTGACTGTGGGATAGATTCATGTAGATTGTAGAAAGATCAGACTTGGTAGCATGCGTTTAGACTCATTTCTTCTTCATTTATTTTCGGATGATGAGAGCCTCTATCCTTTCCGTCCACCAACGTCTCTCAAGCCCTGGATCTGGACTCTCAACGGCTTTCATACCATTCCTGGGTATACGTGTAAACGTCAGAGGAAGTCCTTGTGAGGAAGGAAAAGCGAAGTCGTTCGCAGCAGCCGAGGGTTTGAGAGCGTCTGTCGAACATTGGCTGCGCACAGGACGCGCTTCCGGACGTTGCACAGGGCCGCAGAACGCGTCAAGTCGTCGCTTTCGTTTCCCTCGATTCTCTCTCGCGTCAAGGGGCAAGAAAGAAGCTTTTCCCTCCCAACCAAACAGCCCCTGTGCTAAGAGAATGCATTCTTTTGTTCCAAATTCCGCCTGCATGCCATCGCATAGGGACGCGCGCGCGTCGGTCGGTCGGTCGGGGCTTTGGCGTTTTTCTTGGCTTGGCCTTTTGTGGTGTGCTCCGAGCTGGTATTCCGGGCGGGATATCTGGGCTTGCATTTTGGGATATCTTTCTCTTTCACTTTATACGCCACTTTTTTGAAGTTTCGGCCCGCGCTTTTACGGGCTTGGACGCCGAATATTAGTGACGTATACCTGTTGGAGCAACGTAGAAAGTGCGTTTTCTACGCGTGAGCTTTGGATCTACGCAGCCGCGACAGCTTTTCGTTCGACTTCCAGCTTGAGAACGTAAAGCAAGACCGCTGTCCGAATAGCTACGACGGACCGTCCTCCGTTTTCTCACTCCGCATCGCACTGCAAAGAGGTCTCAATCGAACCGCTCCCGGACCGAGGAACCCCAATGAATCGCATCATCCAGATCCATATCATCTGCACATTTTCAAACATACCTCAGAAGAAGGGAACACCGTACATCCCTAAACCCTAATCACACCCTCAAATGACCCAGACCGTCCGCCTTCGTCGCAAACCCTTGATCCAGCTCGTCCAACGCCAGGCGCACGACGTAATATTACATCTCATATCTCCAACTCCAACTCCAACGCCGAACGCACCAGGTCCACGCGCCGCTCCCATCGCCATCCCATCCATGTCAACACCAAGCCCAACCCCACCGACACCAGCCCAATGCACATCCCGATGCGTGATCACCGCCATCCGGAGCGTGCGTGATCGGATTCGAAGGCGGCTGGACCGCGAGGAGGGCGAGGCGGCGACACCGGGCGTCACACCGACGCCGGCGGATCAGACCGCACATGTGGAGGACACGGCCGTGTGCGCGCACCCCCTTGGTGAGGGGTTGTTTGAGCAGTGTCTTGTTGGGACGGAGGGATGTTTTGGGGTTTTGCAGGATATGGCTGGGGGTCAGAGGGTGAGTGGTGGAGATCATTGGGCCTTTACACTTGTCAGTTTTTACGACTAACGGATCTTCTTTGATGATGAATAGCAGGCCTTTGCGAATTTGTGTCCGGGCCTGATCCGGTCCGTGCCTGACCCGGACGAGCCTACGCCTACGCCAACATCTACACCTACGCCGACATCAAGCGCATCCGCCACTCTTTCGTCATTCTCTTCAACGACGACGACGAGCACGACGCTGGTATCGCTTTCGTCGACCTCATCAACATCTATCGTACCCACCTCTGCGAACGGGAATACGACGGTATCGACGCCCGTATCGAGCAACACATCAGCATTTGTTTCGAGTTCGGCGTCGCCGTCTATAACGGTTACTCTTACTCCGATATCGCAACCTACCACGCCGGGTCCGGCGCCTCCCAACGGACACGACCACGACGGCCACGATAACAGTTCCCACTCTTCATCCTCATCTCACAGCTCCTCACATATAAGCATCATCACATCCTCCCAATCCACCGCCCCATCGCCCGCCACATCATCTCCCATCTCACCGCCCTCCTCCGCATCGACCACAACCTCCGACCCCACCTCAGATTCCTCCTCCGCTTCGAGATCCGACCTCTCAACCCATACCCACGTCGCAGCAATAACCGGCGCAGGCCTCGGGACCGCCCTCCTCATCATCCTCCTCGTCCTGCTGGGGGTATGCTGTCGACGGCGCGCGATGAAGGCGCGCAGGAGCGTGTACGTGCATGGCGTGGGGGTTTATGATGCGGGTGTGGGGGAGGATTGGTGGGGGGCGGATAAGAAAAAGGAGGGTGTGCTCGTGGAACCGTTAGTGGATGTGGGGAAGGATGGTGATGGGGCTGGTGGGATGTCTCCACCTGCAGCTGTGAATGTGGCGACTCCCATGCTCTCTACGGAACCGCCACAGGCACGGGCAGCAACGCCCAAACGCCCACAGAAAGCAGCAGCGCGGACCAACACCGCTTTACAGATGTGGCTGGCCCACGGAACTGTGGGTGTCACCGACCCCGACAACAACTCTCCTAACAATTCCAACGTCAGCAGCCCTCCACCACCAACGACTCGGCCCACAGACAGCTGGCGCGACTCCGCAGCCCTCCCTTCCACCTCCGTCTACCCAGACCTCGCACACCCCGCGTATCCACCCACACCCATCCCCTCCGTCGTCCCCTTAACACCGACCCTCACATCCTCATACACGGACGCACCCTCTCCCCTACACACCCAACCCACACGACTCCCCGGCTGGGACACGACCAACCGCAGCTACACCTCAAGCCACTGGTCGGAAATCTCGTTGTCGGCGGGGCAGGACGTGCTTGTGTGGGCCGTGTTGAGTGACGGTTGGTGTGTCGGCGCGGCGCCCACTCACAGCGGAACCTCACCACCCAACACAGCGGGCCTCTTCCCAACCTCCCACCTCTCCACCCCGTACGCGTTCGCATCACGGGGCAGGGAGGTGTATCTCAATACGACCCGCGCGGCGTTTCTGAGCGGGCCGGGTGTTATGGCTGGGTTGAACTGTGCTGCTCCGGGGACAGAGGCTGCGAAACGAGACTTTTTCCTGCGCGCGCTGGCGAGTGGGTTGGTGAAGACCTCTGAACGCGGAGTGTGGATCGAGGCGTTGGAGATGTGTTCCAGGTCTACGGGTTTGCGGGATGGTGATGGGGTGGGGAAGACATTATCCCCCCCGCTACGGAGCGCAAAACGGAACCCGTTTCATATTCCCTTCGCTGCTCCTCCCACCAGTAACACGACGACGACAATGACATCGAAATCGGCCTACCCGCCACCCTCGGCAACCAACCCCCACGTACACCCACCCGGCGCCGGCGCAGGCCCCTTTCGCTCCGGCCTCGCATCCAACCGTTCGACGGGCAGTACCGCCACGGGCACAAACACGAGTGACAGCAACCGGACGTCGCATTCCGCGTTGTATCGCCCGAGTGGAGGTGGGGCAGGGATGGTGGGCACGGGCGGCAAGACGATCGGGCAAAAGATCATGCACCGGATCCGGGCGAGTGCGGAGACGCCGAGGGGGAGTTTTAGTATTCCGAAGGATCAGTGGTGATTTTTGGTTTTATCCGATTGTGGCAATATTTGTGATGAGTATTTTGGATTGTAATGACGGTTCATGTGTGTGCGGCGAGGCGCACGAAGGGTGCATATGGGTTGTGAAGGACACTGTACAGTACATTTCTTTGTGTTTGATAGATAGAGACGGCCGGGTTTCAATGTGATGGGTTTGTACAATATGCGTTTATATGACATGTGAATGTAAGCAATCTTATGCAATGCTAATGTGCTAATGCTCCATGTGTGTTGTGGTATTTACATGGGAAGTCCTACAATCCGACGCACCATGAGACATTGAGATCGTCCAATGCTGCTGGTTACGTTGATGCATTGCTATTCGGCGAGGATCCGTTTCGAAGAATTCGGCAAGTGTGGGGTCTTACGATTCGCAGACCTCATGAGATGACAAATTCGTCAATCGCCCCTACTCGGGGAATCCATGCTGGCGGTGCACTCGAGATCATAGAGTGTGTGTTTGAGTGCTCGGCATACCTATGTTGATGTTCCGTGCATAGCGCACGCAGGTCGTCGTTCCCTCTGGATTGATTGATTTCGATCAGAAATGGCCGAACACTTGTGTTTTGTTTCTGGCTGGCGAGGAGGATGCAGCCCGCAGGCAGGATAATATGGGATTCAACGAAGCATTGGCCAAACCAAGTAGACATCCGGTGTACAGTAGGTGTGAAAGACGAGCGGGCAGATGTGTCCTTCCCAGTTCTCTCGTGGATCTGCTGAACGCGCCCGCTGCACTTCAAATGCACCTCAAAGCTCTCGTCTCCCTCCCCCAAGGCTCAACCAACACACAAGCACACACCCCCTCCTTCCACAATGGGCAAGTCCTCAAAGGATAAGGTATGTCTGCGTGGCTCGCCGTGACTTCCACTGACTGTCTAGGTCTAGGTCTAGGGCGGGGTCACGCCACACCGTCTTTGCTTTCTCTCTGCCCCTGTCCCTCCTCAATTTCCTTTTTCACACGCAATACTCTTCCTTTCAGCGCGATATCTACTACCGGCTGGCCAAAGAGCAGGGATGGCGGGCTCGGAGTGCGTTTAAGCTGCTGCAGATAGGTATGTGTAAAACTGCGTTAGGAGGAACGACTCTTCGTTCATGTTGCCTTTAGACCGAAATAACCCTCCTCGCCCACGGCGTCCTCTTTTGCAATTCCCAGACGAGGAGTTCAACATATTCGACGGCGTGAGGCGATGCGTTGACCTGTGCGCTGCTCCAGGGAGCTGGAGCCAGGTCTTGAGTCGGGTGCGTCTAGTCCGTTACTTTCGCATTCCCATACGGTCGGGGACTTCAGACTCACACGTTACTTGTTCGCTCCCATAGAAACTGAAAAGCGAGGATGCGAGCGACCCGGCGAAGATTGTTGCGGTGGATCTCCAAGCTATGGTATATTTTAGATTTAAGCAGTTGGCTTCTAAGATCATTGAAAGAGGGACGCTAATATGATCTCCCTCCCCAACGCTAGGCGCCACTGCCCGGCGTGATCCAGATTCAAGGTGATATTACCAAAACATCGACAGCGGTGGAAATCATCTCCCACTTCGAGGGAAAGCTGGCGGATATGGTGGTTTGTGACGGCGCACCAGATGGTATGTTCTCGAGGGGATTTGCCGGATGCTCTTTCCCGCTTGTGCAATGTGGGGCTTACAGACGAAGACTGATTGCGGAATGATGCTGACAGTGACGGGACTACATGACATGGACGAGTACATTCAAGCGCAACTTCTGTTAGCGGTGAGTAGCGAATACTTACGGAGAGCAACCGTGTTGGGCACTATGCTCGCCCGTGAAACCTGCGATTCTACTCAAACCCCAATATAACCCTGACTCGTCGACCATTCACCTCCCCACAGGCACTGAACATCACAACCCACGTCCTTCGTCCAGGCGGCACATTCATCGCCAAGATATTCCGCGGCAAAGACGTGTCCTTGCTATACGCACAGCTGAAGATATTCTTCCCCGTCGTAACATGTGCCAAACCCCGGAGCTCGCGAAACTCCAGTATTGGTATGGCGTACTCGCTGTCGGACATCGCAAACAGTGAGCGCATTGCTAACCACTTCCCACATCGAAACAGAGGCCTTCATAGTCTGTCAAAACTACACCCCACCCCTCGGCTACAACCCCACCATGCTCAACCCCCTCCTCGACTTCACCTACACCGACCCCACCACCCCATCCTCAGAACCCAACCCGCTCCCCTCGACCGCCGAACGCAACGAGCTCGAAGGGCTCAACCGTGTGATTGTGCCGTTTGTCGCGTGTGGGGATCTTAGCGGGTTTGATTCGGATATGACGTACTCGTTGCATCTTGACGAGGGACAAAGGACTATGGGGGAGGCGGCGCCAGGGGACGGAAGGGGGTATAGCGCGTTGGAACCGGTGCAGGGGCCGATTAGGCCGCCGTATCAGACTTATATTGATATGAAGAAGCGGAATGAGATTTGAGATGGGAAAGAGGTAAAGGAGGAGGGATGTGCCGCAAGCACACATTCGAGCATCCTAGATTATCTCGCCCGTGAGCGGGAGTCTTGGGAGCGGCGTATGGATTCAGGGCTGGGGTTGGAGTAGGAAGCATGTGGGGAAGTCGCACCCCGCTCTCAGGCTCGTTCGGTATGACGATATCAACAGACGGACGGCATCACATTGCATTCCACCGCCCCATGCACCAGCAGAGGCGCAACCCCGCCGGTCCTCAGCATGGTGTGCTACCCATCCGCATCTATGGAGCGTGTGCGCCCTAATACCACTACCAGAGTCGACATAATATAGTTTCAAGGCGCGAGATAGGTTCCTTGGCGTGGAAAATCCCTTATTTGTCGAATTCTTGTTCGACCTTCAATGGATTCCTTTTGGTAAACATAACATTGCCCTTAGTCAACCTAATGGCTTATCCTATGATTCCATCTCCACTCTTCCGATCGGTGGTATCTATACGGGGAAATCATGGCCGTATCTGAGAATAAATCATGGCACGCGCTGTCGAAATTCCAAATCTGCCGTCAGTCTTTTCCATTTGTTTCTCAGAACAAGTTCAACGTGCGAAGAAGTCCGAAGGGAAGCTTTATCCTCTCCTTTTCTCCTACCTCTAGCGATAATCACTGCCGCGACTCCGTGGTCGGGGCTGCTTGAGGGGGGGATTTTCCCGACCACACCTAGCCACAACCACGAGTACGCAGGAAGCACGTCGGCCTGCTCGTTTCCACGCGGAAGCCGGCGGCCGCCGGCGCGGAAGCGCCTGCTAGAGGGCGGCTGGGCACAGCTGGTCCCTAACCCAAGTAGTGACGGAAAATGCACTGCACTGCTGGGCTCTCCACCCCCTTATGGATTCAGCTCGCAGCACGCAGCCTGCTTACTGTATGTACATTATCCACAATTTAAAACCCCGGTCCTCCAGAAGAGAACCAAAAACCACAAGTACGAGTCAAACGTCATCCGTCTTCTTCAACGGCGCGCTCTTCGCCGCTTTCTGGGCCCAAGTCGAATCCACAAAACTCGGGGTTTCCACGTTTTTTGCGTCCCAGACAGTGAACCGCTGACTGGCGCTGGTCAGCGCTTCGAATCCGTTCTCGCCTAATGTCCATATTGCGCAAATCATCATTTGAGTCGGCACAACGAAATAATTTTCGGCGACTACAGTTGCAGTTCTGGTTTAGTATCATGCCAGCGGATGAAATAGTCCAGTGAACCTACCATCATAATACATCACCACCTGTTCCCATCGGCGCAAAACGTGGACGCGATTAGCATCAAAGATGCGTCAAACCAGCGCTATAGATGCGTCCAACCCACCACGATAGCCGAAATACAAGCCGACATAGACACCGCCATCAACGCATTATTCGCCATCTCCAGATGCGCCAGCTGCGACGGAGACGCAGACGGTCTAACACTGTCTTGCGCCACGCGCAGCATGTACGTGAACGTCCCCAACCCCGCCACGATGTAAATCATCGGGTTAGCGATCGCCAACCACCAGAATCCTTTGCTGACGTGAACATCTGTTCCAATGTCGTCGATACCGTATGCTAGAGCGGCGCTGCTGGACGCTACGGCCGCCACGGAAAGGGAGATTAGGACGGCTTTTCGGTGTTTTGGGGTTGCGTAGACTGCGGCGTATCTTGTTTTCGAATGTGGTTCTGTGCAGGTGGAGAAGCAGAGTTGAGTGGTCGACGGGAGGTCAACACATCCGCCCGGGACTCACCTATACGCGGCCGCCACCACAAGCAGCGCGTTCCTTATCTGAAGGACGATGACCAGGAGCCTGACGTATTCCACCTGGCGCGCCAGGACATAGCTTGGCGGATGCACTCTGTTGGACGAAACCGGCCAGGAAGTATTGAGTGGCGTGAAGACCCTTGTCAGGATTTGAATGTCCTCCTGGTACATGCCACAAAGCAACGACGTTCTTTCCCCAAATTCCCGTCCCGCAATCCAGTACTACAAAGGGCAAAAGACCACGGCATTGACATTTGAGTATGCAACGCAAAAGCGTTCCCGTCATGCAAAACTCTCAGCGCGATAACCTGAGAGGACCGCTTTTCCTTTCCGTGGGAGGGCACACACACCTGTCAGAAGGGTCGTGGCGAAGAGCATGTAAGCTCGGATATTTCCTTTGGAGAGAAGCCTCCATATGGAAATGCTGAGGGCTGAGGAGGAAAAGAAAGGGGATTTGATACGGTTTAGCTGTGTGGGGCTGTGTGGGAAAGTGATTGGAGGGTGCGGGCAAAGCTGACGTGGACAATGAAAGACCCACCGGTGACGGCAAAGACCAGACTTATACCAAACATCACCCCTGGTCCGCCGTATTGCACTACACAGGTGGATCGCTGGTCAGATGCGGATGCAACGGCGCACAAAAGGAAGGTTATATCCGAAGGGATCAATGTCCCAACCGGCTTCTAAACCACCTGCGTACGTACAGGAGGCATAATCCGCAAAATGACCCACCGTCGCCGCCATCCTCGCCTTCACGTTCGGACTATCCAAGACCGCTGTCTGCACACCTGCATCCCTCGCAATAGCCGCTTGAATGGCCGGATGGGCCGTTGCGTTGCCGAGAAACCTGTCAAGAACGGCTTGTTGAACGGTTGGATGTGCTATGCATTCGGTGATGGTACTGTTGTCCATTATTGGAGGTTTACGTCGAGGAGGAAGAATGATGTCTACCTTGGGAGTTTGGGAGTCCAATATAGGTACGGAGAAATCTGAGCGTTACCGGAATATTCTATCTTGCAGCGTGACTGACCCTAAAACCTAAAAGCGAGGTATGGCTGCAAACTAATATTGTGTTCCATTCACCCCAACGGAGGAGGGGTGGAGGGCACGGAGCCTGTGCGCCAAAAAAGCGGGTCATCCAGTGGTCCGTGGGAGTGCCTGTCGGGGCATTTGTTTGTGTAAGCCCCGATTGCTTACGTGTGCCGTCATTCTTGGCTCCTTCAGTTGTCCCCCTTCCCAAGTTCCCCAAACTGCCATCAGAAAAGAGACGCATCTCGCCTGCTGCCACAAGGTCCCCAGACATGTACAGGTTCCCGAGGGGATATAAGAGCGAAGAATTTGACCAAATGCTGACTTCATTTTTCCCATTGTATTTCCCCTTTATCGGATCATGAATTCGGACGGCGCGTGTAACCAGTTTCACCCGTCGCACGGTTGCCGGCAAACTGACATCGTCCGCACGTTGGGGATCTGTACCAGCGTCTTCAAAATTTTGGTCTAAAGCAGAGCGCACCATTGGGACATGTGAGTTGCAGTCGTAACCTGATGCGGGCAGTCACACAGTAAGTTCCGATCTGCGTACATGCATACGGCTATGCTTCATCCGCTTACAATGGGCTCGGAAACGTTTTAGACGGCAGTTCACCAGGGGCAGCGAGGGGATGCACTCTCTAGAGAATGTTTATGCGCCAGAAGGTAAATCTTAAGCCGCGCAAATACGTTTACTTGTTGATAGCTGTTTCGAAAGCAGTAGCTTCAGGAGGACTTAGGCGAGGGCGCAGGTGCACGAGTGGGAGCGCGCCTTTATGGATTGTACATGCGCACGAGAAAAAGAGGAGGCCCGTAGTAGCATTGTAACAATCCATCGGTCACATCCCCTGACTCTCAAGACATCATTTCGCCATCTATCTCCAAATTATCTTAGTACCAGAAATATTATCTCCGAAAACTGCCTTGTTATCTTCAACGCTCCCCACCCAACATGGTCCTGATATATGACCACCACGACTACTCGAACACAGCAGGCAGGTATCCGTCCCATCCAATCAACAAACCGCATCCTCGCCGCAACACCGGGGAAGGAGCAACTGCCCCCAGCTTTCCTCTGACGAACAGGGTCTCCTCCTATCCCGGTATTCTGAACATACCCGACTGTCTCTGTTCTTCCCGGCTTGAACTGCCGTGCTCATCCAAGCGTTGACCTCGGCAGATTCCGTGGTTGTATCTTTCTTTAATACTCTGACCGTGCGCCCGTCTCCATGCGAGGGTAGGCATCATAGACTACTCATTCGTGACTAATACGTCGTATCTTTCCATGCTTGCAAACTGGGATGTACAAGGCCTTCGCGGCCCGGAGAATCACGATCCGACGAGCAGAGACCCGAGTGGTATCAGCCCGAGTGCACCTGGAATGTATTGGGAGGGCTCGCTTTCTTACTTCGATTGCTTGCAATCAGTACTAGCTAGCCCGCGAAAAACCTGAGTGCGGTCACCCTCCCTGCTACGAAAGTCGATAGAATCAGCAAAAGCTGCGTGATGCAGCATGCCATAGCACCGCACTTCTAATTTTTAGCTTCCTCTTTCAAAATCTTCATCGATACTGACCCACACGGATTCCACAGCGTCCGTAGGCCAACTTGTCTGATGGCCTGAGGAATGTCTGAGGAACAATAGTAGAAATTGGGCCTTGGATCAGAAACCGCAATCCAAACTAGGAAAGAAAAGGTTCAAGGAGGTACACAAAAAGTATCCGATCAGCCCAAGAGAGTCCAGGACAACTATCTCCTAGTGAGGAGGTGGGTGCATCGTTGGTAATCAGGTTGCAGTTATTACGGCGTTGGCAGCAGCAGAACAATGAATAACAAGGGGGCCAACAAGGGCGTGTCCGGAGGCGATGTTTGCAGATGTCATTTAGGGCCTGTCCTTTATTTGTTCGTCGCTGTATACTGGAGCGCACTTTTGCCCCCACCGTAACGCTGCTGCGTACAGAGAAGCCATCCGCAAACGAACCGACATGGCAGGCCTCATCCAACTTACCTCGGCGCTCTGCTTCCCGCTCATTGTGCTCCTCCTCTAACCCCTGCGTAGGTTCTCGTGCGGCCCTGCGCCCGTAGGAACGAGACTACCCTCAGCTCACCCTCTTCCTTTCCTTTTTGCGCCGATTAGTTTGGACTGGGACAACCGTCAAAGGTCAACCTCCCGCCACGACAGAAGGCACACGATCGGCCGAGTATACTGCATACCTCAGTGCAAACTGCACATCCCCCACTGTGCTGGAATCCTGCCGGAAGAAATGCCAAGATATCAACATGCCCTTTATGGGAGTCTCCTGCACGTTCGCCCTTCCACGAACATGGCGGCCAAACACTTTCTAGGCTGTGCCCGCTGATAACTCCTACTGCGGGTGCAGAACGGATGGGACGGATTTCGGCCAATGCTGGGCCGATGCGTTCCATGGTTACAGACCCTGCGCAGAGACATGTTCTCGCCAAGGGAAAGTGGTTGGGGCATGGAGCTGCTGGGAGAACGGATTCGTTCCAACGGAGGTACTGTACGTTGAAAACCCAATTCCGCGGTATCAAATCGATGTATCGATTAACATTCCGAGCGTTGCTGCACCTTCCCATCTTACTACAGTGCCACTGTGTAGAGCCCAGTACAACACATATTCCAGGTAAGAAGCCAGCAAAAGTCGTGTTCCGGCTAAGCAACACAACAATTCTGAACGCCCATAATTGACCTAGCTAGGAACTGCACCGCCCAATACGACGCCGCTGTCGCCAGCTGCCCAGGACAAATTGTGTTTTTTACGTGCTTTCCGGCGTTACCGAAGGATGTGGAATTATATCCGCTCTCCGAATGCCAAATGTCGCCGCCTCCCTCTAACGATTCCTTTGCCCCCACTAATGTGTCGGGAAATACGACAGGTGGAGGGCCGCCGGAGACGTCCTCGGCTTCGTCCACAAATGCTGGTTGGAGGTGGATGTTGAGTTTTGCCGCAATTGCGGCGCTTGGTTTTCTAGTATAGAGATCACACAGAGGCGCTTGGTTTTCTGGTATCTATCACCAGTGTGCGACACCGAGCGGCATAGGAGCGATCCCACCTCTTTGCACCTATCGAGTGGATATTTGCTTGATTTTTTAATATGTTGGTTAAGCAGGCGGAGTCCTCATAGCAAATAGCACTGCTAACATTTATGGGATCATTTGGGAAGCACGACCTTCGCGGTTGGCCAATTGTGGAGTGTGGGAACGAGGAAATATGGCGCATCACACAAAAGGCCCTACTGTGACTTGGGAAGGGTGGATCTCAGGTTCAAGTCCATGTCAAGGTCAATGCCGCGACGCCGTCTTCGTCAGTCTGTGTCAAACTCCAGAGACGTAGGCAGCCTTGAATTTGGAAGCTAGTCTCCTGGTGGAATGGGCACTTGATGAGGGTCGGAAACTTGCAGATGGAAACTGACGGGTGCGCGCTGTCGAAATACTGCGCGCCGTGGCTTGGTTTCGGAGAATGGGAAATCCATGGAGGTGGCCTCAGGAAAGGCATTTCACAGGCTTACAGAAGTCATTGCAGCCGAACGCAAGCCCACCGTATTTGTCCGGGTGCCCACCCGTATTTTTTATCGTCAAAAGTCTCGAACGGTGAGACAGAGAGACTCTCACGAAAGCTGGCAAGAGAGCCCGAGAATCGCATACATTACGTCCGATCCCCACAACGAAGGAAGCGTTTCTGGACTCTCTCCAGCGGTAGTGAAAGGACGTCTAGGACTTCCGCACTTACAGGTTGCACCAGCAATGGGGTCAGGGGCAAGCAAGAAAGCCGGGCCAATGGCTGCGGGCGGGGACGTCACGCAAGGACATGACAATAACACCGAAAAAGGCAGCTCATCATCGCCTAGTTCCACTCATGCACACCAGCCCCAGTCGCAACACCATCACCAACAACCCCACGCCCAAACACCAGCCCATTCGCGGCACGCAACCTCAAATTCTACCTCAGCCGCATCACCCTTAGCAGGGCATCATCATCCACCACAATGGCCAGCGCCGCTAAAAACCGGCAGCGGTGCGGGCTCTCCGTCGCCGCAGCGTAACACGAATGCGACGGCGGAGGCGCATGTGTCGCCGACGACGGGCAAGGTGACGAGTTTGCCGACGAGTGGAGGTGCGAAGGGTGGTGGCGGGCGGTTTCGACCGTATGGGGATGATGACAACACAGCGGCGGAAAGTGGGGCTAGTGTTGCTGGTAGGTGTGCGAGGGATCGCGGATGTCTTTACTGGCCGACGCTGCGGGGATGAGTGCGCGAATGCGTAGAGGTTCAGGGACTGATGTTCCTGCGCATCTCGGTACCGGAGGGTTCTCTCTTTTGATCGTTTTCGCATTGACGCTGCTGCCACAGGAAGTAAAGGCGGGCGGCTAGGGGCATTGCGACAGGGACGCGTAGAAGAGGTAAGAAATTCTAATGACCCACGTGCCTCACATCATTAGGAAAGTGGATTGGGATATGGGCCAGAGGAGATGTGTGGATGTGTTGCGTTGTTGCCACGCCATTTGAGAAATGAGGGGAAACCCCGAAGAGACAATCCGCTCACGATGTTCTCTTCCCGCTTTCCGCGGAATAGCCGGCACATCAAGTCAAGTTCGACAAGGAGAAGTTCAAAAAAGCGAATAAGGAGAAGGTGAGTGGTGGTCCACAGTCAACCCGTTTCCCCGAGATACTTTCTCGATACCGTACTACCTCTCCTCACACACCCAATACTCCCGCAGTTCCAACTAGATGAACCACTCCCATCGCCCGCCAGCGTAACCCCCACCCACGCCACACCCGCCGGCTTCGACCACTTTGCCCAAACAGGTGCAGCACGACGGCACCAACAGGACGACGACAATGATGATGATGACGGGCGTGGTCGTGATGGCGGAGGCGGGAAGGGGCGGTTCATGAATGACTCTGATGAGGATTTCATGGCGGAGATATTGAGGGAGACGGAGTTTATTGTGCATGATCGGTTTTGATGCTCCCGGTCATTTAGGTGGACTGATGTGCCGGGGGGAGCGGGGTTGGATGCGGCTTGCACGGCCATGGTTAGAGGCGGGGAGATACCACTTGATCGACAATAAACCCTCCTGAACCATGTGTAAAACGTCGCTGCAGTGCTTTTTCAATTAGCAAAGCGGCAGGATAGTCCGCATGGATGGAACGTGAAGAGCACATGATGCGCTTACACCCGACCCGAGTGAATGACTGTACCAGAAACATGACGATAATAATGATAGGGATATAGTACAAATAGTGGTGGGAATAGCGTTGGGGCAGGTGCGTGCGTATTTGCGTCCAGAGTGCATGGGCACAACGATATGCCTGTAAAATTCTCCATGTGGGAGGCGGGACATTTCCCAAGCCTCACGACGGCGGACTCGCAGCCTGCGATTGCAGGGCCGGGACGGAGAATGCTCCTGACGAGCTGACTAGAAACAACAGAAGAGACGCGGATAAGTTTGGCGTTACGAAAACCCAATGCGTGACGCATGATAACCGGGTACCAATGGAAACGTACTGGCAATGATCCCTTTCTGCTTGAGCGTGAACAGCACGATGGCGAGGATGATCAGGATGACGATGAGAAGGATAAAGATGATGAAAATTTTGTCGGTTGCCATGCGTCTGTTTATGTGCGGGAATGGGAGGCAACACAATCAAGAGGTCAGTACACTACCAAAACAATCACTGTCCGCATCGCTTTTCCACCACAGCACACCACCAAGAGGAAACGCACCTCATAAAAACCCGCAGTTGCTTCTCAGCGCGTTTCAGATTCGAGTCGACGGTATCGACATCTTCCTGGATCTTGTTCATCTGCTGCCCTTGTTTCACGACTTCGTCTTTCACGGCCATTCCCATCTGCGACGGGTGAGAGATGCAGGGTGAGTGCGAGATGTGTGCGAAAGGTACGGGAGGTGATGAGAGGGATTTGGCATATGGACATAGGAGGTCGCCGGGACCAGCATCGCCGAGCCTTGATTTCATCTCTCAGGGACCGACAGACGCCCCGACACAAAGAAATGACCCAGTGTTCGAGAAGGGAACCCCAATCCATAATGTCCCCCCATAGACAACAGGCGTCTGTCTGCATCGTCCCCAAAACCCACACACAGCCAGACACCGATGCCAAAACCGTTTGGACCACCCAAGCTTACCTCCAACGTCTCCTCCACCATCCTCTTCGCCCTCGCGGCGCCCTGCTGCGTCTGTTCCTGAATCTGCATCGCCGTCTGCGTAATCTCCTTCGTATTCATCTCCTCCACCTTCCGCCGTCCTCCACCAGCCCCTGCCCCCTCATCGCGTTCCACAGACGTCTCGGCAAACTCCACGTCCTGCATCAGTTTGGCGATGCGCGTTTCGTAGCCTTTAGCTTTTTGCTCCCAGGAGGACCGTTGGCCCACAGGCGCTTCGCGTGTTTCGACGACGATCGAGCGGTGAATTTTTTTGGCGCGGGCTAGCCGGTTTTTCAGGTAACTGCATTTCTAAGGTGGAAAAGGATTGAATTGTGAGGTTGGGACGGGCGTGGGAACTGGAATGGAGAGATGGGTGATGCTACCTCGATCTTTTCTTGGCCCTTCAGGCGGCCGATCTCTTTGTCAAGGATAGACTCGACCTGCTCTAGCACCTCCGTCATCTCCTCATCGTAGTCGTCCAGCTCTGGAGGGGTTGGGGGCAAAAGCAAGCGAAGATGCTGTCAGCCGACTGCGTCCAATCCATGGCCCGTTCTCGGCGCGCACAAAAAAACCATCGCATTGAGGAACTTCCATCCCGCATGCACGTAGCCCGTCTACGCGTACGCAGCGCAAATGAGCGGCCCATCCATTATGCGTCTGCCCACTTTTCTCTCGCAAGACCTTGCAAAGCCAAGCGAACCCCAGACCTGCGATACTGGCAAGCCCCCAGAATCCAAAACAGCCGTAATCCCACTGAAAGCGCCAACGCACCCGTCATCTTGATAACGCGTCCGCTACGCTAGTAGAAGCAAGCGCAAAATGCCGAGATATGGGTCGTTTCCACTCTTCAGGCACGCTTGTAATCCCCCTCGATGCTCGTTTCGCGTGCGATGTGAGTCGTCGATTACGGTTTGTCTCCCACGTCGGAACTCTATATGTCGCAATATGCACAGATCGGTAGCGTAGCTTTCCGATGTAGCGGGCTTCTATGGATGGACACTATGTACGTGTGTTTAGATGTGCGACTTTTTGCAGAGTAGGGCTATGTATGTGGGCGGCGGGTCCTAGATGGAAAGAACGCAATCATGAAACGGTCCCGACGGCTCAGCCATCAAAAGCGAGGGAAATGGCCGATGTGGGGAACTGGTGCTTCGGGCGCCGTTGGGTCCTTCACATCATATGGCGAATATATGGGCACTTGAGCTCTAGCAAGTCGCCTCTTCCCACCCCATCGTGCGTGCAGCGCTTACCTTTCAGCACCTACAAGTAACCCTCGCTTCTCGGGTATCTCAACTCACGACGATTGCCAATAAGCTTTGCACGGTTAGACGCACATCCCTCACAGAAACGAGAAGTGACAGAAGACCGTCTTCAAACACGTAAAGCAAAATGAATAGACTAGCCGGTAGATAGAGACGAACAGGCCCGCTTCCACCGGACCGGGACGGGACTCCCCATATGGAGAATCGTGCACCCGTTCGTGTCAGCATTGGGGTGATTTAGCGTTAACCTTAATGTTGGGGGTGTCATCGTGAGAACGATGTGATATGGGAATGGCCCCACCACCGCCCAACGCACAACGACTTCCCTATCGTTAGCGACCCTCCGGCGGGGCTTCAGTGTATGTGTGGTTGGCTATGGCCATGCTGCAAGATAACGGTGCATGCTGGCGTGGGTGCATTCTCGAAAAGAAAGCAGACAGGGAAAAATCTGAACTCTTTCCGGTTTCTGTCCAAAACGCTTGCATACACGCCTGCATACACGCCGGGCGTCTCCGGGCGTCCCACCCTGAGGCGAGAAATACGGGGGAGACAGGCTGGCTGACAACCGATGCACCTGCATGCAACGAGAATCCATCTCTACATATCATTTCTATCCACCATCCAAACTCAACATGATATGCGTCTATATCTAAGGCATTAAATACGTGTCTTAACTAGGGTCTCCCCACCTGGGAGGTTTAGCATCCCGCTGTGGGTCTTTGGCATGCCGCCAATGTGGGTCGCCCAGGCGCTTTTCAGTTGCCCGCTGCAAGGCCACTGTGGATTTGAAGACTTGCTCTGTCAGGTAGATCCTGGCAGCCTTCGGGTCTGGTAGACTCCTAGCATGATCGAGGACTCCGTTGGCTGCAAAGTCTATGGGCTCTCCATATGCCAGGACAACCTCTGCGCGTGGACGCGGAAAGTAGAAATCTGTGGCTTCTGGCATCACATCCACAAAACCCTATAGTTTGGGGTTGAAAGAATCAGTCGCACGGTCCCCAATCTGCCTGGCGCACAAACGACAAACCTTATGCCATATGGGTATGAAGAGCGGAGGAACCTTCGACTCCATTATTAACCTTGCAACACCCCATCTGAAAGGAAGCAGATCGGTCGACTCTTGATTGATCTTGCCTGATGGTGTAGAGACCTGTCAGTACACCACAAAAAGCCTAGGAACCGCACATCAATGCCACCAACCCTCCGCAAAAACATGGATCCATGCATTGTCATTCAGCTTCTCGATCGCCTTGTTAACAGCTGGCTGATATATCCCGTCCCCTCGAACAGTCGGTATCACTTGTCCTGATGCAAAAAACCACGATGTCAATCTAGGGAGAGAATATGTTGGATTGCGAAGAACAAGAAGGACACCGGGTCGTTGCTCGCAGAAGTTAGATCACTTACGGCGTGGTGAAACAGATCTCCTTGGCACCCATCGACCATCTCATCCGATGTTTGTGCGTCAGTATCGACCACGGTAGGACGCCTGGTTGGATGCATCATTAACACTGCTGAACCAACTTATGTCCGATGTCCAGATGAAGCGCATACCCCACATCCCAGGATCATCGCACATCGACGCATGATTTGCAACCGTTATCAACGGCCTGTCCGTCTTTTCCAAAACAGTCCGGAACAGTCTGTCCTCGTTGAACGTGTGCGTTTTGAGATAGACTCTCATGAACCCCTTAGCCAACAAGCCGACGCCGCCTGGTTGAGGAGGCCATAACATCGTCATAAGTTCGAGGCTTTCTGGAGGTGCGGAGTGCGTGAGAACAGTGCATACCAGTCACGGACCGCTTTGGGGGTGCCAGAGTCAAAGCCGTCATGGTTGCTTAGACACCCGAAGGTCCAGCCCTGTGCTAAAAGACTCGTTGGCGCCGGGAATTTGGAGTCCAGCTAAAGCGTATGTCTCGTGGTGGAACGTTGTCGGCCTTGTCGGCTATCCTCCTGTCCAGAAATGTCAACCGGTCCCTGGGTAGTCCTGTAGCCGGTTGCCTCTTCGCAAGCGTCGGAGAAAGATTTCGGAGTTGTTCGTCGACGCGATGACCGAGTTGCGCTGTTGCGTTTTTGAATCGGCCGCCCAACGTGTCTACAATTTGCGGATGGAAGGGGGTGGCTGGGGCGGGGCGACGTGAGAACCACGGAAGTCAATTCCCGACTCAAGAAGTGGACAAGGAGAAAGCAGGGAGGATGTAGAAAAGCAACTCGAGACAGAATTCAGGAGTGGATAGGAAAACCGAGCGCGATCTTGCCATCGTAGGTTGACAGATGCCAACAGCCCACTAGCTTCAATACCCTTGGGAGCAGACGTATGTTCGGTGCAAGTTGGGCTTACGGTCCTCCTTGTTATGAACGCAATGGATGTGTTGATTGGCTGAAGCAAAGCGAAAGTTAGTGAGTGGATTATTGAACGGTGGACCTGAAAATGGAAATCCAATATCGATTCTGGACTGCTCATGTGCCACCAACCGGGACGTAAACTCCCGGCTCGGTTTTCCGTCTGTGTATTGGACGACGCCCATGATGCGCCACATGGGAGATAGATATCAATGGCGTACTATGCGCCCAAACGAACCCTTGTTGCCGTTCCGGCTGCATAGCAGTGGAGAGGATGAAACTCGCGGAATCGGCACAATGCAATGAGAATGGAACCCCAATTCTTCCTCATCCTGATGCTAGGACCGAACATGTCTTCGACAGACGTAGCCTAACCTGGATTGCTTCTTGAAGGCACTGCCGGACACGGAGACATTTGGAGAAGGCGAATGAGCGATCATGGCATTGGGAGAGTGCCACCCGGACTCTCAATCTCGCATTGCTCCAATGATATGACGAGAGAGAATACACCGTACACAGCCGATGGAGCATCCAGCGAAGAAAACACCTAAATCACGACGAGAAACCTGCATGACAACGCGTAGGCCCCGCTCCTCGTGAAGGCGGGGCGATGCGTTCAAGAGCCCTTCAGAGGATCAGCAGCTGATGCTAATACTTTTTTTCGCCGAAATACCACAGAACATACCTACTCTTCCCTCACCCAGCCTGACCAGGAATTTGAAAATGCCTGCAGAGAAACCCCTCACAAACCGTAACCACGTTCATAAGCACATGCGACCTCCGTAAGATCGTGTGCATATAGATTAGCGCAGAATTTTGGTACTTTCGATGGTTTCAAGAGGGGGATTCCCAACAGGGTTTAACTTAGTATGTCCGTAAGGTGGAGATTGGCATATCGTAAAGCGACGACTAAACCTTTGCAGGACACAGAACCCAGTAGGCACACATCAGCCATTTGCCTCGCTCTGTGTAGTGTCCTTATCCCACGCAGCAGCATTCGCCTCCAAGCCTGAAGAACCAACAGAATGCTCACATTACTGACACATGGAGGAACTTCGCCAAAGAGCTTACGACATCTGCTAAGGCAGCCATTAACCTCGGTTGCTTCTGCACATCGTGCAAGAATACTCACACATGTCACTCCTCGTAGGACGCATCCTTGCTGCTATTTTTGGTGTTTGGCGTGTTCGAAAACATGGGCTCGTGCGAGTTGCGCGAACGAATGGATAGTGATGGACTGGAGTTCCGTGTTCAAATGCTGTGGCAAGTGCCGTGCTACACCCGGAGGAGGTGGCAAGAAGTCACCTTACCGTAGGTGGGTTTATACCTTTGCTGAGGCGAAGGAGACTTCAGAAGGAACAGGGTGCTCGTCCAGACCTGGAGGACGCGTTTTATCGCGCGTTCACATAATGACAGTTCTTTACGTAATGACAGCGGACCGAGTCGGACGACGAATTTCCCGCGAGAAGCGGAAAGCGATGAAATGAAGCTCCTGCGTATTATGGGATCACCTCAAACGCAGTGGTTGTGGAGCGCAATCGTCCCGAGATCTTGATCGGTTCGATGCATGAAATGTAGGCGAAGGAGGTGATGCAGGGCCGACCAAAGAAGAGGTTCGGAAAAGAAACCACAGCCGGTTGTTGCAGAAAATCTGGCGCACATCAAACTCTTCTTCAGCCAGGGCACCATTGATATCACCAACCAACTCCATTCAACTCAATTGCAACAAAACCGGTAAAAGAAAAAAGGACGCAGAAAATCTATATACACATAAGATACATACATACATACATACACAAACTGAAAAAAAAAAGGAATTACATGTCCGACATGAAGAAGGGGAAATGTCCTGGGTGTCCGGGTGGAGATTATGACGGTGTGTGGTGAACGTCTCAGGGATGTTGGCTTACAGAAGGGCGGGAATCTAGCACGCCGCGGGTGGATGAGATTCACGATGGTGGCAGGTGTCCGAGGTACGGCTTGGTACCGGAGGGAAAGAAGAAAGAGGCAGGGTGGTATCGATGACGGTGCAGTGAGTGCGGTATGTGGCACTCAGGGTGGAACGGTGGCAGACATCCTTTCGCAGATCGAGTGTCGAACGAAGCGAAGTGAGGTCGTATCGCGTGTTTTGTAGAGCTGAGCGAATGACTACGTCGTCTCCATCATAGCATGATCATGATGCGACGCGCTCCAGCCGCCACCTTTGGGGTCGACAACTACGTCGGCGGGATCGACGTTGAGGTAGCACGGGTCGCAGATGTTGTATGGGCCGGCTTTGGGCGTGCAGCTGGCGCAGACTGTTCGTTTGCATTGAGTGCAGAGATACTGTTTGATGTGGACGGGAGAAAATGGTTGAGTGGAAAGTCCAGAAAACATCGTCACACGAACCGGGAAAAGTAGACGGACAACCAATCATCACAACAGCGCACCCATCAAGCCACAGAAAATCACCGGACACATACCCTCCATTTAGTCCACGAAAACAGATCCAAGCACAACGAACAGTGTTTCGGCGGCGCAAACGGATCCTCTGTAGCCGACGCGCCGAACGGTCTGCCTAGCGATCGCTTGCTCGAGTTCTTGTCCGCAAACCCTTTCCCAAACACATGCCACAGCTGGTCGACCATGGACGTCGGTCGGCCCTGCCGGCGCGTAGAAGAGGATGACGATGAGGTCGTCGAGGATGAGTTGCGAGGTTGGCGGGGTTGCGGTTGAGGTTGCAGCTGTTGGTGGTAGTCATGTTGTTGTGCGGGTGGTGATGGCGTGTAGTTCGTTGGGAAAAGGGAATGAGGGGATTGGACAACTTGCAGTTTGCCTTCGATGGAGATGCGTTCGTAACATGGGTCGCAGGCGCGGGCGAGTTTGTCTTGTGGGAGACTGGGGATGATGAAATACTGCAAGGAGAAAAAAACCATGAGTACACGGATATACAGCTTGGAATGATGGCGCACATTGACTTACCCGACTGGAACAAGCGTAACAAACGATATTTCCACATGCTCGGCAGTGATGCTAATATGGTACAGAATCAAGCCTTAGTCAACGATGTTTGCCCACCGCTTCCTCATAACTGAAGAACCAACCTTCCGCTTCAACATGCTAAACTCCTGACTACATAACATGCAGTTGTTGGTGCTATCATCCGGCATCTGTACAATCAAATAAGTAACAGTTAGCTCTTTCCCCCCCCTCGTCAATTGATGCCCACCCACACAACACCTACCCAAACCGGAGCGCTATAAACCTCCATCTTTCGTCGTTTCTCGATAGAGTTGTCGCGACCAAGTTCTATATCGATGTCTTCCCATCAGCATCTGCATCGCGAACTTCAACACACGTGCAACAGCCTAACCATACCGTTCCGCAGAGTGCTTCTATTCGTCGTCAGCAGCTGCACAGCCATGCCGATATCATCTATCCAGCCTTGCTTATCTTCACGAGTATCTACAAAGAAAAGGATTCCCATCAGCTCGCCGCTCGTCGGTGCATTGCTTCCAAGCATGTACTTACCGACATACATGGCAAAAGACTTGTCCGGACTGACGATCTGAAAGATATTCCTCATGTCAGGTGTGTCGGGGACGTCGACAACTTCGCATAGCTCGAGATCCAGCTTTCTGTGGAACACATAGTAGTCGTCGAGGATACCGGGACTAGCATAAATAAGCGCGTCGGAGAGCAGGATGAGGTATCGAGTATGATGTCGCTTCCGTGAGATCTTCTGCACGGTGCCACGTCGTATCAACCGCCGGCCAGGAACAACCAGTTCCTCATCCATCCCGTGTATCAGACCCTGCAACGCAATGAGCTCCTGCACCATCTCATGCTCGCGGATGGCCTCGTTCACAAACACGGCCACTTCAGCGATCCGCTCTAGTGAATTCTTCAAGGTTTCATGATCCGGATGATGTACGTCGGTTTTCTTGACCAGTTCCTCCAGCAACATCTTATATCTTGGTATACGTTGCACGGGCATAATGAGGAAGGACTCGAGGCGGAGGCCTTTCAGCTCCGGGTTGGTATGTTGCTTCGCAATGAAATGCGAGAACGCGGGAAACTTGGCGGAGCACTCTGTCACGCGAGACAGCGCATTGTTGAAGTTCTTGACATAAGACGAGTACATTTTCAAATAGGGTGCCAGGTTCAGAAAGATGTCTCCAATGAACCCATTGCAAGGGTCCCATGGGCTGCTCTCCAAACGATTCTCCAACTGCTTTTTCAGTTCTGAGTTCACGTTGATGATGCCGGGCAGCTCGGAGAAGATTCCCAGGATCATTTTTTTTGACAACATCTCTTCTGATGTTCCGACAGCAGCCATCAAAGGTTGTAAAAACATCTGCATGGTGTAGGTACATCGCTTTAGATGCACGTTTCTGGCACTCGCTGCCGCCAGCCAAACAAAAAAGGGATCTGTGGCGCGTTTCCCACGGACGTACCTTCTGAAGTATTGACAGGCTATCGACATATCGCCGCTCGGTATCCAATATCTCTCTGACAATGTTCAACCTCTTCTCGTTTGCGTCGCGTGAACATGAGGTGATAGAGATGGATGGTGTAACCGTCTCTCCCACAAAGTCACCCTCATCCATCGCCGTTTGGTCGTCGTCGTCGTAGGTAGCGTCGTCGGTCATGGCGAGCAGACTCGCGTCCTTGCTGGGTGTTGGGTATATGACGTCTTCCGAAGCGAAGCTGGTATGTATGGCGGAGTTGCTCCTCAACGAGCTGTTATCGACGGAGAAGGAGTCGGATGGGGTAGGCCAACCCTCGGCAGACGGTGCGAGGCACTGGGACCTGTCACTCCGCTCGGCAAAGTTGGACACCACTGATTGCAGGGACACCCTGCATTTCGAGTCTCGCGTTCGTCGGGGCGTACGCAGGGTCGAGTAGGTGTATGAGCTCCTCTTCGAGTTTGGACTAGAGCCTGGCGTCTTCGGTAAGGTGCCGTGTGAGAGGTACATGGACCGGGCCCGCTTGCTGCCTCTGTCCCCGCCACTAATTCCCACAAGGAAAATGTACAGTGTCAGTACTTGCCGTCAAGACCCATGGAGTAGTTTCCTGCCCCGCGGACTGCTCACCTGGACTCTGGCGAGAAAGCCATGTTCTGCGTGCGGTGCTGGGGCAAGGCATTGCCGAATTCGACAGGCATACTGGCGGGGTGTTCCGGTTGTTGCTGTTGCTGCCCCATGTCGTCCATGTGGTCCTCGGCCATGGTGCCCGTGTACGTCGGAGGCGAGCAACCCTGGCTTCCGTTGAAAGTCTGCGCCTGGGTGACTGTTGCCTGTCTGATCTGCCAATGGCTCCTCTGCAAATGTCGTGATCTCCTGGTTGTCGGCGGTGGCCTTCCCCTCTTTTGTTGCTCCTTCGCCCGACGCGGAAATGGTCTTGCGGAGACGGAATGACGCGAATAATAATAGCACGGCCCCTTCGCGGGAACAGACCCTGTTGCACAGCAACACACACACCACCCCTTCCCCGTCGTCGATCCCCTCTCCTCCCCATCCCACGGGGGTACCACAAATTGGCACATCCTATACTCCGTTGCCCTTCCTTGTGCAGCCTGATGCCCACTGGAACTTGGAAGATAGAGCTCATGAACTTTTGCAGGTCACCCAAGCCCCGGGAGTAGGAAATGACATGTCTTCCATACACCCAGGGGCCATCATGTGCTCTGCCCCAGTGCCCCTGGCCCCTGTCCCTCATCTTCTGTGAAGCACCAGCCCTCATCCACGCTGATCCCGCCGTTCTTGTCAAAACGCCGGATCCTTCTGAAGAAAGATCCCACATCATCCTCGATGCGGGAGGAGGTCGGCAGGGGCAGCTTCTCCTCGCTGATGCATGAAAGATGCATGTGAACGATTACTGAGCATTTCTACTGTACAGTACATTTATTTGATACGGAGGATGAACGTCAACCCGCCATGGGCTCTTCGACCAGTAGAATTTAACCTTCGAAGATCAACCTTTGCGGTCGCCATCGGCATTGACAATTGAAGTCCCCGAAGGTCGAAGTTGAAACGCAGGTTACATGCGTCATTCGTGGCTTGAGCCTGTTGGTTGTTAGGCACGGTTGCGAACAAAACAAGGTTGGCCTGAAATAATGCCTTAAACTAAATCGCAGTCACATGATTGCGGGTGACTTCGTTGCGTTCAAGTACTGCACAGTACTTCCCAATGTGCTCGCAGTGCATTTGCGAAACTCCAACCCGCATTCCATAGAGCAAACGCACAGCGACACAATGGCAGCAGAAGGGAACAGCAGCACAGGTCTCGCAGCCGCCGCGCAGGCAGGCGCAGGTGCAGGCGCAGCAGCACCAAAGACGGACGTCCAAGTCCAAGTCCGTTTCCGCAGCCGCAACAAACGCTACGCCGTCACCGACACCGCCATTCTCGTCCCCGCCCGCCTCCGCCGGTACGGCCTCTCAGAGATCATAAATCACCTGCTCGAAAAGACCGACATGCCCGTGCCCTTCGATTTCCTCGTCGACGGTAAATTCCTGCAGACTAGTCTCGCCACTTACCTCGACAACCACGGTCTGTCGACTGAGACGGTGCTGGAATTGGAGTATGTCGAGGCGACGCTGCCTCCGACGCAGGCGGCGACGTTCCAGCATGATGAGTGGATAGCGGCGGTGAAGGGTCACGCGGGGCCTGCGAAGCCATGGACGTTGACGGGCTCGTATGATGGGCTGGCAAGGGTTTGGGATCGGTCAGGGAACTGTAAGGCGGTGTTGAAAGCGCATGCCGGGGCTGTCAAGGCCGTGGCATGGCTGCCGTCCCAAAGCGAACAGCAGGACCGGATCATTACGGGCGGGCAGGACTTCAAAGCGTATGGGTGGGAGTTCGGAGGCGAGGATGCGGACGTGAAGACAAAAGTTCTGTTTGAGTGTGCGGGCCACACTGGGAGCGTGGATGCCATCGCGCCACATCCACTAGGCGAGCATGTAAGCCGAAGGGAAATGCGTTTTTCTGGCATCTGGGATCCGGTGCCTTTCATGGACGGAATGATGGGTGTTGACCAATCTTCCCATGCTTGTAGTTCGCAACAGGCTCATTCGACGGCAACATCATGATCTGGTCCTCAGATCCCACCGACGTCGAAGAATCCGAAGAGCCGCGAAAACGTCGGAAGGTAGCAAAAGACGACGACACGGTGGAAACCATCACCGGGGTTCCATTGAAGGTACACCAAAAGAAACTCCCCCTTTTCCCAAACTCATAACTCATCCCTCATTTCCCTTAGCGCGCCACAAAACGCCTCACAGGGCACACAGCCGCGGTCTCCGCCCTCACCTACGAACACACCGCCTCGTCCACCGCATCACTCTACTCGGGGGGGTGGGACCACTCCGTGCGCGTGTGGGACGTGGAGCAAAATACCAACACGTGGACGATGGGGTGCGAGAAGGTGATTCTGGCGATGGATCATTCGAGTTTCAGTGGGTTGCTGGTTACGGGGCATTCGGATAGTGTGGTTAGGTTGTGGGATCCGAGGGTTCAAGGTTCGTTGGTAGTCTCGTTATCCTATTTCATTTGTGGATTTTGGAACTCAGACAACATCGTATGTTATTCAACCCCCAACAGAAGGCCTGATAGTAAAACTCAAACTCGCCTCGCACACCAACTGGGTCTCCTCCGTCCGCTGGTCGCCCTCCAGCGCTTACACCTTCGCCAGCGCGTCCTACGACGGCACCATCAAAGTATGGGATATCCGGTCCACCAAGCCGCTGTACACGCTCGCGGCTGGTGGTGAGGAGACTGCGAAGGTGTTGAGCGTGGATTGGGTGGAGGGGTATTTGCTAAGTGGGGGTGAGGATGCGCAGTTGAGGGTTTGGACGGCGCAGGCTTAGGGTGTGTGGGTGCGTGTGAGCGACCCGGTGGCGGTATTTAAGCATAGGATATAGGCTTCAGCGTTAGACTAGCAGCGTTTTTATCATTATTCGCGGGGCAGGTTGCATTTTAGAGTGGGACGTGCAGGGGTAGTGTAGGTTCTTTCATGTATATTTTCTTGGTTGGCCAAAAAATCCAAAGCCAAAAACGGGATGACGACGCCTCCCTGGACCGGGATGTATATGTTTTTGTACATTCGGTTCGGTCCTGCTGAGCGGGTGTTACGTGCTTTTTGAAGGGTTTTCCTCTGGTTTCTGTCCAACGCCTATGATGGCGCACCGATTCGCAGGTCGGACTCTCATGACAGGGTGATTTCCACCGGCAAGGGAGGTGGGTCTGCACCGACCAATCGCCCTCGTCCGGGACAAATATCAATATCCACTCCCACACCATCACTTCCCACCCTCCTCCCACCCCCGCAGAAACGCTACGACATCCCCCACCACCTCATCCACACTCTCTCCCCTCCCATCCTTCTCGCTCCAGTTCCACCTCAACATCCCATTGCTTACCGCACCCACCACCCTATCCGCGTCAGCCAGTGCGACATGAACCCCGCACGCGCGACCGGCGAGGTAGGTGCATGCGATGGCGAGGTGGCGCGGGTTGGTGAGGAGGGCGAGGGTTGGGGAGAGGTGGGTGTCGAGGAGGAGAGTGATGGTGAGGGTTGCGTGGGTTTGGTGGGGGTTTGGGGGCGGTGGAGACGAAGTTGTAGGGGGTGCTGGGAGAGGAGCGGCGCGGTGACGGTTGTTGATGCTGTTGGCGTGAGAGGATTGGGGTTGTCGGGGATGTGGATCTGACAACGGGACCCGGAGCGTTAGTTCACAAGTCTTTAATCGAACCTCCTCTGAAGAAGTAGTCGACTCTGAGACTATCACACATACCTCGGCCATCACTCCTCCTCCCATTTCCCTGCACACGCTTCCTCAGGTCATCCAAGATAGCAATGATGTACGGAAACGGACAGTCAACGCCTACGTCAAAGTCGAGTACGCGAATAAGGACCAATTCCGCGTCGATGAGGGAGTCTTTAAGCTCAAAGTATCGCTCGCTGATGTCGAGGTAGGGGTTGTCGCTTTCGTCGGTTTTCACTAGCCTGAGGAGGGGATACTGTGAGTGAGTGAGGTGGTGATGGACAGGTAAATGGGATGAGTGACTTTGGTGACTTGCTTACCAGTAACATACATTGACGACGTCTCGCAGTTTGACTGGGTCTTCGCATTGCTTTGCTGCGAGGCTTAGTGCGGCTGCAGCAATTAGCTGGGTTGTGAGAAAGTAAGCAGAAACACAACACTAACGGAGGGCCATCCCATTGCCAAGATCACGTCAGTTAGCAAATCCATCGGCCGCCGGTTCTTACATGTGGATCAATCTCCGCCAACGCCTCCGGGTGGTGCACATCGATATAACGTGCGTACCGATGCCAGTACACTAGCGCGGTAGCGATCGTTGGGTTCTCCCTGCAGAATCCGTCAGTCCCTCAATGGATGACATCGCTTTCCTCGAGCCCTCGCTATCGTCTCCTGTCGCGACCACCCATCAACCTGGCCCTCCGCTTTTACATCGCCGTCCTTCCGCCCCTATTGCGCTCGCCAACCCCGAATCGTCAACGCTACTCACAATTCCAACATCCGTCCGCCCAGCAGCACGAATTTCGGCATCGCGCGGTCAGCCGGCATCAGCATCGCTTCTCTCCGATGCCGCTGGCGTCGTTGCTCTTCCGCCGCGGCTGCCGCCCTCTTCTCTTGTCCACGGGTCGTTACGCCGGGATGGGAGGGCGGAGATGTGCCGTCGCGATGGTTGTTGACGGTAGCCGATCTAGGGGCTGAGTGTGTCGACATTGTGATGTTCTGCTGTAGTTTTCACGGCGTGCTGTGCTGCTAGTGCTGCTGTGCTTCTGAAGTGAGTGTGTGCGTTATGAGCAGTGCAAATTCAATTACAGTTGTGGAGGTCGTGGGAAGGACCGGAGAAACGAAACTGGTTCGTCGCAGAATTCCATACCTAGCCGTTCACTTCATACTGTATGTACTGTACATACGACCACCCTCGTCCACCATCGTCCGCCCAGCAGCCACCATCGTCCGGTCCATAGTCAAAGTAGAAGCCCCAACAACACTCCAGTGAACATGCCACCCGCCTCACCTCCTCACAAACCCCCCTCCCTCCTGATCGTCCCCCTAACCCTCGACTCCCTCACCACCCCACCCACCGCACACCATCTCACTCTAATACGCTCGGCAATCTCCCTCCTCCTCCTCCCCTGCGGCCGCCGCATCTACACTCCACCCCTCAGCCTCCGTATCAGCATTTCCGCCCCGCCCGCCTCACCCCAAGCCCCACCCCCATCGTGGCAGGATATCCACGCGCTGCTGAGCACGCTGTACATGGCGGCCGCACAGGAGGCGTGGCGTCGAGAGTACCCCGTGCTGAACGTCGATGTTGTGTTTGATGGTGGTGATGATGACCGGTGGCTGGCGGACATCCCCGATGGCGCGCATGCGGCTGTGGTTGGGCGGGCGGAGGATCAGGCTGAGTTGGCGGGGGTGAATGCGAGGAGGGGGAAGAATGGCTTGGGACATTTGCGGTTTACGGTTATTGATGATGAGGAGGGGGAGGAGGAGGAGGAGGGAGAGGCAAGATTGACGACGGTGGGATCCAAGGCGGATGTGATTTACCAGCCGGGGAGGGAGGGTGTGCAGGCGTACGATTGTGTTGCGCTGGGAGGCACGTTTGATCATTTGCATGTTGGGCATAAGATCCTGTTGAGCGTTGCGGCGTTTTTGGCTCGCAAGAGGCTTGTTTGTGGTGTCATGGGTAAGAACACCGCTCACGTCATTTTTTGGTCGTCACACTACATCACTCACTCTGGGATTGTTTACCGCAGACCTAGACGCCTCCCGCCTCGCCCGCAAACAAGGCTCCTCCCAAATGCAGCCCCTCGCAGACCGCATCGCCGGCGTGCGCGCCTTCCTCCGTCTCATCCGGGGCATCCACGCCCTCAACCGCTCAACAACAGCCACGACACAGGACCTGCACCTCGACGTGGTGGCCATCACCGACGACTACGGTCCCACACGGGACGACCCCGCCATTCAGGCCATTGTGGGGTCGTTGGAGACGAGGAAAGGATGTGAGGCTGGTATGTTGCGTGTCTAGGGATGGTTGTAATGAGGCTGTATGGCCCCCTTTACACTGAATCAACCCCTCTTGCTCTCTCAGTCAACACCCTCCGCGCAACAAACAACCTCCCCCTCCTCGACATCTTCACCATCGGCGTCGTCGCGCCTTCATCCAGCGAGGATACGCCGTCCTCAGACGAAGCGCAACAGATCGCCGCAAAGATCAGCTCATCGGGGATCCGCGTGTTTTTGGAAGGGAAAGCGAAATGAGGGTGAGCCGGAGTGAGGGTGGAAGGGTCTGGCCACAGGACAGTGATGAAGAGACAGCATAGGAGATAGTCGCGGGTGCGAGCATGGGATGCGTGCTCAAGAAGTTGATAGTGTTTTTGGAGGTTGCAATGTATCTGTGCACCAATTTATCTGTAATGTAACTAAAAAGATGTCATAGCTGTAGACGATGATGCCAGTGCCGCCGATATGGGGAAGATGAAGTGCTACTCCTCCAAATGGGAAATTTGACGCATCCATCATGAGCTGCATTGCAAAAGTATGTACATCGGACGGAGCAAAGCGCTGAAGGTCCCTAGGGGTTCCCGCGGAATATGCACGGCGGGAAATATCGGCCCCAGATGCAAGGACAGTACACCCCATAAACATCTGGAGGACCATTTCCAGTGATTGAGGGCGTGGAAGAGAAGGTGGGATGGAGACCAAGACAAGCAGCGACGCAGGGCTGAGCAGCAAGGACCGCAGGGAAGCGCGACGCGTTGGGGCAAAAGCGACAACGGTGTGTCACTGCCCAAACTTTTTGCCGTGCCCCTCTCTCGAATCCCCCCCAAATTGCTACCATCCGATACAACTAATAATGCCCAACCTCGAATGGACCATAGAGTCCAGATACCACGCCGACCAGCCGGCTTCTCAGGTATCTTCTTCGTTCTCCCTGTCCCACCACCCGCTACCCATTTCACACTATTCATGCCCCTCCACGCCCGCTCATTTACCATCTTGCATGATATGCTCACATTAGGCAACAGAACAATACTGGAACTCGCCCAAAGTGCAGGCGTATTTCAGCGCGAAGGATTTGGAGAAGACGAAGTTGAAGAAATTGGTTAGGGCGGGAGTGCCTGATGGGTTGAGAGGTACGGGTTCGGGAGGGCGAGAGGGGAGGATGGAGGGGTATGGGATGAAATGGAATGCGTGGGAGAATGGAGATGGAGGGATGTGATTCTAGGAGCGCAGTGAATTGCGAGCGAGCGGAAGCGAGTCTGGGTTGTGGCGCTGGTCTGTGGCTCCTTATCGCGAGGGAGGCAAGCGGGATGTCGTTCAACCAGCGCCCGACCCTTCGACTATCCGTCCGCCGCTCCATTCCACTGCTCGCTTCACTGACGCGAGTTTGTTGATGCAGGAGAGATATATGCGAAGATATTGAAGCTCGATCAATTGGCTGGTAAATGTGAGGTTCCTGTGAATCGCAGAGACTCCCTCTACTCACTACACTTCATCAGAGTATGAAAAGAACTACGAGGTCGCCCTCACCCGCACGCACGGCTCCGTAATCCCCTCCGAACCCCTCCCCCCAACCTTCGGCGGCAAATCCCACGCCGCCCAGCTCGCCCTCAACAAAATCGGCTCACGAACGACGGAACACATCCGCTGCATCATCGCCCACGATTTCCCCGCCCTAGAATACTGCCCCTTCATCACCCCCTGCGTCGAGCTCCTTGCTCACCACATGCGCGATGAAGACGAACTATTAGGCGCCATTTACGCGATGGTCAAACGAAGCACCCAGCGGTCCCCAACCTCCACCTCTCAATCCGCATCATCCTCGTCATCCCAACAAGACGAATGGGGCTACTTCCCCACCTACCGCAAAGGCGTCAAATTAATGCTCCGCGCCTTCGGAAACCTGCTCTACACATCCAACAAAAGACTCCATCTCCACCTCACCGAGCTGCACTCCACCTCCCCTGACCCCGTCTGGGCCGACTGGCTCACCACAATGCTCATCGGGCACATCCCGCAACCCGCCCTCTGGCGCCTCCTCGACGCGTTCGTGCTCGAGGGGTGGAAAGCCCTCTTTAGATTCGCGGCAGGGATGCTGATGTGTCAGCGCGACGTGCTGTTAGCTCAGCCCGATCTCGGGCACGTAAACGCGCTGTTGACTCCGGAGAACCCGATATTCACACCACCGACGGTGTTACTGAAACAGGCGGAAAGCATCACCGTGTCCCGCTCCGATGTCCGGAAATTGAAAGACCACCATAAGACACTCGCAGCAATCTCCCACGACGACCATATCTCCGAGTCACAGTACCGGTACCAACGCGGGCTCCCGAAACTCATCTCCTCCTCCACGTCCACACCCACATCATCGTCAGTCTTGACGGATGAGCACTGGATCGCCCTCTGGTCGTGGATCCCGCCCGCGAAACGCGTTGAGAGTCTGGAATTGGTGTTTACGACCAAGGAGCATGGGACGCATTCGGCGAATTTGTTTAGGAGGTGTGAGGGACGGGCGCCGATGATACTTGTGGTGGAGACGTTGAAGGGGGAGGTGTTCGGGGCGTATTTAAGTGCGCGTTGGCCGAGTGGGGAGGAGGAGGGGGGGAGGGGGGAGTGGTTTGGTAATGGTGAGTTTTGCGCAAGCATTCGCGATTGGGGGTTTTTTGTCCTTGTTTTGCTGATGCGGATATGTTTGCTTATCGTCGTGTGGGAATTTAGGCGAGACGTTTCTCTTCTCCCTCGTCCCCTACGCCAAACTCTACCCGTGGATCGGCCGCACCATCGATTTCGAAGCCTACTCCCCCACCCAATCCCCCAATTCCCCTTCTTCACCATCAGACGAACCATCCTCAGCAACAACTGACACATCCTCCGCGTCTTCCTCCATGGGCGAGACAAAACCTGCAACGACGACGGGGAGACCGCCGTATTCCCCGGACTACCTCCGCGACCGCGCCTCCATGTTTGTTATGGTTGCTAATAAGGCGATACATATCGGTGGTGGAGGGTACGTTTTCTTATCCATTCGCCCCTCCCTCCCGCCCCACTACCAATGATGACGATTATTCTCTATTTTTCAGAGCACATACAGGCCTATACATCAATCCAACTCTAACAGCCGGGGAAACAGGCCCATGTCAGACGTTTGAGAATGCGCCGTTGACGGGCGGAGGGAAAGAGGGGATGGGGTTTGAGTGTCATGTTGTGGAGGTTTTTGCTTTCAACTAGAGGGCTTGGTGGAGGTTTGGTTTTGGGGTGAGGTGGGAGACGGGGAGTGGTTATTTCAACATGTGGGGCATAGAAGACAATTTGATGCTGATTCATTGATACGGATATTCTGGCTATAATACCGAGTGATTATATAGCACCCCAGTCTGTCAGTGTGTGTTCGTCTTCCAGATGTAGGGTTTGGGATGTGGAGTCGCCTGATTTGGACCCTGTCTAACCCTAACCCGCGTAAGGATGTTGTCCGAAGGCCTCTTTGTCTCCGAAGTCCCGTTTCTGGTCCAGTTGGCATCCCCCACGGACAGCAGACGGACAGGCCGACAGGCTTCTAAGGATTGTTCGCTCCGCTGCATAGTATTCAACTCGAGCCGCTGGAACACCCACGCAACTACTCTCAATCCCTCCCTTCCGCCCGCTCGTCGCTTTTCCCACTCCACACACACAAACCCATTTCAAACATTGATATAAAGCGGCCAGACGATCGAGAACGGTGAAGAACCTGCACAGGAAACCGTCGACACGACAACATATTCCCCACCCACCGTGATCTGCTACTTCATACACTATGCCAAACCCAATTTGTCAAGCCCGCCTTGCGCAGGAAAGGAAGCAGTGGCGGAAAGACCACCGTAGGTTCTGGGGAATACTGATATGGAAAGGAGTTGGGAAAGTGGTTTATTGACGAGTTTCACTTTCCTAGCATTTGGATTTTGGGCTCGGCCGGAGAAGAATGCGGATAGTACGCTGAATCTGAACAAGTGGGCTGTTGGGATACCAGGTGAGGTGACGAGACTGGACTGGAGGTTGGAGCGGGCGAACATAGCAAGCGATCTCACTCGCAACCAGCCACCACTCTCCACCACCGTATGTGTTCTCACGTTTCCTTCCCTCTCTCAATCTTCACAGGCAAAGCCGGCACACCCTGGGAAGGCGGCATCTACACACTCACGATGACCTTCCCCGACGACTACCCCCAAAAGCCGCCGAAGCTCCAATTCCCCGCCAAGTTCTTCCACCCAAACATTTACCCATCCGGCACGGTCTGTCTCTCGATCCTCGACGAGGAAAAAGACTGGAAGCCGTCCATCACGATCAAGCAGATCTTGCTGGGGATCCAGGATCTGTTGGATGATCCGAATCTGGATAGCCCGGCGCAGCAGGATGCGTATGTGATGTTGAAGAGGGATAAACCGAATTATTTGAGGAGGGTTAAGCAGCAGGCGAAGGAGTTTGCGCCGAAGGAGTAGGGTTGTTATTGGTTGTGGTGGAGGGTGGTGGATGAGGGGATGGGGAGAGTTGCGACACGGAACGGGCGAGAATGCCGATGGTCTACGATACAGCACACGTACGAATGCACCTAGTGTACCATGTAGTGAAACCAAACAGTTGCCCCTTCCTTACGCAAGGGTTATGATGACTACGATGGGGTGAGGTAGTCTGTGTTGCGAGTGTTGAACATCAACACACTCTTATGGATGGAAAATGTACTTATTGGTGGTGGTGTTTGGAATTGAAAAAATATAAACGTTTTGCGAAGAGAGACGTTGCGTTCGTTGAAAGCGGTTTCAGGAGGCGGCAATGGAATCCGGACGGTCCAACGCCCAGAAGAAGCGCCATCCAGACAGCCCCGACGAGAAGGCTGCGGACATGCATCGTCCTCGTACATTCGAGCATCGCCTTTCATACGGCTCCCATGTATTTTGGCGTTGAGGTGCCCGTGTTCCAGTACGTCCAGGACATACAATGCGCGAGCTCCAATGTATGAACGGATGAAGATCCGTAGCGCGGCGGACACTATGGTAAGTAAACGCACCATCATGAAGTGATAGTTCTGGTAGGTTTGCCGGTTGCCAGCTGCGATCAGATTGAGTGTCCGTAGGTAATATTTACCGGGTTTGCATGACTTATATCGCGCAGGTTTCGGTGATGGGACACGGCGATAGGTTTGTGATCCACCTCGCAACTCCACCAAGAGACGTTTCCCCAGGAAAATCTGGCGCATATGTTGCAGCAACCTGTCCTTGGCGGCAGCTTCTCCACACGTGTAAAATCGTCAGCGAGCCTCTCCGTCGCTTTCTCATCCGTGTCCGATGCACTATGCAAAATCAGACATATGGTGGGAAAACGACGGGAACTGCACGCCAGACGTGTATGTTGTATGTCCTCGTCCTCGTTACGTTCTTCTTTACGCAAGGCGGTTTGCTTCCTCGCAACGCGCACGGCCCGGTTGGTCCGATACGATGATTCGCTGCTCGGCAAGGCACACCATACATGCCAACTCTCGGGCGACATTGAGCTGGCTTCGTTGTCCCCTGCATTGCTCCGCGCGTCGAGGATGTCCCGACGCGAGGATGGCTCAACCTCGGTGCGAATTCCAATTCCTTGACTGGCGTCGGGTGCCGTTCTCATCCTGACGGATCAACAGGCCAGTGTAAGTCCAGTCCACGGTGGCAGTGCCGGTTTGCGGAGCTGGCGTAAAAGAAGCCGGTCGGACGTACATATACTGTATAAACCCTTTGAAACCGGCCGTGGTGAATGAAAGCGGACAGACAGAACGCGACAACGCGTTCGAGGTTGACGTTTGTACCATAGTTTATAGAATTTCTTCCACGAGTCAAATTATCCAAAGCGGGGTTGGCTCAGCTGGTAGTAGCGCAGGTCTCATATTCCGAGATATCCTGAGGTCGCGAGTTCGATCCTCGCATCCCGCACATTTTTATATTTTTTTTGGACGTTTTGTCTCTGGAACCGTGAAAGCTCTTCCAGCATCCTCGTTTTTTGTTGTTTCTCAAGCCTCAGGTGGTATGCCAATACTCTCTTACTTGTACGTCATGTCACGGCTATTGGCAATGACAGTTATTCAGAGAAGGGAAGGGTGTGCTGAATAGCAAGAGGTTGCGGGCATAGGCCAAGTACAGAGCTTGGGGGTCGAGTGTGAGGCATTAGGGCTGGTTCTTGAAAACGGCGGGAAGCGTAACGGGGCTTGAAAGTTTTAATGGCACTGTGCAGCTCTGTCACTTCGGGCGCGTTACCGTAGGTTTTGAGGCCCGAGCTCCATGCAATCCATGCCAGGATAGGCATGCCCGTCTCCGTCCCATGCCGGACCAATCATTACGCTTCCGGCATTTTTATATGCTTTGCCACAGGATTATAACCTATGCATGGACCACCCCGGACCCCCGAACGCGCCTCTCGCTTTTCGGCGCAAGGGAGTTCCCGGGCAAGTTGGAAAGGGTACCGAGTAGCATTGATTGCGTGCTGGCGTCGCCGATGCATTATGCATTAACATGTGGATACCAGATCTCTCAGCAGCTGGACCATTGGAGAGCCAAGGCTCTCTCATTCGCAGTGGCCAAGCAAAAGATAGAGCTATGCTCCATTCCTTCGGATATCTCCTCCATTCACACATGCCGTTTCTGAGCAGTCTAGAATTCATCTCCCGTCAACTCGGCCGATGACGATATTACGTACACGTCTCCGGCAGCTGTCAAATCCGGTCAATGATGTCGCGTTCTAGGTTTTACGCGCGCGATGGCATCAACAAGAACCTTTACAGGATCACACCAGAAGAAATATAGAAGGTTCGATTTACATATGGCACCTCTATCAAACAGAAGTTTCTACAGGGCAGCGCAGGTTTCAGCCGTTGGTGCGAGGAGTCACCAGGTAGACGAGTGGGTGTCCGTCTCGTTCGGCACCCTTGCCCCACATGAACGCACTCCGGGCCCTCCTTGGCGCTGAGAGTGTCCGCATGCGGTCTATCTGTGAGAGGCGGAAAATGTTCAATAGCTAGCCTGGATTACAACATAGACCTCTATGCAATGGGTGAGATCTATCAAGAATACCTGTACGTCCTCGGGCTTTTTTTCCTAGTCCCAACCAGCTGTTCAGCCCACGGAGAATGACACGAAGGTTGCCTTCTGCATGTGCTGGGTATCGTTTCTTCCCATCGATAACTTTGGTAGTGTCGTGATCCTATCGAACGACAAGCCGTCGATGCAATTGGAGTCCCAAACTCCTGTGACCCCGGATATAGCGCATTTGTGACCAGCGGCAACTGCCAGTCCCTGGTAATATGCTGGCGTTGCAGTGTTTCCGAATGTCAGGCACCCCTTGTCAATATCGGATGCGCTTCTGTGGAGCACATTGATGTGACCTTGTTCATCCACAGTCAGAGGTTGGAGGAAGGAGGGAGCAGGAGTACCGCTCAACCTCTCAAAAAAGCCAAGTAGGTCATCTACGGCATGCTGTCCCTTGAACGTGTTGCAGATGGCGCATGCCATCCATAGGTTGTCGAGCTCACTGTATGGACGGCTGCATCCACGCGGTCAACGGTTGCTTGTGCTCTAGGGTCTACACACACTGACGTTGCACTCATTTCAATATTGCAATACATACAGTGGCCTCCACACAAGTCCATGAGCTTGTGGATGGCCGGAAGGAAGTCGATCCCCTGTCGTGTGCAAGTTGTTAGCTCTGGGGTTGTGGTTTCAACTCTTCAACTTAAAGTGCTTACATCTGAGCGTACACGAATTGCAGCAGTAAGGTGGGAGTTTGAGGCGGCGCGATACGGGCCGCTTGTATGTTTGGGTGCAGAGGAATTGATCGAACGTTGTAAGTCTGTGCATGTCGGCCACGGTAGCCTAGTCAAAACGTCTGGGCGCATTCAGACCACACTGCTGAGTGAAGGCCTTAGCCCAGGTTCCTTTGCCCGCTGGCTTGACAATAGACCCGATCCAGCCCTGCGCCGCTCCTCGCACCCATCTCAGATGAACAAGGTCGCTGGTGCGATCAGAGTTTGTTTTGGATACATGAACGTCGGCAGGTTTCCGGAAGCTTATACACGGTCAGGGAGCGAGCGGATAACCTACTCCCCCGTAAGGGTGCGGTGGCTTCATTGCAGCGCTTACTTGGAACGAGCAGGCTAGAAGGAGAAAGCTGGTTAACAGCCTGAAAAAAGCGGGTCAAAAAGCCAATTACCAACGTACCATCTTTCTGCGCTCACGCTTTACCTTTCGATACCTCATGTTGGTCGTAGTACAGCCCTTCGCCGATGATATTGATGTTCTCCTTCTCATTGGGGTCACGTTCAAAGGAGGCCGGGCGGTGGCGTGCTTCCGTGTCTCTTCCTGATCTTTCCAAAGCTGCTCTCTAAGACTCTTGCCGTGTGTGCCAGCTATGACAATGGATGGATGCTGACGTGAGTTCTGAGTTCTCCGTATTAAACTCCAACCAACAGAGTCACACCTGTAGGGACATATGAAAGGCGACAAACGTAACGCATCCCTTGTTTTTATACTTACACGCTCTATCCTTCAAAAAAACCGCTTACTTCCGCGCCTCAGATCCTGAGCTTTCATCCGGAATTGTGATTGCATCTTCCTATACGTCTTCTCCCGTGCTCGCACCTTCTGTGGACCTTTCTTCGGCTCATATAGTAGCGATGGATGGGATTGATGTGGTGGGGGACCGGGTTGGGGATGGGGATGGGAGGGAGGTGGAGGTCGAGGTGGGGGTGGGGGTGGAGGTGGAGGTGCCGGCGCGGTCATGTGCTGGACGGACGTGTAAGCGCAACGGAACGTTTGTGGATTGGGCCACCCACAAGATAAGCATTGTAGCATTTCATTCCTTACCGTTCTGCTTGGCAATCCAGTCCGCGCGGCCATTTCGCAGCTCTGGACGTAATCGGGATGGCGTTGGAAGTGCCGGTCGCGACGCGCCTGCTTCTTCAGCTTCTCGTTCTCGCGTTGCTTGATTCTGTTCTTTCCCATTTGAACGAACTCATCCTGGTTCTCGTAGGGTACTCCCGCTGGCTGTTGCAACGTCGTATGCGTCGGTTGTGTTGTGACACACATCCGCGTGATAGCGTCGGGAGTGAATTGTTTGGGAAGGAGCCGCCGATGTTCGCAGAACGAGCAGGCTCTCAATGCCTGAGAGGCGTTACGTCCGGGAACCGACACTGATTACTTTTGCGTCCCTCCTCGCACTGGCCGTCTGAGCGTGCCATGCAGTGCACGCCATAGGGATCCATGTACGGCGTGATGGATGCCAAAACTTCGCTTGGACGTGGGCCGTGTAGCTTGTCATGTGATCCGATGCGGGTCGTACTACTCACGAGAGGACAAGGACAAGCCGTCGAGGACAGCAAGATTCATAGCCCGACGTTCCTGCTCGATCTCGAGGCCTTTCGCAACCGGACAGAAGTTAACCTCTTCGCCGTCGCTCAAATCGAGTTTCCTCGGGTCTCTTTTAGGGATGCGGTTGTTAATGGCGACGGACACCGGATGCTAACAGTGTGGGCGATAGGGTGTATCGGGTGGTGCGTTTTCTAGCACTATCTGGTCCAGCAGGCTAGGTGTCGTGTCGCGGTTTTACATCCACAGGAATCCGCCCTTTCTCGGCGCGCCGGGTGGATTATGATACCTTGGATCTGTGCCTGCTGTTGTCGACCATGCTATTCATGATCCCAATCGAACTGGCTTTTCTCTAAAACGAGCTTCCGCCCCTCTTTCTTCCTGGTCCACCTGACCGGTGCTCGCATATCCACGTCTTCAGCATTGGCATCATGACAACACACATCATCATCCATACGAGAAACGCAAGGATGATGATGTGCGTCGTCATAACCGTTCCGTATACGGGCTTCTGATCCATTACGCCCTGTAAGGCTTCCACACCTTCCACTTGGCGGCGAGTGATTGTGTGGCCACCTCGCCGATCCATCAAGGAAGCGCGCTCTCTATGTCCAACACTGCGCATCATCGATCTGTGGGCATCTCCCGTTAACGCCGTTGGTCTTGTGTCTCAGGGCTTCCGCCACTACCTCGAAATCAATCATCAATAGCGTCGATCCCGTGAAATGGGTCCAGCACCTTCTCGAGGCGACTGTCCTCGATCGCAAGGTATCGGAATAAGTTTTTGCGAATTGCGCTGCAACGCATGCGATCACGTTGCTCCTTCTCTTGCTTCTATGGGCGGCCTTCCTTTCTCTCCTCCCGCACTAGGAGCCCGCAAAAGGAGTGTATGCCTACTCCAAACTGCCTTGGGCTCTTTGCTTTGTGTAGGCTTCTAAAGTTGCCGATCGTAAATGAATCCATTGAAGCAGCAGCTGACTGTATTTGTTTACGAGCTCCGACCATGCGATATCGAAGTCGTCCGATCGTGCAACAGATCGTGCTGCACAGATGACTGGATTCGAGATTTGCGCAGCGGGATAGCCGAAAACAGCCGCATTCCATGGCGCTCATAGAGGCGTGAGAGCTCACAATAAGCACCTGTGACGAGGCAGGTGCGGACCATGATTAGACAAAAGAGGAAGCCGCGGGGGGGGGGGGGGGGGGTAAATATACAGCACATAGCTCACCTAAATATGGCATTGCGTCCACCGCAAGGCTGTACGCAAGCGGTTCATCCTGGGGAGGAAACAGAGCCCGTAACTCGTCGTGGATGCCTCGGTAAAAACTCTCCCAGTCGTAAAAACCTCCGTGAGGAAAAAATAGATCCTGGGAGTAGGAAAAGAGCGCATCGTCGTATCAGGCACATCGGCTTTTCGGCGCAATCCTAGAGCGTGAACAAACTTCCAGTGTTTGTTTTCATCTAGGGATTTGGTAAATATATTCGCAACGTTGTCGTGCGTATTGATCTGAGTGACGTTAATTGTTTTCGCATTCTCTTGACGGATATAGGCATAGACTTTGGGCTCGATGTGCTTGGTTCTATCGCCTTTAATGAAGCCGTTGGCAATTTGGATGATGCATGCGGAGTTATCTTCGAATATCGTTGTTCGTTCATGGCTGAGGCCCTGGCTGAGGCCTAACGCCAAACATACAGTGCTGTACGCGTCTTGCTTTCCGAGGCAACACTTCCCAGAACACTTCCCATTGACTGCAGTTTCCCGGCTGAAGGATAATTACGGTGTGGGGGCGGGCACGGTGGCTCTTCGCATCCCAGGTACCGCTGGGACGTTATCGACGAGGATCACACCTTCCCGATGGACAGTTACAATTCCCGCTGGTGCGGGAAATCGCAGACGATCGCTGACTGATGCGCACGTCTCGGAGTGGAGAAGGGTCGCCGCTTTCGCGTGACAAGTCGAAGCGAACGATGGCAATAACCCAGCCAACATCTTTTTCGATCTTTATCTCCCAAGGAATCTGGACATCCATCACAATCTCTCATTCGCGTCGCACGCCGCCAGCTCGGTCGAAAGTCCCGGTCTCCCTCACGCATAGTACCGAAGTGGTATTTCGAGTACTACGGTATTCAGTATGTAACATATATACACTAATCGCGGCGCAAATGTGCACCCGTGGGAACCGCCTCCACCCAGCGCATTGTGAGCAGACTACATCCACCCTAGCTCCGTCCCTGTAAGAACTCTACCAATGGGCTCTCCTGTCGTCACCCCTGCGATCGGCTCCCCACCGCTCCCCTCCCATGCCACCCCCCCGGCCTCCCCTCCGGTTGGCAAATGCGTTAGCATATGGCTCATGTCGTCGAGTACCTCTGTCCCCACTACGAAATCCACCTTCATCTCGCCCACGCCCCGACCCAATGCCGAAGAACCTCGCACTATCTCTCCGCTCAGGATGCACCGCCCCAGGTCCTGCCATCCCTCCATGCTGGGGACCGTGTCCATTGCTCGCACCTCCAAACTGAGGCGGGCGTGCGAAGTACTGTGCCGGGTCTGTAAGGATGATGGATACCAAGACGCCGTCACCAATTTTGAAAGCGCTCTGCTCTAGTGTTTTCTGATCATCGTAAGTCGGTTTGAAGTTGAGCACGGCGCCGAGTTGGTGGACGCGGTATCGGGTGTCCTTGTTTACCGGTCGGACAACATTGTGAAAGGTGATAACTGCGTTGCGCTCAGCTGCTTCTGGGAACTCGGTAGTCAGGAGCGACGCAAGCTCACGGAGAGTCGCATTTTTCCTTGAAATGGGAACAAATTAGCCTCAGAAGAAGGGCTTGTGACGAGTCACACCTACAGGGATCCTCACCAAGTGTGAATCCTGTGTTCGTCTTTTTCCGGCACGCCGCCACGCTGAATATCGTCCGCATTGTATGCTTCTTTTGTATTCACATATAATCGCAAGAGGAACGGGCAAACCTAGGAATGTAGAAGATACGCGAAGTAGTGAATAGCTGCTTCGCAAAACTCCAGATCTCAATCAACCACCCACCTTCTCACGGTCGATTGGGGGACCATTTCGCCTGTAAGCCTTTCCCGTCGGGCCTGTTGTGCTTGGAGCGCTCTTCCCGCCTGACGCTGCGCCCTTCGCCCCTTCGTCATCCACTTTGCGCTCCAATTGTTTGTGCCTGAGATCTGCCCCATTTTCTCCACCTTCTTCGGCCTGATCGACGTCCATCGCTGCATTGTCCGCGACTGTCTTTTCCTGTGTCTCTGTAGGCGTTTCGGTCGTCATTGTGTCGGCGGTGTGGCTGGTGGCCAGATCCTGGATCGGTGAGGCAGAAGGATTCCTCGGTGTGTCGGGGCAGTGAATTTGGAGAATCCCTAATGGCCAACAAGACCCTGAGCCCTGATTTCGACTTCAAATTCCCCAGGGAAATCCAGATTAGAACACGGAGTGTGCAAGATGAGCGCAGGCTAATGTTTTTGTTTAGCGACGGTGCGAATGGCATTGACGGCCGTTTAAACATAAAATCCCCGGGAGCACCCTGTCAATTTAAAACTGCTGTCATCAGCTTGCAACTTGTGGCTTGATAGTTGTTCTCCGGCAGTTGGGCTCAGAACGCCATTGGTACTGTACGTAAACAATACCATCGCTATATCCAATTGTAGACGCATCACAAACACCAACTACAGTGGCCATCAGGGCCAGTCTGCGACTGCCATGTCAGGCCTGTCTATACAGATGGAGGGCTTGAGGCGTCAAGGCCGGCGTCAAAGCCCACATTTTCTGTTCGAGCTGGACGATGTCGTCTTCGACCCGGATGAAGTTGTGGCCGAAGATATCCAGCCTATATTCCGTAATATGCCCATCGACGACATATACCATACTGTCGAAGAGGAGGCCGAGGCCTTGGAAGAAAACTTTAGTCAATCGGTGGGAAACGCAGGGCGTTGCTGGGATACTTGGAAAGTTTCGAGAACATATGCTGACGGAGTTTATCTGCCGAATACAGGAGTCCGACGGTGAGGAAGGTCCTTCTGAAGTAGAAGAGACGGGTATCTCGAAGCAAGCAGAGATGGTAAGCGTCGGAATGCTTGGGAGTTGGGATGGGCACGGATATCAGGAAATGTAAAGTTTGCCTGAGGACTGATTGATTTTCGAATGACAGCCAGCGGAGCCGGCTAGTAGCGTTCATGCCAGCTTGAAGGTAGGTACACATTGCATATTGTGGCTTTCGGAAACATGTTCTTGACAATGTGCGTTCCAACCAGTATCTCTATGCTGCTGTAAACAAACTGGCACCACCTGGTCGCCTGGATGACATCAAAAGACTTCTTGATGAAGTCCGCCCGACGAAATCTAAATGGGTATGTCTCGTTTCCTTAGTCCCAGAGGGCTTCAAAAAGGGGACGCCATTGTGATGCTGATGATTATCTGTTCACCAAACGCACAGGCCAGTGATAATATCGGTCAAGAGAAGTTGTACTTCGCTTTAGAGAAAGTTTTGACCGACTTAAAAGCATATGAGGTAGTGGGCGACTGAGGTTGACTCTTTTAAGATCACTACCCCTGATCACTACCTGTGACCTCCAGGCACACTCTACACCGTTTCTGCACCCTGTCGACGAAAAATTAGCTCCTGACTACTACACCCGTAAGTTAACCTGTCGCGTCCTCTGAATCAGGCCCGAGCTCTTCTTAACCTCCTGGCTTCAATTAGTTATCAAACATCCCATGGATCTCGGCACAATGACTGTCAAGCTAGAGCAGCATAAATACGAATCCAAGGATGAATTCATATCTGATCTCAATCTCATATGGAACAACTGCCATACTTACAATGTCCATCCACCGGTGAGTTCTCTTGATCCGAAAGCGTTGTGCAAGTTTTACATAGTGGTGTAGCTCTAAAGCCATGCCTATAGGACAACATCTATCGCAAGCGCGCCAGCGCAATGCGGCGTAAAAGCACGGACTTGATGAAAAAGGTTCCGGACATTAAAATCATCAAGCTGAGTAGTGATGAGCACGACTCCGGCGACGAAGAAGGTAAATTCCATAGAACTGTCGTATCTTTGTGGTCGTGCGTTTCAGAGCGGACTCTGATTTCCCTCGTTTACGCCTGTCCTGTAGCCACGGAACAGGGTGATGTGACCATTGAACGGCCGTCTGCTGAGCCTGAGGACAATACGCCTTTTGAGCAGGATTGCCTGGTAAGTTTTGACTGGTGCGTGTGATCTCTTGAGGAACTCGCCCTGAGCCTCAAAACGCCTCGTAGGACGATAAAGCGCAGGACGGATTGAGTCTTTCCCCCCCGCCGTCTGAGACGGTCGCACTGGCTGTCCCTGCTGAGGCGTCTCTTCCTCGCGAGCCTTTGCTCGAAAGCATCGTTGAAGTTGCATCTGAACCAGAGAAAGCCAAAGAGAAAAAGATTAAAAGTGTCAAAGACGAAAAGTGGAAGAAAGTCGTCGCACCGCATGTTCGCGAGCAAGCTGTAAGTGTTTTGTAGTTGGGCGTTTCTTGAGATCCACACTCCTCTGACTGTCATTCCCGTCTTCAGGCAAAGCGAGCAGGCCTGCGACATCGTAAGTTTGAGGACATGCCTGCCATCGTCCCCGACCCTGATGCTTTGGCCCAGTCCCTCTATGACGAACAAAGTTTTATCCGCAAGTCTAAGACCTACGCACGCCCATTCTCGGAGCCCGTTGGCTTCGTAAACAAGTTTGGGCCTAACGGCCTAGACCTAGCACCACTCCCGCTGACAGGGCCTAACATACTGAAACATGTCCGCAAGCATCAAGTGGTAGTGCCGGTGCCAGTGACACGTCCAAGGGAACAAGAATTAGACAATAACGCAGAAGCGCGCGTCGGACGCACATTCCCAACTTCGAGTCTAAAACGACGGTCAGAAGAAGGCGCAACCGAGCACACAGCGAAGAAAGTGAGATTTACCGACCCCGCCTCGGGTGATACGCGATTCGCTGGCGACGGCACCTCGGAGGACTCACCCAAACGAAAGCAGGACGACTCAGATGGTGGTGAGGGCAGGGCAAAGAGACAGAAAGTCGTACATGTGCCTATCACCCCTGATGACTATCAATGGCATGCAAGCGATAATCAGGCGTCGCCAGACTCTGATGATGATACTGAGGATAGTGAATCTCCAGATGTTCCTTACAATATTGAGGATGATTTCATTTGGGAATATGAGGGGAGCTTCTTTCCTGAAAGGAACTTTCCGGGCGGAACATATCCTGGGATCTCACAGAAGCCGTTGGTGATTGGGAAGCAGATGATTGAGCCGGATGTTCTCTTTGAAGATCCTGGGTAAGGGTTCCGTAGTGAACGTCTCTTCGCTGCCTTCATTACACATTGTGAATCTGACACGAAGTCGTAGGGAATTGTATGCGAGGCTTCCGTCACTCTCTGACTTCCCGGAAGTCACCGAGCCCGATAAGGGAATACTGAACAATCGCATCGACAAGAACATCAAAGAGCTGAAGCGCGTGAAAGTTCTGCATGCCAAGATCCAATCTCATGAGGTACTCGACCATCCACCTCATTCATTTGATAAACAGCTTCTGTCTCACATTCGTCTTGTTGCAAACAGAGTGGACAGCCCCCGGACCCACCTAAGCCGTCGATCCCAAAGTATCACCCGCCTACCGACCTTTCGGAGCACCCATCGTTCCAGCTGAACTCGGAGGCAGCGGCGGATATCGCTAAGCAAGCCGTTGCGAAATTGCTCATGCATACTGGTTTTGACAGTAGGCATCCATCTGATTGTCTTGTCGCGTATGCAGCTCCAACGCTCACCCCCTCTCATCTGCAGCTACAACGGACAAAGCGCTTTCAACGCTCACAGATCTATTCACCGAACATCTTTGCAACCTGGGCAAGACGATTGCGTTGTACACTGAACAATTCGGAAAGCTAAAGTCTGATGAGGTAAGGGCGAATGAAATCTGCATGGCTATCACATTGGCAGCGATGCTTACATCTGTGTTGGGGCCACGCAGGAAATTTTGGGACATGTCTTGCAAGAGAATGGCGTCGCTCGAGCAGGTGTCTTGCATTCCTATGTTCATGATGTCGAGCGGCACGGACCGCGGTTGCGGACGTTGCGGAAGAAAATGGACTATGCTTATAAGGACGCCACTAAGGTGAGTATCTGCACCCCGTCTTTAAGGCCGCCTCTGAATCTCAACTAATACCGGACTTCCCATTTGCAGCCCAAACAGAAAGGTCCAGCAGATTATGATGTCGAAGCCGCGACAGACGATTTTGTCAGCGGGAACTTCCTTGGCGGTGACCTCGACATGCTGAACTTGAAAGAACTAGGTATCGAGGGCGTCACCAGCGTAAGTTCCCGAGCTGTCTACTCCTTCGAAGGATCATGCTGAGCATGCCTACCACCTTTCGATTACTCACCTGGGTCTTTTCGTGCACAGATTCCTCGCGAGCTTTGGAGGAAGATGGTGAAGAAGCGCCGGACATACAAGGCTAAGATCAAACGCAAGATAGTGCACAAGTACGTAGCAAATCAGATGAGAGTTCAGGGAGCCCGTACTTACCATTGTCCTTTCGTATTCATCTGATGCAGAGTGGAAGAGCCTGGTATGTCTCTCAACGTACTCGATACTGGTGGGTGTCATCAAACTAACGGTAGTTCTTGCTTTGCAAACAGCTGTCAAACACAAGCGACTGACCAACTTTCCCGACATCGAGGCGTGGAAGCCAGTTGACCCTGAGAAGGTTATTGGCCTCTTAAAGCCCTTCTATCACGAAAGGGTCGAGAGTGGCAAGATGGAAGAGGTTCGTTGCACTCGTCGTTACTTCCATCCTACTTTTAACTCACACGGAGGCTCGCTTTTAGGATACGCCTTCGGTTCGCCTGAACGCAAAGGAAGCCGTAGCACAACAGCCCGTCGGTCCAACGGTCAAGAAAGACGACCTAAACCAACCGTACGCCAAACGCATGGTCCTCTACGCGAAAGAAGGCCGCGCCAAACGCCCTGCACCCACATCGCAACCCGCAGCCGTGGCCGCTGCCACTAAGAGCAGCGCCGCGCCCATGGCAGCTGCCTCGTCCAGTGGCGCGAAGCGTAAGCGTGGGGCGGCGGAGATGGCTGCAGCCAAAGCGGCTAAGGAAGAAGAGAAAATACGTAAGGCGGCGCAGAAACAGGCCGAGAAGGAGGAGAAGCAAAGGTTGAAGGAGCAGGCAGCTAAGGAAAAGAAGGAAAAGCAGGCGGCTGCTAGGGCTGCGAAGGTGAGCTTTGTGTGAGTTTACGGGCTCGAAGGCACACATATCTGATTTCAATTTGACCACAGAGAAAGAAATCGTAGTCCCGTTAGTCAAAGCAAGACAAGGCATTGCAAGGCATATGGCATTTTTATGAAGGCTCACGAGTTTTTGGGTTTGAGCGTGCAACACGAGTAGGAGCTCTTTTGGACAGACACTGTTAGATGTAGCGTCAGCACATCGAATTTTTGGATGTAATGTAGGAACAATAAGGAATGCTGGATCATTGGTATTGGCAAGGAAGACCGAGAGAGCGCAATAAATTGAGATCTGAGAGCTACGGGCGGGGATATCCCTCGCGCGTGTCTTCGACTTGGTCGTTCTAGCAGTTTTTAACGCGGCAACCATGAGCCGACAAACAACTTCTGCCCATGGCTACTCGTACACAGGCCTGGCAGCTTTATCCGGCCTGGCAGGCGCCGTAGCCTCCGTCATGACAAAGCTCGCCGCCACGCCCGAAGTGTCTGCTGGCTCCGACGCGTCCCATCGTGTGTGTGTGCTGGTGATGGATGCTGTGCTGGCATTGGGGAGGAGAGAAGAAGGCGGGGTGGAGACGTGTGTTGCATTGGCTAAGAAGGTATGGTTTTTGCCGCTCGTTTTCGGAGGGAAGCTCCTAGATCTCTGCGCTGACTCCGCACCCTAACAGCTCACATTCACGCACAACCCTCTCACGTCCCTCACCGACCTCTTCGCCCCCAACTCCTTCCCTCACATCCTCCTAACCTTCCTCCTCCCCCGGACCATCTCCATCCTCCTCCTCATCGTCTCCAACATCGCCATGTGGACTGTCTTCACCCGCGCTCTCGCCCGCGCACCGTCGTCCGCGCACGTAACCGTGATCAACAACGCTATGCAGGCGGTCTGCGCTGGGATGTTTGGGTGGCTGATATTTGGCGAGCGGGTGAGGGCGGGGTGGTGGATAGGGATAGGGTGTATAGTTGCGGGATCGGTGCTGGTGCAGAGGGGCGGTGGGGGAAGGGCTGATGGTGCTGTCCCTGGGAAGGGGTCGCGAGATCGCAAGAAAGATAGATAGGGGTTATCGGGAAGCATGTGTGAAAGCCTGGTCGACGCATCAGGATCTGACACTACATATAGATGGATGCACCCGTGGGTCCACCGAGAGCGATCATCGTCCACATGCTTGCCCCGGCGCTCTCTTCATCTATCTTGACCCCTTGCCACGGCACATAGGTTCAGGAAGCTCTTCCAATTGGGAATGGAACAGATTGTCATGAAATGCCCTATGTCGCAGTCGGCTTTGAAGATTGTTGTTCAACGAGAAACGACGCAATATCAACGCTGCACACATCTCTCCATACTTCGTCGCCTCCGTCGAAAGTGTGACCTTTCCAGAAGAGGGAACGTCTTTCACATCGCACAAGCGCATGGCATCCCTTTCTGATCGGGGCTATGAGGGTCCCACGGCATCCCTCTGTTTGAAACTATGAGGGACCCCTCAGAAATGAAGATACTTCCCAAACTTTCTTGGTATCTTGCCCTACGTATTCCCAAACTCTTTCCACAAGACTGGAATCCGCAGATTCTACATACTCTATCCCAAGCTACCTACGCTCCCTATCCGACAAGTCCCATCCCCTCTATTTGGCCTCGCTCTTCTTGTCCTTCCTAGCCGTGCTAGAAATCGCCGCACCATACATCTTCGTGATCTCCGTCTCCACTTTCGGGTGGTAGAACCGGCGGTCGGTGTTGCGGAGAAGCGCGGTTGTGTTCCATCCGTAGTTCTGGCTGGTTGTTACTGGGAGTGGTGGGCGGGGAGCGTTGCTGGATTGGCGCATGTTGGCTGGTTCGGACATGAAGTAAGAACGTTGAACATGGGAGATGCAAGCAACGTTGTTCTCCATCAAAGGATATCTTACAGAGGTCCAAAGGCTTGTTCGCCACATCCTTCTCGATATCCTGAATGTTGATTCGATTGGGCTTCTCCGCTACCACGAGTCCTAGAAGATAGAAGTATTGGTACACTGATCACGCCGAAGCGGTTCTTCTCTCCTTTACGGATGTCCATGGTTCATACCTTTCTCAACAGTCGGCGTCAACAAGAAGCTCTCATAGACGCTATACCTTTGCATCTCCTTCCGGACCGTTTCGGCATGAATGGCGGATTTGAACACTTCATTTACTGGCTCAATTACTCCGGGCGCTCCTCCTGCGACGGCCGCAGGCATGGTTACTTGTCGGTATTTTGGAGGTGATATGGGAAGCGGAGTATCGGCTAGTCGGTGGGTAGTCGAAGCTGTTGTAGTCGACGAGAACAGAAATGGAAGCTATCACAGCGAGAGTTTCTGTGGGAGCGAGAGCTTCTGGATTAAGGTCTGCGGCCTAAAGGTTTTAGAAACGGCGCAGAAAATTAGCTCGAGTCAAAACGCTGTCGGGGATTTCAGAATGCCGTCAAAAAAGGGAAATTGAACGTGGCTTTTGACGGTGTCATTCTTGGTCGAGTTTTTCCAGGAGCTTTGAAGTTCGAACTCATACAGTGCCCCCTCCAAGCAAGGGCCTGACTTCATTTTCATAACAGCGCCTCTATTTCACATTCGCGCTTCTACCAGCATGCGCTTGACTGTTCCGAGAAGTTGTATGGAAATTGTGCGGTACACGTGCAAATGCAGCTGCTTCACCTTCTGCTAAATACGACCTCCTTCTCCCATCCGAGAATGCGGACAGCGCTATCAGTTTTGCCAATTTGCTCGCAGTTTCACGCTTGTAGCGCTTCATGGGTTCGGAGCGAATTCAGCTCGCTAATGGCATCCCCACATTATGTCTCGGTCCCCGGGGCAATGTGATTGAACGGACGTATTCGGCGAGTTGTTTCTCCGCAATCATCTGCACCGTACGTGTTATGGCCCATGTTTTGCATATGGGTTTGTCCATCAAGGAGGATGGCGGGCCGGGAAAGGTACGAATTTTTCGTTCGCGGCGCAGATTCGAAGTGAAGGCCAATCCGCCGATCAAGGCAGGAGCGGAAATTCGCTGAGAACGGTGCAACACAGCAGGTAACCAGGAGATAAAGGCCGCGGCACCGGTTGACATCCGCAGTTGACGGAATGCATAAAGGCGCTGAAGAATGAGTGCAAAGTTTCGGGTTGAAGGCGGTTCACAATCGTGTATTGCAGTGGGTTTATCTATGTATGGCGGGTAATGCGCATTCCAATGGCAACTGGAACAATAAATAGAACTATGTACAAGGTGATGATGGCGGCCAAAAGAGGATTATGGGGACCATTGATGCATCACGGATTTCAGCGAGGGCCTCCAAGAATGGTGCCCTTTCCAGAGGGTGCAATAACCATGCTCTCCACGGCCGCCTTTGTTTGCTTCTTCGCAGGCGGGGATGGAATTGCGGGCTCATCTTGAAGATCGCAACGGAAGAGAGAAGGGGAGACCAAAAATGGGAAATACAGAGTGATGGGATCCATGATGTTAGTCAAAGAACAACACATCGTAGAGACGTGTGCCATCCCACATCAACCCACCAAGTAGCATGGAAGACGTTTCATCGATTTCCATTGCGCCACTTCCAGACTTCTCGGCGATTCGCTGAACGGCCTAAGTGAACGAAACGATACGCTTAATTAGGATGTGCACAGAATTGCCGACTCTACGACATTGTAGATCTATGGAACTCGTTTCACTCACCACTTTGCTGGCAGTCCGCAATTGCCTGATCTTCTTCTTGCTTAACAACTTTGGCTTGATAACCGAGTTGTTCTTTCCCATCCGTCCCGCCTTCACAACCTGCACTTTCTTCTCCAGTTTCCTCACGTCGAGCACCACAGGAGCGCCAGCACTCTCTGCAGTGATCATAGCTCCCTCGTCGACGCTGTCCCCAAGCGTTTCCGCTTGCTCTTCCACGGCCTGATTGCAAAGGTCAATTGCCGCCAGAATGCTCTTGTTGGTCGAAGTGAGCAGACTCTTCGAGGTACGCTTGCCGGATATCTTGCGCAATTGATTTTGGCGGCGACCAAGCTTGGTGAGGTTCGTGCGAACCTTGTTGTACATATTCACCTACGAATTGAAAATACGAGTTGTCAATGCGTGCACATATTTTGCTGTTTCGACGACCTTCAAGACAAGACTCACCATTGTGATAGAGTTTAGAGGTTAGCGGCGAACGGGTCGCTGCTGAAAGGGGTTGAACGGAAGTGTCGAAGCAGTTGCTCCCGAATAGGTCGAGACGAAGAAGACGAATGCTAAGTTGGTCGAGTCGTTGTGCTCTACCCGCTTTGGTTCCGAGGTTCACTTCGGTAATGTTGGTAGCGCAAGTTGAGGGTCGAGAGGATCAAGTGGGAAAGCAAAAACTGGATCTGCATTGGATCTGCAGCGCAAAAACAGTGACAAAATATTGAAAAGGCATCACGTGATTGACACACTAGGAGAGACTTTAAATGTGTGCTACCTTTTTTACGGCCGGCACGGTGACATCTGTGACAAAATCGCGTGGGAAAAAACGACCCCGCGTACTGTACAGTACAGTACTTCGAACTCCGGAATCTTGCAACATCCCCGACACTAATTGTAAACAAAATTCACAATGCTAGAATCGTCAGCGGCTCGGGTGAGTCTGTCAGTGTAGGTCTTTCCATCCAGCGGCCTTCTCACCTCATAATTTATCGTTAGTCGCGCGACCGAACTAACCAAGGGACGAATGGTCGCGGCGGTGCGAATGTTCCCGACCCTCCTCCGAGTCTAGCCGCAACTACGGAGCGTATGTTCAATATGCTTACCTCGCTACTTTACGATCTCGACGGAGTTCCATCTTCTTCTCTATAGTTCTTCGGAAGTTGAAGCGACAGAATCATGACTTTGTCCGGTGCGTGACGCTGAACTCTGCGGAGGGCAAACACGTATTCATAGCGTGCACGCTTTACAGTGCCAACGCTCGGCAGGCGTTGCGGATACGTGATCTGGAGAACGACAGATCCGCGGCAGCAGTGAGCAACTTCTGCAGCCTTCTTCAGTTTGCCGAGGTCTGAGATTGAGATTGCGTCTGTGGTTGTAGTCGGCGAAATTTGAGCTCCAAAGCGAGGTTGTGCAGCTCACCGCTGAGAATGAAATGCTCAAGGCGCAATTAAAAGATCTGAAGGATGTCCGGAAGAAGGAAGACATGGAGAAGCTTCAGGTTTGCACCTTCGCAACGTGAATGGCTTTGTCCGGGCCGGAATGAACTGTGGAACTCAAGGCTATCAGGACGACTGTGGCTGGACTGGAATCGACCGCGGAGGCACTCTGCCTGCAAGTACGGATGGCTCAGGTTGAGATTGACCTCTGTCTAACTCGTAAGGCGGAATGCTATTCTGGAGGAGAGCCGGCAAAGCCGGACTTCCGGTAACAATGGATACCTGACGCATATCTTCTCCATCGCTTCCTGAAGAGGACCACGGCGAATCGGCAGCTCATGGACAGGGCCGGTCGCCCGGAAAGTCGCCGGCGGAACGCCATGAATTAGTGGTACGGTGGGGACAAGCCATCGGTTTCCATCCCTCTGGTCTAAGCTAACCTATCTCCTATAGCCATCCAATCCGCGGAGCCCTAGCAAATCGCCAAATACAGGACTGAATGCAGCGGCTACGTGGGATTCGCCAAAGAGGTCGGTCAAGATCAATGCAAAATCAGTACCACATTTGAGGTCACTCGGCAAACCGAACTGGGTACCGGCTCCGCACATTGGCTCGATTGGAGAGGATGGGGAAGAGCCCGAGAATCCCAAACCTGGAAACGAGGAAGTCAAGCGACATGGTATGCTGCTGGATGGAGCTTGCTAACGAAATTTTGGCTTTATTCACAATTTCTTTTGCGCCTCAGACAGCGCAAACGACAAGCAAAACAAGCGGGACTTAGCGCAAATGACAACCAAAAGAAAAGCCTTACAGGCAATCTCACCGAATCGGTTCTACGCTTCGCCTGCAACACGATCCACGACTCGCGCTTTCGTTTCCGAACCGAAGACTTCCGGACTGGGGTTACAATCCCCGCCGCAGGAATCGCGAAGTCCGGAAGGTATGACTTCGGTACATCTTTTCGGTGTTGTTGCATCTCAAACTGACGTCCAGCGCAGGACGTGGCCGGAGACGCGTTCAAGCGAAGAGCTATGCACTGCCAAGTTTGCGAATGTGAGAACGAAACGAGTGCAAAAAAACTCCTAGCGAAGTGTTTTACTGATTGACTTTTAACGGATTCTCTACTCTATTCGGCACACAGTAAAATGAGACAAGGTATGTGAACACGAAAGAGAGCCTTCATAGGCTGCAGAACACCTTGCTTCCCATTTATCTTGTACAGGCGATGGCGTAACACCCATTGGCGGCGCAATAGCAAGTGCAACGACCGGACCGAAACGCGCGAAGGCAAAACGTACCCCAGCAAAGAAAAAGCTGCCCGCAGGTGTAACGACCGTCTCCGTACCGCTCTTATTCAACATGGAGACTCGAAACAGGACAACGTCACCTTTACCGCCGACACCACCCAAGGATACAGCCCTCTAGGAGAATATTTGACAGTTGTAGTTTTGTTGTGTTCAGGGCTTGGCTCATTCGGGGGATTTTCATTCCTATTAGAACGTCCTTCTTGGCCTAGCACCGTGACGGATGGGTTTATCACGACCATCCGTGCTTATGAAACTTGGAGGAGCGCGTGAGAAAGGGCGTACTTATATCGAATGGAGCGGTTTTATGTAATTGGAAAGACTGTATTTCGGGTCTGAATCATATTGTATTTGTGTTAACACCTCACACCGGATTGTTGGACTATCTCGTACTACATATGTATCATCAACAAGAACTTCCCGAACATCGACTATATACAGTACAAACGTTGTCAATACATTCACAGAACAACACACAATTTCCCCATCCCGCACATATCGCGCCGTCCGCCTGCCACCCCTCAAAAAAGCAAGACCTTCATCAACACAAACTCACCAAAAACCGCTAACAGTTCACAGCAACTCCTCACCATCATCATCCTCCCCCTCCACATCCCAGTCCACCCCTTCCACATCCGCCTCCGCCGCATTCCTCAGCTCCTCCAACCCCGCTACCCTCTCTAAATACGCGGGGTCCTGCACCGCCTTCACCACAAACTCCACCCCCTCTTTCGCATACGCTCCCAACACCCGCGCCGAGCACGCAGGACAATTGTCAAACGCCTGCGACACAAACGGCAGGATCGCGAAATGTGACAAGAATCCGCGGAGTTGATGCGGGGTCGTACCCAGCGGCGTACGGGTGAGGTCGTCCGTGGAGGTATCGTTGATCGGGTGGGCGGAGGAAGATGTCGGGGGTGGCGGCGCTGGGCAAGCAGCGCCTAGAGGGTGGTTGAGGAGGGAGACGAGCAGTTCGACGGCGGTGGACGAGGCGAGGGAGGAGATTCCGGGGCGGGTGACGGTGCATTGTTGGTCGAGCGTGCGGTCGTGGAGGGAGTCGGTGGGGCCGACGACATCGGTGCAGAAGTAGCAGCCGAGGTGGGGTGGTGGGGTAGTGTCGCTTAGGGGGGTGTTTATTAGGGTTGTTGTTGGGGAAGGGGTTGGGGACTTGGCAGAGACGCGCACGCCGTGGCGCATGACCATGAATGTGTCGAAGCCTAGGGCGGCGTTTATGACGATTTTGTTCATGCTTGAGGCGAGAAGTGTTGGCAGCCAGCGGCTCTCACGGCTGTCGGTGAGGAGGAAGATGGCGTCGTGGGATGCAATGAGGTCCCGGAGAATCTCAATGTCCTTCACGAGCGCAGCTCGTCCTGGGTCCTGACCACCACCATCTGCGCCAGCGCTTGGTGATGACGCCGGGTGGTAGTGACCCGGCATAGGGATATTGAAGCTATGCGCACTCGCATTCACTCCCGGGAACACTTTCTTCAGATTGTCAGCGGCGGCCACCGCTTTGGTCTTTCCGCCATCCAAGCAGTCCGCAAACTCGAAGAGCGGCTGTCTCACAGGATTCGAGAATGATACCTTGCCGTTATCCACAAACGTGATGGTGCGAACGCCCCACGCCATCAAACATCTTGCAACATGGCATCCCAGTGTCCCAGAGCCGAGCAAGAGGCACTTGGTGACGGATATCTTCTCCAGCTGGAGTGTGGGAAGGATGCGCCATCTCATCAGTTTGAGATTGAGATCTACGGCCGTGTCAGCTAGCTTGGCGGGATCCATCAGCGGCGCGAGGTCGGCGATGCGTGGCCCTAGCTTTCCGGCGGGGTTCTTCTCCCATCCGACTGATTTGGGTGTAACATTTGGATCTGCGTCAAGGCTGCTAGGCGGAATCGTGATGTCGCATACGATAGAGTTCAACTCGAGGCTGGACCGGAGGCCTTCGCGATAACAAATGACGGTTACTTTCTTCACTTTCCAACGCTGGGTGAGCAGTAGAAGAAAGTTCCGCAAGGGCCAACCAGGATTGTCCGTGAGCCCAGACGGATCTACAAAGCCGACGACTGGATTCGCTTGTCCAGCATTGACCCGTTCCCATTCCTTCAACTCGTATAATTTGATGTCATCGCCACTATCCCCCGAATCTCCGACTAAAAAGAAATTGAGGGGCTTTGCTCGATGTTGCTCACGCAAGGCCTCGATCTTTTGCTTGCTGAAGACCTCATCCAGTGGCCGAGGGGCCGCATCCAATAGGTACGGCTCGGTCGGCAGCAATGCCGGGAACCCAAACCAGTACGTGTACTTGTATTTCTTCAAATCGGCAAATGTAAGCAACACGAAACGAGTAAGCAGCGCCGGATCCTCCACGGCGCGCCCAGATACGATGTCCTCCCATATCTGCCGCGCTGCATTCTGGAAGGCCTCGTTCTTGTCGAGATTCTTGAACTCTTCTATCGTATTTGTGTTTTGAAGTGTTCCCGGGGCGGTACATGTCGCAGCGGGTGTGATGTCATCTTGGCCCTGGGCGTCAAACGAACGCGCACTTACAGACAGCCGAGCGACGGAAACGGGGCGAGCGGATGCTTCACTCCCAGCTTCACCCCTCCTCGATATTGTAATGGGCTGAATCGATGAATAACACCCTCGGACATCTTTTGGTGCGTCGTCGAGACGGTACACTTCGATTTTGTTTCTGGAGAGCGCATGCCAAAAGGTTGGGTCTACCGCGCTGCTAAAACTTTGGAACTGGAGGATCATTTTGCGGAGGGACGAGCCTCGTTCGTCAGACGGGAAGGTGTATGATACTGGAGAGATACTTGTCTGTCCTCACGTTCGTACTGTAGAAACGGAGGATACTTGGTGAGAAGCAGGTGAGATGCCGGGTGAGATGGGGTGAAACTCACCAACGCAACGGTTTTGGTCGAACGCGTGGCATCCGAGGGCTCTGATGAGGGTCTATATCTACAGATGTCCGGCCAGCACCTCTCTCCTCTCTCTCTCAGCATTTCACTGGCTTGCTTCTGTGAGCGGTTAACTTGCAGATCTGATAGCATTGAGAACTCGGGACACCGTGAAGGAACCGAGTCTTCCCGACCAGAGGGAGCTCAAAGAGCTCAACCGAACAATGTCCCATGTCACTGGTACCGCTAGACTACGGAAGCTCCGACAGCGACAGTGAAGCCGATGGGAAGGCCGTAACCCAGAACGCACTCGACAAAACAGAGGTGGGCGTTACCCTCTCGAACGTGCTCACAACTCACATCTGGACCCCGGAGTTCAGTGTGAAGAACGTCACCTTCCACGATGAACACGAAGTTCCTTGTCAAACCACAACCGTCAGAGTCCGCCAACTCCTTGACGCCGACTACGGGAGCTATATCTGGCCCTCGGCGTTAGTCCTCGCAGCTTACATCCATCACTGCCGGCATCGTTTCGCTGGTACCAGGGTCATTGAGCTTGGATGTGGGACAGGACTGCCTGGCTTACTTGCTGCCAAAGTTGGGGCAGCGCAGGTCCTTTTGACCGATGCGCCGATATTTGCACATGTGTTGGATAACGCAAACGTGGCAGTAACTATGAATGGACTGGATGGAGTATGTGACGTCCAAGGGGTGCCTTGGGGTGTATTTCCTCCCTTGCCGCCTGCGCCGGCAAGCACAATGGCCAATAGTGTCATGGACAGTATCTTGGAAGAGGAGAGCCCAAGATCAGAACATTCATTCGACTTCATAATCGGTGCAGACGTGTTTTACGAACCAGCAAGCTTCGACGATCTCCTGGCGACAGTTGCCTACATTCTGATGCACAGTCTGAGCACTGCTGAGTTCATCACGGCGTACCAAGAGCGTAGCTCGCGACGAACGATACAACACCTGTTGGACAAATGGGGCCTGACCGCCCGGATCGTGGACAAGGTCGATTTTGGGGGATGGGGAAGCTCATGGAGTATTGATGGGCAAACGGACTCGATCCCTCCCGAAATTGGGAGCGTCATACTATTGATTATAAGCAGAGTCACGCCGTATTGAAGATCCCTCTCTGTATCACACTATTTACGACTGCATATAAGTTATTGCCGGAAGTACGGGGCAACCACACGCCGAGATTGCTGTAGACGACGTGGATTATGCCCCGCCTCGTGAACATCCACTTCTCCTTTCGGACCTTGTCAGGAACCGCGCCTTCCCGCCACCCGAAATGGCAGAACTAGTTGAACGACAGGCCCGCGCCTGCGCGCCACCCACTCTACATATGTACCATAGTTTTCCAGTTGTCACATTTCACCGCATTCGGCAATAATCACAGGCAACTAAGCACGTGCGGAAAAACATGAGGGCGACGATCGGAAGTTGGAAATTTGTTAAACTAGCAGCTTACCTTCGGTCGGTTTTGGGGCCCGGTTGGCACGTTTTCGATCTTCCGCAATGTCAGAAGCCCATCAACCAGCCGCCCAAACACGACGTGTTTTCCGTCCAAGAAGTCGCACTTGGCGCATGTTATGAAAAACTGGAGCCAGTTGTAGGTTAGTTCGAAGGTAACAAAGGTAACCGGTGTGGTCAAACATCCCCACCTGCGATCCGTTGGTATTTGGTCCGCTGTTTGCCTGCAAACCAAGTCGTCAGTCGAATGCGCGCCATCCGAGGAAGAATGCGATCTGAAATGATACCATCGACAGGAGTCCTGGTCCACTGTGCTTTAACGTAAAGTTCTCATCCTCGAACTTGTCACCGTATATGCTCAAAGAGCCGCTTCCATCACCCTACTCGGATATGACTTAGCATTGGATATTCACCACAAACCGCGACTCGGTTTTACGGCATTGGGGATATCTCACCTTCAAGAAGTCTCCCCCTTGCGCCATGAAGTCTGATTCATGGCAAAGCATCAGTCGCCGCCATCTGCATCAAGTGCACTTCCGTTTTCCCTCTCTTTACCTTTGATGATCCTGCGAGATGGACTCGGTTAGGTGTCTCAAGATCTCGACAGAGTACATCAGCTATCTCTTACCGATGAAAGTGACATCCTTTGTAGCCCTGAGGTACCCCGTTCTTCCTATAAGAACGCATTCCGTCAGCCGTCGCGATCCCTAAACAACAATCGCAACAACTTCCCCGCTCCCATGGTCGGAGTCGGGAGCCTCTTACTTGTATTCCCCGGTACACAGTTGCCGGAAGTTCTCTGCCGTCCGTGGGACCACGTCTTTGAAAAGCTCCATCTTCAGACGCCCAACTAGAAGGTAATCGTATCGAAGAGTCGTCAGTCACGCCCATTGCGGTGTGGTCCAACTTTGCCCTCCCTTTCCACGCACCTGGTTGACCACCTGCATTGACATGAGAGGGGCAGTGTCAGAAACCCTGAGTCAGAAGTCCAAACCTAGATGCTGCTAATAGAACCATCCCCCTCCCCCAACCCCCCGGCACTGCAGTGTTACGCACCAATTGTAACGTCGAAGAACACCTGCAAGGTTGCATACCAAGATCAATAAGCTGTCCCAACGAGAAAAAGACCGACCGAACAGACTTACTATGGGGTTTTCGCGAGACATTGTAGGTAAATCAGTATAAGCCTAGTCCACAGTGCACACAGTAGGGGCAGGTGTGTAAGTGCAATCGTCGTCGGAGCCCAGCGTAACTCCAGGAAATGTGACCGAAATGTCAAATGTTGTATGTACGCGACATGATGCATTTCCCATTCGGAGGTGAACCCACGAGCAACATTGAACAAGCTTATTCCAGTCGACGTGCCGGACTTACAGCCAGGTGGCTTCAACTCGTCATTCTGGGCTATGATAGGAACGCCTCGCTCGTCGCAAATGGCTCCGGCACAGGTGGCAGAGGTCCATATCAACGGACACCAGGACCTCAAAATCGACACAGCTGTGGTGAGATAGTGTGGCTTTTCGTTACGATGCATTCATAAAGACTGAGTGTGCTTCGATAAAAACGAAAGAATCCCGAGAAAGCCACGCAGCGAATAGAGGATATGGAGCAACCACAGCAGAATGGGAAGGAGGAGGAGACAAAACCCAAGCGCATTGACACGATTGCGTTGAAGAAGCAGCTGGCTGTGGCTTTGGGAGAGCGTGGGGACGAGTATTGGACGAAGCTGAAGGATTTTGTCGCGGGGAAGTGCAATAGAGCAGAGTTTGATGTGGTGGCTAGGGAGATTTTGAATAAACATAAAGGTATGGATGGGCGGACCATGAGAAATTGGGGCGGAAGGACACATCGGTGGATGCCTTCGATTTCGTTCATCCGTCACCGATTGATAACTGACAGCACATCATCCATCCACAGTATTACTGCATAACCGACTGATAATGGCCATCCTCTTCAACGTATACCGGGCCACCCCAATACCCACCGACGTCCATCCACATAAAGAGTTCTACGTGCCACCGGATCCATCAACCGTGAAACTAAAACGAGAGTCGGCAGTGCAACTACCCAAGTATGCATCTGCGCCCGATCCAGATGCATGGCCGGAGTACTGGGTGACGCGGAAACGGAAAGCGGCGGATGACATGACGATACCGGATTGGAAGACCAAAGTGCGGCGGAGGGAAGTCATGTCGTTCGGGATTTCCGAGAGGCAACGGATTAAGAACTTGGTACCGGTAAGGGAACCAAATGTCGGCTGCCGCGGTTTGTTCAGTATCGAGTCTGCTCACAGTGTTTGCACGGTATTACAGAAGAACACAAACATGATCAGCGACCCAAAGACTGTCCCACTCCCGACGCGATACCCCAAGGAAGTAGAGTTGCCATTACATGAAACGATACCCAACCCTGCCGCAATTCCATCAGGTACGCAGAATGCGCGGCCTTACTTGCTGCCCACACGTTTCAAACTGACGCCTCCCCGTCTTTCCACTTCAGAACCATCGCAATTCCCGCCATTATGTCAAGATCAGGGATCATTACCTACATTCGACAACCTACGCGAGCTTATGACTTTGGGTGCCAAGATCGAGGGCCTGGCAGAGGGCATCGAGTCAGATGACTGCGTCAAGCTCATCGATGGCGCGTTACGGGTATGTGGTACGCCGGGTTCTTGCATCCGGATAAGATTCTCTAATGCCTCTTGCCAGACGTTTATCATGAACCAACTATCCACCATCCTCCGCACAACCCTCTCCAGCCCTTCTTCAAGTTCCGCATCATCCACAAGTCCAAAGGGCGAGTCTTCAACATCATCAGTGAATGCGGCGCCGCTGCTCCCAGCAGACGACGACCGGCCGCCCACATATATACCGTTATCACATGTTCTGTTCACATCGCGCTTACGGCCCTCGGTATTCGCACGATCGATACCGCTATTGGAGGAAGCAACGGCGATGATGGACGAGTTTGAGGGAACGATTGAGGAGAAGGTCGGGGATATCAGTCGGGCCGCACACGGTGAATGGGTCGCGCCGTGAGTGCTCCCGATCCCGACGAGTGCGCATTCACCCTCATGACGCCAATGCGTGCCACATGGGACACCTGAAGCATATCATTATGGACGCACTGCAGTGCACGAGGGCCCCTACAATTTTGGTTCCCTTTTGAGGGCAACACCTCTTCGCCCCCCCATGGCGCGGGCAAGTGGACAAAACACATTTTGGGTGATTGGAGTCGTCACAGAAATGGGTCATTTGTCCGCGAAACAGCTACCCGCCCCTACAATTATGTACATAGTCGCTCAGATTGACAGTTACAGGCATCTCCGCTACACCACACATTTTCGTCCAACAACTGCCCCGTTTTCTACTCGAAGACGACGTTGGACTGTCGTTGCACAATCCCCCTTCCCTAAAACGACAATACAATATATCACGCGTTCTGGCGTATTCGTCCGCATGCTTCACATGTCCATGTTTGTCTGCTAGGTCCATGTTTCCGTGCATGTGCTGTTTTTAGGCGCAGGTCTTTGGCGCTGTCAGTACGAGCTGGGGAAGGGTCTTCGGTTATCGCCGGCGATGCTTTTGTCAATCCTCCTTTTGTTCCCTCCGTGGCTGGCTCAGGTTCATGAGAGCCGGCTAGAGCGGATGGCATGAATCGGCCCCGGCAGCCATCCTTGCGGCACAGCAACGCGCTGAGATCGGTCAGCGTCCGCGGAGGCGTCGTGGCATCCGCTTCGAATTCGCATCGCACACATGCACACTTGAAGAAAAACATGTCGTTGAGCGCCATGCGTCGTCTCTCCACTGCCGACCGTCCCTCTCCATCCCCAGCGGCATCAGTATCAGCCTCGTCCAGCTCAATGTACGAAATCACCGCCTCATCTCCGCGCTTGATGTCTCGCGTAGCGTAGAATATCAACTCAGTATAATCCACCATTTTCTCCTGCCCTCCGGATGCTTTGACCGTCCCCGCACTCGACTCCAAGCAAGTGTTTGTGATATGTCCGACATTCGGCAAGCACGAGTGGTTGAAGAACACAGCTCTGGGGTACAGCGCCAACGCGTAACCCTGCCGGGGAACGGTGGGACCCTGATATGCGAATGTGTAGAGCCCGAAGGAGTTGCATTCTTCTTTGCAGATGAGCGTGAGTAGCGACTTGTACAGCGCCGAGTGTTGCGGTGAATTCGAAGCGGCCGCATTTGGCGGCGGTGATTTTGGGTTCGGCACATCTTGCGTTTCAGGCGCCCACAATAACGAGTCCTCGACATCCGATGGGAATTTAAATCCTGGTAGCAGATGCCCCTGCACAAAGTGCAACAAATGTCCGGCAACGACATGAAACCTCTTGACCGCCTCGGCGGAGAACGACGACGCGTTGGAACAGAGCGCCCAGACATCCTCAAACCGCATCGTCTCCTCCGCTTCCCTCGCAGATGTATCATCTTTCACATCATGCTCCTCACCCTTCACCTCCCACGCCCTTCCAATGAGCACCCTCACAAGCAGCCACAGGTAATCCCTCTCATACTCCGTCAATGCGCCGTCATCGTCATTCTTCGTCGTCGCCCCCAACTCCGCCAAAAACGCGCATTCGAACCGATGGAATTTCAGAAAGTCCCGGTCGGCGCAGGTAGACGTACAATAGGATGCTACGCAACAAGTAACACAGCTGACCGGCAGCGGTTGCCGTTCTCGTTCAGGCGAAGCGGAATGTGACTGCTCTTGATGCGTGATCTTTGGCGGTTTCAGACAATGCGCGCAGACGAACGTTCTGGAGCCGCAGTCTGCAAATAAGAGGATATCCCCCGTCAAAGTCAGCTAAATCTCCCAACGTAACCACATCTATGATTATGACCCAAGACACCCCGCCGCGATCGTGATAGAATGACTGTGCACATACCGGGAATCGCAGCATAAGGTTTCGTTCTCAACACTACGTCGCCCGCGCTGACATCTTCGTTCAGAAGGAAGCTGCGGCCTTTGTGTGGCAGGGCGGTGATATCGAGGAGAGGTGGACGGTTGCCCATTGTAGTTCTGGTTAGTGTTGTTCTTGGGGGCGGAAGTGCGTGGGAAAGGGCAGTTTGGAGTGTGGATCTGGAAGGATCTGGGGGAGGACGCAAATATCGGACGCGTGCAATATCGGTCGAAGCATGGGCCCTTTTCAACAACCATTCCAGCGTGCACCAACACCATCATAATGATGAATCAAAACTATGTATGTTAAAGGCATGTATTTACATCAGTAGCATGTGCAGACATGAGTATTAGGTCACACGGATGGAGCGAAAGGAAAGAACCAAAGAAACCCCTTCACTTGTTGAAATTGTCCAACGGACTTTCCTTCTCGGCCAGCGCCCAAATCTCATCCACCTTCTCCACGACCTCCTTGCTCAACGGACCCTTCTTCAGCGCCGCCACTGTCTCCCTCAACTGGGTCAGCTTGCTCGCTCCGACGATAATCGCGTCGCCCTTATCCTCCCTCAAGGCCGAGTTGTGAGCCACCCAGCGGTACGCGAGCTCCGCTTTGGGGATGCCGGTGGAGTTGGAAAGCTCGTCCCAGATTTGTAAAGCTTTGATCAGGCTGGGCTTGTTGTAGAGTGCATGGTACTGCTTTCCCACACCGGAGGTTGGGTCCCATCTTCCTGTGCTTGCCTCCAGGATCTGCTGCGGGGATTTGGTGAGGAATCCGCCGGAGACGGGGGAATATGCGTAAAAGGCGATGTTATGTTTGCGGAGGATAGGGAAGAGTTCGCTTTCTTGTCTTCGCGCGATAGCAGAGTAGCTCCCTTGGTAGACTGTTGGGGCGACAAAGTTGTGCTCTTTTGCGATGCGAACAACATCTTCGACTTCGGAGGGGAGGAAGTTGGAGAGGCCGAAACGCTTGAAAACGTCGGCTTTGTGAAGGGTGTCGATGCCGGCGAGGGTTTCCTCAAGGGGAACGCGGCGCTCGGGGGCGTGAATGTAGTAGATATCAACCTGGGAGAGAAGAGGTGTCAGTCAAGTTTGGAGCGGGCGGGACGGGAAGATCATCATCTCATCACCAACCTGCTCAGTCTTCAGCTTCTTCAAGCTCTCCTTCCCCGCCTGGATTACGCCATCCTTGGTGGCGGGCTCAGGCTTGAATCCCGCGCCGATTTTGGTATCGATCACGAACCGTTTGGCGGCGCCGGCCTCGCCGAGAAGCTCCTCACTTTTTCCGTATATTTCCGCAGTATCGATGTTCTTGACTCCCAACTCTTCAAGAGCGTCCAGGACCTCTACGACTTCAGCGACGGTGGTGATAGAGTCGGGGCCGTTGAAGGCGCTGGTTCCCCAGAAGGCGGCTCCTCCATAAACGATCTTTACCATGGTGATGGGACTAGGATTAGAGTGCCGTAGTTTGACTCAATCAACGACCTAGGTTTGTGGGTTGCGGGCGAGGGAGGGGAGAGTTCACCTCCTCTTATATAGGCTTTTCTCGTGCATCGAGATGGAGTGTGCGAGCAGGTTGCACAGTGCAGCCTCTGCAGAACAATTTACACGTGGAAGTCGGAACTCCGTCGGACGTGATGATTAATCCAAATGTTGCGCAATCTGTCACTCCATGTCACATGACCCCTCCCAACTACGAGTGCCGGAGAAGGTATATGTATGGACAGTTGAGGTATGTATGAGGCTAGTGTCGTTGCGCCGGCGTAGAATCCTCGTGGATCTTACAAGGAAGTTGAAGGAAGGAACGAGGGCGTTAAGGAATCATAAGTTCAGGTAACGATCCAAATACTATGCCCCGCAGGTACTTCTCATTTGGTAGATCGCCATAGTTGAGGCCTGCTGGTCTCTGGCATTTACTACGGTGTCGAGTTGCGGGCCGTGAGTCTGGAGATTCAAACTCAGGTACTGGTTAAGCTCATATATCCTGGAAATGGAGGCGAAGGTGCTGTTTTAGGCAATCCCGTCATTTTGCTGTCAACGTCCTGTCAAGTTATTTCGAATCTCGCCGACGCGTTGAAGAGGTGCACAGGAGTTTACACGGGTTGTTCAGCTCGTCGTTCAACCCGCTAGCACCACCGTCCCCGCTATGGGGCCATACCCCGCCGCCGTCCCCACCGCTGCATCCTTTGCGGGTGTGCGGCGGAAGGGACGGTGGTGGGTGCCGCTGTCATTACTGCTGTCGCCGACGAGCCGACTTTGGGCTCTCGGAATTGCGCTTGGAACTTCCAAGCCGCTTACGTGATCACAGACTGCGACGCGTGAATCCAACTTCGCCTACCGGCCTTCACTGACGTGTCACCGCTCTTCCAACAAAAGGTCAGAGAAGGATTATCGGCCAGGACACTGAACAGGTCGCTAATTTAATGTCCTGGTATCGCCTCTCGCACCTGAGGCGAAGGAGAGAAGAAGAGAGACACGGAGGGAAGAGATGAGGGCGAGGAGAGCAATACCGCAGAAGGGAAAGGACGGAAGGGAGATGGAAAGAAAGCATTGAATATCTGTTGGCGTCCTTTTGGAACGGCGTAAAGCTGGGCTTACGACCAGCGCGGCCCATGGGACTGGACAAGAGAAACGGGTGGATGAGTATCGACCATATCAGTCGGCGCCTCGAATCTGCTCTGTTGCAAAAAGGGGCTAGAGATGCGTAAGGAGTTGCAAGTTAACGTTTCCCGGAAACATCCTGGCTCCTCAGCTACATAAACATGGTTTGGGACATCCACGATCAAAGAAAGGTTGAACAAAATGTGCACAAAGATGAGAAGCATGTTGGAAATAAGAAAAAGAAACACAATTCTAAATATATGGGGCCTACGAAAAAAAAAAATGAAAACACTCATCGCGCAGAGAGAAAAGGAAATCCACCCTTCGCCAAAATGACGGTCCCGAAAATAAAAAAGACGTATGTCTCGATCGATCAAGCCCCCAACTTCAACCTCGCAAACTCAGCCGCCAATCGAACAGCCTCATCAACGTTCGCGAGCTCGGTTCCGGCACCCGCGGCAGCCTCGTCCTTCCCGCCGTTGCGTCCGCCGACTTTACCCGAGACGACGGCGGCCCAGTCGGTTGCTTTCAGGCCTTTGGCGACAAAGTCCTGTCAAAAACAAAAGCCGAAAAAAAATCAAATCATCAGTAATCATACCACCATGTATGCGGAAACCCTACAGAACCGTAAGAAACATACCTTCGGCACAACACAAGAATGGTTAACCTTCCCTGCCTCACTATCCACAGTAATCAACAACGCAGCCTTATTCTGCAACCCCTTGACCGTCTCAATCGCCTTCGCGAGGGCCTTTCCATTGCCCCCATACGGCAGGACCTCAACCAAAAACGGTGCATCGGCGTGTTGGGTGAAGTACGTCTTAACCCGCTCAGCAGCCTCCTTCATCTCGCGGGCTTTCCGCGCCTTGTCCGCGTCATCGAAGGCCTTTTTGATCGTGTTGAAGTCTTGTCGCAGGGCGTGCTTGCGGAGGATGGGGAGGGTGGTTTCGTCGAGTTGTTTGGCCATCACTTTGAGGGCGGCTTCGAGTTGTGTCATGGTGGTACCCGTACCAGGGGACGAAGCAGCAGAGTTCCCCAACTCCTTCAACCCATTCAACCGTTTCTCGACCTCATCGGCCTGACGGTTGACTTCGTGTGCGTCTTCGCCCGTGACGGCGACGACGCGACGGACGCCTTTGGAGATGGTGGATTCTTCGAGGAGGGCGATTTGCTTGATATCGCCGGTTTGCTTGACGTGCGTGCCGCCGCAGAATTCGATGGAGGTTTGGTGCCATTTGGGGTTCGACGGGTCGGTGACCAGTTCGTCGATGGAGTGACCGATGGACACGACGCGGACGGGGTCGGGGTAGCGCTGATGGGGAAAAGGGATCAGCATCATGAAGTTAACATGAAAAAGGTGGCGCGTATGTTACTCACCTCTCCGAAAACGGCACGCAGTCCGTTGATAGCCTTTGCGAGATGCAGATCCACCTCCTTGGAGTACATCTTTAAATTTTTCTTCACAAACTCATTGCAAATCTCCTCAATCCTCTGCAGCTGCTCGACAGTCGGCGCAGCCTTGGCCGAGAAATCGAACCGCAGCTTCTCCGGCGAGACGAGGGATCCCTTCTGGTCGACCACATCCCCCAACACGTCCCGGAGGGCATAGTTAAGAATGTGCGTGGCGGTGTGGTTGTTCCTGATCGGCCACCTCCTCAGCTCGTCGTAAGAGCACAGAAGCTCGTCCTCGAGGCTGAGCTGGCCGTACTTGAGGTACCCAATGTGGAGGACGTAGCCTCCAAACACCTGGACGTCTTCGACGGCGAATTCGACCTTCCCGTCGATGGTGAGGGATCCCGTGTCGTATTGCTGACCACCTTGCTCGGCATAGAAGTTGGTCTTGTCGAGAAGGACGCCGAAACGCCCGTGGTGGGATTCCGAGGATACCGAGTCGACGAACGACCCGTCCGCGTAGATCGCTTTTACGGTAGCGTTGATGTCGTCCGTGCCGTACTTGTACGAGTCGTCCGTCGTCGGCACCTTGGTGTTCTTCTCCAATGCGCCCAAGTCATGGACGTCCAAAGCAACCGTGTCGCCCTTGTTCTTCGACTTTGTAGCCTTCGAACGCTCTTTAGCCAAAGCCTGGGCGCTCTCGAACCCGCTCTCGTCGATCGACAGCGCGCTTTCCTCGGCCATTAAACGGGTAAGATCGACGGGGAACCCGTATGTGTCGTACAGCCTCCACACATCTGCGCCAGCCAGAACGGTGCTCTTGTCGGCTTTGGCCTTGGTGAGGAACTCGTTGAAGAGCTTCTCGCCCCTGTCGAGGGTTTTGGCGAAACTGCGCTCTTCTTCGTCCAGAATCTCCTTCAGCGTGTCTATGCGCCTGGTGATCTCAGGGAACGCTTCACCCTATAAGCAGATGTCGGTTAAGTATTTGGGATCACCTTTGTTGACTTGGAACTTACCCCAAAAAGCTGCATGCATGTAACTTACCATCTCAGCAACCACGATGTCAACGAGTCGCGAAAAGAAGCCGTCCATCGGAGTGTTGAACTTGCTACGGACGTAACGAGCAGCACGACGGATGATTCGCCGTAAAACGTACCCACGACCCTCGTTGGACGGAATACCACCATCGCTAATGGCAAATGTCAATGTGCGGATGTGATCGGCAACAACTCGGTACGCCGTATCTATCCCATCCGCGTCCTCGGCGCCGAGCTTTCCAGCGTACGGACGAGCGCCGGTGAGCTTCTGGATGGCGGCGAAAATTCCCGTGAAGGCGTCCGTGTCGTAGTTTGAGCGCTTGTCTTGAAGAACAGAGACGAGACGTTCCAATCCCATGCCAGTGTCGATGTGCTTGTTGGGCAAGGGCCTGAGCGACCGGTCAGCTTCCCGGTTGAACTGCATGAAGACCAAGTTCCAGATCTCCAGGACATCGGGGTCGTCCATGTTGACAAGATGTGCGGCGTTCCGGCCTCCAATTCTGTCAAAGTGAATCTCGCTGCAAGGCCCGCAAGGTCCTTGGTCTCCCATTTCTGCAAGGCATTGTTACGTTAGCGTCGTCCCAACTTTGGATCCCGATTTCTGCTAAGCTGATCGTATCGTACCCCAGAAGTTGTCCTTGGTGTCTCCCGGCAACATGTGGTCCTCCGCCACGCCGATGTCAAGCCACAGCTTCTTTGCCTCCTCATCAGGCGGCAACTTCAATCCTTCGTCTCCTCCAAAGTACGTAACGTACAGACGGTCAGTAGGCAGGCCGTAGACCTTGGTCAATAATGTCCACGCCATTTCGATGGCCTCCTTCTTGAAGTAGTCGCCAAAAGACCAGTTGCCCAACATTTCGAAGAATGTGTGGTGGTAGGTGTCCCTGCCGACATCCTCCAGATCGTTGTGCTTTCCTCCGGCGCGAATACACTTTTGGGTGTTTGCGGCACGTTTCAGCTTGCCCAGATCAGACGTGCGATCGACGGTGCCGAGGAAAATTGGTTTGAACTGCAGAGAGGACGGTCACTCGTCCGCTATAATAACCTCTCCGTTTGAAGTTCAGTCGGAAATACCTGGTTCATTCCAGAGTTGGCGAACAGCAGTGTTGGGTCATCGTGGGGGACGACCGCAGATGATGGGACGAATTCGTGCTGGTGCTGCTTCTGAAAGTAGTCAATGAAAGTTTGACGCACCCGGTTGACGGGCCATTCTGTAGAGGCAGTCATGTTGATAAAAGAGGTAGAGACGGTTCTCGGACGAAAGTAGGTGGGCAGGAAGGCCGGCTTCGTGCGGTACTTGGGCGAGCGGAACAGAAAACCCTTGGGAGGAGCGACGCTGTGCTGGGGCCGAAGAAATGCGTTGGTGGTCCTAACAAAACCAGCGACGGTAGGCATACACGACTGACTGACTGACTGCGGAGTGACTGTGAGATACGACTATGCTCTTATATAGGTAGCCGTGCAAAAGCAGACTGTGGAGGAGCTCCTACGCCGCAAACCGAGTGCAAGCAAAGCGGTTGCTATCTGAATTTTGAGCAACAGAGGCAGCTCTGATCGGCGGGAGGACAAGCAAGGACAAGCGCGTCAGGTTACTCACAAGCAGACTCACAAGCCAAATGCGCAGAGTTGGCTCAAGGCGTGTTCTCATGTTCCCCTGGGGCTCATTTGCGCCGTCCTCCACCAAACAGTTCTTCGCCCTCTTCCCCAAGAGCATAGATCACAAACGTATCCACACGGACTCAGACCACATAGGCTTCTGCCACATACTATTCATCCTCTTTACGCTTCCATCGACTGTCTCTCCGCTCGGGAACGCTTGGGCAAGTTTTGGTCATCCCATCCACACGCGACGGGCATCCAACACACGTCGAAAACAGCATCCACCGCAGAGGGAAATTCTCGACGCTACGTCAACCAAAAGCTTCACCATTCTCAGCCAACTCAACCTCATCAGTGTGTACAGCTCAACCACGGTAACATAGTCATTCGTCCACCCCCCGCAATGCAACAAGGCAACGTCCTCTTCCAAACCAACGACAGCAGCGGCTACTACAACCCGCCAAGCACCAACCTCGAATTCCAGCAGTTCTCCTACTCAGACAAAGCCGTCGGCGGGGCCTCCACAGCAGCAGTAGGCGACGCATACGGGGGCGCATCACACCAATTCTCGGCATATCCAACAGGAGCGGTGGGTGGGGCTGCGGCGGCGAGTTCGTATGGGGCGGGGGCTGGGGGGAATTATGCCGCGTATCAGCATACGGGCGAGGTGACGTGGGCGTCGATACGGGCGGCGTTTACGACGGGCGGGTTTGCGGATGAGCCGCCGTTATTGGAAGGTGGGTGGCTACCACGCATTTCTGGGGCATACATCAGGAATGGCGGAACTGAACGTGCTACATTTCCCGGTTGATCACAGAAATCGAAGTGAATTTCGATCACATCCAAAAGAAAGGCATGGCGGTCCTGAATCCGCTCGGTGCAGTCGACAAACACATCATGGACGACACAGATCTAGCCGGCCCCGTGCTCTTCTGCCTCCTGTTCGCCGGGTCACTGCTACTCGTACGTGTGGCCCAACAACCTTTTCATACCCACACGCCCCCCTAATATTCATTCCCTGATCCGGTTTTAGTCCGGCAAAGCTCAATTCGGCTACGTCTACGGCGTCGCAATGCTCGGCTGGGGCTGCATCTACGTCATCCTCAACCTCATGAGCGAATCCGGCATCGACGGGTACAGGGTCGCCAGCGTGCTGGGATACTGTCTGCTGCCGATGGTGCTACTCAGTTCTTGTGCGACGCTTTTGATGTTGAGGTATGTCTCTGTCATTCTTGGAGGATTAAAGACGACACATGGACTGAATCTTGTTTGATTTGTTTGTAGCGGCCACGCGATTGGCTTCATAGGCTTCGTCTTCAGCTCCCTCTCCATCGCATGGTGCACCTACGCCGCGTCAACGATGTTCACCGCGGTGTTGTCCATGACCGATCAGCGGCTACTCGTTGCGTATCCGGTCGGGCTGCTTTACTCGGCTTTCGCTTTATTAGCTGTGTTTTAGGATGCGTACTGTTGTGGTGGGGCGTTGGGGAATGGAACTCGATAATGTGCGCGGATAGCGAATTCCCAATAGAAGGATGGGATTTGTGAATATGCGACAATATGGTATTCTGCAACTCTCAGCGGTCGGCATGGCCTTGTGAGATTTCAAATTTGACCTGTTCCGCTTCACTCGCCGTTATTAGGGGAACCGTGTTAGTTTCTGCCATTTCTTGTGCCAGCCTCTGCACTTCTTTTCCTGGGAATCGTTCTGTCAATCCGGGGGCGTGCCCCCTTCTTTTACTTGCAGTTTCTCAGAGAGTTCTGCGGGTTTCTTTCTCATCTTTCTGGTTCCGCGCGGCGTTATCTCCTCCGCTGGCCGTTGCCCGCCGCTCCTCAGCTGATTTTCCTTCCCCCACTCCACTCATCGCTCGGCGCTCCACAACCAATGTCTCCACTTTCTCCTCTATTCTGCCCATCGCTCATGGCTCTCGCTCGACGCGGCGCTCCTTTTCTTCCATTCATCCTGCAAATCTCTGCTAGCCGCCGCTGTTCGATCCACCCCCACTCACTCAATTTCCCTTCGCCCGCTCTGCGGATTTGGGCGAATCGCTCTTTCTGCCAATCGCTCTTTTTCAACGCCGTTCCTCACAGCGTCATATTCGCGAGCCAACGAACACATGTATTGATTGAATCGTCGTCGGTCAACGTCGTAAATAGGTACTCTTTCTACATCATCCGCACCCATTTCTTCCCAGTCGATACACCCTCATCCCCCTCATCCACCAAACCTCTCCAACCTCCTTCTCCTCAACTCTGCCGGGTCCAAACTCTCCTGCGTCTGTTCTGGCGGCTCCGACACCTCCCTGTCCCTCTTCCTCTCCCTCTCACTCTCCACGGGCGGCACCGACCCCTCCGTCCCAACCAATCCCGCCTCCCTCCGACTCGCCTCCAACGCCTGCTGGAGGGATTTGGAGTCGCTTCCGGCGTCCGAGAGACTTTGTTGTAGCGCGATGCGAAGGTCCGGGTCATCGTCTTCCGAGTCGGTTTCGAGTGTGAACGGTTGTGCGGGTTGTTGGGGAGGGGGTGGGAAGTCGGTGCCGAGGGAGAGGGCTATTGCTCTGTTGATGGTATGAGAACAACCTTTCAAAGGAGAAGACTTGTCCAGCGATGCAACACATACCTCGCCAATTCATCATCCCCACCCTCCGTCTCCGCTGACCCACCGACGCCTTGCCCCCTAACCCCCAACTCGGCAGGCGGATGCCATCCCTTCGCCGTTTTCCGCGGTGTGGTGGAACTCGGCTTCTTTGGGATCTGCGAGGGGTCGGGCACGGGGCTGGATTCCGCGTAGATGTCAGCTTCGGAGGGTGCGAGGGTGCCGTTCACGATGAAGATGGAGTAGCCTTCGTTTTGGAGTTGGGCTAGTAGGAGACCCTGGTGGTAGGGAGGGAGCGTGAGTGGGTCAAAGTTGATAGGGAGTGGAAGGACGGGCATGTGGAGGGGCTTCTTACCAGATAGGTCTCGGAAACGTAATCCGGGCCGTCGAAAACAGAGTTGAGGTTGTACCACCTGCGCACATGAATGTTATCAGTAGGCAGACATCTCTCGGCTAGATATCCCCATCTCAACCCCATACCGTTTAGGCGAGTTTCCAAACCTTCGTAACGTGAACCAATGCTCCTGCAGATTGCATACAAACGCCTGTTCCTGCCTACACAAACCCAACATCATCAGCACCCTCCAGGCACAGCCCTCTCCCCCCAACAAAAGCGTCACTCACGTCGGATCATCCCTAGCCCCCACCGCAAGCTCGGACCCAAACGCCGTAATCTCCAACCCCCACACCTTCAACGCGCGCGAGATGACTTGCACCGAGAAGAACCCGGAGTCATCATAGTTGGACGACTCTTCGCCGAGGAATTTGCGGTATTCTTCGGTCTCGTGGCCGCCTATGTTGCCTTCTGCCATCGCCTAGGGGTGGGGTGATGTGAGTAATTGGTGAGGTTGGAGAGGGTTGGCAAGGGTGAGTTTTTGGAACGTACCGACCGCTCCTCCTCATCTAGCTGCCGCCCGATATCTGCTAGATCCACTGCTGTGAAGTAGGCGCCTTGGAGTAGGGCGTTCAAAGCATGTTGGGCACATCTGCAAATTGGGATCGTCAGCAGCCTATAATAAAACAGTTCACGTCCCCCCGTTCGTTCTCCTCCACCAGACGAAGCCTCCAGGGAAAACGAAAGGAAGAAGGCGGATACTAACAATTGGCCTTCTTGCTATAAAGTGACAAGGCGGTTGACTCAATGTTCGGAAAAAGTACGGTGGACATGGCAGACCAAGGCAGAACCTTACCTTCTCGTGGAATATGAAAGGAAACAGATCCATTCTTCCTGGCGACCTTGACGGGTGGGTGGGTGCTCCTGGCGAAATGTTATGCTGGTCGTCAAAGGACCCTGCATATGCCTGTCATGAATGCGGACGCGCGCTCAGCAGTCGGACACGCACGTTGCCGATCCGGACGAATTCTTGCTGGATCTCTCATCACCGTTTGTCCTCCCGTTCCCACTCAGGCCCACTCACATCACCCCCACCAGAAATGGCACCAAACATCTTCCAAACAGCCCGAACAGTCCGCCAAGGTCCTTCCGTCGGCACAGGCGACAAGCCCGACACCCGGCCATGGATCGAAAAGTACCGGCCAAGGGACATGAACGAGATCAGCTCGCAGGACGAGGTCGTTGCCGTGCTGAAGAAGACTATGGAGTCGCAGAACGTGAGTTGCATTGGTCGTGGTTGTTTGTTGGAGGTGAGACTGATTGTTTGGATGTTGACTTGTACTCTCTGGTTGGATCGAGCCCAGCTACCGCACTTGCTCTTCTACGGGCCGCCAGGGACGGGAAAGACATCGACTGTGCTGGCGCTGGCCAAAGAGTTATATGGGTAAAAATCTGCGTTGGAGTCAGTATGGCATATGGGCATAGATTCTGACTCACGAGTATCAGGCCAGACATCATACGAGACAGGGTGCTAGAGCTGAACGCGTCCGACGAGCGTGGGATAGACGTTATCCGAGCGAAAGTGAAGAACTTTGCGAAAGTTACAGTCACGCAGACCTCGGTGTGAGTTAGCCCGTTTGGAATGATTTGTCGGGAGAAGTTTGGAGACTAAACGCCCTTGTATAGAGGATTCCCATGCCCGCCGTATAAGATCATCATCCTCGACGAAGCCGATTCAATGACGCAAGACGCCCAGTCGGCCCTTCGACGAACGATGGAGACGTATTCAAAATCGACTCGGTTTTGTTTGATTTGCAATTATATTAGCAGGTATCTATCTTGTCCGCTGCGTTCATGTTGGACAGAGTTTATTGATAGTGATGTTTGTTGCAGGATCATTGAGCCATTAGCGTCTCGTTGCGCCAAATTCCGCTTTAAGCCACTGGATACGGATTCTACGAGGGCTCGTATAGAGTATATATGTCAGAACGAGGGAGTGAATGCTCCGCCTGAGGTTGGTTGTTCAGTTGAAGATGCTGCTGACACGGGCGAGCGTTGAGCTGACTTCAACACCTTGCGCAGACAGTCCAAACACTAGTCAAACTCGCTGACGGAGACATGCGGCGGTCCATCATGCTGCTACAAAGCGCGTTCCGGCTGTATCAGAAGGAACTCATTACGAGTGCTGCCATTTGTGAGATTGCTGGGGTAAATACTACGAACTTCAGTGGCGGATTGTTTGCCCCGATGTCCTCATTTCTTTCCCTCATCAGGTAGTACCGGAATCGGTGATAGATGGACTAGTCACAGCCTGGCAATCACGAGACATTGCACAGATCGAGACTGCGGTTGAGAGGGTTGTTAGACAGGGGTATTCGGGTGCGCAACTTATGGATCAGGTGTGGGTCGTTGTTACAAGCATCCTTCACACTCAGTATTGTCCAAGTCCTAAGGTCTCGACATTTGTTTAGTTGCAAGAACGCGTGCTGGCAGACAACCACCTAACGTCGATTGAGAAATCAAAGATTTCGATATCGATTGGGCAGATGGACAAGGCGCTGGTGGATGGGGCGGACGAGCAGTTACAGCTGTTGAGTTTATTTGTCAACGCTTATTAATGATGAGTCTGCGCGAGAAAGCTTTGTGGAAGAAATAGAGATCAGGAGCAGGCTAGGATTAGGGATCCGCAAGGGAGCAGGCTCAGGACAGCTGGCGTACTGTAGATGTCGGTGTAGAAGTGGAGAGTGGGTCGTAGGCTATGGGACCTGTGGGAAGCCTTGTCCTCCTCTCCAATACATTCGGCTCTTCTTCGTTATCCACACACTACTGAAAGCTTCTTGCCGACGGGAATGCATGATGAAATCGGTTTTATGACGCGGCTTTGGGGAGCATTGTGGGGTAAGGGCGAAAAGCCACCGTACGGATTCAAACGCCAGCGCGCAATGTCACGCACGCGGGGCGAGTCATTCACTGTCAGTCAGGAGGCCCCTAATTAGCCAACTTCGTGTTTGCGATGATTCTCCCGCCGCGGATTTCGGTTTTTTCCATTTTCCTTTTTTTTTGGGGAGCTCTCAAATAACGGCTCGATACTTAACCCTTCTGCTTCCGCCGTTCTGACACTTCTGCACTCTCATCCGCACTCTTTCTCAAAGTAAGTCAGAGCGTTCGGGCTAGGTGTTGCGCGCATACATCACCCAGTGCTTTCGTCGGGACAAACACTCATATCGACGCTTACAGTCGCATCCCTCATTCCCAGCAGCATTATCACAAAAATGTCCGCAACAATAACCCGCCTAGGTTCCGCCCGAGCCCTCTTTGCGCGAAAGACGGTCCTCTCCGGAAGCCTGGCGCCTACACTCGCCGCTCGGTCTATGGCTAGCGCTACAAAGACAAGTATGTAACGTATATCCGTGGTGGGGATTATGTTAGGACGCGTACACTGACTCTCCATTTGGTAGAGTTCGACTGGAAGGATGCGTTTGATTTGAACTCGCAGTTGACGGAGGAGGAGAGGGCTGTTCGGTGAGTTGGGTGCGCTGGTTGAGGTTACGGGAAAGTTTGTGGATGGGGCTGGCACGCTGACGCGAACGAGGTGTTTCTAGTGATTCTGCCCGCGACTACTGCCAGTCGAAGCTCATGTCGAGGGTCATTGAGGCCAACCGTCATGAGAGTGAGTGATTCATGAAGAGGGGGATTTTGCGCGGTTTCGGCCTGCACCAATACCAGCGATACTCACACGCTTGTTTTCAGAGTTCCACCGCGAAATTATGAGCGAAATGGGCGAGCTAGGCCTTTTGGGCGCAACGATCCAGGGGTATGACTGTGCGGGCGTCTCATCGGTCGCGTACGGCCTCATTGCGCGTGAGGTGGAGGCTGTGGATTCGGGCTACCGGTCGGCTATGAGCGTGCAGTCGTCGCTTGTGATGCACCCTATCTATGCGTATGGGACGGAGGCGCAGAAGGAGAAGTACCTGCCTAAGCTTGGTGAGTTTTGGGTCTCATACTCGGGTGTGCGATGAGAAGTGACATTGGGAGCGCGAAGCAGTGATATTGACACTTGTATTGGTCACTCCCAGCCAGAGGCGAACTAGTCGGCTGCTTCGGCCTCACCGAGCCCAACCACGGCTCGGACCCTTCCTCTATGGAAACCGTTGCCAAAAAGGTGGACGGGGGCTACGTCATCTCCGGGTCCAAGACATGGATCACCAACTCGCCCATCGCTGACGTGTTTGTCATCTGGGCCAAATGCCTCGACGACGGCAAGATCCGTGGGTTTATTCTCGAGAAGGGTATGGAGGGGCTTACTGCTCCTGTAATCAAGGGGAAGTTCTCGCTGAGGGCGAGCACGACGGGGATGATTATGATGGACGAGGTGGCGGTGTCAGAGGAGCAGCTGCTGCCGAATGTGTCCGGGTTGAAGGTAAGGATTCGACACGCTTTAGCATCGCGTTCTTCATGCCGCGAATCGCATTCACCGTATCTGACCCACGCTTTCCCCCTCATCACCGCCAGGGTCCCTTCGGCTGCCTCAACAACGCGCGCTACGGCATCTCCTGGGGCGCGCTCGGCGCCGCCGAAGCCTGCCTGCGCCAAGCCGTCGACTACACCACGCAACGCAAGCAATTCGGCACGCCGCTGGCCTCGTTCCAACTCATCCAGAAGAAATTCGCAGACCACATGACGGAAATCACACTGGGACTGCAGGCGTCGTTGCGGGTGGGCCGGCTGAAGGACGAGGGCAAGTGGCACCCGGACATGGTGTCGATCGTGAAGCGGAATAACTGTGGGAAGGCGTTGGAGATTGCGAGGCAGTGTCGTGATGTTCTGGGCGGTATGTCTTTGTTCATATTTGCTGGGGTTTTGGGATGGGATATTTGGGGGGGCCCACTGACACGCTGACTTTTTTTTTTCTTTAGGCAATGGAATATCAGACGAATACCACATCATCCGCCACGTCATGAACCTCGAAGCGGTCAACACCTACGAAGGCACGCACGACATCCACGCGTTGATCCTCGGGCGCGCCATCACGGGGATCCCAGCCTTCCACACCGCTGGTAGTCAATAAGGAATAGAATCCCCAGTCGGACACATCTTCGAATGTAGAATAGCGAGAACACACGACGAATGGAAACCCCCCATTCTTTTTTTTTGTTGATTTGGCATGGGGCCAGGATAGATAGAACAAGTGGGACGTTTTTTTGTTTTTATTGATCTTCATCCGTTTTCATCAAAATCCCCATTTTGTTTTCTGATACCTCAGAACGCCCGCCGGTCAGAGAAGGGTATATATCCGGTGGGAAGATCGGGAGTTGGAACGATATGTTGGAGCTCGATTCATTTTCATGTATGACATGACATGGGGCAGGGGTTATATTGAAATTGTATGAAGTTGTACAGGTGTAGCGGTATAGTTCTACTTTAAGAGGAACGGACGGGACGATATAAAAAACAACATGAAAGAGCAAGAGCATGTGTGCCCTGACATGCACGCACACACACACACAGACCAACGTTCGACCAGCGGGGTGTTGCGGGGTGAATGGGTGTGCAGGGAGGAAGGAAAGCGCCTTCTTTTCAGGGAGAGGACGGAGGGAGGATGAGAGGCGCTTAGACGAGGGTGATGACACCGCATGCGACACGGGCGCCGGCGTTCCCGGTCGTCTTTGAAGTCGTGGCGTTGCCGAGACCGAGATCGTCTTCGAGGGCGTGGATCACGATGGCTTTGCTGTAAGAGCAAATTCGCGGCAGGTATGTAAGTGTTCCAAACTCCACCAAAGCAAAGCAAAAACAACCCCCCGCCCAAAAAAAAATAGGGCGAGGCGTTATGTGAAGAATCCAGACACATACCCAACGATGTTATCAACGTCCCCAACAAGCTTCACAATCCCATCCACAATCGTCACCTTCACCTCCCCACCGGCGCTCGCCCTGACATTGCCGAGATCCCCCACATGCCTCACGGTGCTGTCCGGGCCGCCATGCGTCACGTTATGCGGGTTGAAATGGGGGCCGGCGGCCGTGCAATTCGGGGCAATCACGCCATTCGCGTGGACATGGAACCCGTGGAGGCCGGGCGCGAGACCGGTGAGGTGGAGGTTGAGGGTGACGTGGGGCGAGGAGCGTTTCTGGGTGAGGGTGACGGTGCCGGAGACGGTGGTGGCGTTGTAGGTGGGGTCCGGGGTGATGTGGGCGATGGCGCGGGTGGAGGAGTGGCAGGATTTTTGGCCGGTCGGGGAGGCGAGGGCGAGCGTGGCGGACGCGGCCGCGAGGAGGAGGGTTGGGAGGTGCATTTCTTTTCTTTTCTGGGAAGGGTATTGGGGTATTGACACTGACGGACGGGGGGGACGAGAGAAAACCGTCGCTCTTATGGTCTTCTAGGTCGGCCGTCCTTCCTCCGGCAGCGGCCCATCTTTGTTCATCCGCCGACCCCCCAACCATCATTCGCCGATAGAACACCAACCTTGACCATTTTTGCCCATCTCCCATTCAATGGGACGCCAACCCTGGACACCTCGCAGCCACCTTCAGAGGAAGGTTTGCGCATGGAGCGCGTACGATTAGGTCAGCGTGTGGCCGGGGCGAGTGGCCAGCGAAAAGCCGCGTTCATTTCCCTGCGCGTATGCTTTCGACAGGGGCGACAATTTTTGCTGGACTGGTGATTGGAAGCCTCTATTACTTCCATTATGCCGTGTAACCCCGCTGATGTCAGGACTCGGGACTCAAGGAAGCCAGAGGATTCAGGAAGCCGTCAGCTTCTAGGTTCTGTCGAAGCTCGGCTGGAGTCACTCTCAGGGAGGCTCATCGAGAACATGGCGAGCCCAAAACACGCTGAGAAAGATGGAAGCGGTTGTCATGGACTGCTGTTGGGCTGCTTGGAACTGCTCTATTCTGCTGACGAGTGTACTGCGACGGATGGACGGAGGATACTGCAGCGCATTGCATGCCCCGGCTCAGTGCACATTTACGCGACGGTGGTGTCAGGATGGGCAGGTTGTAAAAGCCGCGATAGCCGGCTCCACAGAGGACGTCCCGGCGGCTGTTACGGTAGAGCAATAGCGCGGAGCTCAGCTGTCAAATCTCTTGCCGAGCGATCTGGCATGGAGGGCAAGGACTGCGTCCTGACTTGCTGGATGGTACTGCCGATCTGCAGGGAAATCTTCCAAAGTATTGCCCTCAGCTAAAATTCTGATTTCGAAAGCGATTCTGCAGACGCTATATATGAGAATCCGCAAAAAGCGACGGATGCGGTGCCTGGGAGACCGGCTGGTGCGTGCGCCAACCCTCGGATACCGCCTGAAACGTATATTCTGCTCACAGTCGCGAGTTTCCCAGCGAGCGGATCACATGCGACCGTGGGCACCAGTGTATGTTCTGCATTCTCTCACCCCTCACTTTGCAGCCCCTCACCTCCTCCCCGCAGCCCCTCTCGTCTTGAACGGGGTGAATGTGGGGTTGAGCAAGGAGTATGTGTTCAACAAGTGGATGCGCAATGTGGCGGGGGGCGAGGTGGATGAGCGAGTGGGCGGGGGAGATCTATGGCGCGGCGGGGAATGGGACGGGGATGGGGGGGGTGGGAGGAGACGTTTCGGGCGAGTGGGGCGTACGTGGTGGCTGAGCGGCTGTACAACCGCACGGCGACGCGGCCGGGGGCCATGGCGGTGTATTACCCAAAGTACACGGGTGGTGGAGCGAGGAGTCGGGCCCCGGTGGAGATGGTGTACGCGTTGCTGTACACCCCCGCGCGGTAGAGCCCAAGGAGCACGATGAGCCATGTGCATAACGCGGTGTATTTGGGGACGAGGGAGGTGCTGATGCGCGCGTTTGGAACTACATAGTGGGGTTGGGTTGGATGGGTATCGGCCGAGGGGGCAGCCGATTGGGGAGGTCGTGCAGGGCGTGTTGGCGGCGATGGGGTATGCTACGAGTTTTCTTCAGCCGTAGAGCGTGGGGACGAACGTATGTGCAGCTCTATCCATTTTTGTACAGTGTCCAACAAATGTATCACATCAAACACATGTTCGCGGGATGTGCAACGTCAGTATACGCAACAGTCCTTTTTCTTACGAGAAACGGCGGTCTCAGGAGGTATATGTATGTACAAGAAGAAAAACAACTACGGACGGGGTTGCAGAGATACTCGCAGGGATATAACCAACTACATACAGCCCATCAGCGAAGCAGGCAGGGGCCACGCAAACCACGAATCAGTCGTACAACGTAAACAACACACAGCTAACCAAAGGACAACACTACGCCGCCGTGTGTAAAACTTTCCATTCACTCGATCTTCGCCTCCTTCACCCCCTCCTCAGCCGCCGGCGCAACAGCCTGCACAGGGTACGCCCCAGCCACCCCGGTCCCAGGCACGGTAACCAGCCTCATCTTCCTCACCCACATCCTCCGTCTCGTCAAACTCGACATATACGGCGCACGCCTAGGGTTCGCCCACGCATGGTCCGAGTACTGCCACCCGCCAGTGTTCGGGTCGACGTCGGCCCACCCGACATCGAGCAGCCAGTCGTCGTCGGCCCATTCCCAGTCACCGAGCGGGTCGGGCGGGGGCGTGAAAAGGTCTTTTGTGGGGCGGGAGAGGGTGCCGGTGGAGTCGGACCAGGCGCCGCGTTCGGAGCGGAGGAGGTGCGGGATCCAGCCGAGGCCTGGAGGGTGAAGAGACGTTTTGCGTGAATAGGGGGTTCTTGGCAACGTGATAGGGAGGGTGCTATGGTACGTTACCTGCCCACCACCGCTGATTCTCAAACAAACTAACAACCACAATACTCCCATCCCCCGTCTTCCTCGCCTCCTTAACCGCCTCCTTGAAAGTGTCCACCTGGAACTTGAGCTTCTTCAAGATGACCGGCGGCAGCGTCATAGCCGCGGCGCGAAACACCGCCGTGTTGTACAAAAAGACTCCCACGCCGGCGACGAGCAAGACATAGTTGAACGGCACAAAGCGCACAAAGATGGTGACCCCAAACATGGACACCAGGACCATTTTGAGTAAGTGGGCGGTGAGGTCCGCGTCCGACCAGTCGAGCAGGGCGCCGTTCTTCTTAATGTCGTCGTAGGCATCGCAGTAGATGCCCATGGAGTTTTGGATGAACTGGAGGTTTTTGAGGTATTGCACTTTGGGGGTGGTGGTTTGGCCCGTGGCGCGGGTTTTGGCCTTTTCGTAGTAGTTGCGCATTATGAGGTAGATGATGAGGAGTTGGGGGGAGACGAGGAAGAGGATTGGGTAGAGGCCTGGAAATGGGTGGGGGTAAGCAAGGGGTATGATGGACACAAACAGACGCCTAACGCTGGCGTGGACTGCGCAAGGGAACTCACATAAGAACACGTAGATGCTCATCACGACCAGCGTTTTAGACGGATTTTGCCACGTCAGCACCTCGGTAAGCTCCTCCTGGAACTGGACCACGGCATCCAGGCGCAACACAAACCGGGTCAAATTCTTAGGCGTCGTGGTTAGGAGATTCAGCGCCGGCTGATCGCTCGACGCTCGACGCATCGCAGCCGAATTAATCGCCGTACTCGCAATCAAATCCGCCACAATGCCAGGCGATTCCGTGTCAGACGTCGACGCCAGCGTCGTAGCGGAAGGCGAGCTGGGGATCACGGTAGTAGACGACGCGACAGATTTGGCCGAGGAGGAGTTGGACCGCACCCTTCGCGAGAGCACCACGGTCCCGTCTTCGTCGCTGCCGGTGGATTTTTCGGAGAGCTGCGGCTCGCTGTCAGCGTTCTCGCTATATACTGCCACGAGGCTGTCGATGAAGGCTGCTGAGCAGGGGGACTCAATTATGTATTGGCATTTTGCGTGCACTGCCGCACCGCATTCTACACAAAACAGACAATTGGAGATGAGCGAAGCAAATTGGTTAGTCGAATGATTTTGAGCGATGTGTGTAGGAGACGTCCGTTCGCTTTCCCTCACAGTTGAAGACGGGGGCTCGTTGTAGCTCGCCGCAGACAAAACCATCGCTCGCTTCACTCGCGGCTGCCAACGCCAACCAAAGCCACCCTCCCTACATTGAGGCTCCCGTGGCCCCCTCCCTTCATTCATTTCGCTCTCTCTTCAATCCACTTACTCTCACACTGCAACCCCTGCCTTATGATTCCCCAAAGGAACTTCCTACAGCAAGCGCAATAAGTCGGTTTCGTGAAAGTAGTCACGGCAAAATGGTGGTGTGCGCCGCCCGTCAGCTGGCTGGTCTGCTGCTGCTCTTCCGCCATAGCCCACAGCCGAGAAACGGGGGGGGTTTTGACAGCGTCTTCTGTATATGTAAGCCCTGAGGACGAGCTTGTCGCGTGGTGATGGGGGTGGGAACGAATTGTCCAGAATGCGTCAGAGACGGGGCGGTGGGGATAACTTGTTGAGCTCCCTAGCGGATGACGAACTTGGAAGGAGGACCGGAGTGGGGAGGCAGCTATGGTAGGATAGAGTGTGTTGTACAGTAGATGTGTGGATGCGACTGGCAGTTGCGAGAAAGGCCGAAGGGGAGGCCACATGGGCTCAGTCATTAATGCTGCGGCCCTGGAAATGCCTGCTGGTCACAACCAACGCGCTATTGGCCCTTGTTGGGACGAGCACAGGGACGAGCACCCGCAGGTCAGAGACGCCAGACTAGTACCATGTGCATGCATGGGCATAAGGAAGGCTGCTCGCAGACAGGCTAAGGCACAGATGCACATGTATGTACAGTACGTACTGTATGTACGGCACACGGGGCAGAGGGCATATACATATATTCCCTGTCGGATAGCTATTCCTCGCCTGTCTGTCGCCTGTCGCCCCCCTATATATGCAACCAAACGCGTATGACTCACGCGTCGGAGAACGCTGCTTTCCCCTCCTCGCCAACCACCCTTTTTCAACCCCCGCAAAACTCCTCCCCAACCAAGCGTGAGCAAAGCTTCCCTTCTTGCCTGTGATAACCATCCTCCACTGATTCAGTTTCTCCACCAAATCCCAGCATATACATCCAGGCCGCCTCGGGTCACATCCACAAACCTTTCGACGGCGACGTGTAGATTTACGGCAGAGGCAGGACGACCATGGTCAGTTGATAGATTGACAGCGTTGGGCAATTCGATTCACGCCCAACATGCCGCCCCCGCGGGTCATCCACCCACTAACCCTGCTCGCACGCAGTCGCTCTCCAAAGACACGACCAAAGACTACACGGACGTCGAAGCGACGCTGAACCGGGTGACGGCGCACCCGGGCGTGCAAGGCATCGTGATCGCGACGCACGAAGGCTCGGTGGTGCGCTCGACGCTGGATAACATCCAGACGCAGCAGATCTCGACGCTCGTGACGCAGCTGGCCGCGAGGGGCAAGGGAGTCGTTAGGGATTTGGATCCGGAGGATGATTTGACGTTCTTGAGGATTCGGTCGAGGAAGAATGAGGTGCGTTTTGGGGAGACGGGGGTTTGGGAGTGCGCGGATGGGGTGGGGTGGGGAGGGGATGAGGGGGTGTTGGTGGTTGCCGGGTATGGGCAGGGCATCGATATGGACCAGCCGCCGTGAGGGTGACGCCCTTCTGATGTGAAACTCAATATACTCACATCTCATTCCGTCGTTCCCTCCCGCCGCACAGATCATGGTAGCAGAAAGTAAGCATACCTCCCCATTCCATCCCTCATCTCACGTCCACCGACTAACCTCCCCTCCCTGCATCTCCCTCCCAGCAAAACAATACCTCCTGATAACAATCCAAAACCCCAACGAGTCCCAAAAAGCCTTCTTCTAAAATCCCCCTTCCCCACACCACATCTCTCACGCATCTCCCAATCTCAAAAAAAAACCCCCCCGCTGATGTATTTCCATCGATAGAAAAACTAACTAAGAAGGGGAAAGTCTAAACCTATAAATTATATACCACAAAATCTACATGCGAGGGGTTGCTACGTACAGTACATACACCGTTACGTTTATACAGTGAAACGGCGCAAAGAACGAATATACATCTCTAATACCGCTCAGAAGCAGCTAAACGCGGTTTCGTCACCTTCACAGGCGGCATATCATGTTCCGCCACCACCTGCTCTGCATCTCCCCGCGGCTGCGTACCCTCACCCACCGCACTCTCCCCTGCGGTCCCCGCCTCTGTGGTTGACGTTGAGGACTCGGACTCGGACTCTGCCAACGCCAACCGCCGCGCAACCTTCGCAGCCCCCTTAACCTTCTTCTTCCGTTCAAACTTGAGATGCGCAAGCCCTTCGTTGATGAACGCCTCGCATTCCTTTTTGAGGTGGTGCGCGAGGTCTGTGTCGATGAAAGTTTCCGGGAATCTCAGACTTTCAAAAGAAAAAATCCCCATTCCAAAAGGCATCAGCATCAGAAGTGGGGGGGTAAACCGAAAATGAAAAAACGGACAGATATCAACGTACCCCAACCACATATAAAGCACAATCAACCGATGCACGCCTTCCAGGTCCCTCAACTCCTCCACATCCCCCGGCGGCAGCGTGCCCAGCTTCACAAACTCCTCCAACCCACACTCCTCGCCTGCCGCATGAGCCTTCGCAAACGCCAGCATGGCAACACCCAGAACGGGCTCGTCGGCGTTGCAGGGGGCGAGGGTGAAGACGTACCGTTCGCGGAGGGGCAGGGGGACCGGTTCGATTAGGGTGGCGATTTTTTGGACGGAGGTGAGGTTGCAGAGGAAGTAGCGGCCGTGGAGGGAGGCGAGGTCTTGGAAGCGGTCCTATGTGAGGAGGTGTGAGGGTGAGTGGCGAATGAGAAGGGGAGGGGGAAGGGAGGGGAAGGGGGGACTTACGAGGAGGGCGGTGAGTGTTTCCTCGGGGAGGAGGCGGTGGAACAGTTCGAGTTGTTCTAGGGTTGGTAGGAGTCCCGCGGCCTGGAAAGGAAAGCACAACAAGACGTGTGTAAGAAACCGCCACTACCTCGTAAGAACACCGCAGACGAAAACGCGCATACCGTAACCCCCGGCGTCGGCATCCTCATCGCCTCCCTCAACGCGGGCATATCATACTCATCAAACGTACAACACTCCCCATTCTCCCACTGCGTCTGAAACCGCCCCGCTCTCCCAGCAATCTGTTTCGTCTGACTCACGCTCAACTGCTCCACACTCTGTCCATTCCACTTCTCCATCCGTTCAAAGATCATTCGTCCAATATTCAAATTCAATCCCATCCCAATCGCGTCGGAGGCGACGAGGACGTCGTAAGGGCCGTTGGGGTCGTTGAATTGGCGGGCTTGCTCGGTGCGCGTTTCCGGGGGGAGCGAGCCGTAGATGACGGCGGCTTTGAGGGCGGTTTTTTGCTCGATTTGGCGTTTGAGGGCGAAGATGTTTTGGCGGCTGAAGGTGGCGATGCAGTCGCCGCGGCGGAGGGAGGTTAGGTCGCTGTTGAGGCTGTGGGCGGAGACTTTTAAGGGGGTTAGGCGCTCGTATTCTTTGACCTGTAATGTTTGCATGAGCATGTTGTGATTGGAGTAAGCAGACAGAGACAAGCTACAGACCTCAACGATGTCGCCGGTGTCTTCGGTCATCGCCATGATGAGGGGAACCGCTGTCGGCTCACCGCACAGGTGTACCTCGTCCGCCTGTATCCCTACAAAGTGCGTCCTCGCGTCAAATCTTCTGCTTCACACCTACGGTGAGGCCCTGTTCCCCTCATGCGTACCTAAAACCGCCTGCGTCCAAGCCCACCCCCTGGACGGATCCCCAATCATCTGTATCTCATCCAACACCGCCACCTGAAACCGTCTCCCCACCGGCGCCATCTCCACCGTCGCCGCCGTCTTGTGCACACCATCGCTCTCCCTCCTCTCCTCGCCCGTGAGTAAATTACACGGTATCCCCTTCGCATTCATGCGTTCATACACCTCATGCGCCAACAACCGCAGCGGGCCGCAGTAGATGGCGGACTCGACCTCTTCGAACCGTTTGAGGGCCGCGTAGGTCTTGCCGGAGTTGGTGGGCCCGACGTGGAGGATGAAGCGACGTTTGGTTTTGCGCGTTTCTTCGTACCAGTCGGCGGGGGAGGTGAGGTCGCTGAAGGAGATGAGGGAGGCGAGCTTTTCGGTGCGGGAGGGAAAGGCGGCGGTGATGAAGCGGTAGAAGGCGGGGAGGAGGATGCGTTCCATTCTGCCTGGATTATCGTAATTTGGGTCAGTCACCCCGCTTTCGGCTCGTCCTCACCAACGCTTCTTCATCTCCAAATCACTCACTTCGCGCTTTGATATGAGTAAGCACCTCGCCCGGAGTCAACCGCTCAATCTCATTCTTCACCAGCGCCTTGCTGAACTTGTCCATCCCAGCCACGTATATATCGCTCGGCACACCCATCTCGGTGACTTTCCGCTGTACATATGCGCTCCTCGCAAATCGCTCCATGTAGTTCTTCAAATCTTTCAAAAAAGAAAATTGCAACCTATCAATTCCCAACCCGACAAACCTCCGCCCCCTTCATATCCTCGTTCCCCACCTGCAAGCTGCCTCGTCGTCGGATCAACAACCACACCCGTTTCCGTCTTTCGCGGCGTAAACTTCGAAGCCTGTCCAATCGGCGCCCCGGGTTTGAAGTGTGGCCTAAAGTCTGACCCGGGCTTGTTGTGGCGGAAGGAGTTCTTTGACCCTCTGGCGTCTTTTGCTGTGGCGAGGATGTCGGATAACCGGGAGGAGAACTTGCCGGCTTTTGGTTTTTCCCGGGAAAGGGTGGCCGAGGTTGAAAAGAGGGAGCATTGCACACCCTTCAACTGCGGGAATAGCACGCAGCGGCCTGGTTTGATGGATATCCGGACCATGGCGGCGAGTGAGAGCTATATTCTACTACAGTACTAGAGTCGAGAGACCGCTGCCGGTCACTTCTCGGGCCGAGGGGTCTGAGTCTTCTTGCCTTCTCTCCGGGGGTACGTAGACTACCGAGTGTATGTGTATAAGCTCAGTCTGTCTCAACAGCTGCACGGGAGTTCCGACGTTGGGAGCTGCGAAAAAGCGGAAGTGCGAAAAAGCGAAAGAGGCGAACGCCGTCTGCTCCAAACCTGGCTCGAACCCCATGTCCAGCTGGGTTCAGCCAAGCGACCCTTTCAGATCACGGGGAGGGGAGCTATCCTCACTATCTTGTATAGTTAACTACCCACGGCACAGCTCGGCAGGCACGCCACCCAGTGGGATTCTTCAAGGCCAAGGGACAAAACTATGGCCGCCAACATCGACGCCCCAGACGACCCATACGAGCTTCCCCAACACCAATATCAAGCTTCCACCTACCTCAACTACCAATTCGACTCCACCACCGCTTCTGCAGTGAGGCAGCGTTGCAGCACGGGACGGGATCTATGCAACGTCGTGGGGACCGGCGGAGGACTGGATGCCAATTTCGTCAAAGGCGTGAAGTGGAGCCCCGATGGAACCTGCCTGTTGAGCAGCAGCAATGACAATATCCTTCGAGTGTTTGACAAACCTCCCACCGTAGGCTACGAGGATGCCACTTCCAGCAACGATGATGGCGATTCCAGGCTCCCCGAAGCGCTAGCCATCAAAGAACCTGAATGCGTCTACGACACCACCTGGTTCCCCGGCATGACCTCCTCCGACCCCACCACCTGCGTCTTCCTCAGCTCCGTACGCGAGCACTCCATCCGCCTCTGGGACGCCTATACCGGCGCACTCCGCTGCTCCTACGTCCCCTTCGACCATCTCGACCAGGTGCAAGCGCCCAACTCTCTCACCTTCAACCTCGACGGATCCAAAATATACGCGGGGTTCACTAACCACATCCAGATATTCGCGACAGATAGGCCGGGGAGAGATAGTCGAAGAGTGGCGACCTCGCCGTCCAAGAAGAGCAGGGAGGGCCAGAAGGGCTTGGTTTCGACGATCGCATTCAACCCGGATCGGAGTGGGTTGTATGCGTGTGGGTCGTATGCGGGCACGGTTGGGTTGTATGATGAGCGGAATAATGAGTTGTTGGATCTGTTGTGTCCCGCTGCGAAGACATTGAAAAGCCAGGGAGGCGGGGCGGGCTTCACACAGGTGGAATTCTCCCCCTGCGGCACCTACCTCTACGCGGCCGCCCGCAAAAGCAGCCACATCCTCTGCTGGGACGTGCGCAAATCCGCCGAGGTGCTCCGCACCTTCTCACGAGCGGGCAACACGAACCAGCGGATGTCTTTTAGCCTCGGCGAGGGCGGGCGATGGCTGGCGAGCGGGGATACCGAGGGGTATGTGGTTGTGTTCGATACAGGCACGGGCGGGGTTGTGAGCAGGTACAAGGGGCATGAAGATGTGGTGTCGGCGTGCGGGTTTCATCCGAGTTTGCCGGTGCTTGCGACGTCGTCGGGGCAGAGGAGGGCTTTTGTGAATGTGGAGGCGATGGGGGTTAGGCCGGTGTGGGATGAGGCGGGGAGGTTGGTTTGTGTTGAGGTTGATGTGGAGGGGGAGAGTGATGATCAGGAGAGTAGTGAGGATGAGGAAGTGCCGCAGACCACCCACAAGAGCGCTACTGGCATGGATCAGAGTGAACAACCCACCACGACACCTGCCAATCAAACGACCAAAGAAACGATCCCAATCGACAGCAGCATCGCTCTCTGGACCCTGCCGCACACCTGGGTCTCCTACACCTGGCCAGAAGCCGAAGATACATCGCTGCCACCACAAGTAACATTATCATCAACAGAAGTACAACCACGACCGACCGCCAACGATGCACATACGGCGATGGAAACAACACCAGTTGATGCCGCGGAAACAGTGGAGAGGCCGATCCATTCGGGTGGGGAGTTTGTTATAGATTATGATTAGATTGTGGGGGTCGTCGTATTGGGGAGATTTTTGGGATGTGTGTGATACGTAGGTAGAGGGCGGAGAGTTCATGGGAATGGGAAGAGTCCGGGAATGACCCTCGCGGGGGAAAATTTGAAACATCGTTGGCGTGTGGAAACTTCGCAGACTGAATGAGATTGCCAGCACTTAACCGTATGCGACATCCCCACGCCTCCCCACCTCAAATCGCATTCTGGAACCGCCAAATATCCCGCTGTGAGCTCGTCAGATCCGTCCCGGTCGCGTCGGTGCCTGCCCAGCCCAGATACACCTAACCCCAAAAAATTCCCAAACCGCGTCAGAGACTCAAGTGCATAACGAAAGCGAGGGAGATGGGTGGTATCTACCGTAACAGTGCAATTCTTCCCCAAACAGGTGTCGGTGCAGATATCGTCCAGACATGTGCAGGTTGTGAGTGTGCAGGAGGTCTGGTACCAGTTGAAGTCTGTTATTTCCCCTACAAAACAAAAGACCATACACTTGAGTCAATCCCCCCTCGTTTACGCAAGACGGTACATGTGCCCTCCTACCATTGTCCAGCGTCACGATCGCAGTCCGTGAAGGCACGTACAGGATCTCCGACTGGGCTTTGATGGCCCATTTCCGCGATGGAGTGACGTACGACCCTCCGTTGTGCATGAGCGTGAGCCCAACCGTTGGAGAGGAGGCGGGGACGGTTGTTGTGTTGTCTGCAATTGCACTCCAGCCTAAAAAAAAAGAGCCCACCCAGCCATACCCATCAGCAAGCGAAGAAAAACTTCCCCCAAAAGCAGCGCCCCCTCACGCACTATCCGGTATAACCAACTCGGAGTAATCATCGACGGTCGGATAAAATACAGCCGTGTTCGGGTACGGGTCCCCAGTCAGCGTATCCGTGGTGGTGAAGTTCAGGTACACGACGGCCTGCTGGCCGATATTGTATGCGCCGCGATTGGGGGTGCGCGCGTCGTACTGGACTTCGCGGCAGGGGATGGCGGAGTTGTTGAACAGGATCGCGGAGGTGTCGCCGGTGTAGGGGGTGGAGGCGCAGTAGTCGAGGCGGGAGGGGACGTCCCAGTCGGAGAGGGGGATGGAGGTGATTGCCGTGGTTAGGGGGAAGAGTGTGAGGAGTGGGGCGAGCAGAAGGAGGATTGGGGGATGCATGGTGGGTGCTGGTGGCTGGCGGAGCAGACCGTTAACGGAGTTGAGAACAGAAGAAGTAGGGAAAGGTCGGCTTGAACGTGCGACGGAGAAGTTTCGTTCAGCAATGGCGGCAGCGAAAAAAAAGACAGCTCCGAGAGACGGAAGTCAAAACTGTCAGAAGGAGCGGAATGCGCGTGACGTTTACAAAAACGCGTCCTCGCATCTTCTCAGTTTCCCCTTCGTCGTTTTCCTTATAAAAAATTACCACTCCAGGGCAGAATACTAGTGCACAAGAAGGTTTTTCGGAAGCGCGAAAATGAGGCGAGGCCGCGTAACCCACCATTCGACAAAGCAGCCCGCTCTTCACATATGCGTCGGAGTCGTGCGAAGCATTCGAAATTATTATTTAATGTACCATTGGGGTATATAGATGTACAAATGTGTTCGAACGAGACAAGGCGAACGACCCGGGGGAGGATTTGTTTCGCGCGCACGAGCGTATGCGTATGCATATGTGTAAGGCAAGGGATCAACTCTGCGCGACCTCACTGAAGGTATATGAATTTCTCTCCTCATCCGTCCACCGGGTACGCGGGTCCGCATCTCCACCGCCGTACGGTATCCGACAGCGTCGCTCAGTCATCCCAACCCGTTAATCTCCCTCGTCACGTGCAACTGGCTCTGCCCTTGCCACGGATTGTTCTGAAGCGCAAGCAACATCTTGGCGTGCAGGCCCTCGTACGCTTCCCGTAACTTGGTGTCTTGGGTTGTTGCTTGTATTTCGATTCCTTTTTGGCTGGAGAGGGGGGGGGGGGGGGATGGGGAGGAGGCGTGGTGAGTTGTGATGGGGCGGGAAGACGGGCCGAGCGCCGCTGGAGGTGGAGTGGTGGCATGCGGTTGAGTCCCGAGTCCAGACAGGCACCGGGGCCCCGTCCACGCCTATCACCACGCATAGCCCACAACGGAAATTGATTATTAAACTTACAGCTCCTTCCGTAGCGAGTCCTCAAGCCTCTTTGAATACCACTCTACCACCGTCTGCAAATACGCGGACAACCCCATCGTCTGCTGGTCATCCATCTGCAACACAACCCTCCCAGCCGCCCCATTCTCCGTCGTAATAGTGGGACTCCTAAACGGTGCAAGGGCGGACCGCAATTCGTCGGGCGAGGGCATGATGACGGATGTGGTGAATGCGCGCAGGTCGATGAGGTTCTTTTGTATTTCGGCGATGGCGGCGCGGGAGGCGTCGGTTTCGAAGGCGACGACGCGGAACGAGTGCTGGGAGGGAAGGAGTAGTATTTGAACCCTCGAGTAGGTAAAGGGGAGAACTCGCAATAACGAACCTCAATCTTGTTGGGCAACGTCCGGACCTGATCGACGACCACCTTCACCCCCGCCAGCTGCTGATCCAGGCCTATGATCCGTTCCGAGAGTACGTTGATAGCTTCGACAACCTTCTCCTGGGGCAGCGCGTTCGTCGCCACTTGGCTGTTCTTACTCTTTAGAGCCTCCATCTGCGCTTGCAGGTCCAGTAGTTTGGCGTTCATATCGTTTGTGAGATCTTGGATGTGTTGAAGACGGCTTTCCATGTGGGAGGTATCTGACGATATGTTCTGTGGGGAGCTGTTTCTGGGCGTGGAGCGGGTCTCAGGGAAGCCGACGGGTAGCGGGATCGCGCCCGGCAGTAGACCGCGGTTGGATATCCCGTTGCTCCTGCTGGGAGGAGTTGGTGCGCGGCGGCTCGACGATAATAATGAAGATGATGTTGGCGGCGCGGGTGCGGGTGCCGGTGGTGGTACATGCACTGCAGGCTTTGCAAGGGTCTGTTCGACCTTCTCGACCTTGACCCGTAACGGATCCACAAACTCCCGTTTCAGAGATGCAAGTACTTCCACCAACTCGTTGTCGCGGCGTGTCTGCTGTTCCTTTTCATATTGGGCGAGTCGTTCGTTGAGATCGAGTGGTGTGACGGTGTTTCGGGTGGGGATGTCATGAGGACGTGCTTCAATGTGACTGATCCTTGCGTGCATGCTCTGCAAAGCGATTTGGTCTCATGAGTGCTGCTGAGGCTCTCGAAACCCGATGCCTATGGCAGGAACGTACCGACAACTGGGTCCATGTCCGAGCTTGCTCCGCCGTCATCTCCGATCTCCACTCTGCCACCTCCGTGTCCTCCTTTGCCTTATGCTCCTTCAAAAACATGGCCATCCTTGCACTGACGATGTGCTCGACCAACGCCTCCACGTTGCCAACCAAGCTGGTGCCCCACATTTTGCAAGCTTCGTGATATGCAGTGTTTGCCTTTGCTTGTTGATCTACTATATTCGCTTCTTCTCGGCCTACATTGCACGAAGACGTCTCGTGAGACAAGGGGATATGCACAATGACGCATACATGGGTCACTTACGCAAGTCTTCCACGAGCTGGAGGTTGAGTGCGAAACAGATCGTCAGTATCGAGGTTTGAGAGGTGTCGTGGTCGCTCCGCTCGCGAGGGCGGCGTTCCTCGCCCATGCCGCTACACCATGGCTATCGGTCGCTCTCAGGCGTACAGCCCATCCAGCCAAGTTCCCTCGCGCGTGAGGTCTCTGCCGCTCTCCATCCTCGCGCCACCTGCGGCGGTGACATCCCTAGTCGCCCGCATTTCTTAAAAGCACTCTCGCGACCATCTACAAGATCTTTAACCCAACCCGTGTGCCCTCGTCTCCTCCCGTACCTTCGTATTGACATATCTGAGCCGATAAGCATCCTCCTTCGCAATGTTGCACGCGCGTTTCCTATCGTCGAGGTTCAGAACGCTGCCATAGAGCATAGCGGTGTGGCAGAAGCCTTCGACTATCTTCGCAAAAGGGTCTAACGAGGACAAGCTGTGCGTTGTTGTTGATGTTCCTAGTGCTGCGACTGTGCTGGCAGACATTCTTGCGTTGGGGGATGGTTAGCCGGGGTGCTTTCTGCTCTTAGGCGAGTGAGGGTGTGATGTGGGTTGTGATAGGCTAAGTGTGGGAAGCAGGGAGGTTAATGAGTTGCTGGGCAGAATGCAAATGCTGCAGTGGGAATGCTGTGGCTGTGCTGTCTGAAACTGGAAAGCTGGAAAGGTCTGAAAAGTTGCACATGGGCTCTTATGGGCCTGCCATCTCTTGCAATGGTGGGGCTTGACAAGCCTGTTGTTGCTCACCTTTCCTGAATTTCCCTGTGCTTGTGCTTATAGAATGGCAAAGCCTAATGTTGGTTTGACCTCCCAGCTATGGAACCAGGGTAATGAGAGGGGGTCTGGACTGCTCCTTCCATTGCCATCTTCGCAGGGAGACGTGTTCCTTGTTTCATCGAGACAGAATGAGGTGTGGACACGGCATCCTAGCCCTGATCTTAGCCTTACATTCCCGTACCAGCATACCCCTGAGCCCTCTAAGCCCACTGAGAAGACCTGACAAGCAACCAACTTCCTTGGCAAAACCTGGCAGAGCCCCCAACGAACAAGATGCCTCTTCACTTTGACCCGAAAACTGCACCCCACCTGGGCAAAATCCACCGCTTCTCCGCTGATTGTGGATGCTTCGTCTGCAGCAGGCGCGCCGTCGACGCCGGATGGCCGTGTCCTGACTTCACCGATCTGGATGTCCTCTTGTCGAACACAGAGTGGCGCGACAGTGTTTTTGAGTCCTACAGCAAAGAGGGCGTGTACGTGGCGAAAAATCGGTGGACATATTCCGGAAAGAGCTTCACTAAAACCCCTTTCTGGTTCGACGATCCCCGCCGACGGGCGGAGGTTCTGGCGCGATATATTCTGGACCCGCACCCGACATCGAAGTGCGAAAGACGGCTCCATGTGCGTCCCGTGCAGATACTGGTTGCGCAGCCCCGCCACTGGCTTGACGATCGCCTCTATCCTCCGCAATTCCTCGACCCCATGCTTGTTACATATGGAGGAGGTGATAAATGGGGGCGAGGGAGGGATGGCCAGCGAGGATATGCAAGAGGAGATTAATGAGGACGAGGGAGGGATTGCCAGCTTACCCATCATGAGTTACATCGATTTCGACATGATGGACGGAGCCGGTGTAGTGCATGCCTTGCGGATGCACTTCAACGAGGGCGATAAGTGTGGGGGTAGTGGTTGGTTCTCGACCATCCGCGACCGGGCCACTCGCAAGCTGATTGGGTTCTCCGACTCGTTCACTTCTGACGACACGATCGTGACGTGCGTGGACGACGAATTGATGAATAGCTGGGTGCCACACCCTGATCTCCCATCAACGAGCCTACTCATAGCAAGCACGAACTGCGGCGGCAGCTACAACGGCTACGCGGATGGGGAACGTGAAAAGGGATCCGAGCTATTGTTTTTCCAGGCTGCCTTGTACTGGGCAGGGTTGATGGCATGTTCCCACGAACACCAAGTCGAGCTTCTTTTCACGTTTGTGCCAAAACTCCACCGAGACTCCTTCGAAACCTTTTGCGACATTCCTCTGAAGGTCCGCGTGGACATCAGATGGCGCTTTCTCAGGAAGGCTTTCGGTCGGAAGCTGGGTCTCAACGATGATATCCTAAGGCACATCGCAGAGCTCGATCCCGCTGTTATCAGGTTCTCCCATGTACCGTCTCAGTCAGAGAATAGCAGTCTGTGATATTCGGCTGATAAGAGCCACTCATCTCGAATTCACGGGCATGACGCGATCCTTTTTCGTGTTCCTCATGTGCTTCATAATTACTGTACATTCCATCTATCTTCGGCTGTGTCTATCCTCCACACGGGTCGCGGCCGCTGATCCCTCAAGCCTGCCACAGCCTACCTCTCCGGTTGCGACTGCTCATTCCCCCTCACGCCTATGCCAAATTCGAGGTTCTCAATATCCTCCCAAAGCAGACGAGTCCAGGTAGGAGCGTGATCAGGCGTGCCCCTCGACTCGTCTGCTCTCGGAGGTCCAGTCCGCCGGAATGCACTCTGCAATGGCCGAGGACGCGCTGTCGAATGCGCTAATTGCGTGATGACTCACCTCTCTATTGTGGGGGAACGCGTCGCTTCACTCACTTCCGCTCACTCACGCTTCTCGCTCAGGCGCGGAACACGGCGCTAGTTTGCAGCACAGCGGTATCGCTGCCGAGCATCTGCTACAGTATATATATCCGAAGCCAATGCACAGGCCAAGCATAGGCGGTGGACAACTCCCCGCTCGGCTGCGCGGCCTCGAAGATCTCGCTGTATGTATGTGTTCTTTTGAAACCTTGCACCAGTTGACTATCCAACGGAATCCATGTCTCACCGCCAATCCCACAGTTCCAAGATACCTTCACCAGAGAACTACCCGGAGATCCGCTCACTCTTGTAAAAGACAATCCGCAGGACCCAACCAACAGCAACAGGAGAGCATCTATATCGCCAACACAGCAACAGCAATATGGGAAGGCTGATCCCGGCCGGCCAGGCACAGGAACAGGGACGGGAACTTCAGCCGACGAATCCGAAGCGTCCAAAATCCCAACCCCGCAGGAAGTCCGCGGCGTCAGACCCGTCCGCGGGGCACTCTTCACGCACATCGAGCCCGAAATCCGCGACTGGATCAATGCCGCGAATACCGCACCCGCCGTAACCCCAAGTACCTCTTCTTCCGCGACCGCAGGTGGAAAACCCCAAGGCACGGCAGCAGCAGCAACATCATCCATGTACGCCCACCTCTTCCCCCCTTCCTACATCTGCCACTCCCCCCAAGCCTGCCGCCTCCTCGACCTAAACCCCGACGACCACCACCGCCGCGAATTCCCCCTCTACCTCTCCGGCCAGCGCACCCTCCCCCGCACGCGGCCGTGGGCACACAACTACGGGGGGCACCAGTTTGGGATCTACGCGGGGCAGCTCGGCGACGGGCGGTGTATCTCCCTCGGCGAGATCGTGAATCAGCGTGGAGAGAGGTGGGAATTGCAGCTGAAGGGCGCGGGCCGGACACCGTACTCGCGCTTCGGTGACGGCCTGGCCGGCTTGCGGAGCTCGTTGCGTGAATTCCTGGCGAGCGAGTACATGGCGGCGTTAGGGATCCCGACCACGCGCGCTCTCTCTGTCGTCGCGACGCATCTGCCGGTGTATCGCAGCGACCCGGACCAGCCGGAAGTGAGCGCGGTGCTGGCGCGGCTGGCCGGGTCGTGGGTGCGGTTTGGCCATTTTGAGCTGGTGCATTATAGGAATGAGAAGGAGTTGGTGAAGCGGTTGGCGGATCATGTTATTAAGCATCACTTTGCGGAGTTGTTGCCGAAGGCTAATGTGAATGCTGCTGTTGGGGCGGGGACGGCCGCTGGTAGTGGCAACGCAAAACCGGCAGCGCACACAGCAGAGGAACCGAGTGCGAACCATGCGTTGAGAGCGCCTGCTGCTAACGTCATATTAGAAGCGGACGAGGAAGACGCAGCCGCATCAACCGAGGACAGCGTATCACCCAATCCCAACACCGACGCCCAACAAAACGCTGACTCCGACTCCGACTACTCCGACGACGAAGACGAAGACGACACCCTCGACGACATGTCCCCCATGCCCGCCCGCTCCGGCGGGGGCCGTCGCCTCTCCTTCATCATGCAATCCTTCCCTGTGGCCCCCGCACCGGACTCCGACTCCAAACCTTTGTCCGGCGCAACAGTCGAATCGGTCCAAGTCGACGTCAAACTCAACAAGTACGCGCGGTTCTTCCAGGAAGTGATCCGCCGCACCGCCGATCTGGTCGCGCATTGGCAGAGTGTGGGGTTCGTGCACGGGTGTTTGAATACCGTGAGTCTCTGTCCTCGCTCCGATCGAGCGCTCTTTCACATGCCAGGTTCTAATGATCAATCTTTCTGCAGGACAACATGTCAATCCTCGGCCTCACCCTCGACTACGGCCCCTTCGGCTTCCTCGACGCCTACGACCCCTTCTGCACCATCAACGCCTCCGACCACGCCTCCCGCTACTCCTTCGAACAACAACCCAAAATCGCCCTCTGGAACCTCTCCAAGCTCGGCCGGACGCTGGCGCAACTCATCGTCCCGCCCCCTGCGAGTGATAATAGCAGCAGGAGCGGCAAACGGCCGGTGTACCGCGTGCAAACGAGTCTTGTGGGCGAGCATGTCGTGAAGGGGGAGGAGGTCGTCAGGGAACTGTTGAAGGAGTTTGAGGGCCGGTTTGTGGAGACTTGGGCTGCGTTGATGGGGAAGGTAAAACTCGCATCGCATGGCCTGAAAATCCCATCATCGACATGGCCGAACCTAACACCATAGTCTCATGTCGTCAATAGAAACTAGGCCTAACTACCCCCCTCGACACCGACCTCCCAACCCTAATCAATCCGCTCCTCGAGCTCCTCTCCGACACACAGGCTGACTATACACTCTTCTTCCGGTCCCTCTGCTCTTTTCCCTGCGACGAGGCCGGGTTCCGAGCATATATCCGGCGGTCGGCGGCGGGGATCGATTTTGATGTTGACGAGGAGGAGGATGATGAGAATGTGGGGGATTGTTTGTCGGTGCTGATGAGGGGGGTTCGGAGGGCGAAGGAGGGTGCGAAGATGGAGAAAGGGGATACGACCGTAGTGATGCGGGCGTCGCTGGCGGGTGCGAATGCGAGCAGAAACACAGACGAGACCACAAACCGACGGCACCCGAACACCAGCACCGACTCCCTCGCCTCCACATCCTCTGGGCGGGCGAGCACATCCACATACGACGAAGACGATTTCCCACCCGTGGACGAAGTCGTGGCGGCGTGGCGGGACTGGGCGGGGTCCTACCGTGCGCGGTTACTTTCCCAACTGCCCCCAGGCGGGGATGGGTCCGAAGACGCTGTGAAGCGCGCCGATGAAACCCGGCACGCGGCGATGCGGAAAGTGACCCCGATGTATGCGCTCCGCGGGTATATACTGGACGAAGTGGCCGAGAAAGTCATCGCGGCCGTCAAACCCGACCCCACCAACATCAACCCAACACCCGCACAAACATCACATCCCCAACAACGCGTGCGCTCCGCATCCATCTCGGGTTCCATACCCCTATCGGCGGCCGAGTTGGGGGTGGGGAGAGAGGTGGAGCGGTGTATGCGGGTGCTCGTTGGAGATGTGTGGGGGGATGTTGCGGAGGGTAAGGGCGGGTGGAAGGGGGAGGAGGATCGGGAGGTTGCGGGGAGGTGGAGGGGGGAGCCGCCTTTGGTGAGTTTGGATTTGGCGTTCACGTGCGTTTTTTTGGTGATTGACTGTTCGTTGATGTTGGCGTTCGCATTTTCCTTTAGTCGGCGGTGAATCAGCGGCAGACGCCTGCGTCGTGAACCGGGTCGGAAGAGATACGATTTTTGAAATATGCAGTATGGATTGCCGTTTTGTGTGGCGTACATATAGGGCTTTATTCCCAAGCCCAGGGTTTCTCTATTGTGCGAACATGCGGTGGGAGTGTATTGCGGATTATGTCCTATCCGCGTATGGATATTGAGATGCGCAATATATACAAGTTGCTGGGTATGGAACCCCAGCGCTATGGAACAACCAACCCCAAATACTCCGCCACAAAAACCCTAAAAATCAACGCATAGTCCGCCACAATCTCCGGCACGATCGCCTCACTGCTATCCGCCAGCGTATGCCACACCCTCGGAAACACCTGCGGGATAACATGCACGATCGGCACCCCCCGCTTCAAAAACGGGACATGGTCGTCCTCAATCTGCACATTCAAACCCAAATCGCCGGACATGAAATATCCCCCCTGCCCCTGCGCGTCAACCCGGCCGCTTAGATGCGGGGATACCAACCCCTGTTTGACGAGCGCGGATTGGATGGAGACGAGTTTGTCCCATAAGTGTGTGGTGGGTCTCTGCGAGTTCCAGATATGCACGGCGCCGCCGGAACTGTCGGTTTCAGAGCCGAGGAGGTCGAGGAGGATCAGGGCGTCGATTGTTTGTAATATGTTCGTCGCATGCCCTTCTGGGGACACTTTCGCAGCCCCAGAGGAGGGTGGTGCGCCCCCGCCCATCACATACGTCGCCTCCCACTTCTCCGCGAGGTGGCGGGACCCATACAACGAGTCCGTGGCGGACCACTCCACGAACGCCTCCTCTCCATCAAAGAACACAATCTGTAACGTCAGCGACGGGTCCGGCGATGCGGTCATGAATGGGTCCAATGTCTTTGCGACGTCGACCAAGATGGCACATGGGGCGGCGGAATCGGTTGCGCCGATGAAATCTTGACCTGGGAAGTATTTGGAGTCGAAATGGGCGGCGAGGAGGAGTTTGCGCCGTGCCGAGGGGTTTTTGGTGACTATTATGTTGGTGAACGTTTTGGGACCTAGTGGGGTCGTGTCTGTGAAGGTATCCTCTTCTATATCCCAACCCAGCTCTTTGAAAACCGCTTTTATATGTTGCTGCACTTTCGCGTTATTCGCTGTCCCCGACACTCGTGGAATAAGGAACGGTGCAAGAGTTGACCCTGTTATCGTCAGATTCTGCGGTGCGGATAGCGCAGCGAGTTTATTGAGGTCCGTGGGTGTACAGCACCGTTTGTGGAGCTGACGGGCGGAGGCGAGGGAGTAGTCGACGGAGAGGGTGAGGATGGCGGCGAGGCCGAGGAGGACGAGGAGGAATTGGTTGCGGGTTAGGGAGAGGTACATTTTGGATGGTGGTTCCTTCCCGGCAAGTAGCGGGCCGGTGGGGGGTTGGGGCAGAGATCTTCGGCGCCGTTTGGGGTGGTATGGCATGTGGGCGCTGGGTCTCCAGCGATCTGGAGAGCGATATGGGAGAGGGAGAGGGAGAGGGTGTACATGTAGGTGTTGCGAAGTGGGAGAGTGGAGAAGGGGACAGCGAGGGAGTCCGCCGTCAATCGCGCGTCACGTGATGCCGTCAAAGCTGCGTCCTCCCCTCGCTCCCTCCCCTCCGAGGACCACTGAACAAAGCCCAAGATCACAGCAACACCCTCCACCCAAACGAAAACGTTATCGCAGAGGTCTATCGCTGCTGCAAAACTGGCTGACAACTGGCAGAACAGGAGCTTGGTTTGCGCGCACCACCGCTCGAGAGAAAGCAAGTGATCTAAGACGAATCACAGGACTTAACGCTCAATGTCTTGGGCTCCACCACACGGCGGCCCTCCGCCTGGTCAAGGCCAAGTAAGCCTTCCTTGTTTTCAGAAATACTCCAAGTCAAAATATACTAAGGGTTGTATTCTCCTTTCGCAGCCACCACCGTTCCAACAATGGGGAGCCCTCCCAGTGCGACCGCCAGCAATGGCTCCGATGCCCCCAGCAATGGCTCCGGGCGGCCCACCACTCCCTCCAGGCCCCGGCCAACAGGTAATGGTTCAACGTCAACCTTCGTGGTGCCCCGCACATCCTAACAATATTCTCTCTCAGCCTCAGCCACAGTGGATCGCGCACACGAACAGCGCAGGAAAGACATACTACTACAATCCCGCGACGCGAGAGAGTGTGTGGGAGAAGCCGGATGTGCTGAAGACGCCGCTGGAGGTGGGTTTCATTATGGATTCATTCGCACTCCCGCCTGACGAAGATGGATGTCTTACTTGTGATGGGTTGTAGAAAGCGTTGTCGTCGACGGGGTGGAAAGAATACACGTCTGCGGATAACGGGAAGAAGTATTACCACAATCCTAGTAAGTGGCGCATGTTCTACGCAACTGGCGTGCATGCAGCTGGCTAAGCATATCTGCCTCATAGAAACGAACGTCACGACATGGGAGATACCAGATGATATCAAAGGTAACTGCTCTCCTGCAATCTTGTTGCCAGTAGTATCTCGCTAAACGCTTTTGTCTCTTCTCGTAGCCATTCTTGACGCTGAGAAACTAGCGGACACACCAGCGACTGCAACGAATGAGCCGTCCGAGGCGAACGTGATAGCCGTCTACAAGAAGGATGTCGAACGCCCGCAGCTGCCGCAACAACCACCGCCTAGTCAACATATGGACAACCGTAATAAAAACCTGAATGTCAACGTGAACTTCAACACGCGGGAAGAGGCGGAGGCAGCTTTCAAGGGGCTTTTGGCTGAAACGGTGGGTATCGTCGGTATGACACTGGATTCGTCGGTATGACACTAACCATTGGACCCACAGGGAGTAACGCACCACTGGACATGGGAACAGACCATGCGCGAAGTCATCGACCAGCCCATGTACCGCGCCCTTAAAACCCTCGCCGAGCGCCGCTCCGCCTTTGACCAATACGTCCACGAGAAACGCAAAGAGGAAGCCGACGCCCGCAAAGCCAAATACGACCAAGACCGCGTGAACCTCCGCACCCTCTTTTCCGAGCGACACGACGAGATCGGGCCCCGGACGCGGTATAGGAAAGCCATCGCCCTGCTCGGCGACGACGAGATCTTCCAGGCGGTCGAGGACCCGGACCGCGAGGCGATATTCCACGAGTACGTTGAAGATTTGAAAACGAAGGAGAAGGATGCGATCAGGGAAACGCGGAAGGAGAATGTGGGCAAGTTTGAGCGGATCCTGCAACGGCTCACTGCCGAGGGACTCGTGACGATCGAAACGACGTGGGAGCAGGCGCAGGCGCTGTACAAAGCGCAACCGGAGTACAGGGCCGATCGCAAACTGCAAGCGATGGAACCGATCGATTTTCTCCTCACTTTCGAGTCCCACATCAACGCCCTCGTCTCCAAATATCGCGCAAAGATCGATGGCGAACAGAGGGCGAAACGGCGAGACGCGCGTAAAGCCCGGGACGCGTTCCGGGCGCTGTTGGCTGAGTTGAAGGAGAATGGAACGATTAATGCAAAGACGCAGTGGTTGCATGTCTACCCCGTCGTGAAAGACGACCCCCGGTTCGTTGCGCTGCTGGCCCAGCCTGGATCCACCCCGCTGGATCTCTTTGGAGACCTGGTGGTGGAACTTGTGGATGAGTTTAGGAGGGAAAGGCGGATTGTGGAGGATTTGCTTAAGGTGCGGTGATTCACCTCCGTTTCGTTTTTCTTGGCGAGAGCGTTAAGAAGGCTGATGTTTTCGAATTTTTCCAGTCGTCAACAAAGGAGATCCGCGCCGACACAACCTTCGAAGACTTCTCGCAGCTCGTCCTCTCCCTAGACGAGACCCATTCCGTGAACATCAAACCTACCACCATCCATTTCGTTTACGAGGAGGTGCGTGCCTGCCTCAAAAAATTTGTCTCACCTCCACCCCTAGCGTCATCTCACCCGGGGCCTACTCCTAACCGAATTCCTTTTTCAAGACGATGGAACGAGCAACAGCCCTGGAAAAAGAAGCTGCCCGCAAAGCCGAAAAGAAACTCCGCAGGAAAAAAGATGACCTCAAATACGATTTGAAGCATCTCGTGCCGGCTGTCGGGGTTGATGAAGCGTGGGAGGCGGTATGTTGCGAGGCATTTGCGCGCATTGCGAGTGTTGTGGGGGGATATTGTGGGCGATTGGGGAAGTTGGGCCTGATGACCTTTTTTTTTGTAGGTTAAGGAACGGATACGTGAAAGCTCGGCGTACGAGGCGTTGGAGGAAGCGCAGCGGGTTGAAGTTTTCCAGAAGTTTATTGCGCGGTTGAAGGTAAAAATATCGTCACCCCCCCTTGCCCCCTTGCCCCCGCCCCCGAGTCCCACAACCACCCCCGCATCTTCGATAATCTGACAAATTGTTTATAGGAAAAATCCGACCGCAAGAAACCCGCGACGGACGACGACGAAGAAGGGTCTATCCGCGATTCGGAAGCGGTGGACCGGAAACGGAAACGATCGTCGAAACACGATAAAATCTCGTCGCGCGATAGGGAGCGTGAGCGTGAGCGTGGGGGTGGGGGTGAGAGGGACAGAGAGCGGGATCGTGGCGGCGACCGTGACAGGGATCGGGATCGCGATCGTGGTGGTGAGCGGGACCGTGACCGAGACCGGGACAGCCGCAGCAGAAAGCACCGACGGCACCGGTCGCCGTCTCTCACCGACAACGATGGGGCCGGCGGGGAGAGGGCGAGGTATAAACGCCGTCGGTCGCGGTCGGTTGAGGGCGGTGTGAAAGGACATTATGAGAATGGGAATGGGAATGGGAATGGAGGTGTGGAAGTTGGGGCGGGGGGGAGTGTTGCGGATGATAGCGCTGAGGAGGGGGAGTTGCGGTGAGCGAAAGGGATGTATATACAGCGACACGATGAAACCGGCAGGAGGAGGCTTTCCAACTCTTACGGGCAGTCCGTCTGTATGTATTGTAAATATGTATCCTTTCCGAACATGGATGCAAATGTAAAAGGGGGGGCGGATGTATGGTGTGTCTGCAACGTTACGAAATGGGGGAGTGGAAAAGGGATGCAACAAGTCTATCTACAACGCTACGTTTTCTCTCAAGTCAGTGATGCTGTAAGCGAGAAAGTTTTTCACATCAGTCCTTCTTTCTTCAATGGCTCCACGGCGCTATCGAGTCCCGCCGGTGCTGCGAAAAAGGGGAAATGGAACCATGGGTGGGTGAGCAAACCATTCACTCGACACGGGACATAGATAGGTTTTTGGGGAAAAATCGGACGGGTTACATACCTCCCAGAATCGTCTTACTCATCCCGTCCATGATCCCCTCCCCACTCTCCCTCGCCAGCTCCTCATACCACGCCATGGTCACGGCCATGTCCTTGCCATGTATCATCTCGGCGCGTTTCCTCGCCCTCGACACCAACTGCACGGTCCGCTCGACCCTCAGCTTGTCATACTCCGCATACGCCGCACTGTGATCCCCGGGGTGGTTCTTGAGGGCCTGGGCGAGCACCCACGCGTCCTCCATGGCCTGACATCCGCCCTGGCCGAGATCGGGGGCGGTGCCATGAGCGGCGTCGCCGAGGAGGGCGACGCGGCCGTTGACGAAGGTGGTCAGCTCCTCGATATCGTGGATTTCGACGCGGGCGACCTTTGCGGGATCCAGGGTTTTGATCAGGTTCTGCACGGGGTCCGCCCACCCGGCGAAATAGGCCGCGAGCTCGTTTTTGTAGGTGTCGGGGTGGGAGGCCACCGACCCGGCGGGCATCGAGACGTCGAAGAAGAAGTAGAATTTGTGGCCGTCGCCCATGGGCATCATGCTCACGCGCTTGCCGTCGCCGACGTACTGGGTCCATGTTGTCGGGGAATCGGACAGGGCGGGGGTGATGGGGACGGCGCCGTTGTAGTTGACGTAGCCGACGTAGGAGCGCTGCACGGGGCGGCCGATGACGGTGTTGCGGAGCTTGGAGTGGGTGCCTTCGGCGATGATGAGGAGGTGGGCGGTTTCGGAGGCGCCGTCGGAGAAGGTGATGGTGACGGAGGTGGCGGATTGGGTGAATGAGGCCGCGGCTTTGTCGAGGTGGACGGTGACGTTGGTGCAGGACTGGGTGGCGCCCTCCAGCAGGATCCGCTGTAAATGCGTACGTGCGATGGGACAGGCCCGCTGCCCGACCTTCTCATACAGCGGCTGCAGACTGAAGTCGCACAGATCTTTACCGTCTTTGGTTTTGTAAGCCATCCGCTGCATATCGCCCGCGGCGGCCTCGATGGCGTCGCCGAGGCCGAGGTGTTTGAGTACTTTTACGCCGTTTGACCAGACTGAGATTGCGGCGCCGATGGGGAGGAGGACGGGGACTCGTTCGTAGACGTCGATTTTGGTCGAGTCGGGGAGGGCGCGGGAGAGGGCGATTGCGGTTGTGAGGCCGCCGATGCCGCCGCCTATGATTATGACCCGCATCTTACTGTCGTTACAGAGAGGGGGGGGGCCCGATATGTACAGTATCTAGATACGCTTCCTTCTGGGAATACAGTGAGTTGTCGGTGGTGCGTGAACCCTGTTACCGTACCGTCCGTCTTTCTGCCGCTTTGAGACTCGAGAGTTCTCGCAGTTCACACCGTTCAGAATTCAACCCCATCTGACATGCGCCGCGGACGTGTGATGGACGTGGTGGGGAGGAACAAACGGGTGAGTCACTCTGAGTCACTCCAATGCGCGTGTGTCACTCCCCCGTCAGGCCCCCCCCCCCTCCCTCCGCCCGGTGTTTTTCTCGCTCTTTCCATCATTCGCTCTCTCTATCCTATATCCATCTCTCTTCTCTGCATCATACCCAACTTCTCTTCGTCTCTCTATCATACCAATCGTACACCCAACTCACTCCCTTCCATATCTCATCCATCCGCCCGCTGTTCACACCTGCAACAAACAAACGCACAGCATAAACACTCGTAAAGCCGTTCGTTCTCGGACTCCTCCCCCCGGAACACACCTCCCCCACGTATCCCACTTACCGCTTCCATGAGCACCACCTCCAAGAAACCACCCACCTCGTCGCCGTGCCACTACAAAACCCTCGGCGTGGACAAGAAGGCCTCGTACGATGATTTGAGGAAGGCGTATGTATTCACGGGATACGTCGAGAGAGGTTCTTTTTTCTCGTTTCAAACTGATGTGGGTTTTTCCATCTGGTAGATACAAGAGGGAAGCACTCAAATGGCATCCGTACGTCCCATCTCATAGGACCCGCTGACTTGTGTGCGGTTGGCTTTGGTTTTGTTTTGCGTTTGACTGACAAACAATGTGGGGTGTTCCCAGGGACAAAAACAAAGACGACCCCAATGCACCGCACCGGTTTCGTCAAGTAGCGGATGCATACGCCCTCTTAAGCGATGGTGCGTGGCCTAGCCTACCCTATCGTCCCCGCCGACTCTCCCCTCGGTCCTCCTAATCCAAAGAAAACCCCTCGCGCTTCACAGAAACCCAACGGAAGAACTACGACAGCACCCTCTCGCAGAAAACCAGCACGAGAACAACCACCTCCCGCCCAGGGTACACGCAGACGACCCAATCGACCTCGTCGTCAAGCCGCACATCCCACCACCGCCCGTTCGATTTCGCCTTCCCGACCTTCGCGACAGACCCGACGGACCCGTTCGGGGACCATTTCAAGTTCGGGTTGGGTGAGTCGCGGCGTCGGAATCCTCACCACTATCATCATCGAGGAGGAGGAGGAGGGGCCGCCACGCCGCCGTTCTTTCCCCGCCCGTTCGCATTCGACGCGGACCCGTTCGCGATCTTCGACGAGGTGTTCTTCGGGGGTGTGATGGGCGCGACACGGGAGACCCCCCGCCGCGGCAGCGACCCGCACATGCACGCGAACGCGGACACGAGCGCGTTCCATGCCACCGTCGGCGCCCAGCGATTCCACCACCACCAACATCATCAGGAGGAGGAGGGTGACAGATGGACGCCGGTCGCATTCCCGCACGACCATCACCGGTCGACACCCATCCACGTCTCATCCACAGACGCACACTTTCGGAACCCCGATATCGCGACGGCGCATTCGGGCGTGTGGGATGCCCGCGGTCACGGTGTCCCGAGCCCGAGCTCGCCACCCACCGGTGTGAGGCGGAACGACCACGATGCCGCGGCGGGGCAGCCGGGCGGGAGGAGGGTGAGGATTCCGATTCTGTGAGTGGTGGGTGGGGTATCAGCCCTCCCTACGCGAAGCTCTACGGGCATTGTGACCGGGATAGGCTCAACGATTCCGGGTATCGGTGGGGTTTACGCGAAGGGCGGGGGGCATCTTCCCTTTTTCTCGTACGGTTCGGGGAGTGTATGTATGAGGGCGTGTAGTGTAGGGTATGGAAGAAGATTCGCCGGTTGCTTGATTTACTTATCGTCTTTTCATTGTCTTTTTCTTGCGTTGGGGAGGTGTATGTGCGTGTTTTGATACCTACTCACGTCCAATAAATGTCTCAGTACGCTGTTCACCGTCTCCCCTTCCCCATGTATCTATCTCTCACCCCCGCGGCACGACGTTCCCGTTTGTAACATGAGGCCATATTCCCGATTTCATAACACGTACAGAAAAAGGAGAGAGGGGGGGCTTGCAATATGAGGCATATTCAGAACGCAAGCCCGAAACTAAAAGAAAACCGAACAGAACATCATTTCCACTTCGGGTGGGGTGCGGGGGGGGAACACAAAAACACAAAAGAATGATACACGGAAAGAAAACACAGGTGAACAGAAAAGAAGGGGGAGGATTCAACGAACAAGTGCGCGGTGGGGGGGGGGGGGGACCTCCTACGTCCCTTGACCCCCTCCCAATCCCCCAGTCGGGAACTAAACCAAAAAAGCAGGGAAAAAAAAAGGGAAAAGAACATGACGAAACACAGACTCGTTTTTTCTTGTTAGCCCCCCCGCGCCTTTTCGGGCCCCCGCCCGCATCCCACTGGCATTCAAAAAGAACCGAGCATATCAGGGTGGGAATCGCCCAACGGGATGTGTTGTTGATTTCTGACTGATCGACGAGCGCGTCTCCCCAACCCCATCAGATATTTTGTAGTGGTGGGAAGCGAGAGAGAGAGTGTGTGTGGTTCGTTTTGGTCGCCAGTGTGCCCGCTACTCCTCGGCATCCCCCAGCGGCGTCCCGTCCTCGTCGGCGCCAAACGTGTTCTCGGACGAGTAGACAATGTACAGGAACCCGTCTTCGTCTTTATGTTCTGCGTAGACTGTTTTCATAGCACGATCGTGGTCAGTGGCCGAGATGCAGGGGGAGAATTTTTTTGGTGAGATGAGGAGGACCAGTTACCTTGGCTGAGCAGCGACGCGGTCGGTGGAATGACGTTGTTGACAAAGATGTAGATGGCCTTTTCCGGGGTCAACTGGATGCGTTTGCGGATGACCCAGACGAATTGGCCGATTGTTAGGTCGCATGGGACGCTGAAACGTATATCATACTATGAGTATGCGAGAAATGCGAGTATGGAGAATAGGGGCAGGGCAGGGACGTACAGGTATTTCTTCTTATCGATCTTCCCGACGACGCTCTTCTCGGCCTTTTCGACGATGCAGGGTATCCGGTCCGGGTACTTTTGGCGGATCTTTTCGGCTTCCGCTTTGCGCTTCTCTGTTTGGGGGGAAAGGGTTGTTAGATTTTCGTTGGTTATGGGGTGGGGAGTGCGATGAGTTTGGTAGATAAGGTAGGGGAAGACGTACCGAACGGATGGTCGTCCTTGAATTCGGAGCGGACGGGCATGGTGGCTGGATGTTCTGGGGAGTTGGAACTGCGACTGGAAAGTCGAGATTGGGTGTCTGTGGCGGTCTTCACTATATGACTTAATGATCCACGGTTCATCAGACACGCGCCAAGGGTGAGATGATGAAGCCAAAACGACGGACGACATGCATACCTTATAATGGGAACGTTCCCACCGCTTTACAATCGAATAGGGTGTGCAAGTGAGGACTATTCAGTAAAGAGGCGAAAGGAGAAGTAAGGTTTGAGTTGACCCGTCCATATGGTCGAAGTGCAAACTCGCAAAGGTCCGTCCCTCTTTTCATACCTGAGACAAGATGGCTTCGGGGAGGGGGGGGGTTGAGTTTGAAGGACGGGAGCGTATAAAGCGGGGAAGCAAGATTTGGGGGGGTTCTGAAAAGGGTGTCAGGTCAGACAGACCCTTTGGAGTGTTGGATAGGCAAACGGGGAGAGTGATGGGTGCGTGCAGAAGCGAGCACAGTGTTCTCTCACAGACAGTTACCTTCTTTATGGCGTAATACGCAAGGGAAGAGAGACTGGATGGTTGGGTGTGTGTGTGTGTGTGTGTGTGTGTGTGGAGGGTCGTTGGGTTGGGAGGGGGGGCCAAGAGGGCAAGCCAAGGAAGCCGTGACGTGGCTGCTCCCTCCCTCCCTCAATGGAATCCCCATGACACACCACCACTGCAGCGACGGGCCCAGTCAGTCTCTCTTGATCAAGTCTCTTTCTTCCCTTGGCGCACTGCTGTACTACTATTAGGCCACAGACTGACAGCCCCCGTGAGTCATCCAATCTCAACATCAACATCACACGCTTGCTGCTTCCTCTCTGGATCTGGATCTGGGAGTGAGTGCAATCCTCACCCCAAACCGAAAACTACCCACAGCTCCGCCAACCTCTTTCTATCCCCCCCCCCCCCCCCCCCAATGCCCCTAACCAACCCCTCCGACGCCTGGGACCCCCTCGACCTGCCCCCGTACCAACGCTCCCTCCAAACCACTAACGTCCTCACAAACTTCCTCATCGGCGCCTCCGTCTCCCTCATCGCTTCATGTCTCTCCTCCCTCGGTCTCAACATGCAGGCTTCCGCCCTCAAATTCCAGCGAGACAGAAACACCGCCGTCGCGGACGCCAGTTTCGTAAGTGAGGGGAGCGGCGGGTGGGGGAGCGCGAATACGAGTTTGGATGCTGGGTATGGCGCTTTAGGTGGGGATCACGCCGTTGGGCTTGGTGGTGCGTCTGCCGCGTCGCCGGTGGACAGTTCGGCGGAGAGGGGCAATACGGGGCTTTTGGCGGTCAAGTCGAGTAGGGCTGGGGAGCGGAATAAGGCTGCGACCGCAACTGCGACGGGTTCCTCGTCGTCGGCATCGTCGGCGTCGTCGTCATCATCCTTTGCGACGACGTTACGCGCGGCAAAGAAGCGGATTCAGACCCAGACTTGGAGGGAGTTTTGGCACAGTTGGCAGTGGCATATCGGTAGGTGACACGGGTGTTTCGGGATGCCATGATAGGAAAGGCATGAGGAGGTCTTGACCCCATTCGAACCACTCCAGGCTTCAGTCTGTACCTCCTCTGCCAACTATTCGGCTCAGTCATCGCTCTCGGATTCGTGTGGGTACTTGGTGCGGCGGTGTATTCTGTCTAGCTTCGAAAACCCACTCAGCAACATCATCCCCCGATTCTCAATGCTCTATCCATCTTTCTTTATTTGATGCAGCTCCCCAGTGATCCTAGCCCCCCTCGGCTCAGCAAGCCTAATCTTCAACGTCATCTTCTCCCGGCTCTTCCTCGGCACAAAGATCCGAGGCCTCGACTGGCTCGGCACCTTCTTTGTCGTCGTCGGCTGCGGGATCGTAAGCACCTTTGGATCCGGGGGACCTGAAACAAGTACATTTGGAAAAACGATCCCTTTCCCTCACACAAACCAACCGCCCCTTTCTGACCCATTCCCCCCCCCCCCCCCCCCACACTCTTGATTAGAACAAACCCTCGAAGACCTCCTCCGCCTCTTCACCCGCCCCGCCTTTATCATCTACTTCTCCATCCAAGGCTCGCTCGTCCTCGCACTCTTTGCAGCCATCAAATACCTCGAATATGGCGTCGACGCGCTCAGATTCTTTTCCGTTGTGCCCACCCGGTCCTCACCCGCCGCAGTCGTCACGACGGAAACCACCCCGCTGTTGGCGAGGAAGGCGAGCCAGGTCGAGGTGGCGAGCGTGAAGGGCGAGTGGGTGGGCGCGTTGTATGGGGTCGTGGGAGGGGTGGTGGCGAGCGAGACGCTGATTTTGACAAAGAGCGGGTAAGCTACCACCTTGTTCATGTCGTTGCTGTGTATGTGTGTGTTTTTGCCCGCTTCCCCCCCGCAATGCCAATGGCAGGTTTTCTTTCCTTCTAAATGGACTGGTTTTTTGGGTCGTTTTTAACAGAATCGAACTCCTGATCGTCTCAATCTTTGAAACCGACAAACAAAACCGCGGCTTCTTCTCCTTCGGATTGGTCGCCGTCCTCTGCGTCACCGTCTTCCTCCAGGTAACCACACTCACATCCCCCCCTCGGAATCCCCCCCCAAGCTAACCCCCCCCCCCCCCCCATCTTTGTTTTTTTTAAAGCTCTACTCCCTAAACCGCGCCCTCCACTACGCGCTCCCGACCATCATCATCCCCATCTTCTACACCTTCTACACCATCCTCTCCCTTTTCAACACCCTCGTCTACTTCAACCAGTTCGGCGACTACAACGCGCCCGACCTGGTGTGCATCGCCGTCGGCATGGGGCTGATCATCGGCGGCGTCGTGGGGCTGAGTTACGGGCATGAGGGGGATCTGAGGGGCGAGCAGGGGGGTGGCGAGGGGGACTTGGTGGTGGGTGTGGATGTGGGGCCGGAGTTTGAGCAGGGGAGTTTGAGCAGTGCTGCGTCGACGGCGGCCGCGAGGAAGAGGGAACCGAGACGGGGACCGGGTGGAGCGAGTTGAGAGTGGGTCACACTTCCCCCCATTTTCAGCCACATTCGGAGGAAAATGGAACACTGTTTTTGTCGGTCGCTTAGATCATCTTTCTTGGGGTGTCGATACACAGCTTTATGTATAACGGGGGGGACCGGTTTTCAATGAGAACGGGCTCCCTGCCCTCGATCCATGGAGGATCCACTACATATTATCGTGAGTATGTACATCCAAGTTTACGCACGCTCATACGTCCCTACCAAATCCCCCGCTTTACGCCCCCCCCCCCCCCCACGCGTCCATATCCAAACAAAAAAAACGGTCCACTACGCCGTCTCGCCCTCAGCTATCCCCCCACAGCATCCTCGCCCACAATCCCCTCTTGCTCCTGATCTTCCTCCCCTTCCTCACTCCACTCCCACTCCCCCTCCTCCCCCTCCCCCCCCTCCCCCGCAGAAATCATCTCCAACCTCCTCCTCAACTCCCTCTCCTGGCACTCCAGCCCCTCCAGCTCCCTCCTCAGTCTCGCCGAGCCTTGCGACGAGACGGAGGAGCGGCGGTGGCGGCGGAGGGAGGAGGAGGAGGCGCGCCGGCGGCGGACGGTTGTCGTGTTGCCCGGGGGTTGATGTGCGGGGGACTGGGACGGGTTGTTGGTGGGCTGGGCGATGCCGACGATGTCGCGCCAGGGGGTTGGCGATGGGCCGGTGGGCTTGGGGTGGGGTTCGGACCCGGGGGCGGGTGGGTTGGTAGGCTCTGGGTGCACGACGACGGCGGGTGGCGCGCCGGGGGATGGCGACACGGCCCGGGGGGAGGTTCGCGCAACGGCGAGGAGGGTGCTGATGGGGGGCAGGGTTGTGGTCGGGGGTGCTGAAGTGTCTGGGCCGTTAACTTGATGCGTCCCTGTGGCGGGATCATCCGTAGCTGTTTCGCGGCCCCCGTCGTCCGCAGCATCTGCACCGCTCGCCTTTTCCTCCACCCCACCCGCCTCCCTCCTCCTCACAGGCCTCGAAGGCGACTCCTCCTCCTCCGCCTCCTCCGACCACGCTACCCTCCCCGGCGTGAAGAGCCCCGATGCCTCTCCTCCACCCTTTCTCCTACTCTTAACCACACTCCGCCCCGGCGTCATCCCAAACGCCTCGGCCATCAAAATCCCCATCGTGCGCGCGACTTTGTTGTTTTGTTGTTGGCGGGGTGTCATCGCTGGCATTGCTGCTGGGCGATGGGGGCGGGGCGTGCGGGTGGGGTGCTGGTGGTGGTGGGGTGGGGAGGGGTTTGATTTCGAAGAGGGGTTGAAGATGTTGTCGGAGGAGATAGGCGGGGGGCGGGGGAGGTTTTCGTCGGTTGTTGTTGTGGCAGGCTGTATATAAGGACGAAAAGGACATGAGTTTGATTGATTCCGTCAGCGACGACCTAGGCGCGCAGAGCAAGTTGTTTTTACCTGCGGCTTTCCTTTGGGAACCCGTATCGCACCGGCATACATAGACTTCCTCTTCAGTTCCTCCACCGGGACCTACAAACATCTCACAGCATCAGCACATGCCCCCGCCAACCCCCAGAAAAGCAACATCCAACCCCACCTGCTCCTGCAAAGTCCCCAAACCCCCACCCGCCCTCCTCACCGCGGTCGTGACCCTCCTCGCCCCACCCATCGTCCCCCGCTTCGTCTCCACCCTCGCGGCCCCTCTCCCCATCCCAGCCTTGGTATCCAGCTCATTCGAATCGCAGCTGTTCAGGATATCCGCCAACGCGGCGTTATTGAACTCGTCGGACGGATCTTTTCGGGGTTGTTTGCGGAGCGCGGTGCGGGCGGGACCGGAGAGCCCGGTGCGGATGACCCCGCCGACTGTTGGTTTTGGTTGTGGGGCGTCGAGCGCGGGTGGATGCAGTGGGCGAGCGGCGGGTTTGGATTGCCGTAAGGGGGAGGTTGAAAAGGCCGGTTTCGTCGTCGTCCTCGCAGCCGGAACGATAGGCTTCTTCACAACGGGCTTCACACCACCCCCAGTCTCCATCCTGCCAAGATGATCTTTCCGCGCGGCCGTGGCGGCGGTCGATTTCGGGTTCTTGAGTTTGGACTCGAGCTTTGATTCCCATTTCTGGTGCAGTTTGCTGAAATCGGGGACGGGTTTCACGTTGCTTTTCGTCTAAGGCGGGGGTGGAGTGATATTTAGTTAAGCGTCTTTTTCGCTTTTAGAGTTGCGAGGAGGAGGCTAGGTGGTTCGTTCATACCGACGTTCTGAGCGGTATTTTGGACCCTTTCCCGGGTGCAGCGTCGGTCACCGAAGACATTGCGGGCGAATGTATCTTTGGCGATGCGTGCGAAGGTAAGTCACAGTCCCTTGTCGGTTCCCGTCCTTGGAAGCCGTTGGTCGTTGGGCTTCAGAGTTCAAGTCTGGGGGGTGTGCCATCTTCCCAGCGTCCCATCACACGCGCCTGTAAAACTGCTGTCCGTTGGACCTTTGCGACAAATACTTGACATTCCGACTTGCATCGCCTTCGCCCACTGAGAGTCTTGGGGCTCCCCCAATACAACATATACACACGGTGACTACCCCCAACATGTCGGCCAGCCAATGTCCCACCAGGCTGCAGGCCAGCCTCACAAACTCCATACGGCGAGGCCTATTCTTCTCTGTCGGGCAACCTCGGCCACGAAAAGGTCAGTCATTCATGGAACACTTCAAATAGGTGGAGACATCGGCGTGCGAGGAGGGTTCTAAACCAATGGCACAGGCTACAATGCAGCGTCCAGATTATTCTGCACCAATACCGCCCGTCGGAAAGAGTCCAAAGTCCCGCATTACAAACCGCTTCAAACCGTCCGTCAATTCAACCCCCACCTCAACTACCGCCACATCCGGGACAACGCCGCATCCATCAAACAAAACCTCCTAAACCGCAACGTACAAGACGTCGACGTCGATCTCATCATCCAGCTGTACGGCCAGTTCGTACGAACCGATTTCTCACTCGCCGAATTACGCCGGGCGCGGAACCAAAACACGGCTGCGATGAAGACATGTGGGCGGGACGCTGAAGCTGAACGGAAACAGTTAGCGGAGGCGGGGCGGGAGTTGAAGAAGGTGATTGCGGCGAAGGAGGCGGAGAAGGTGGACCTACAGGCGAAGTTGTACGAGGAAGCAAGACATTTACCGAATGATACATTCCCGGGCTCACCGATCGGGGACGAGTCGCTGGCGAAGGTGCTGTCTACGCATCTCACCCCGCGGTCATCCACCTTCGCATCCGGCGCGGCGTTGCGGACACATATGGAAATCGCCTCGCTGCACGACCTGGTCGATTTCGACCGCGCCGGCAAAGTCAGCGGATCGAGTTTCTACTATTTACGCAACATGGGCGCGATGCTGGAGATGGCGTTGACACGGTACGCGATGGATGTGTGTATATCGCACGGGTTTGTGCCGATGATCACGCCGGATGTAGTCAGGCATGAGGTGCTGGAGGCGTGTGGGTTCCATCCGCGGTCGGAGGATCCGCAGACGTATTACATTGCCCCGCAGACGGGTGCTGTGGAACAACAGGGCGCCGCGAGGGATCCGATGCAGCTGTTGTTGACCGCCACGGCCGAGTTCCCGTTGGCAGCGGCCCACGCGAACGAGACGTTGCATCTGTCGTCTCTCCCGATCAAACAAGTCGCCTCGTCCCACGCCTTTCGCGCAGAAGGGCTCTCCGGCGCCCTCAACCGAGGCCTTTACCGTGTCCACCAGTTCACAAAAGTCGAGATGTTTGCACTGACGACAAAAGAAACCAGCGATACCGTCTTTGCCGAAATGGTGAACGTGCAAAAGATCCTGTACAAGGGTCTCGACCTCTGTTTCCGCGAACTCGAGATGCCGACGCAGGATCTGGGTGCGCCCGCGTACCGCAAGATCGATATCGAGGCGTGGATGCCTGGCCGACAAAGCTGGGGGGAGATTTCGAGCGCTTCGATTTGCACGGATTTTCAGTCGAGGAGGTTGAATATGAAGTACTTTACGGGGTCATCGACCGCTGCCGGTGCGACGGGGACGACGGGACATACGGATTTCGTGCATACGATCAACGGGACGGCGTGTGCTGTCCCGCGACTCATCATTGCGTTGCTGGAGACGCATCAACATGAGAATGGTGATGTCGACGTGCCTGAGGTCTTACGGCCTTATCTGTGGGGCATCACCACAATGAGGGCTGGACAGAGCGTTCAGGAGATGATTGCAAACAAAGGGAGTCCGAACATCCCGTAGAGTCAGTAGGTTCAATAGTGAACCAGAACCGTCAGCCCCGAAGAGACACCCGGCGTACTAGTCGTAGATCGTTGTTGATAAATTAAATCTAATATGTACAGTTGGGTATTATCCGCCTCCATGTCTGAAAAACGCCGTCCGTCTCATTGCGCTGGCCTGTTCCTCAACTCCCCCTCTTCTTCTCTCAGCAGTTTCCGCTCCTCCAATAGCTTGAGTATCCGTTGCTCCTGCATTGCGTTGAATTCCAGTCAGCATACTTTCATGAGTCTCTCAACCCGTCATCTCCCAACCCATGGAGCCATCAACAACATCAACCATCAACCCATCGACAACCATCAACATGGAGCGGATGGCTGAACGATACCCCTGCTCGCTCCGCTCGCGACAAGGAGGAGAGTTTGGGCTGCTGTGTGATGCGCAATCCTGGCCCTCCGGCGCAAAACCCCCTGGGCCTACGGCTCAGTTTGGCTCGCTTCCGCTCGGAACCCTCAAGCATCTCTACGCCCCGCTTAGCCCTGACTCCGGCGCAGTTGGCCTCTATTTCCTCGTCGCAGTCAGTCGTCCCGCTCAGTTCACCTCACCTTATCATGGGTCACCGCGACGTTCGCCATATACGTCGCCAAAACCACACTCCCAAAGATCACAAGTCCAACCTTCGTCACTGACCACGCCCACGAACGCTTTTGGCGCGGCGGTGCGAGTGATGCAGCGGCCTGTTGGCGTGCTCTTAGGGCGGCGCTGTATGTTTCGATTGTGGGTGGATGCGACTCCTGTTGGGTTGCGGGTATTGGGGTGGTGGTGGTGTTGGGGCGGAGGGTGGGGGATGGATTGCGGAGGATGCGGGAGCAGTACATTTTGGGCTGATTTCCAAGGAGTGAGTGAAGACACCGGAGTAGCGAGCAGGACCTGATTGACCAGCAGCGACCTTGATCTCCAGCGGTTGTCAATTCCAGTCCTGACTGTCGTTGGGGCGGGTTGTGTCGAAAGCATCGATTTGTTTAGGACCTTCTGGCTAAGTTCTAACCCTAACCCTCGTTTAGCTCGCCCGCCACAGACCGGCAACCACGCGCTGCCTCCTCTTTCATCAGGGACTCGGGAGGGGGAACCGTCACATGTTGCAAGGCGGGCGGAGGGAGGAGGAGGGTCTGGGGGTGGTTAGGATACGGTTAGTCACACCCGCAGACACGCTTTCCCAAACAGTGCCGCAAAATAAATATCCTCAACTTACATACAGCACATACAGCACATACCTCTATCATAAGGCAGGGGGGTGGCCCAAAGTGAGGCTTCTCCCATCTCATCCGAGGTCTTTTCCGTTTTTCGCCCAAACAAGGTTTTTTCTCTCGTCGCTCCCAACCTCCCCCCATCTACACGATCGGGTGGCGCCCCCCGACAACACCATATATACCTCCCGGCTTTGGCCTCGTACGTACAGTACATATCCCAGACACAGGCGTCCTGTGGAGATACCTTCGTTCCACTGCATTCGAACCTGCACCACCACCAGGCACTGCAAACGTCGGAGAGAGTGACAGTTGCGTAAATCACACTCACATCGCTCACTTCAACAACCACATACCCCCGGCTCTTGTAACAAGCATCATGGACGACTCCTCAGCATCTCCAGCACCGGCCACGGCCGATGCCAACGGGAGCGCGGCAACCCTAACGAACCCCCAAGTCGCCGCCGCCGCCGCCGGCCAACAACAACATGGGCCTGCTTACAACGCCCACAATGGGCGCGCCACTGTCCCATCAGTACTGGTCTACGAGCCTACCGGTGCCCTCGGTGTAAAGAAGGACGACGGTCTCGCAACAGCCTCCCCAACCTCCCCCGCAAACCTCCGTTCTCCCTCCACCCGCACCCGCACAACTTCCCACACCGACCACAGCGGCCGTCCCCGCCTCTCAACCCAACTGTCCCGCTCAGACCTCATCGAGCGCAAACACCACGCCCGCAAGATCCGCAATGAGTCGAGGAACTCGTACACCGAGATCCTGCGTGTGCGCGCGAGTGTCATTCCCAGGGTGTTGGTTCCGAGTCTTTTGCATACCGTTTGGGCGGCCTTGTGGACGACGTTGTATCAGGTGGCCGGGTGGAGGTGGATTTCGATCCCGCCGCAGTTGATTACGATTTTGGGTGTCGTTATTTCTCTGTTGTTGGTTTTCAGGACCAATACGGCTTACGATCGGTGAGTACCGCGAGCGGAGCTATTCACATTGCGCCGGAGGCGGCAATCCTTCCTTCACGTCAGCTCTTAGCGAACAGCGGCGAGCGTTGCACTCTTTGCGAGCAGCTCCCGCCCGACAATTCGTTAACGCACTTCGAATCTCGATGGTGGCGCGTTCCGTGGTTTTTTTTTTTTTGGCGGATCCATCCATTGACATCCTCCATTCCCTCCTCCCACCCACAGCTACTGGGAAGGCCGTCGTGTCTGGGGCACCCTCATCACGCAAATCCGGAACCTCGCCCGGTTCGTCTGGATCGGCGTGCAGACCCCCGACACGGCCCTCGTCTACGAAAAGAAGGGGGCCATGAACCTCCTTCTCGGCTTTGCCGTCGCGACCAAGCACTACCTGAGGAGCGAACTTGGCCACAAGTATGCGGATCTGCACCATTTGCTGGTGCATTTGCCCGAATTCAGGTCGGGCGCAAAGGACCCGAATGTCAAGAATTTGCCGTTGGAGATCAGTTTCCATATTAGTTCTTATATTGCCGCTTGTCGGCAGAAGGGTAGGCAGTCAATCACCGTTTTGCCATTGGGCCGTGCACCCGAATCGAAACCCATTTACTAATTGATTCCCTCATCCTCATCATTATTTTCTCTCTTCTTGCAGAATTGATCGACGTCTCGCAACAAACAGCAATGGTCAACGCCCTCTCCTCCATGATCGACTGCCTCACCTCCTTCGAGCGCATCCGCAACACTCCGATCCCCATCGCCTACTCCGTCCACCTCCAACAGACGCTGACGCTGTACATCCTCGCCCTGCCGTTCCAGCTCGTCAGCGTGCTGTACTGGGGGACTATACCTGTGTGCTGGATCGCCGCGTTCACCATGTTGGGGATTGAGTGTATTGGGGGGGAGATTGAGAACCCGGTATGTCTGATCGCTTTAACCCCTTTGATGCTTGCCCCGCCGCCGATCTACTTTTACTTACATTCCGCATCTCTTTCCCATTTTTTCCAGTTCGGCTACGACGAAAACGACCTCCAAGTCGAAGAATTCTGCCGGTCCACCCGCGAAGAGCTGCTGAGGGTCATGGTCCGCCCGCAGACGCTCGACCCAGCGACATGGGGCGCGCCGTTCGTTGAAGGCGAGTTCAAGGATCTGGAGACGATGGTGAGGAGTGCGGGGGGCAGTGTAGATTTGAGAAGGGGGGCGGAGGAGGTCGGGATTGTGATTGAGGAGGTTGGGGGGGATGTGAACAGGAAGTGAGGGACTGGTTGAGGGTTATTTACTGGTTCTGAGATGTGTTTTTTGCATGGACGTTGGGTGAGATATTTTTTCCTTGCCATATCGGCGTAGTGGGACATTCGAATCAAAGACAGGCTTTCTTTGCATTTTGCGTTAGTCTTGCCGCGTAACTTCATGTGACATGTATTATACTGCATTCGAGGCGTGAAAATCCACATCAATGTCATATTTACTGCCTGGTCTCAATTTTTTGTCGTTCTTGTCGGTATTTCACCTGGTGAAAGTTCTTAAAAGCTCCGCCTGAGTGGGGGAGAACCCCAGACTCCCAGAGACGTTGGTAGGTTAGAAGCATGCCCCACACGCCAATTGTGACATATTCAACATATATAACAAATAGTGACTTTTATTGTACAATTGGTTAGATGATCCCCGCTTTCTACAATAAACATAAAAAACAGCTGCAACAACATTACCACGGGGAAAGGTCTTCGGCGTACATGCGCAGAGGTACGAGAGACGGCGTCTCTAGCATTTGGAACATGTGGCGACCGGAACGAAAGGACTCGATGGTCAGGGTCCCCCCCAACATCCTGAGCATCTCACGCGGTGGGGGCGCACGGAATGTCAAAGGTGCCGAATATGCGATGGTGCGTGTAGTGCAGCAGTGGGATGTGCTTATGGAAAGCCCGCTTGTCTTTGGCCCACGCCAAGGCGCAAGGAAACCCGCAAAAGTAGCCGTAGGTGGAGAGCGTATCGTGCGGCGCCTCCGCGCTAAGCCGCACCGGCAACCGTGCAGACGCATGCTGGAAAGGGTGGCAACACCACCAGCAAGCGTTGCACCCCATCCTTGGGTGCGATCTCGTAGTAAGGCTGTGGGTTTGCGTCGGACGCTGCACAATGTCGTCCGAAGCATCGTTATGCGGAAGGGCAGATGCTTTTCCAAAGTGGGGGACCAAACTACCGTTGTCTACATAGGGATCATGCGGTCTCCGAGTAGAGGCGGACGTAGGGGGATCCTTTGGGCACAAGTCAAATGTACGGGGAACGGCATTGAGCTTCACGAAGACATCTTTTTTGCTCCCCATCTCATCTCTCCCTGTGCACCTACCTATCCTTGTATGGTCTTATATGGTGTTTGCCTTGTGGGATACGTCGGTCAATGGCTTTCCAATGGCTGCATGATGATCACAAGCGGATCGTATACATTTGAAACCCTACGAGCCGGACTCTGCAAGTGCGGCATGACGGAAGATCGAGAAGAGGACGGCTATGACGGAGACGATCTTGCGCAAATAGCTGAGGACTTTGAACTAGCAGATCGTCTTATTCCAGTTTATAGCGATCGTTCCCGCAATCGGTTCTGGCTCGTTACTGAGCACTCCGGGGAGTTTTATAGTTGGTGTCCGCCAACGTGGACGATGGAGAAGCTGGGTATGGGACTTGAGAATGCGATAGAAGCAGCAATAGGAGGGAAGCTGCAGGCGATGGAGGCAAAAAGCGACAGCACCGGACGCTAACCCTAACCCAACCGTTGTAGAGGGGTTCCGGATGGCGGATCTCTAAAGTGTTCATACGGGTCCCAAACATCGCAGTCGGATGCCCCCACGGTGAAATCAAACGCGTCAACGTCACGCGTCAACTCCGCCGACACTTGTCCACTTCTGCCCACTTTCTTCGCACCCGCAGAACGTAACAAAAAGCAGCTTGCACACTCCAACAGGACCCTGCAAGACGGATCCAAGTTCAACATCGCCGCTACGCGCACCCCTTTCGAGCCGCCCGCCTAATTTGTTGCAGCGAAACGCGTACAAAAACTTGATTGCCAATACACTTTGAGACATCGCATCTTTGAACTGACTACAGATTGCTTACAGGGATAACCCGATCCGCGCAGTAACTTACGCCGCTTTGGATCGGTGAGGAAAAATAGTAGCGGCCTTGCCAGATCGGCCTGTCAAAGGCTTTCCACTTTCTCCCACAAGGGATATAGTAGCTTGTGTTCCTCCCTGGAGCTCAGCGCCCGGATCATGCGGTGATGACAATAAAGCCTTGGGCCCAAGGACCGTTTTGCGGGATCTTCGTGAGTCCGTTTGTTACGACAATGACGGGGCTCTAACTGTACATGCCGCACTACGACGATCGAAACCCATTGTTATGAACCGGTCGGACGAAGCAGGAGGGTACATTGTATTGACAGCGTATTGACAGATACTATAGACCAGTACAGGACTATGAAAGGGAATAACTGGCGTTGATCTGCTAGAGAGCAAAGGGGGGCCGTACAGGGGAGTGCTATTCATATCGGGAGAGCGGAGTGGGGGTAGCAGCGATATTAATAGGTGACTCGTTGCTGACACGCACTTCTGACAGACTGTGACACAGTATCACAAGCCAGGGTTCCGGTGCCGTGACTCGTGGCTTGACTGTGGACTTTATGGTGTGGACGGTACGTCCATAACACCCATCTCACATGGCCATGCCCATGTCCGCCATGCCCTGCGCCACATCTGCAGCAGTCATCTTTCTAGCAACACAGTACTTCCTCGCGACGACTGGACCAATCAGCAACACGTTGTCCCGGTAGCATTTCACTGGACGGAATCAATATTCGTAAATTCGCTGCGTTCATCAAGAGCAGGAAGAGAGGAGAAGACTTACAGTAGGTCTGTCTTTTCATCATGGTCATCATCCCTGTGGTTGCGAGGTTCATCAGCATCTGGGTCGCTGGCTTGTTGGTCATGGTCGTCGTGGTCATGGCGGTGAGTGGGTTGGTCAGCACTGGAGTAATAGGCGTGGTGGCCACCGTTGTCATGCCGGTAGCAGGGTTCATCACAGGAGTGACCGGCATAGTCGTCCCGCCAGTGGCCGGGTTCACCAACCAAATAACAGGTGCGGTCATCGTCGTCATGCCGGTGGCGGGGTTCACCATTGGAATAACTGGCTTATTGATCGTCGTCACTGCCGGGTTCAAAGTGCCTGCACCCATAGGCAAAATGGCAGTGCCCATCCCAGTGGTGAGTGGTGCGCCGACTACTGGCGGGGTTACTACCTGGATGGCCGGAGGCGTGGTAGTGTAAGGGTAGAACTGCGAGGGTGAAAACCTGGGAGTTAGTGTACTGTACACCAAAAAACCATTAAAGCCACAAGAAATGACAATGTGCGATGCTTACCATTCCACTACCATCCTCGCCCTCATACATCCGTCCACGATTCATTCCCCCCCTGCTACGGCTCGGCGAATAATCAGCGTATCTCGTTTGATCATAATTCCTGTACTTCTTCACTTGCATTGGCTGGCCGTAGTTTTCCGCATGCTTGAACCGGCCGTACCCGAACTCCGCGGAGGGTCGTCTTTGTTGATACTCTGCGTAACGAGGTCCGTAAGCTTGTGCCGTGGCAAAGAAGGCGAAGAACGGAATGAGGAATTTGAGAATGTTGGCGGGGTACATGCTTGCAGGTCGCGCGGGGAATTCAGTGGGAAAAAGAATTGGAGGAGGAGTTGTTGAGGTGAATGGTCGGGGTGCCTGGAACGGAATGACTTTTATAGCCTTTGGCGGGAGAAGGACTGGCTTGAGCTACCCCCTAGGGGAACGCTGAACGGACAGCCACCTGGTGGGCTTGTCACTACCATCGTGCGGCAGGGAGGCTTGGTGCATGCCGCAGCGGTCAGTAATTAAGGGCAATGACTGAAGCCTTTCTGTCAAAATACTGCCAACTGTTAGCGCTTGTCACTGCGCCGAGGGCTTGGAGGGTCTTCGCCCGCAGCGGCAAAAGGGTAGGGTGAGAAGCCTTGCTGTCAAAATGTTTTTGTCATAAACTGTCAAACTCTGCCGCCCTAGGGCTTGCATTATGCCGCAGCGGCGTGCGGCATTACGGCGATTGCCGTTGTGAGTTAAGCCTAAGGCTTGGGTATGCCACAGCGGCAAGAAGGCTTGCTTAAACATAGGTGGGCGCTGTGGGCGATGGGGATATAAAGACGTGATGCCTCTTCTCGCAACGAACTCGGTCCATCTCACGTCTTCCGCAAAATCACCCAGTACTCGCCTACATTTGTCCAGCTCTCGCTCTGCACCACATCTCGCAGAGTCACACCTACTCTCTCACACTCCAACTTCCGAGACAACAGTTATGAATGTCGCCTTTGCCATTCTCTGCCTTTTTGGTATGCTTCGCATAGTCGTCCATTTGTATTCGTCATGTACAATCCTCAACGGCATCGTTTTTCTGCGCACATTACAGTCACCACCGGGCTTGCTGCACCTATACCAAACATCTTTGACGACATCGGCAGCGCCATATCTGGCGCAGTCTCCGACCCCGCAGGCACCCTCATGAGCGCTGTCAATGCCCTCAACGGTGTAGACCCTGGCGTGCGTGCCGCTTTCTCTGCTACGCAACAGATTGTAAAGGTTTCTGTCTCTGAATTGCAAGCTGAGGCGGAAGCTGCTGCGCAAGCTGCTGTTCCCGTTGCAGAGGATGCTGGACTGACTGCTGCACAAGCTGTTGGAATGACTGCGCCTGGGGCAGCTGTGGAAATGGCGGTGTTGTCGCCGGAACTGGCGGCACAAGTGGTAGCGCCGGAGGCAGCGGCAGAGGCGGCCGTACTTCCGGAAGCAGTAGAGGCGGCGGTGCTGGTGGGATAATGTATCGTTTTAGTGAATCTTAGTTTTCCACAATTTGTTTATATGTAACCCTTCCACAATTTGTTTATATGTAACACATGAGATCAAAACTTGGAACTTGCGTGTTCTCAAGACGGCTGCTGGGGAATCAGGATGGGGAGCGGAGGGGAGCTGGCTATTTATGCTTTTCTGGGAAGGCATGGGGAGGTGTGGGCAAGCAGAGAGCACGGAACAAGAGAGAAGGTAGAGGATACGCCAAGGGTGGGGAAGTATAGGGAATAGAAGAAGGGAGAAGATGTGGGCTGCGTGTGGCTACGTGCGGCTGCGTGGTTCAGCAGGCCTCGGATTTCGACAGGGAGTTGACAGTGACAAGCTGTCAAATGCTTTTGTGATGAGGTAAGCTTTTGGTATGGGCGCGTCGTCCATAACAACGACGGGTCCATAACAAACGGGCGAGCGATTTGACGAGCATTGCTATTGCTGTGAACCTTCCAGACCATATGTAAGGCTAGCTCCGGGATAAACTTGACAATAGAAAAGCTCAGACTCCGACACCTCGACACTTCAGCAATGTGTTCCGGAGCGATCAGTCCGACAGCCTCCCCGAGAGAAGTGTATTTATACTGCATAACCAAGTATAACCAAAAAAAGCATGGATACAAGCACGCATCGGGAGCAGTGCGTTGCAAACGCCTGGAGTGCCCCACCTGCTCAGAAGGCAGTTGTACAGCAGATCACGATGAGTCGATTCAGTGATCTACAGAGCTTCAATCATCAATCATCCTGAATGAAGGTCATCCTAAACAGCGGCAAATTGTCCATAACACAAAGCAATTGTGGATGGTGCCCCGACAATGTGGGTGGTGCTCCGACAAAATGGCGCGGTGACGGTTACATGGACGAACGTGAAAACGAGGGCGACGAAGCTGCCACCGCGCCATTTTGTCGGAGTTGATTCGCGGCGGCTTGTCCATCCGGACGGCGAAGCTCGCCAGTGGGTCCCTACCCTAACCCAATGTGTGCAGCTGCTGTGGATGCTCAATTGCTTTTGCTTGTTTGTAGCAAAAATCATCACACCATTGTGGCTGATGGAGTGGCGTCCAACCAGGTTATTGAGCTATGAGAGGAAAGTCTTCTATCTGAGCTAGCGCTGATTTTGTATACCGTATGTATTGTGCTCGAAGGAAGGGCAGAGAAAGCGAGCGAAAATGCCGGTTGACGCGAGGGCGAACTAATAATGCCTCACCCGCCTGCCACGTCACAACCCGTCGCAACCACCCCAGCTCGCGACAGGTCTGCATCAAAAAGGACAACGTCCCAAACTCAAGTCCGCTCCCAACGTTCCCTACGCCATCCACTCGCATAGCGGAACACCCATCCTCATCATGCGTTCACCCCTACCCCTCCTATCAGGCCTCAGCCTCCTCCTCCTCACCCTCCTCACCCTCCTCACCGCCCCCGCACCCACAACCGCATCAGTGATCGGCATCGACTTTGGAGCAGAATGGTTCAAAGTCTCCCTCGTCAAAGGCGGCGTCCCGCTCGAGATTGTCCTGAACGCAGAGACGAAACGCAAGACCCCCGCGGTCGTGCTGGTTCGGGAGGGCGATCGCCGGTATGGGGCTGATGCGGTCGCTTTGGTGAGTTTCAACTCTCGCATTTCAGAGGATGATCACAACCCCCTTGGGAACAAGTGAAAGGTTTTGCTAACGCATCACGATAACAGTCCACCCGCTTCCCGCAAGACACGTACCCCTCCCTCAAAAACCTGCTCGGGAAACTCTACGAAGACCCCGTCGTCGCCGAGTACCGGCAGACATTCACCAACACGATGATCCGTGACCCCGAACGCGGGACGGTCGCTTTCAGGCATAATGAGACGACGACGTACTCCGTGGAGGAGCTGGTGGCGATGCAGCTGGCGTTTGCGAGGAAGCAGGCGGAGGCGAGCGGGGGGGAGTTTGTTGCTGGGGCTGTTATTACGGTGAGCAGGGGGTTGAGAGGGGGGTTGATAGGAAGAGGGGACTGATTTTTTTTTTTGTTTTTTTGGGATAGGTGCCGCCGTATTGGGGACAGTTCGAGCGTGCGGCGTTGTTGGAGGCTGCAAAGTTGGCTGAGTTGAGGGTGTTTGCTCTTATCAATGATGAGACTGCTGGTGCGTATGTGCGGCGAAATGCGCCCCTTTGCGTGGCCTTCTTCGGGGTTCCGGACCGGGGGCTAACTTCCTTTGGGAATCGGAACAGTCGCCGTGAACTACGCCAGTGCGAGGAACTTTCCCGAACCCCAGTACCACATCTTTTACGACATGGGCGCCGGAAGCACCGTGGCCGCGCTCGTGAGATTCAACACAACCTCAGGGAAAAAGACCGGAGGAGTCACCGAAATCGATGTGTTGGCGGTCGGCTACGACCCCAGTCTTGGCGGTCACTCCCTCGACGTCAAACTGCAGCGCTACCTAGCATCCGAAGCGGTCGCCAAGCTCGGCGACAAATTGAAGGGTGATCTCTACAAGGACTCCCGGGCGATGGCCAGACTCTTAAAGGAGGCGACCCGGGTAAAACAGATCCTGAGCGCAAACACGGAAACGACGTCCTCCATCGAGGGCCTGATCGAAGACCTGGACTTCCGGACCAAAATCACCCGAGCGAAGCTGGAGGAGCTGTGCAAAGACGAATACGCACGCGTTTCGGGACCCGTGGAGAGCGTGCTCAAGCAGGCAGACATCACGATCGACAAAATCAACTCGCTTGTTCTTGTCGGGGGTGGGGTTAGGGTGCCGTTCGTGCAGGCTGCGTTGACGGGGTTGGTTGGCGAGGCCAAGATTGCGAAGAACATCAATGGTGATGAGGCGGCGGTTATGGGGGCTGGGTTCCGGGCGGCTACTATTAGCCCGCAGTTCAGGGTTCGGGATATTCGCATCAAGGATATCAACCTGCTCCCGGCCGAGATTGCGTACGAGACTGAGCCTAAAGGTAAGCCCGACAGGCAGGCATCGCATGCGGAGGTCACGGGCCGTAGCTGATGTTCCTGACCAACCGTAGAAGGATCCACACCACGGACTATTCGCACTACCATCTTCAGCGACAAGACTCTGCTCGGGGCCAAGAAGCTCATGAACTTCAAGCGCAAGACTGACTTTGAGTTCGAGCTTACCTACAAGTATGTGCCTTCCCTTCCAATAAACCCTCTTTCCATTGACAATCGTACTCACAATTCTCCTGAACCTCGTACCCAGGTTGGATGGCCAACCCATCATCCTAACCTCCAAAATCGCCGGCCTGGCCGAAGCCATCGAAAGCCGCAAGAACCGAACCGTCGAGGAACCCAAAGTGAAGGCTCTCCTGGAACTCAGCGAGTCGGGAATCATCACTGTCACGGAAGCCACTGCGCAGTTCAGTGTTGAGGAGGCGGCGGCGGGCAAAGATGCACCTTCTATCAAAGGTGTGATGTGATTGACTTGTTCCTTTGCGGATTCGTTGGCTGATGTCTCACGTTGTGTACAGACACTGTATTGAACTTCTTCAAGGGCAAGAAGGGCGATGACAAGTCTGACGAGACTGAGTCGCAGAATGTGTCGGAGGAGGTCAACGTGAGTTCCTTCTCAGCTTCTTACCCTCTTTCCGTGTGTGTCGCTCAAGATGAAATCGTTTACCAGGCCGAGCTCCCGAAGTTGAACGCCACCACCAACGCCACAGCCCCGAAGGTCCTCACGGAAACCGCAAAGCTCAACCTCACCATCAGCTGGGCAACCGTGAAACCTATCTCGGAGGAGGCGCTTGCCGTGTCCAGAGCCAAGTATGTTTTACAACACATCAGACCATACACCCAATTTCACTTCCCGACCAAGTCTTCTTCCCCCCCTTATACAGACTCGCCCACCTCGAAAAAGCCGACTCCCACCGCCTCGCCCGCGAAGAAGCGCGGAACACCCTCGAATCCTTCTACTACTCCGCCAAACAGCTCCTCTTCGAAGACGACATCGAGCACACCTCCACAGAAGACGAGCGCAACATCTTTACCAAAGCATTCGACGAGATCTCCGACTGGCTCTACGACGCGGCTGACTCGGCGCCCATTGATGAACTCAAGGCGAAGCTGAAGTCGTTGAAGGATGTGCACTCGCCGTTGGTGTTTAAGCATAAGGAGCATCGGACCCGTGATAAGGCCGTGGAGGCGCTGAAGAGCGGGTTGGGGACGGCGAAATCGCTGTTGGTGGGGTTCCAGAACGCCACTTTGGGAAGCGCCGACGACACCGAGCCCCGGTACACGAAGCTGGAACTGTCGGCGTTTGAGGACCTCGTGACGGGGATGGAAGACTGGCTGACGAAGAAGTTGGAGGAACAGGCCAAGCTGAAACCCTACGAGACGCCGGTGCTTGTTGTGAAGGAGTTGAAGAAACGGGCGAAGGCGGTTGAAGCTGAGGCGCAGAAGTTGTTGTTGAAGCCGATCAAGCGGAAGACGAAGAGTCAGAGTAGCAAGACTACCTCTACGTCGACTTCTACTGCGACGGCTACGTCTACGAACACGACGACCTCCACCACCACGACGAGCACGAAAGCGACTATCCCAGCTGAGACCGTGACCGAAACCGAGACCGCGTCCCAATCGACGCCCACCGCGTCCTCAGACAAGACTGACCCCGAGACGCCGGCGCCAGAGGCGAAGCATGATGAGTTGTAGATGATGGTTTTATGATTCCCTTGCCGCAACCCTCTCTCGTTAGGCGACTAGACAGGGCTAGAATATTAATTTGTTTTTCGTTCCTTCTTCTACATTCTTAACCTCGAAGCTTTTATCTATCTCCAATCATACGGAAGGTGTGTATAACTCTTGCCCAGGCGTCCACCGGCCAATGAGGCACGCTCGGTGGGTTGAAATCACTCCAGTAGCAGATTTTCACTATTTACAATACGTCGTCCAGAGGGGCCTTAACACGAATGTGCACAAGCAGCCCTACTCATCCTCCTCACTCGAAACGATATGCCTCCGCTTCTTCAACCTCCTCGACCCAGGCATGTCTCCCTCCTCCTCCTCTTCCTCCTCATCTCCGCGCACATCGTCATCCCGTGCAACCCGTTTGCCTTCTTCACGGGCCGCATCCTCATCGCGATCCTGGGTAGATCGTTTCCGTGAAGAGGACGCGTCCGAGCGCTTGGCACGCAGGATCCGGTCACGTTGTTCGCGTTCACGGCGTTCTTCCTCTTCGTCGTCGTCGTCGTCTGAGCGCTCGAATTGGGCCGCGTCGATGCCGTCGTCTTCGTCTTCGTCGTTCACCACTGGAGTTTTGATTGTGAGTGGTTGGGCCAAGGGGGGACCCGCGGATAGATGGGGGAAACTGGGAACAGCAGAGACTCACCGAAATCGTCTTCGTATTTCTCGAGGGCCTGTCTGATACCCGTGTTTCCGCGCGTGTACAGCTCGTCGTCGTCTGAGTCTGCTTCCAGATCCCGCGACGTCAGGCTGCGGCCACCGAAGGAGGCGTTCCGGCGTTTGGCTTCTAGTCTTCGGCGGGCTCGCACTTTTTCGATCTCAGCCTGATTTTTTTGGGAGGTTACGACATTGTGAGCCAATGCGCCACCAAGATGTAGAGCGTCCGTCGGATTGCATCGCCCTGTGAATCCATACCTTCTCCAAAGCCTCCCTCTCCTTCTCGGGATCCACCATCGTAACGATCGACTTGGTCTTGATCCCCTTCTGATGCTTCTTCGCGATCTCCTTTGTAAGTTTCTTATGCACCAGCTGATTCACCCCATACGGTCTGAACATCATGATTTGCGGCACGCGGTTCTGCATTTGGAAGACTCCTGGGTCGGGTATTTGAGCGGAGAGGTATTGATGCTGTGGGCCTGCTGCAACTGTTGCGTCGAAGAATTCGCCGCCGAGGACGAGGGAGAAGGAGCCGTCTGACCAGCGGACAAGACGGGCGTTTGATTCTTTTGATTCCTGCAATCGGACAGATGTCAGTAACAGATTATTCCGAGAATCGGACATGTACAAGACCGACCTCTCCATTCTCATCTCGCACGCTCCTCCACCGTAAGGTATTCTCCAGCTGTACCGACGACACTGCCTCGTCCCCAGCCCGTTCCAACGTTGCAGCATCATCCTCTTCGTCCCATGTGTCTGGATCGAACGGCCTGTGCTCAACGTTCATGAAATGCGGTAACTTCGCTATGTACACCTGGACGACATCCAGAAATGATTCGTAAAGGCCATATCGTGGTTCATGATGAAGCGCCTGGGGAGCCTCACCTCTTCTTTCCCATGTGAGAATTTCGGTATGTCTGGCACTTCGATGGTACTTATTACTTGTGGGCGAGTGGGTTCAGACTGTCGTGGTGCTATTGTTCGGCGGTCCCGCACGGGTGCCTGCTCCTCGCTGGACGTCAAGGAAGGGAGGGTCAGAATGACAACTTCCCCGCTTCCACGCAACCCATTCACCGCCCAACATACTCAGAACTCTCCATATCTCCAAACAAGTCCATATGATCAACATCTTCCTCCTCCTCCCCCTTCTCAGGAGCTGCGGGTTCACCTTGCGAAGAAGAGGAGCTGACCGCAGCCGACCCCGTGTCTCCTCGGGTATCGTGATTGGCATCCTCAGTCTGGACGCGGCCCTCGTCTGTCTCCATGGGCACGTCTCGTTCGGCGTCCTCGTCTTCGTCGTCGGAGCCAAAGAGACCCTTGATTTGGTCTTCTACGGACTCTGTCATTTTCCACGGTAGCAAACTGTATCTGGATATACAAGTATATAGGGGAGGCTGTTTGTTCGCTTTCGGCAACGGCAGGATTTGGCGGAATTGTTGAGGAACTGTTACGGTCCAGTTACGGTCCATGGAGCCGACTGTCCCTCAGTGGACCCTCACGCAGCGCGTTCTCACGCTTTCGCCTGCCCTACTTTCGGTGTAAGCCATTCGGACATCGCCCTCCACCACAGCAGCTATTCTACGAGACTGCACGAGGCAGTAGCTTTTCAGCGTGAACTTACTATCCCGGATCCCCTTGTTTCGCGCAAGAGTCGAACGCAAGATGGCTTTCGAGATCCCAAAGCCTCGCGTGATTGCTAGTGGAGCGCGTTCGATAACACTAACGTGGGCGCCGACCGACAGCGAGGAGAGCCTGAACGTTTTGCCGGAGGACGATAATTCTCATATCAGGTGGGCTGTGAGTCTGCTTAAGTCTGTAAGTGAACGACCCGCTAACCTGCTCAATAGTTACAAGTGGCCCCCACGGTACCAACTATCCAAAGCTGAAGACGATGACCCTGGTAAGTGAGGTTGGGATGGTACTTACTAGACCTTTAGCGCTTATTCTGACTTGCGTATTGTCATGTTGTCGTAGACTTTCATCCCTGTTATGAAGGGGACGATACAACACACGAAATTCTAGATCTCAAACCAGAAACGCGATATAGGATCAAATTGAGGGTGCAGGAGGCTGAACAGCTGGGCGGGGATTGGAGCCGGGATTATAAGGAGGTGGAGGGCAAAACAACAGGTGGGAGGACCAGCGGTCAATTCTTACCGCTCCGCGATTGGAGGATGCGTGAGAAATGCCTAAACCCAAGTCTCCTGATACGGTTTAGATGAGACACTGTCCCAAAAGCTCACGAATCAACTCTTCCGCGCCATCGCCAGCAATGACGCCGTGACTGTGGCACGCATCGTCTCGTCTCACACCAAAGAAGTGAGTCTCGAGACGCGGGATCGTTCGGGCAAAACACCTTTGATGAACGCGTGCCAGTCGGCATCGCAAGATGTTGTTTCAATGCTGCTTAAGGCAGGCGCCAGTGCCGGGGCATCAACTCTTGTCGGAAAAAGCGCCTTATCTATTGCTGTGACGTATGGGAACCAAGAAGCAGTGGAAGCTATTCTGAACCAGTCGACCGAGACGCTTGAAGGGTCGGATCAAGGAGGGTCTACGCCTCTGATGTGGGCAGCTGAGAATGTGATGCCCAAACATCCGAAAGGTCTCACAATCCTCGAGCTCTTACTAGCCAAAGGTGCGAAAGTGGATGCGCAGGACATGCGACATCAAACGGCGCTGGATCGGTTATGTGCGACATCTGGCGATGCGGCAGCGGCTAGACTGCTCCTACAGCATGGGGCACGCATCATCCGCGAAATTGACACGACGAGTCGTTCCGCGCATCAGCCACCGCAAAACATGACGACGCTGATGGTGGCAGCTCTGAATGGACACAAGGCGCTATGTGATGAGCTGATGGACAATTGGGATGTGGATCCGACGGTGCAGACGGAGTTCGGAGGGACGGCGAGGTCGTTTGCTGAGCAGGCGGGGCATACGGAGGTTGTACAAGCTATCGACGCAAAAGTTCGAAAAATGAGGGATGCGGCGAGGAAAGCGATTGGCGGGGCATAGTGTGCGTGCGGTCGCTTATCCACATTTTGTTTGGCATTTGGGAGAACGATGAAGGCTGTCGGATGTATGATATAATGAGAACGACCGTATTTTTGGCATTCCTCGTGTACGGTGCATACAGCGAAAACTGGCCTTATTCTCTTTACCTCTGCGATTTGCTCAAGGGTTGATTTACAAGAGGGGAAGGAAGCATGTACAAGCTTACAAGAGGGGAAGGAACCGGAGGACGCGTTTGCGTGCCAAGAATGCAGAATCGGACAAGTTGCCATTTTCCCTTTTCCAAACCTCCCCACACTCCATTTCGGATACAGGAAAGGATTGCTGGGTTTCCCTCTCACACGTTCTCTTCGCATACGCTTTGTACACTCTGATCAGCACAGTCAGCGACATGGCTGATCCTACCAACAATGATCTCTCGTACCTTTCGGACACGTTCGACGCTAACAAGCTCAAAATTCAGGAGCTCAGGTCCATCCTCAGCAAACACGGGGTCGATTCACCCAAAGCGAAGAAGAAGGCCGATTTCGTCGAACTGTTCAATAAAAACATCACTCCGAAGAAGGACAAGTTGCTGAAGGAGGCGACGAAGCAGTATGGCAAGCCGCCCAAGCAGTTGGCTTTGGGAGAGGAAGTCCAGTCGAAGGGTGGAGTGGGGAGTAGCAAGCAGACTGCAAAGGAGGCAAAGACGGTGGTGAATACACCGGTCACCCCGAGGAGGACGACAAGGAGATCCATCGTGGCATACTCGAGCAGCGAGGACGAGGGCGAACCGGAAGTCATTCAGCCGCGCGGGAAAGGAGGCAAGAAACCTGTGGTGCAGGAGGACGAAGGTGAAACGAGCCCTTTCTCGGACACCAACGTGTTCCAAGCGAGCGCAAGCCCTTTACAAGAGGCTCGTAAAGCGAAGCTCACGAAGAAAAAGGCCGCCGCTGCGACAAAGGAACCCGCTGCTGTGGTGCAGCCTGAGGACAGCGAGGCGGAGAAGTATATTGGGGGGCCGAAGCTGGAAAGAACTCCGGTGAAAACTGCGCGCAAGACTCGTCACTCTGTCGCTGGTGGTGAGACACATCCTCCCGAACCATTTACGTTCAAGAAATCGTTTGAGCCCACGCTGGAGAATGTGGATGACGAGACTGTTGTCGAGACGCCTGAGCCTCCACGAGCTACATCGTCGCGACGCAAAACGTATGGAGGCGAAGGTATCCCTGCTGCCGCGAGCGTGAGGAAACGAGGTGGACGCAAATCGATGGCCGCGCAAGCGCTGAAGCCCAGCTCAGATGACGATGTTGTAGAAGAGATCACTGCCGTTGAGTCAGGCGAGGAAGATACAGAGGACAAAGCTGAAGCTGGCGCGTCTACTGGAGTCTCCACCCCAGCGAGATTCATGTCCATCCCGCCGTTGACTCCAGGCGCCGTCGCCTCCTACTCCGACCAACCACTCACGAGCGTTCCGCCTCCGTTGACCAGCCCGTCCGGCAGCGAAGACTGGTCCACCTTTTCTCCCCGCAAAGATGCTCCTTCTGACTCCGTCGCTAGGAAGAAACGTCAAACCAGCACCTTCAGGCGACGAAGCACCGTGCCTCCCCCGAAGGTCGATCGGCTCTTCGTTGCGTTGTGCGTGTTCACCGTCGTGGCGATGGGCTTCAGTCACTGGTATTGGGAAGCTCGCGATGTCATTGGATACTGCGATCCCCTTAATCCCGCGAAGAATGAAGGACCATACACCGGTTACAACCCTCTTGGATTCGTTCTTCCTACTTGCAAAGACTGTCCCCCGCACAGTGTTTGTGTCGACAAGACGATCTTGTCATGTGAGCCCGCAAACTATACCACGGAAGTCAACATTCTCGCTCGACTTTTACCCACAAAGCTCCTGCCGTTCCCATTGGATCAACCGAGTTGCGTCAAAGACTTACGTAAACAGCGCGAAGAGCAGAAACGTGACCAGCATGTGGAGACCCTTCTCACTGTTCTCAACACCGCCGTTCGAACCTGGGTGGGAACCGCAGAGTGCGGTGGGTTCGTCCCCGAAATCACCGACCCCGTACGCTCCCACCGAACGGGACATGTCCTTGGCATGCCCTGGAGCCTTGCAAAACAAAATCTGCGTAACGTTATCGGCCGAAAGTGGGATGACACCAAATTCGACACATACTGGAACTACGCGATCGGCAGGATCCGCCACCCCGACCCCGACCACGTTGTACCCTTGTTGACGGAGGTGATGGACGAAGCCAACCGAACCCGTTTATTCCAATCCCGAGAGCCCCCTATCATGTCGCTCACGTGCCGTCTTCGTCGATCCATCTGGGAGACGTCGAAGACTTACTGGATGCAGTTATCGGGAATGGGCATCACGGTTGTCTTCTTTGTTTGGTTCTGGTTCAAGCGCCAAACGGTCGCCAGGGAAGCCCGCATCGTTTCTCAGCTCGTGGAAGATGTCCTCGACGCGGTGAGCGAGGAAGCCGAAAACAACCGTGTTGACCCTGTTCGATACCCGATGCCCGGCATGGCCGTCGCCCAGTTGAAGGATTTCTTCCTGGTCCCACATACCATCCCCGGCCTCACTCCCATCGACACCTCGTCCCACTCCCACGAACAAAGTGTGGTAGACGAAGCCAGCGGCCGAACCCGCTTCTACGTCCCCGATGAAAGCACCCGCGACAGAATCTGGGATAACGTCACGAGGCTGGTGGAGAAGAACAGCGGCCTGAGGGAGACGGTGATGGAGATCCGAGGCGAGTCGCACCTCGTCTGGCAGTGGATAGGCAGTGCCGCGTTGAGCCCAAGGAAAAAGGTCGCCGCGCCTCATCGGGAGAGGTCGGTCAGTCCGGCGCGCAAGCTCGATTTCGGGGCTGGTGCTTCCGGTGCGGGAGAGGGCGGTTCTGGGCGCTCCAGCGAGGCCGAGCCCTTATTGCACAGCGCTAGTTCGTCCCCTGGGAGAGCGGCGGTGGCGATGGTTGGGAACGTTATGAATAAGGTGGAGAAGATCGTCGAGCGGGCCGGTGGGAGGGGTAGTGGTGTGTATCCTGAGAATTAATGAGACGGACGTCACGAAACGTCAACGTATATATAGAAAATGCGAGAGGCAGAGGCTACATCTGCTTTGTATAGTATTCGGGGGTGTTTTTCTGTATATCATCGCTTCAAAATAGTAAGCAAATCGCGTGAGAGTCTTTCCATCTCCCAAGCCAGGTCCCAAGCTCTCCCGAGCCCGACTTTCCCACGCGCCAAGGTTCCATCTGGGTTCACTCCAAAAAGCTTCAAATTCGGAATCCCAGCTGCAACTGCTCCCGCATCTTGAACCAGACTTACACAGTACATATACAGTACATACTCTTTTGCGCAGTCCCGTTCTTTCTTTCCCTCAAGCCTGTGTTCCACGGCGCTACTCCTTCGGACACTCTTCCACGATCCCGGGGTTTTTTCGAGAACGGTCGGGGGATCGAAAGTTACGGATATGGCCTCCGAGGCACCTGCACTTACACAAACAGGGAAGCGGTTGGTAGCTTTCGCTGCATATACTCCAGGTGGGTGCACCTTTGGTCTTAGCAGGCGTTGATGGGTTCATAGTTTAACAAGTCGGGGTTTATCATGACTCTGCAGCACATAGTGACGAGTTGCCACTCGCAGTTGGGGACCGAGTGGTTACGTTGCAGAGCTACGATGACGGTGAGCGGGTCGGTTGGAAGCGAGGGAAACCACCGAAGTCGTTTGCTTAACCTATTCTGGCTTATCCCTTTCAGGGTGGACACTGGTGCAAAACGAGCAAAGCAGGGTAGGGCTGGTTCCCAACAACTTCTTGAAGGATATGGAGGCAGTGCCGAAACCAGCTTCTGCCTCGCCGGCTGGTCCGACAGGCATGAAGACAGTCCCCAGCCGGGTGACATCGTTAGTTGTGAGCGGGAATCTCTTCTCACTCGCCAACGCGAAGCTGGATGGGAAAGGGAAAGCCGCGGGAGAGGACCATTCAGCAGCCGGCAATCTAAACAGCAGCTTGCCAGGGACTTCGGAGCTGGTATCAAGTCCAGGGAAGGCGTCGGTGCAATCGAAACCTCAGAGCAGACGGCCGTCAGCGGGGAAGGCGCCTGCGTGGCCGAGTTTGGAGCAGGTGAAAAAGCGGCTGGCTGAGGTGGCCGCAGCACGTAAAAGCAGGTCGAGGGTGCCAGAGACCATTGGAAGGCTTCGCATCCTGGTCGCGGGAGACTCGGGGATCGGCAAAACATCGCTGATTCACCGGTTTCTGAGCGTTCCCGAGATACACTTGACGAGTCCCATCATCGAGCTGTCCATGTCGCCGGAACCCACTCCTTTGGAAACGCAAGAGTATCACGCGACTACTGAGGCGGACGCCCACCACCTCCCGACAAGGCGGAGGAGAAGTTCGTCATCATCGGATAGCGACTTGAAGCCCGCGGCGAGCCCGAGTGGGAATTACGGCGATCTGGACGAGCTCCTTGACACTCTTACTCCGGACGTCGACGCCGCGCCGAGACTCCCGAAAAATGGCCCGTCCAAACCCGCTGCCGCAGGGGCAGCTTCCTCCCCCGTCTCCCGCAAACACACCCTCACCAACATCCCACCAGCCGATACAAAAGCAGCAAACCAGTTCAACATCACATTCATAGATTCGCCGGGGTATTCACACGCCCTGGACGCACTATCCGTCATCCGGCCCATTGTTCTGCATCAGCTCCACCGCTTCCTGATGACCGACGCCCTTTTCGCGCGAGAAGCACCACCACAGCCCATTGTGCGCTTCTTGTCCGCAAACACGGGCGCCCACACTCACATTGACGCAGCTGTCTATTGCATTTTCCATCGTTTGACAAAGGTAACCCCACCGCGTTCACCTTCTCTTCGTTCAAAGTTTCGATCTGTTCTCATACTTCTAGTCTTAGGTTGATGTCGAGTATATCAAACGGTTAGATAGAGTAACGGCCGTGATTCCCGTGTTCCTCGTGCGATCCAGGGACGACCTTTCACCAGCGGCCGTGGCCAAGCTCAAGAAGAGCGTAGTTGACACGTTGCGGGAAAGCGGTGTCGACCTGTACACGTTCGGACTGAGTATGGAGGAATGGGCGGTAGCCGCGGAGGCGGCGATCGCTGGTGGGAGGGCCTGCTTACCGCCGTTCATCGTGTCGGCGAAAGCACCGCATGAGAGGGATGATGGGGATGACGGCCCGGCCATCGACGAGTTCAACAATTTGCGGGATGCCATCTTTTTCACACATGCAGATGATTTACGAGCGTGTACCGCGGACCGGTTCGTTAGGTGGCGGCAAGCGGGATCGTCGGCTAAGATATAGATTAGCCCTGAGATACGTCGGCAATCATAAGCCAAGCATGTTCACGTTCCCATCTTTCATTCGAAATGAAAATCTTTTTTGGCCATGTTGCTGTCACATCTAATTTACATGATCTATGTATTCACCTTCCGCCGTCTCTCGAACGCATCCAACACGCATAATGTGCAGACCCTGACCCCAAAAAACGCTCAGTTGAGCGATACGCCCTAACCCCTGCAGCAACATCATTTACGCCTCAGCACGCTCCACGGTCCATGCTCATGCCGTCAGGCGGAAACCCCCGCGTTCATGCTCCAATTTTGCTAAAAGGAGGAAGCCGAATCAGCGTGTTGGCGAAACCTTTCCCATATGCAATTAGCTCCGAACGCGTTCTTCCTCACCTAATCTGACACGTCTTCGTAGCCGGCCAATACACCAGGAATCCATACTCCACGTTCGGGAAGGAGCCCGGGTTAACGCACTGGCAGCCTTCGTATTCTAAAGAATACGCGTCGTACTTGTCTGCCAAGATTAGCTGCGGGTGAGGAAGTGAGTATAGTGGTGGGGTGGGTGCAAGGGACTACTTTTGCAGAACTTACGAGATGTGGTTGAGGATACATCCTCAGCGCATGATCCCACGCCCAGAACGCCGGGCGGATAGTGATGGGTAGAGGACACAGGTGGGCTTGGTCGACGATGGTCGCTACCAGCTGTCAAAGGGGTTGTGTCAATGCGCCATGCAACCGTGAATTCAACAGTGAACATCGTACATACATGTTGCTCAATAGGCACAACGTTATCATCGCTGGCAGGACTGACGATGGCGTTCCGTCGCATCTTACTTAACAGGTCCTCACGGAAGATAAGGATTTCTTGAGAGCAGTACTTGATCCTATCGTCGATCGTCAGCCATTACGCAGCAAGATACCAGAACGCTTTGATGACACACCTGCAAGGATTGCTCGCTAACACCAGTTTCGGGGCTTTCTGCTTCATACGGCCCATGAAATATTCTGGAATCCCTTTCCGCGGCATGATGTTTGCGCTCCATGGGTCGTTGGGGCCTGGTATCAGGATGAAATGGCATTCTTGGGCCAGTTCGCGGAAGTCCGAAAGGAGATCCGCGAGGGTGTTCCAGCAGTCTACTCGGAAAGGAATATCAGATAGGCATGTATCACAGATCTATGAGCGCAACGAAGAATGCAGACCTTTGTAAGCAGCCGAGCTGGCGCTGTCGAACACATACGGGGATGAGATAAAGCTACCAATGAGGATGATGGCAAGCGGTCTTATCGCAGCGGCGGATGAAAAGCCTTCGAACAGCTGCCGAAGTTTCATGACCACCTGTTCGCGGGTCGAAAGATTGAGTGGCGCTGTACAACGACGATGGTGCGAGATGTGGGACATACCCTAGGCTGATCCAACCAAACGTCGGAAACGACCACAAACATGACATCCGACATGGTTGTTTCTATGTTTTCGAGTACGACCTGGTCGTCGCCTGTGTGAGGGGCGCCAAAGAAGTTGACGTTGTGCCCGTATGCTGCTCTGTTAGAAGGAAATGTCAGCTCCACTAGAATCAAGCTACTTGCTCTTCCCAATACATCTGCGTCTTACAGTGATTTTGTCCGCGGCTCCGGTAATGGCATTCCGAGAGTTTTGACGCGAAATGTTCGGTCTTCCGTGTACCACCCCTCCACAAGGACAAAACAGTTCAGAGTAAAGAGTCCCGTTCCTTTGGCAATCTGACGGAAACAAGCAGCTCAATAAATATACCACGCCAATTGCGGAAAGTACTTGCAAAATTAACCTTTTGATTGATCTCCAGCTCTATCAATGCGTCAGGGTCTTCTAGATGATATTTGCCTTCCACCACCTGAGTCAGCATGCCAAACAGTAGGAATGCCCCTGGTTTGTGTCCTTGTAGGTTCTTGATCGGCATAATCTGAAACACGGATTTGGTTCAGAAGGCCTCCCAGCTATGAAGACGTGAAGTGGTGCGCACCTCAAACGAGTCGTCTTTCCGCAGAAAAGTCGAGGATCTGAACGCGTCATTCCTTAGAATCCTCTGTCTAATCAAGTCGAATCTATCACTGTACAGTGCACTCTTCTGCGGTGCGGCAGCTAGCAGGTGTGGTTGGTCGTTGTTTTTGACAAAGCCCTTGCCGTCCGCTTTCCAGCTGAACCTCGGCATGTCGAAGGCGTCTATTACGTGCAGATATGCTGATACGTCGTCTAAGCCAACTCCGGCATCCCCCACCATTCCTCCTGCTCCCTGGTCGTCTGCATTGCTGTTCTCTAGCGCTTGATTTATGGCGGCTTTCCGAAAAATGGCCTCGACGACCTCCTCTAGGGAGGCTCGGTCTACTATTAGGTGCCCGCTATCTGACAGAAGTGGGTCGGTCAGATAACGAACTTGTAACCGGACATCCTATATCCAACACACATACCACTCTGTTGCTGGATATAAGAAGTTGCTATGTAGCTCAATGTCTCTTCGAGCTCTTCTGGCGGCAGCTCGGACACAACGGTTTGAAGGTACTTGAGAGCGTCGGTCTTAAGAGTCAGCCCATGCTTTTTGGTGATCACCTTATATATCTGCTGCTTCGCGCTGGACATTTTTGAACGAAGCCCAGCGGTTGAAGTGGGAGTGGAGTGTTTCTGTACGAACTGCGTCGGCTCCTTCAAACCGACCCATTCACCACCATTCTGTGCTTCTGACTTTCACACAAGCAAGCCAGAAATGTGTCCGAACGCAGCCTGATATGGTTGCTGATGTCAGCACAAATGTCCGAAAGCGCCTTTTCCTTCAACGTCCTTCCCATATGGAACGTCTCCTCCGCCCATTTCCGTCTTTCATATGGCCTCTCCTTGGTCCTGTGCGTTTTTCCCGCTAGACTCTAGATAGACGGCCGTGCGAGCAAAATGGTCTCGTTACCTGGGTTGTCAGTGTCGTATCGCTCTTCCGCGGCAATGCCCCTATTTCCCCGCCGTTTAAGCTTGTTTCTATCTGAGTTTTACCGTTGAGGGTTCTCGTTTAATAGGACAACCATGTTGAAACCGTTGGAACGGTTGGTACTATCGCAGCCTCCTCTCTCTTGGCGGCGTACGCAGGAGCACAACCGACTCAACTCTTCTTTGAGTTCAACGTTAGTGCATCACTCTTCGACGAGCTATAAGCATTTCGGAAAACTATCTAGTTTCAACGCCGGTTGAAAGTTTGGCCGCACCACAAGCACAAGTGTGTAAACTGCAATAGTGAGGTCGAAGGTGGTTGTATTATTCGCTGCACTACGCCACCCTTCGGTGAATATTTCGCCGCCATGACCGACCCCCGTATCACAACAACTCGGCCGAGGACCAGCAGCACGGTGACAAAGTCGAATAAAGTCGGCATAGAAATACCCCCTCAAACTCCAGTCCTCGAAGTCATAACAGAAGGGTTCAAAGATAAAGATAAGCCGTTAAAACCTGGAGATGACGGGGATAGCAAAGTCGAGGAGAAAGATCGCGCCAAACCCAAGCCGGCGCTGAAACGCCAGAAGACAGCAGCTCGAACCTGGTGGGTGCGGTTCACGTGGTTCTCGACGTGGTGGATCCCAACCTGGTGCATCGTCAAAGTGGGCAGGATGAAATCAAAGGACGTGCAGATGGCATGGAGAGAGAAAGTGGCTCTCTGTGTCATTATTCTGTTCATGTGCGGCCTCATGATCTTCTTCGTAGAATTCTTCAGTAAACTGATGTGCCCCAATGCAAAAATCTTTGCGCCATCCGAGGTAGCTCAGCATAATGTGCTGTTGCAGTCAAATCTCTTTGTGTCGTGGAACGGCCACGTCTACGATATGAATAACTACGTGGCCAAGCACGTCGATCCGAAATACACCGTTTTGGCGGTGGCTGGCAAAGATGTCTCTCCTTGGTTCCCAAGGATCGATCCTACGACTGGGGCTATCGATGCCGCATGTCCGAACGTCACGCCGTTTTATCCTGGCAGCACCGGCAACTCGACGTGTACGGCACCAGGCTATACAAACGCCTACTGCCACAAAACAAACGCGATCGAACGGAGCATCAATGTGTACCACGATTCCGACGGTATTTACAAAGTGGGGGATCTGGCATATTCGGCCGACACCGTTTACGAACATGGCAAATCCAACGACGCTTGGATCATCGTGAACGGGCGGTTTTACGACGTGACCGAAATCATCAAAACCACTTCATGGATGATTTCCGCGTTCGATGCAGAGTTTGTGCAGTACCTTGATTATTACAAGGGTCGAGATGCGTCGCAAGTGTACACCCAATTTCAAAAACTAGGCATGATGAAGTGCTTGGAGAATCAGTTCTTTGTCGGGGTAGTCGACGACCGCTTGTCCATCGCCGCTTGTTACGCATCGCAGTATATCCTACTGGGGTGCACAGGCATCATGGTGTTCATCTTGGTGATAAAGTTCTTGGCTGCCCTTCAATTGGGCTCCAAGCGACAGCCGGAACATTATGATCGCTTTGTCATCTTGCAAGTTCCGTGTTATACGGAGGGAGAGGATTCCTTACGCAAGACGATAGATTCGCTCGCTTTGTTGGAGTACGACGACACCCGAAAGCTGCTGTTGATTGTTGCTGATGGGAACGTGAAAGGTGCGGGAAACGACCTCCCCACGCCCGAAATCGCGCTCAAGCTTCTTGGTGTCGATCTGAATGCGGAGAAGCCACCACCCAAAGATTACCTCGCTATCGGTGAAGGCGGCAAGGCTCACAACCGCGCCCAGGTGTATTCTGGTCTTTATCGCATTCAAGCGAGAGCGGTCCCATATATCGTGGTCGTGAAATGCGGAAAGGAGAGCGAAACGAACAAAGCCGGGAACCGAGGGAAGCGGGACTCGCAAATGATTCTTATGAAATTCTTGAACAAAGTACACTACCAGACCCTCATGACACCTTTGGATTTGGAGATGTACCATCATATCAAGAACATCATCGGTGTTCATCCTTACCTCTACGAATACGTGCTGATGGTGGACGCAGACACGGAAGTTGTGCCGGACTCCCTCAATCGGCTGATCTCGTGCGCGGTGCACGACGGCAAAATCATGGGCATCTGCGGCGAAACAAAGATAGCCAATGAGAAGCAGTCTTGGGTTACGATGATGCAAGTTTACGAGTACTACATTTCCCACCACATGGCGAAAGCATTCGAGTCACTCTTCGGGACCGTGACCTGTCTGCCAGGATGTTTCTCGATGTACCGTATTCGCACGCCGACGAAGAAAATACCGTTGCTGGCCAGCAGTGACATTATCGCGGAGTATGAGGAAAATATTGTTGACACTCTCCATAAGAAGAACTTGTTGTCGTTGGGAGAAGATCGGTTCTTGACAACCCTGATGTTGAAATACTTCCCCGAGTATCGGACGAAATTCACAGCTGACGCAAGGTGCTACACCATCGTTCCCGACTCTATCGCCATCCTGCTCTCCCAGCGTCGTCGTTGGATCAACTCCACCATTCACAACCTCTTCGAACTGCTGTTCTTACCCCATCTCTGCGGTTGCATCATTTTTTCGATGCGATTCGTGGTGTTTCTGGATCTCTTTGCCACTTTGATCATGCCGGCTACGACGGGATACCTTGCGTATCTGATCTATTCCGCGGTCCAAGCCAAGTCGGCGCCGGTTATTTCGTTGATCATGTTGGGTGCTGCTTATGGACTTCAGGCGATTATCTTCATCATCAAGCGCGAGTATCAACATATTGGGTGGATGATTATCAATATTTTGGCGATGCCCGTTTTCTCCTTTTGGTTGCCTATTTATTCTTTCTGGCATTGTAAGTGCTTTTTGAAATCCCTCGTAAGCTGATGTGGTACTAACCCCTCTCTCAAATCTTGATATTAGTTGACGATTTCTCATGGGGAAGCACGAGACGTATTGCCGGAGCGCAGGGGAAAGACACACATGGAGGAGATGACGAGCTCTTTGACCCCAGCGTGATTCCACTTGTGAAGTGGGACGACTACGAAGCTATGATGATCGAGCGGGAACAGGAAGAGGAAAGCGACTACGGTTACGATCAGGACGGCACTGATGGAAGCCATCCCTCTGAATACGGTGCGGAGTTGAATGCAAGCTTCTCGATCGGCGGGGCGCCAAGGAGTCGGCAAGGGTCTGCCCTCAGTCACAGTAACAACAACAGCAGACCCACCAGTCGACCGGGTTCCGCCCGTTCGGACTACAGTAGTTACTCACACGGCGCGCAAGATCCTCGACGACGGTCGATGGCCTCCTATTCCGGTTCTGCGGCGGGGATGCAACAATACGGTCCATACGGGGGCGGGTTGCATCCAGGATCGTACACCGCAGGGGCTCAGTCGACCTACCGCGGCTCACAGCCGAACATCCATGGGCATGGGGGAGGCCATCCCGGGTATGCCCCATCCATAGCCGAGTCCGAACGATCTTTGAGCGGAATCCACCTCAACTCCTCCCAACCACGGCGGCCATCAGAGCGCTTTGGCTCTCAGCAGTCTCTTAACCAGCTGGGTGCCTTGCCTGAGCATACGAATCTCCAGGAGCATCTCGACCCGACCTCTCCCGCCGCAGCAGACAAGTGGACGGGGGGCGCGCCCACAGACGAGGACCTGGCGCAAAGGATTCGTTACGTCATATCACGCTCCGATTTGAGAGACCTGACGAAGCGGAAAGTTAGGGAGAGTTTGAGTACCTTCTTCGGGCGCGATTTGGAGGATCGTAAAGGGTTTATAGGTGCAAAAGTCGAAGCTATTCTGTTGGGGAAAGAGTGAGGCCGAATGTTGGAGATATGTCTGTGACTCCCTGTAGGACCTCTGAGATACTTTCTTGATGATCATTGATTGTGAAGCTGTTGAGAACAAGAAAGTACCCTATAGATCATTACATCTTTCGAGTGGCTTTCTATTCTTCTATTCTTGGAGCATCTTCTCCTACGGATGTTGCCTTGAATTGCGAGAATTCAGACTCTGGAACAAATTGCGCTCAGAAGATACGCGGAGCTGCGGCTGCAGAAGATATACATATACACAAACGTTTGTCTCTCCGTTTATGTCTTCGATCTGGCAGCGCCGCATCGTCAAGTCCGACTTCACCAGCAATGGCATTTGACGAACACTTCAACTGGAAGACACTACGCACATGTTGAGCAAACCAGCGCAGGATGCCCATCCGTCTGCCCCATTCCATGTCAGACCACTGACACCTTTCTCCATAGAGCTCCCCAAGACCAAAGGCGCAATCAATGAAGTTATGTTGAGCGGCGTAGGAGTCCTGAATTGGGTTGGCGCAGATATTCTGGAGATACGCAATGTCGTTTCTGTCCCACATTGCCGAAAGCCAAATCGAGGACGTCGGACGTTGGCTGACGAGTACAGAATAATGTACGCAAATAGCTCTGCGTCAAGAACCTGATTTCCCCAACATCCATCGTTTTGTTCCCATTTGTGCCCACCACCCATAGTCTTGAGTCTTCTTGCCCTTGACATCCTCTCCCGGGTGCCTTGGGGTATCGCCGTCGAAGATAAACCCCTCTCTGTCGCCAAACTCTCGGCATCCGTGGCGGGACGGGATAAGGCAATGCTCGATATTGAACCGGAATATATCTCCGTTGGGGTTCCGTGGCAACCCTTCAGCCGGAACCTTCCGTACGTTGTCTGCGTTAGATTCGAACAGATACGTCCAGATTCAAGACTCCTGCTGTGTGTGAGAGCACCTTGCAACACGTCTGGGGACAGAGAGGTACTAGGAAACTGGAGGAGAGCGGCGCGGTCGCTGATTACGGAAAAGCCCACACACGGGTTCTCTTGATGACAAGGGCCCTGGCAGAAGGAGTGATGATGCCATTGCAGCTGTACCTTGTAGTGCAGTCTGCGACGTACACTAGGACGGTCCTGTCGATGAGTTCTTGAGGCAGCCGCGAAACCAGACGCATGACGAACGGCCGGCCGGCGTCTTCGGTTTTGTTGAAGAAGCTTTAGCCCAGGGTTCGTGCAGGGTTCGTCTGGGGGTTCGTCTGTTCGTGTAGGTTCGTGTTCTTGTCGTCCACGGAGGAGACGGAGGAGCGCCTGGAGCTGAGGCCTGGAGCGCGAGTTGAGCAAGTCTAGGGCAAGTTCATTTCATGCTGAATTTGGTGTCCGCGGTGCCCACCCAGTCTTTCAATTTCGAACGTTTGGAATACACTTCCTGCCCCAGAGCTAGATTCTGAGAGCTGCAGCCCCATCGGGAATAGATAGTGGACCCACATAAACTTTTCACGGTCATTTTCAAGTCGCTCAGCCGCATTCCACAACAAAACCGGTGAAAATGGACTCGACATTAGAACTCCAGCGACGGGCGCACGAGGAAATGGAGAGGCTTGAAGAAGCAATAGTGGAAGAGAAAGTGAACAACAAAGCGAAAGCGCATAAGGATGTTCTTCTTCAGGATCACCGAATCAATCACTACTTGGAGCGTATACAAGCCCGTAGTCAACAACTGCTTGATCTCTACGAAGACAAGGATGGCCTTCGGAAAGCGGACATACAAGCGATAACAGGAGCTTCCGATTTCACGGAGTTCTACGGTCGTTTACGAGATATTAAGGACTACTATCGGCGGACCGCCAACGTCGCGGTAGAACCTATGGAGTGGGACATTCAAAAACGAGACCCGGAGAAGGAGGAACAAGGTTTGAACGTCGATGTAACTCAACCGATTAGAGAAAACTGTGCTGACACGCCATCTACATACGTAGATCTAGAGAATCAGTTCTCGGGAGAGGAAGCATTGGGAAAATACCTCGATCTGCATGCGACCTTCGAAATATATGTGAACCTGAAGGATCTCAACAAAGTCAACTACCTGAAATACCTCGAACAGTTTGACAAGTTCGATACCATCCCAATGTCTACAAAGCGGACACCGCAATATGCAAGGTGAGTCAAGATGGTTTTACAGATTGTTGTTATGACTTCAGCGCTGACTCGGAATGCAGGTATCTGGAGGCGTTGCAAACATATCTGGAAAGCTTTTTCGCTAGAGCACAACCTCTGTATAATCTGCAAGAAGCCAGACAACATGTTTTGCAAGGTTTCGAAGCGGATTGGTCACTGGGAACCGTCCGTGGCTGGACCGTACCTAAACATGACGAGGAGGAAGGTGCTTCGTTGTTTTGCTTGGCCTGTAAGTCATCAATGCCTTATGCAGTGCTTCATACTGGTTGCTGACGTTTGTCTTTTAGGTGAAAAACAATTCACGAAGGAAACTGTGTATAAGGCCCACTTGACAGGCAAAAAGCACATCAAAGCAGCAGCGGCTTTGGTTGAGCGTGGTGTGACCGAAATATCTCTACAGGAGAAGGAGGAAGCCCAGCGAGCCAAACAAAAAGAGGAATGGGAGCAGTTGAAGCCAATCGCTCGATCTGAGCGGTTGATCCGAGAATACACCAAAATCTTGGGAGCACAGCGGGATGACACGAAGGAGCACGTGGAGAGAAAACAAACTCTGACGACGGATGAGTTAGTGGCGGATGCGGTAGAGGAGGTGGAACTAAGTGAGGAGGAGGAAGAAGAGGAGGAGAAGATTTACAACCCGCTGAAGCTGCCACTCGGGTGGGATGGGAAACCTATCCCGTACTGGCTGTACAAGCTGCATGGGTTAGGTGTCGAGTACCCATGCGAGATTTGCGGAAACTTCGTTTACATGGGGAGAAAAGCTTTCGATCGGCACTTTCAGGTGAGCCCAAGGGTATATTGCCTTGCCGGGCTTTTGACGACCTTCTTACCTTAGTGTTACAGGAATGGCGGCATGCACACGGCATGCGATGTCTGGGGATTCCGAATACCCACCACTTCCACGAAATTACCTTGATCGAAGACGCATATGCCTGTGAGTTCGAACGCACTTCTTTTCCTCCACAGGATACTGATGTCTTTTGTCTCGAAACAGTATGGGAAAAGTTGAAGTCTGGATCAAAGGTGGAGCAATTCAAAACTGATGCGATGGAGGAGTTTGAAGACGCGGACGGTAACGTCTTCAACAAGAAGACATACGAAGGTACGTGGCCCTCACTTCTTGTGGTCCATGCTTCTTTGAGGCTTACTTTTCACGTCGGCTATAGATCTCAAACGGCAAGGGTTGTTGTAATGGCCCACCAGAGCCGTTGTTACGGTTTATATAGATCACGTAAGATAGGGGCTCCTTCTGTGTAACTCAACCAAACGGTGGCTATCAGGGCAATCACATACACGGCGTAGCCTTCTTTGCATGCTTGGAATTGGCTGTGATGAGACGACGATGGGCATGAGTTCGCACACATGCCATGCGCAGGTAGCGGTGGACAAACAGAAATACTCTGCGAAGATAGCAAAATCCATTTGTTTTCAGCTGCATACGACCACGCCCTGTATATATAAACATTCAGCCACTGCACATGTAATCCACTCAGCGTCCAAACAAACTCATGCAGCAGCTTCCCAGTGGATACTGGAGCGGAGGTGGGTGGGGCGGACCCTTGAGCCAAAATGGCCGTAGTTCCGACAGCGCTGGTGCCGGTTCGTCCACCCCTTTGACGAAGCAGGCGGTCATTCCGCCGCACTGGGAAGCACCATTTTTCCAGCGTAGCGCCGGCCGATTTGAAGCGGCCGGATCATTTTCGCAGACCCAATCGTTATGTGCCCGACCTCCTCATCTATCGTACTGATCGATTCGCCGATCGCGAACTTGCTATTGTCCAAAGCGCTCCAAATCTCAGGAGTTTCGGCATTGCACATGCTTTCCAGCTTCCTGGTGAGATATTCCGATTGCGAACAAGCTTGCATGAGGATTGCTATGTCATCATGAATCCGTCCGCAAATGCCCATCCGGGTTGGGTCTCGATCGGAGCGCCAGGCTCTGTAAACAGCGATTATACCGGCGGAAAAGGTTGCGCCCATCAGCACAAGCAGTATCGACATAGTTGCGCCGCTTGTTGTAACCTTTGACCCGCTTCCCGCAGTCTTTACTTCACAACTGTCCACAGTTACCGCAGCCGTCAGAGCATAGCCCTGCCTGATGATGCCGGGTAGTTCATCAGATTGACGTCTGCATTTCGTTTGCATGACATGCCCCCGTGGCTTACCTGAAGAGCATCATATTCAGCATATCTGGAACGATAGAGTGAAGCGAATCAAATGACGATAGAAGGAGGAATAATGAGTGAAACGTTGTAGGAAGATACTTTATACCGCACAGGAGGTTTGGAACCAACCTATTCCAACCGATCCGAGAGCAATGGATAGACCGCCATCTCGAGACATCCATGACAATAGTGGAGGAGCTGAATTGGCCTTCAGTCGCGTCATTATTTCGGTGCTGTTCAATGCCCGCTGCCAGGCCATGACGACGGACGCGAAATCATCGGGAGGCGGGTACGATGTATGTGAATCCGTAATGGTGGTGACGCCTTTCATCGCGGGAGCGATGCCTGCTTTGCTAGCCATGTATTCGACGGTCGCAGTTCCCACCGAAAGTCCGGAAATCGTGAGACATTGGAGCCGACTGGGTCCTCCTCCGCAAATCTCCCCATCGAAGAGTTCCTGGTTCAACACGAAAGACTCCGGGCGGCCAGAGGCATCATACTTCGGGGTGAAGGTGCTTGCGAGGGCAACTCCATAGCCCGCCTGTCGATTGACATTTGGAAGGTCCGAAGTCGTGAGATTGGTGCCAGTTCCTGCGTCGTCATGCATCATTTGCCAGCTTCGTATCGAACCAACGCCGCATTGGCACGTGGAGTTCATGAGCATAAGGACCGCTTTTCCGGAAACGCTGAAAGCGCCGGAGTATCCATCGACCTCTGGCCCCAGGATTCCGATGGATTGAGCATATCCATCAATCTTCATGTGTCCCATGGATGAACTTGTAACGTATGACGCGGCTCCGCTGACATACGAGACGCTTATTCCGGTGACAGATCCCCGCGAGGCACCCGTCGTAGCAGGCACATAGCAAGAAGCCGCCTCCGTGACGGTACTTTCTTCGAGAGTGATTCCAGTCCCAGCGACAATAGCCAAAACGTGCAGACCTAGTAGCAATACTTGAACCCAGGATATCCATAGAAGCCTTGTTCGGAGCAAACTCCTGTACGAGAGCTTAGAGAGGAAGCCCATGCGCTTCAGGGTTGGACAGTGGATATAGCCTAGCACAGCCAGACTCCCTTGTCCTTTGGCGAGTTGTTCCATACTCCAGATCTTGATGCTGCGATCAACGAGCTTGCTAAGAAGCGAGGCGTAAATCAGAACGGCGGCCTCGATTATTGTTATGGCCATCCATTCTCCCCCTGTGATAAAAGTTGAGCCGATGGTTAGGCAAGGGCGGCGCCGGGCTCGAACATTGGAACTGAACTAACCATTTGCTTGGACGGGCAATACAGCTTCCGTGTGGACGACTATCAAAATCGCCCCTGTTATCACTGTCCCGCTCAGCCACCAATAAAGAAATAGATCTCGCATCAAAGCTAACTATTGCAGTTCGACGAGGAAAGCTTGAGCATGGAAAGCGAGTCTGAAAGTCACATGGTGTCTGAACCTACTTGCTTCCCTTGCTTTTCGAGTGGTAAGCCTGCCTGTGCTTGCAGGCTGAGACTAGATAAGTGACCTTTCAAGTCTCCTTGAAGGTCATGATGGGCCTGGAGGTGCTCGTCATTGTCCCCTTTCAACTTTTCCGAGTTCCCGTGCGTCAAGCTTCCTGGCTCGATGATTTTAGGGGCTTCTTCGTCTTCGAAATGAGATATCGCAACGCTTCTCTGATCAAGAGACTTGCTCCCACCTGGGAGGGATGGTGAAGCATACTTCATTGCACAGGATACGGCGTTCGGAGTGTGAAGTGCTTCATATTTGCAACCGTGGTTTGATAAATACAGTCAACTCCAGCGGAGCAACGCGCTGTCGAAATTCCGCGCCAAATATGACACCTCAGCATCAAAACTGCAGCGATAAGTACAGGTACTTCACCGAATCTCTCTCCCAATGTCCAGCTCGTTGCACGACCCAAGGAAGCCGACATAAGTGGATGAGAATCTGATGTTTCTATGATACATTTCTAATCTGCTCCCTGCGGTGCTCCGTCGATGATATCACGGTACGAGAGTCCTACAACCAGCTCACGTCTCTTCCAGACAGCACAAAGCCTCAATTCCTTTCGGCATCTGATTTCCGTTTGCCCTCGGTTTCGCTTCGGCTCGGTCTCGTCTTGGCATTAGTCCAGGACATATAGCTGTTCCATCCTAATGCTACGGTATTCACCACGAGCGACTGGTAGTTCACTGGAGTGAAGTAGAAGTTGCAGAGTTGAACAGGCGGCCAGAGCATACAGTTCGCTTTGTATGCTTCCAGGTACGACTAGAAGATGTTCCAGTCCGTAGTGAGCGCTTGCAGTACTAATGCGCTTCGTAGATTGTATCCGCACTCACCTCGCTCAGTTTCCGTTTAACTTGGGTCCAAGTTTTCCCCTCCATGAAGCCCATAGATGTAAAGAAACAGAACATGTTGATAGGTGCAAACATAAATTGGTCCATCGCGACTTTCGTGACCGTAGCTGATAGGAGCATGAACATTAAAAGGTATGCCCCCGGACGTTCTTCACCTTTCGAGGCATACCACCCAGCGGATTCTTGAAAGACACAGCTCTATTCAAAAACCTGTACCACACGGCAATAGCGGGCCCCTTTGCATGGAAAGAGTATCTGTTCAGCGGGTATTATGTGGAAAATCCGAAGTTTTTGTACGGTAGACTTACGAGGGCGAATGTACCGTAAAGCGTCAAACGGCCCGTCCGCGCCCAGTCGTGATCGCCTGCACCCTTCCCCTCCACCCCGTGCTGAGCAACGACGTCACCAGCAGCAAAAAGAAGCCCTGAGGTCCAGCCGGCGGTGAGAATCCTGAGCTGCTCGCATCGTCCTGAAACGAATTCGGGCTTGCCACTAACCCGCCGTTGCTGCTTGTGTGGCGATGGGGTTCTTCACCATAGTGCGGTGGTACAGTCGACCTAATGACGCCATGGCGAGGCGACCTGTGCTTTGTCCAAGGCGCTGAACCAGTATTGAACATGCAAGTGGACTTGCAGTCTGGGATGTGCAATTGGCTGAATTCCAAGATCCCGTCGACTCCTGCAGCTCCTGGTGCCGCTTGTGACACAACATGACCAAGAGAACGCGTCCAACACCCAGGGCGTTTGAACGAGAACAAGGACACCAACGACAGAGCAACTGCCCGAACGTATCACGATGGTCTTTACATTGTAGCGATAAAGGCGGCCGCGAGCGGGGCGTTAGACTTCCTATTTAATCTACATCACCTCTCCAACTTCGTGTAACTTGGCGGGTTCCACTTCCACTTCGCAAATTTCAGGATGTACAAGGGGAAGCTGCTCAAGGCGGTTATGACCGCCGATTTCCAGACGAATGTCGTAGTCAAAATGAACGTGAGATCTAGAGGAAGAGGTGTTCAGTTCGGAGGTCCACCTTCAAACTTTCATCAACTCGAGCGGACCTACCGAAGTCGGTTTTCAAAACCCACATCGACGAAATGTACAATGCAACAGTGATGATTTCGGAATAGATCATGTATGGATGCCTGTGTTTCGCGATAGAAGATTGATGAGCTATATAGGTCCCATCTGCCAAAATTCCGTAAGTGATCTCACCATGTGTTAATCTCCAAAGCGACCATTAGAAGCTCGTTGAAGATGAGAGCAGTGAATGAGATGGAAACAATGTTGACGAACTCGTCTTCGAATAGCCAAGTTGCGAGCATCAGGATAGCGCCACCTATGTGTGATATGTTAGGATTATGTCCATTATTCGACCGAGATTCTGAAAAGGGACGAAACGCACCTTGGTAGACGCTGATAGTCAACCAGATGAAGAACGTTTTTAGTGAAAGCGAACGACCCTGTTATCGTTATCATCCGTGTCAGCAATTCGGTAACGCCAATCGGTAACGCCAATCAACTTCTTTGAAACCCCTTACCTTCCGGAGCTCTTTATACAACTCAGGATATAACAGGGCGGTCTCCTCGCTGACGTCCTTGTCAAGCACGAGCGAGAACACAGGCGCCATTGTAAAAACGGTTGCATATCTGATGAACACGCGATTTAGTGAACGCCTCGATCAAATGTCTCCAGGTCGAAACATACCCAACGAGCAGCATTCCCTATGAGAGTATCAACATCAGCAAACCCTTTCACGGGACTCGGACGGAGTGACTGCTGCGCTGCTTACCTGATATAGGGCAATAGGGGCGAAGTAGAATATGGAAGAGAAAACCGCTTGCATAATGGATATTATGAGACCACGATGTATGACGAATTGACTCAGTTTTGCGGAACGTTTATCTGCATATTGTGTGAGCGATATGTCCGAGAAACACGAAGCCGGCCTGATCAATGGTTTACTATGTCACTTACAGCTATTCCGGCCATGCCACAGTAACAATCTTGTGAGGTGACTGAACTGAGTAACGGAAAAATCGGCCGCCAAGGATGCCTGTTTGCCTTCTTTTCCAACAATCCCAACACCCACGTGGGCAGCTTGGATCATGGAGACATCGTTGCCTCCATCGCCAATGGCACACGTGCGCTGGCCCGTACATTTCTTGATCAATTGCGTGATCTCCGCCTTCTGCGTTGGCGAGCAACGACAGCAGACAACGGCGGGTAACCGGATGGCGACATCTATGAATTCAGCGCAGTAGCGGTCGAGGTATGTCTGATGGCGTCAACGGTCAGTACATTCGCTCAGACAATTTGAGAACGGAGTGTGACTCACCTGTAGTGATTCTCCGTCGATGACCAGACAACAGTCCAGCTTCCCTTGTATGTTACTGAGCTCTTCCATGGCCTGCATGGAGTTTGTGACTGTCTTCGCCGTGAGCGTTCAACCTCCGCTATCGATTTTGATGAGAGACCTGCATTACCTTTCGATATTTGATGTATTGTTTGATTCCGCGACACAAGTTTAGTCGATACAGCGATACACGTGGCAGTCTCAATCTTGTCTCCCGTGAGCATCCAGATTCTGATGCCTGCATTCCGAAGGAGCTCAAGCGTCGTTTTCACGTCATCCTGCAATACCGAACATCATCTTTGAGGACTCCTGGCAAACCCTGACGGGGTTGAGAATCAACACACCTGAAGCTTGTCCTCGACACCAGTGAGCCCCAGTAGTTCCAAATCACACTCCAAAACTTCGGATACGACCCGCTGCATTGCCGCGTTCCTATCATGCACGCTGATCTTTGCCTCGGCGTATCTGCAAGCATGGAACAACGATGAGAGATGCGTGATGTAGGCGAACATATCCCGCTGCTCGATGTATACCGCCGATTGAACTCCTGGAGAGCGTCTTCCGATAGCCGTTTCCTCCCAATAACAAGCGTCCGTAAGCCCTCTCTTGCCATATTCCCGCACTCCTCATCCAACCAATCGTTGTACTGTACAATCTTGCTCATGATGGCGTCTGCCCCTTTCTGGTAAAAGAAAATCTCTCCGGTCGTCGAGTCTTTCACAATTATGCCCATCCGCTTCGTCTCGGACGTGAATGGGAACACGTCCAGGATCTGATAGTCAAGCATGGGGCCCTCGGGAGTACGAATCCGGACGTTCTGGCGGTCACGGAAGTACAGCGTGACGCCCACGGATTCCGTCCATTTCACAATGGCGACCTCGTCTGGGGAGGATGCTTGGTACGTTATCTCCCCATCCGCCGCTATGACCGGCGTCACGTTATGGCATAGAGCGAGGGCCTGTACAATGTCTCGAACGCGAGAAGCGATGTCACGAGCACGCTTGTAACGGAACGCAGCCCCCTCTTGCCGAGTACTGAATGCCGAAACCAAGTGTTCTCGTACATCTTGCATCGATTCGCCCCCATAGGACATGGTCCCCATGTGTAGCCTCTTCAGTTCCATGTCTGAGGTGTGCGAACACGACCATGAGTCTTGCCGGCTTCTCCACAAAAGCTTCGTCTAAGCTTACCATTTTGAGTTAATGTGCCAGTTTTATCAGTCAGCAGATATCCTATTCGTCCAAGCTCCTCCGGGATAGTGCTCGTTCGGACGACCGTATCTGGTATTCTCCGATCTCGCATTATTTGCATGGAATATACAGTCTTTCCCATGTCAAGGTTCACTCGTAAACTGAATGAAACGTATCAGCACGGCCGGTTCAAGATCTGCAAGAGAGCCTATCCTTACCTGATCGGAATGATGGACGAGAACAGGATCAAGAATCTAAACATGTAGATGTACCATATGCCTCTGAAGCCGTTGAGGCCTACCATGGCGATGGACAAAATCAAGGTCACGACCGCCAGAATCTACGCGTAGGAAGCAATGAAATAAGTATCAATATAACACCGTGCTCAAGCGTGGGGCATAATCTACCTTTGAAAGTCTGTTGATCTCGTTGTCCAGTTGGCCAACCTTGGTACTGGGGAAGCTAGTGTTCATAACGGCGCGTGTGTCGATGCCCGTATACACGATGATGCCGAGAGCATTTCCGGACGCAACAACTGTATTGGCCCAGAGGGTGTTCTCGGCATTCAGAGCCTCTACATGGTCACCTTCCTTCAACTACTTCAGTCAACCTTCAAGCATCCAGTTCTCAGCGAATCCATCTTACCGTAGTTGTCTCAATGTTCATGTTTCCGACAAACATGTGGATGTCTTTATGTGGTTTCTCGGCTGAAGATAGAGAACCTTTTTGAGCACCGGACAGCGGAGAGGAAACGAATGACATAGAGAATTACCGTACACGCTTCCGCGTAACCGTAAGAGCGCTTGGTCGTTCCCCAAGTTCTGCGTGTACGGCACAGCAACTCTACACATTGCAACGTGTAAGACGAGGTAGGAGCATGGGTTGCGCGGGCTGCTGTGACCCACCTTAATTTCCAGTCTGTTTCTCCATCCAGCTGGTCAGTGCGGATAAAGCATGCCCCACTGGATTCCGTGGTTCGCAACAGAACGCAATCCGCGGGTACCTGTGAAGTAAACGGTCAACCGAACGGAACATCCAGAGGTTCGAAAACATTTGCCCATACTCTTTGGTTCTTCTCAATTAACACGAAGTCTCCCACTTTCAGGTCCGAACTAGGGACTTCCACAAAGCCCGAGTCCGTCAATCTCTGATACAGTTGCGAATTCGCCTCCTGATGTCACGGTCAAGCAAAGTCAGCTTGTCCATCACATGTGCAGCGCCTTTGAATCTGAACCTGGTCCAACCTCATCTCGTTGATATCGCTTCCAATCGTCATTCCCTTCCTTTCCAATGGTGACCAGCAGCACGAAGGAAAGCGGTCCAAAGTACGTGAACAAGTAGCCTGCGGGTCATGGACGACTTGTTAAAACCCCACCGATCTTTTGTCACGCTTCACGACTACGCACCTATTTTGAGTGCAGGTACGAATTGGGATAGCGCGACCAGCAGGAAGTAGAGGTTGAAGAAGAACTTGAACTAAGGCATGCCGCGGGAGTTCAGCTTATTGCCCGCCATCGTTTGTCGAAGGAAAGAACGTGCGTACCTGCTCATAGAGCACCAATGGCAGGAAGGAAGCAACATTGTACTTTTGATTGCGCACCACATTGGGGTTATATGCGACACTTGCTTGTGTGGCTTTTTACATAAGATGGGAAGCTTGTGAACGGAGCTTCAAGGGAATCTCCATGGACATAAACGACATATCATACTGTTCAATGGTATAGTGCGCGGTACATTGGATGGTCCACTTCCAAGGAAGAGCCTTTTGATGTAGGAGCGTCCTTTAGGTGGTGGGTAATGCTTGATGTCCTGGCTGTGACTTGGAAGCAACTAACATAGCGCGGTCAGTGTTGGCCTGTGATCTCACGAGAAGAAACCGTGCTGCCTCGCCTCCAGGGCTTTCACACCTCTCCTCCTGCGAGAACACCTGATGCCCGGTTGTCCTCCCTACTCACATCGATGGATGACGATCCGGCCGAGCCTAGCAGCTCACGCTCAATGAGTGGTGCCTCCTCCGCATCTTCGCTCAGGAAATTCTTTTGTTTCGGACTCATTCTCTTCGCCTCACGAAGGGTTTGCAAGCGAATGTCCATCGCAGGCCTTGATGTTCGCCGAGTTCTAGCGTACATTCGCACCCGAGCGCGAGTTGCCTGGACCTTTCTGAGCCCCGCAGAGGTGCCCTTCCGATTCCACTGCTCTTCTCTCTCTTATTTTGTCCTAAGAAGGCTTCGTCGACCAGCCATTCGCTTACTTGAAGCGACCTCCCCCTAATAATAATACCACGAAGGCAAAGCAGGGCAACTGGTTTTCTCTGCAGCAAGTCTCCGGAGTCCGATATTCAGTACGTCCGCTGTCTCTGAGAGACCTGTTTCGAGCTTGGAGTCCTGTTGTACTCTCAACTTCAATAAGTTGATCTGGTGCCGTTTCCCACCCAATGCTGAAGGAGCTCAGCGAGTTTCCTGAACACGACCGGCGAGGAATGACGTGGCCCGACGGTTGACAGCCAAGAGCGCAGTCTGCGTTCCGAATGATTTTTTAACATACGACCGCAAGTTGAACTGTATGTACATATCATTAGGTGGAAGACGATAGCCGTCGGACAAAGATAATTGCCGGCAGACTAAGTTCCAGACGAAAGGATTTAATTACGCCTCGGTGCAGTCGAACTTCCCGACCTCCATCCATAAACTGGAATCCCTTCGTTCTATAAACTTCGACCACATATATACCATCAATAGGTATCTCTCGGACTACTAGTCCTCCGTGAACTCTGACGAATGGGAGTCCTGGGACTCAAGCAACTGAGATTCCGAATGGCCCCACTTAACTGACGCGTAGTTTAGCATCCGGGAACGCATACTGTCGTAGGTAGCGCTGTCGGAAGACACAAAAAGTACGCCAAGCTTTGCCGACGCGATGGCTATTTTGATTGCTGCAAGAGTTGTGTCTCGCGAATTCCAAAGGTCGGGTTGAGCACTGATGCACCCGTAATATGCGCGTAACGGCGGTACCGAGAGCTAAAAGCATTTTGCGATCGTCGGAGTTCCTAACTGTCTTGAATCCGGCCTCGGCCCTGCGCGTATCGTTGCTACCCCTCCAGTTGACAGCTTCGAAATGCTGCCTGCCGTCAACTTCCACTATTATGTTCTTGTCCGGCCGCCAAAAGAGGTAGCGGTACTCCCCACCGGCAAGCGATACCGCCCACTCGAACCTTTTCCTGCGTCCCGCCGCGAAACCCCGCGTCCGCAAGCTATCCTACATGAGCTCCTCCGTTTGATACACGCACCCGTGCCGAGTCCCATGTGTGACACTGTTGATCGCAGCGCGCCACTCCTCGTTGCAATCCGGTATATCTCATGTCCACCACGCAGATTTCCTTGAGCCCGGCGTAAATTCGGTCGGCGGATCGGGGTTGCGGACTGAATATAAAGGCCATCAGGACAAGCGGCGAGCGTATACTGTCAAAGGACAGAGCAGAACAATGATTTCGTGCTGTGCAAACCGCGCAAGTATCCAGCCTTACCTCCCAGCACCCAGCAGTACAGGTGAGGATATCTTCGCCTTTGCACAGAGCCAGCGGACCACAAGAACCTCCCGCTCTATCAGGCTTGTGCACCGTGTACGGGCATAGGCCGCCTGAGGTGCATAAACTTCGGGGTACGTTCAAATCTCTGCTTGCAATTCGTGCAAACGTTACAAAAGCGATCCTTGCTGGTTTTCAGGTGTCCGCTTGCCAGCCTATCCTTCTTGTCGACCGAGTATACCCCTAATCTTCCTTTATTTCGAAGGGGACACGCCGATATCTACCACTGTCTCCGAGGATGTCGTGCTGGAGCAGGCAGATCGTCACAAGGCACTGCACTGTGCATATAACATGCACGCAGTTGAGGACATAAATAGTATCCACCTCGCCGATGCAAGCGTTGTTGCTGCTGGGCCTGCTGATGGCGTTGCTGCTCGTCCGCGTCCCCGAACTTGAGCGGAAGAAGACCAGATGGTTGGTATGTGAGGTCGTCGACGTGCTTTATGGGATGGTCTTCGTTGAAGGGATTCGATCTGGACCTGTCCTGCATCTGCTGAGACGAAAACGGTCCTGAAAAGTTTTGAAAGAGTCAGCATGGTTCCATAAATTGAAGGGCATACAGTGAAGTCATGAAGCCAACAAACCTTGCACAGTGCCACTGGGATCTTTGTACTGCCATATCTGCGGAACAAATGGAGTAGGCGGGCAACCATTCCGGGAAGTGCCGAGTGTGTCCCGACGGCGCCTGACCCATATCGAACCGACTCAGACCGAGAGCGTTGCCCGAAGCAGGCATCGTTGCCCGGAGCGGCGATGTCGCTCTGTAAACTTCACTCCAGACTTTTAAGTGATCGGTTGAGTTGAGTTGGGTTGTATGTACTTGCGAGTGTTGGGAAAATGAGGCCGTTGCGGGAGGAGAGGGGAGCTCAGCGCTCCAATACGTTTTGGACTTGTCACTTGTGCCCCACGGTTGCGCTGGCGGGCCAGTGGCGGTTACTTCCCTCGGTAGTTCTCGAAGGCGAATCGCAAGGGCCATATTCGGACAGTTCGGACAACGAGTGCACTGTGTTGTCATCAAACCCCGACTCCGCCTGTTGGGTTAGGGTTAAACCAGAGCGGCGAATAGAGGCGGTCACGTGAATCTCGCGAGCAAGTAGGGAGGGCCCGAGAGCCAACAACCTCGAGATCCTCTGCGCATCCCCGACCAGGCATCACCTTCTAGAATCTACTCTGTTTTCGTAACCGAATTGCAAACGAAGGTAGGTCGATCGACTCGGCTATACAGGCTCCGCGAGATCAATGCGTGCTTGAAGTTGTAGTGTAGTTTTGGTGCTGATCCCGTTCTGATCACTTGCACGCCGGCAGCCGAACAAACTTTCCCACGTTTCTATACAAAAGCAGCCAAGATGCAGCTCCCGGTGATGGTTATGAGTGCGTATCACACAGCCTCTCGGATGGGGCCATATGTTTTCCCCAGCTAAATACGCATTCTCCCCTCACAGATGCCAACATGGAGCGCGAGCAAGGTCGCAAAGCGCAGATCTCCAACATCCAGTCTGCCAAGGTAAGTCACCGATTTTGCGTTGAAAAGCCGTACCAGCTTCTCTCCTTGGCTAACGACCATATATGAAGGTGATATCGGATATCATCCGAACTTGCTTGGGTCCTCGCGCCATGTTGAAGATGTTGCTGGACCCCATGGGTGGTATCGTTATGACCAACGACGGAAACGCTATTCTTCGCGAAGTCGAGGTGGCGCACCCCGCTGCGAAGTCCATGATCGAGCTGTCGCGGACGCAGGACGAGGAAGTCGGTGATGGAACAACGAGCGTAATCATTCTTGGTGCGTTCTTCAGAAGCTATGTGGAAAGGAGAAGGATACTTTTACTGAACTACTCCCGTTTGTAGCTGGCGAGATCTTGTCTTCAGCCCTACCTTTCATCGAACGAAACATCCACCCAATTACTATCATTGCCGCATACAAGAAGGCGCTGGAGAATGCTCTCATCATCATGAAGGACATTTCCATTGAGGTGGACATCAACAACAAGGAGGAGATGATGCGCATCATCAAATCTACCATTGGAACTAAGTTTGTGTCAAGATGGAGCGATCTGATGTGCGGCCTCGCTTACGATGCTGTGAAGTGTGTGAATAAGGAGGTTGATGGAAAGCGTGAGGTGGACATCAAGCGTTACGCCCGTGTCGAGAAGGTTGGTAGATATCAGACATCGCAGACTTTGCAAGCCCACCTGGATGCTCATGCTTACTTCCTTAAATAGATCCCAGGCGGCGAAATTGACGAGTCCCGTGTGTTGGACGGTATTCTGGTCAACAAGGATGTGACGCACCCCAAGATGCGACGAACCATTGAGAAGCCTAGGATTGTTCTACTCGATTGCCCACTTGAGTACAAGAAGGGAGAATCGCAAACAAACGTGGAGGTTACGGACGAGGCCCACTGGGCTCGTTTATTGGAAATCGAGGAGGAGCAAGTTAAGGAGATGTGTGACCATATCATTCGGTTGAAGCCTGATCTGGTCTTCACGGAGAAGGGCGTTAGTGGTGAGTATTCTCAATTTCCCACCCTAGATGAAGTCGGTTTCTGAAACACTCCTTTGAAAAGATCTTGCGCAGCACTTCTTGATGAAGGAAAACATCACCGCCATTCGCCGTGTGCGAAAGACCGACAACCACCGTATTTCCCGCGCCGTCGGGGCGACAATCGTTAACAGGGTGGAAGACCTCAAGGAGGCCGACGTCGGTACCGGTTGTGGTCTTTTCGAAGTCAGGAAAATCGGTGACGAGTACTTCACCTTCCTGGAGAAATGCGAAGACCCCAAGGCATGCACAATTCTCCTTCGCGGACCCAGCAAGGACGTCCTTCAGGAAATCGACCGTAACCTGCAAGATGCTATGTGCGTTGCCCGTAACGTCATGTTCGAGCCACGATTGTGCCCTGGTGGAGGTGCAACGGAAATGGCGCTTGCCGTCCGTCTGGGAGAGCAAGCGAAGAGTATTTCTGGAGTCGAGCAATACCCATACAAGGCCGTTGCGGAAGCTTTGGAGGTCATCCCCCGTACGCTTGTGCAGAACTGTGGTGGAAATGCCATCAAGATTCTGACACAATTGAGGGTGAGTGCTTTCTTTCAGGCGAGTATATTTGTCCTTGCGCTTTACTGAAATGGTGTTATCATCAAGGCAAAACATGCCGTTGCGGAAAACTTCTCCTGGGGTATTGACGGCGAGAACGGCAAGATCGTTGACATGCACACCTACGGTGTGTGGGAACCTCACGCTGTCAAGGCGCAGACGATTAAAACTGCCATCGAGTCGGCGTGTCTCCTCCTCCGTGTCGATGACATTGTGTCCGGAATCTCCAAGAGGGAGGGAGGTGGTGGCGGCGCGCCGCCCAACATGGAGGATGCCCCCGAGGTATGTCTTATCCTGCATTGCTCGGCCGACTTTCCGATGATGTACTCACCTACCGTCTTGCTTCGCAACACAGGACAATGGAGAGCGTTAAGCAATGTATATCGACCAATGCAAAATTTCCTGCCAGTTATCTATGTACAGTTGTTCTTATTGCTTGTCGGTTAATAAAGTAAATATAGCAATTGCTTGTGAAACTGGGCGAACAGGCATCAGGTCCATGTGGTTCACGCGGCAGCCACTTCGGCTTACTCATCGAGGTCTTCGGTAAACATGGCTGTGTACATTAGTTTTGGTCATTATGTACTTTTGTGTGCCGAAAGATTCGTTCAAGACGAGTATCAGCGTCTCTTTGCTACCCCTACATCACCTACTTCCTACTGTATCCTTCACACTATCCTACATTCCGCCTTGTCACTTCTTCTCGGCCTCCCTCTTCTCCAACTGCTCATCTACGACCTTTTTTATCAGACCTGCAAACACATTCTCCCTGCCATCCCCACCAGCGTTCAGCATCGCCACCGCGACGTTCTCCACATACTTCCCGATCTGATCCACCTCCAAATTCACCTTCTCCCCCACCTTCTTCTTCGGTAGCACGACATGCTCCTGCGTGTACGCGATCAACATCACGGAGAATGTTCGCTGGATGTAGTCCACATCAACCACCGTCAGCGACGTTCCATCGAGGGTGACGTAGCCTTTGGGGATGATGTAGCGTAGATGGTCGATGGGATTCGCAGGCGTTGGAGGGGCCAGGTGGAACTTGAGGAGGAGGGAGTTTGGCGGGTCGGGGGTGATGGTGTGGATTGTGACCGTGGTGTCGACGTGTCCCTGGACGAAGTGACCGCCGAAACGAGTTGAGGCGGACATGGCTCGCTCCAAATTCACTTTCTCGTTCACCTTCAGATCGCCTAACGAAGAAGTCGTGTCAGCTTGCGAACCCAAGAAAGACCGGTCCAAGACGTCCAACATCTACCAAGGCTGGTCTTCCGTAACGTCTCTGGGGCTATGCCGACCTTGAACCAGGTCCGTGCATCGTCGAAAGCGGTCACTGTCAAGCACACGCCTATGGGGAATACTAAGTCAGGCGGAGGCGGAGAAGGCACATACTCGGGGGCCTAGACAAAAACATACCGTTCACGGCGATGCTGTCGCCCAAGTTGACATCGGGCAATACGACCTGTGCATCCCCGACGGTAAGCGAGAACCCTCCGCCTCCCGTGCTGGTAGTGTCCATGGGCACGATTTCGGCAACCGTACCCATAACTTCTACAATTCCTGTAAACATTCTGTACGAGAGACTATTCGGGTAAAAGACAGTACGTCCGTTTTTGAGGAGCTTCAAGGGCTCGCTTGCTATATATACGCTGGCTCCTAGTGGGCTTGACACAGCAACAATCACCCGCTTTGTAATGTGACGATCGGACGTCGGCTGAAGCCTCGGAAGCGGGAAGTTTTGTTCTCACGCCTTACGCGTTTGGCTCTGCCGTCTCCCGACTCCTGAGGGCGTCGTAACCAGATCCTACAAAAACTAAAATCGCCCTGCTTTCCGCCTGGCTCGCCCAAAACCGTGGCATCTGACGAAAACCCCCACGAAGGACACAGCGAAAGAATGCTGCGCTCGATACCTGGTCGTCTGCACCTTTGCGGACTGTCAAGGGCACCTCGTCTTGTACACCCGCCCGCGGGACGGTGCTCTTCCAGGTCAGGTGCTAGGACGCAAGCCTCGTCTCTCCGATTTCAACAAATCTCAACGGTCGTCCACGAGGACATCAAGACAGATGGAGAGAACCTGGAGGAGCATAAGATAGCCAACGACGACGTGCAAGTCAGCACAAAACCGATCAAAATTGGTGTCGATTCCGGGCCGGTTGCCGAGACAGGTTCAAAGCAGAAGTCCGCCTCAACTTCTAGCGGTGTTAGCGAAGACGACGCGGTTATGTTCAACTCAGGACTCAGCGACTTCCGAAGTGCTCTGACCGCGGGCAAGGCTAAGCATGCCTGGGCTATCTTCCGTTCGATGGAGCGGAACGACAAGCTGGACGGTCTTGGATGGAGGGACTACAACGCCCTTATGAAGGTCGCGCGGATGTTTACAGTGCCCATCGGAGCACGCAGCAAGTTGGAGCAGGCTCTTATCGATGTGGATTGGATCATGAGCGTCATGGGGAGACAGGGTATCAAGCCCAATGCAGCGACGTACGCCGCATTGGCCTCAGCGGCCGCTTTGTGCGGGGATGTCGACCGTGTGCGTACGATTCTGCAAACGGTGGCGGACAAAGGCTGGGTGTTAGACCACGGCGGCGACATGCTACTGCTTGCTCAAGCTCAAACAGAACCACATCAAGCATTGGAGTCGTTTGGAGCCCACCTCAAGAAAAATCCGGGCAGCGGGAGCGTGGCAGTCTATAATTCGCTATTGGATAACTTCTCCGTAGCGGAAGACCATCATCGGTTCCAACAACTACTCATGTTGGGAAAGGAGCACAGACTGCCTCCAAGCGCCATGACCTACGATATCTTGACACAGCATTTCGCTGTGCGGGTGGGAGACTTGAACGAGGCGACGGCGATTATGGAACAACGCGTACAGCAAGGGTATGGACGATCGATTAAAGCATACACCGCTCTCATAGCGGGCTATCACAGCCGTCAAGACTATGTGAAGGTCATGGAACTATTCAAAGAAGTCGAGAAGCATGGTCTTCCCCCCACCATTAGGTTGCTCAACTTTATAATGTCCGCAAACAGCAAGCTGGGCAATGTCAAAGCAGCCGCACGCATCTTCTTCCGCATCTTGAGCAATCCGGATTTGCAAGCGAATGCACTGACGTACAAGACCCTTAGCAATGCGCTCAAATCTTGGCCGGACTCCTTCGAAAGTCTGGTCAAATCAATACGTCAAAAACCGACCAGGAGACTTTACGTGAACGTTGTGCGCGGCATGTTCGATGCAGAGGCAGACCTGATGACGCAGCGGGTCGCTGCCGAATACCGTGATATGTGCAGACTGTATCCGAACCACTATCGTTTGGATGACAAGTTGCTCACCATCGAGCATCGGATTCTGTGCTCGTACGGGCGCCGGGAAGAAGCTGAGAGCATATGGGCCGAACATTTCAGCACAAGCCGGCATCTGCGAAACAAATGGGCGTATCAGTCCATGATGTCTTTGTACGGTCATCAAGCTTCGAGGGATCCCAGAAGGGCGAGGGAGGTCTTCGACGAAGCGAAGGCGTCGGGCTTGCCAGTAGACTTGTTCGCTTACAACGCCCTCCTCAAAACCTTCTGGTATCCGAGCATCCCCTTGAATAGTCAGGCGATCGGCATCATTCGGGAGGCCATCGAAGCGAACGTCATCGGAGACATCTCGACGCTCCCGCATACCCATCTCATGCAAAAGGCAATCACGGTGATAGGGAAGGGCAACGTCGTGAAAGGGTACCAGGCTCTTACCAACGGTGAAGAGCTCGACATGTCTTCATTGCCCATCTGGAGTGATATGTTCCCAGGCGGACACGAACCAATTGATGGACGGGTCAAAAAGAACAAGCCGCCTCACAGTACCGAATCGCATGCAGAATAGACATAGTTTCTGTGTACCGCTTAGCCAGATGTAGGAAAGAGCTCACGGGGTATTATCTACATATTCTCAATAGAGCAAAGCGCTATAATTGGAGTTTCAAATCAATTCGCTGGTGATCATTGCTCTAAATCTATGGCACATGACAGGCGGGCTAAACAATTTGCCTTCGATGTATCTGCCTGTCAACAAACTTCTCGAGACTCCCACGATCACCGGCAATGGGTATGTACATAGGTGTCGTATGTGCCCCGCTGACAATGGACTGTAATCTAGCTCTTACTTGAGAGCCATTCCGGATATCTAATTGATGGCAGATGCTGTCAACTCCCCATGTATGTGTTGCGCAACAAGTGCATATGTGCATCGCGACCACTTACTTGGAGATTATCGTCTCAACAACGTCGTCAACATGGTGGCATAGACCTGCAATGTGCTGATCCCATGCCGGTAAACGTTCGGGTTGTTGGAAATGTATCAGTTGATCGATCTGATCTATGATTCCGGACAGGTTGCCTTGCCCGATCATTTTACTCGCCGTCTTCTCCGCTTGCTCTGCTGAAATGGCCAAGAGACTGCCAAGTTCTTGGAACGTGATGTTGTTGTAGATTTTGCTGGCACTGAGAAGGTTGTGCTCGATGACGGCTCGATCGAGGACTGTTGTCCCATCACCGAGCTTGGCGAGTTGATGTGTGGCCAGGGTCTCTGCGAACTCTTCTACCTCATGCTTTCGTAGCACGCGGCCCAGGTACATTTTCTCCAAAATGGCATACACACCGTGCTGCTTGATTTCTGGCCGCTCACGCGTGCGCTCGTCCTTGTACAATGTGGCAAGCATCCTCGACCGCTGTGGGCCAGCGCCTGCCAGAACCGCGCACTTGACAGCCTGTACGAGCAGTTGCATTCTGTCCGAGTCGGGGATTTCGACCGCATAAGAGAGTTCGTGGTACTTCACAGCAGCCTGAAGGAAGGCCCGCTTGTAATCGAGGATCCTGGCTTGGGACATTTTGAAATGGATCTTGGCTTCGGGATTGCTTTGAGGCGACAGAATCAAAGCAGCACGATTCATGTACGATTCCGCGGCGACGGCGTCATCGTTTTCCAGGAGAAGGCGGGTGATGTGTATATATATCTCCAGCTTGTAGTCATCCGAGACAATTCGATGCCCCGAGTCGAGAGGGATGCCTTGCAACATCCTCGCAGCTTGCTCCCACTCCTCCTGGTCCTCATACAATTTGGCCAGCTTTTCCCGTACTGTTGATATCTACACACAAATGTCGATAAGTCTTCGCTCATCGATAATAAATTGCGTGCGAGAGGCCACCAACCTGTTCCTCGAACGCCACAGCCCTGCCCTGCATCCTGTCCAGCGCATACTTCCACAGGTCCGTCACAAGATCAGGGTCTCTATTCTGACTCCATCCCTCAAACAGCCTGACGAAATCCTGTAAAATTTGTCTCGATATGACCAAGCCGATACTGTCCTCCACGGCGTGAGAAAGTATTTCGTGCAAAACAGGAACGACGGCTTCTGGAGACAACTGCTGACGAGGCTGTGCGTGGGCCGGCGACGACGGTTCAGCGTCAAGGACGGACTCTAGAAAAGACCGGTACAGCGCAGGCCGTTGCTTTTGGTCCGCTGCGGCGATGGCAGCTAGCTGTGCGCTCGACATTGCGTTGGTGTTTCAGGATTCTGGATGATCTCCTGGTAACTTGGCGGAAAAGACAAAACTGTTTGCAACCATACAAATCTCTTGACAAGGGCGTGGGCGGTTTCTACAGTGTAGAAGCCTCAACAGAACAAACCAGAAGTTGCGGGATCTCCGGGGAGCGGAGCTTCAGTTGCGATACCGGGTGGACTTCGATGAGCTGTGGCTTTCTGTGACCGGTGGAGACTGACAATTGACCTCAGAATTGACCTCTTGAACCTCATGAACGCGTCTGGGAAGTCTGGGACTCTGGGTGTTTCTCCCAACGTGGGCGAATTCCCATTCCCACGAACGTCGTGTTTCCTAACGCCAATGATCATCCAGGGAGCAACCACCAGAAGGTTGCGGCAAGCTAGTGGTGCGCAATTCCTCCTGCAGCTCACCGCCAGATATTTGGAGCAGCTCAGCACTCCCCCTTTCATATGCTGCAGCTGTAGGCGACGCGCAATAGCCGTCAAAACCTTTGCACCTCAGACGAGAGTCAAGAGGCCCCCCGCAGAGTATGCTTATCGACGACCTACCTCCTCAACTGCTTCCACCTTACGCTTTCAGGTTCCTAAGCGTCAGTCAACCAACTCGGTCGCGCTTGAAGGTGCTGCAGTGGGACTGCCGCCCTCTGAGGATGTCTTTTCCGAACAGCTAGGGGACACTGGAGATGCACTCCCACTTTCAAATTCTGAAGCGGGCAGTCCGGACGAGGTTGCGCTAGAAAAGACAGAACTAGGGCAGCCGAAGCCGAAAGACCCAGCTGGCGCGAAGAGTTTTGAGCAATCGGAAAGTGTAGCGGACAAGGCGCGGGAGACTGGGGACGCCCCTAAATATGCGAGATACCCTCGAAGACCACACAGAATCTCAGAGATTCTGGAAGGCTCCGGTCGTGCGGAAGAACGTACCAGTCGCAGCAACAAAACTGAATCGATGGGAGATCTTACGACTGGAGGTTCTGAAGAAGGCGATGTAGATCGGAGACAATTCAGGATATCAGAGTTTTCGGAACACTCAGCGCGTGTCCAAGAACGGGACGAGCACAAAGTAACCCTGGACGAATTTTATCGTGTCGTTCTCAAAAAGGAAATCCGCAAGATCTGGTTATCGTATCTCTCTCTGCGGCGGTCGGGCGCGTACTTGAACCTGGACAGCAAGAATTTCCTTGCGGTGGTTGAAGCGTTGCGATCGCCGAAATCGCTCGACCATGTTGCCGATGACGTTCGAAAAGATGCAGCCGACGCGCTGTGGACGGACTACATGCGTTTACCCAATCAACACGCACACGCGGACGTCTTGCGCGAATTCGTTCACTTGTATGCCGATATAGGAGACCTGGCAGGCGTCAACGAGGTTGCCAATGTGATGCACCGGGATTCTATCGTAGAACCACCTGGCTCCAAAGTCACATACAGGCTTATTGAGACGTACGCGCGAAACGGCGAATTCAGGGCCGCATATAGATCTTTCGAAGAAGCCACCGGGACGAAGTACTCTGTGCATTGCACAGAAGCGGCTAATGCCTTCCTCAAGGGATGCGCCATGGGCGGTCGGGAAGCCGAACTCTTGCAGATGTTCGGGTGGATGATGAGAAAAGGAATTCCGCATGACTTTCACACGTACCACCATTTGATCGCGTACTACGCCTTGAAGAAAGATTTAGTCAACGCCGAAGCAGCTTTTGAGGGAGCGGAGCTGCTGGCATCCGCGCCAAAGTCGCCACCCATCCCTATGGCGACGTGGGCGCTCGTCTTGCATCTTTATATGGGATGCAACGAGCACACGAAGGCGCAGAACTTCATCCGAAAGATGGAAGAATGGCATGGCAAGTTGAGCGAGAGCGCAGCCGCGGACGCGTCAGAACTGGCAAGGTTGACGAAGGATCCTGTTTTGGCGTGGAAGGCAACAAATTACAGAACCAAATCGTTTCGGAAAAGCAAGACCGAAGTTTTACGACGGAAGTTGGCAGTTAACGTCGCTCTGACCTTCGGAGATCTGTCGGACGTGGTACCCACCAATATCAATTCCGTCCTCGCAAAGTTAGATCAACTGAAAGCCACACTCGAGTCCGCATCCGTGCCGTTCAACCCCATCACGCTCCGCCGTCTCCTGACCGGATACTATCTGCTGCATAATGACTCCGCAGCGGAGGTCGTGCTACAGTGGTACAAACTGTCAAAGTTCACCATTCCTCCCGCAGTCAAGGATATGGTCGTCCAGGCGTATTTATTTAAGGATACAGCCAGCGCTGAACGCGTCCGGAGGAGCTACTAGCTACCGGATTTTGGTGATTCCACGAGTACGCATGAGCGGAAAGCCTGGAACCATGCCTTATATTATCTGTACATATGCGGATCCCCTCCCTTAATACTTCGTCCTAGAGCATTTGCCACTGCCGTAGACTGTGGCGCGACCTTACAATACAATGTGGCGACGCTATAGTACAATAGATGTTGTGCTAGCCGCCCATGTGCAGCCTAGACTCTGGGTCGGACTCGAGATAATTTTCCCCAAGACACTCTTGAGTATCGACATCCTGTTGGGCTTGGCCACGAATCTCTGTCACTCACTTTCTCGACTATGGAACTTAGATGAGCTATCAAACCGAACGATTCTCCCGCGTCCTTGCCAATGCCAGCATCAATGCATCCCTCCGTCCGAGTCCGAGTTGATCCGAGTCAGTTGAAGCGAGGCAAAGGTAAAAGCTGCATTCCTAGCGGGATGCGCGCTCGTCGGTCGGACATCTTCGAACCTGTCGCTCTCTACTGCCAGATCCACGAAGCCATCGATGCTCTCCTCATAGGCTTCCCACTGTACGCCGTCGCGGGCCATGATCTCCAGTGTGCTCCTCCATGATAATAGGACGGTCTCTCCGCCACTCATCCTTCACCGCGTCATCGAAGTCGTGCGGCAGAGAGGGAGGAGCATATCTGAGCACTCGTGAGTATGTTTGGGCATGCGGTTGCCATCTTGGGAGCAGTAAGGGGCCCGAAATGAAATCGATGTCGAGGGGAGAATGTGCAAGGCGGAGTCTTTCTGACTGATGAGCTGCCGGTCAGTGTCGTTCCGTGCTACAATGCGGACTGTCGTACGAGGTTGTGCTGGAGTTGGCGACGCCGTACACGACCGTATTGGTACGCTAGTAAAGGATACGTTGGTCTACCGATCTGCACGGCCACCATGTCCCGTTCTGAGCAGAAATGAGCTAATCGCTGTCCATTGTGATCGTTCGCAACCGCTTAAAAATTGGGAGTTAGTGGGAAGTCCCTCCATGGCTTCTGAGCGACGTGGCTTCATTCGCGTACATCCAGGAAAGAGTCTGCGCAAGTGCTATGACTTCGGTTTGATGCTTTACAGCAGCCGTTTGACAAAACAACTGTCCCCTACTCCATGCGAAAGCATAAGCTTCCCAATTACACACGAAAGTATGAGCGACCGGCGTGCTTAGGCTCACGGCTCTATGAAACTCGAAAAAAGCTCGATCGGGGCGCGAGATGAGAAGAGAGGTGATTTTCGCAAAGCTTGTCGGGCGGGCCCCAGCGTTTGGGAATGAAGCGCTTCTTCATAGTGTGATATATTGACAGACAATACATTCCTTCATCCATCGAAAAGCACTCCATGTTGTTGGGCGTTGTGGCCAGTACGTCAAACTTCTTCTCGAACCGGATATAGATTGGAGTAGACGAGTCTGATCAGGCCATCGTGGTACGAGCGCGCCACTAAGATCATTCTGAACCGGGCTGCGGCTGTAATGAAGCTGAAAATGTGTTGGATGAGCTCGCGAGGAAGCTACGGTTTGGTGTTGGCCTTCAACTTCGCCTCGGTGATGGTGTTCGGCTGAATTGGAAGGGTGTCTTCTGGGGGCATGGCAGTGGGAGGTTCTCCTGATGGTTCCGAGTAACTTTGTTGAACGGTCCAACTGAGGCTCAGGACGGGCGTAGACTTCGTTTTCACGGGCGCTGCAACGAGACTTGCCTCAATTCTCGACGAGGGCAAGGAAGGGGGTTACAATTGATGCTGCGGTTCGGTTAGAGCGGATAGCTCGGTTCGGATACGGACGCGGACTGCACAAAGACAAAAACCATGAATGGCTACCACTGGGGGTTGATCGTGCACACATTCAGCACTCAGCGCGCTATACCACACAACTACATCATCACACAAATATTTCACTGCAACATGCGCACCCAATCATTGGCAGCCCAAACAGTAGCGCGAAACAGTAAATTTGACACAACTGACAATATATGAACGCGCTTTCAACAAGACTTCTTTGATACAAGACGTCTCACTTTCCTCTCCATTACCGTCCAATTCATTCCTCTCGCATCCCATTAACTTTTCCTCCGTATGTCCCTTGAAGAACCAGGCAACTGTGTTCACTCTAACGTGAACACTAGTGAATACTGCTCTTATGTAAAGGGAACTGACGGCAAGTCTGTCAGGCAACGTCAGCCCATACATATTGCGCACATATCTCCACATTATATCTCAATATTTGCATTCTGTAATTCAAGCCCAAGACCTTGCACGTCAGAGTTGAAGTTCACATGAGCCCTTTGAAGGATCCTTTTGTCATATGCCACAGCCAAAACGTGGATAAGAACTGCAGGGAGGCACTATAGCATCGCATCGGTGTCATGGATTACTATATTGTTTGAGGGTTGCTGTACCTCTATTCTAAAAAGGAAGAATACACATCTACGCCTACTTTCTATATCCTGGAGATAATTTGTACTGATTCCTTAGACTGTGCCGCTATTTGGGCCATCAAGCGAGCTTTTGCAGCCAGCTGCATATCCAGGTCATAGTGCCCATACATGCTATATAACAATTCCCCCGGGATAATGGGCTTCCTCAATGTTGGCCGAGGAATTTTCTTCTTCACAATCAGGGCTTTGCCCCCTGGAGTTGCAAGCAAATCTTCATATGCCTTCACGCTCTCCCCATGCGCTGCTAGCTGCTCAGCGCTAAGTGGGAGCTTCCCCGCATTGCGATCTTCCAGGAACTTGATCCTAGCATTCACTACTTGTAGCGAATCTTCTAAAGTGCGGGCTTTAGCTTTACATTGGGGTCGGGGCGGTGCAGGTGAGCGAGCCTGGAGGGCAGAGTCAAACTCGGAGTCAGACATGGTTACAAGCTCCTCTTCCAGGTCCCCCACTGTTTGCTGTGAAGTTGGCTGGACGTCAACTTCTACTTGGTTAATGGCAATGGGATTCTCTGACAAATCAATCACCGTCACCAAGCTTTCTCTCCAGTTGAGCCTGAATTTTATCTTTGTGCTCTGCTTATGGAGCGTTTGACCTGCCAACAGGGCGTTGGTTAGGGCCCTTTCTAGCTTTGAGAATCCGATAATGGCTTTGGTGTTCTTCCACAGACCTTTGGAATGGGTTGCCATTGGGATTGACGGAAATGATGGAATGGACGGTGTCGTTGCTGCTGTTGATGCTGTTGGTGCCGAAGCAAGAGTTTCTACCTCCTGATCTTCCCAAGTCAGCTGACTTTTCCCTGTTAGTCGCACGTTTTTGCCTCCGCTGGCGGTTCTGGTTATCCCGTGCTTTTTGGGAACGGTCCCGACTATGCAGATTGACTTGATTTTCTTCCCAATTCCTAGTACGCTCATCCTGAGCAAGGTCGAAGTTTCTTCCTAAGATCACCGCCATATGGAGAGGGTTGTGCTTCCCAACAGCGTATATCTGGCCGGGCATGCAATATGAATCAGTAACAGAGTCACATCCGCATCATGGGTCAGGGTTCCATACCTGATGATGCGAACTTTCCTCCCCATTGGTGGTAGAAAAGCAGTTTGCACAAACTTCTGAATTCATTTTGGAGTAGGCAGGGCAACTCATCTGTCGGATATCTTCCTGCTTCCACCAGGCGGCTTTTTTCACAATGACAGGATAGTTCTCAGCGGCATTCGTCCAAATCTGGTCATACGTTCCATTGACGTCCACCGCAAGGTCTTTCAGACTCTTGAATTTCTGAAACAGGCTCTCTTTCACGGTGTCTCGATCAAACCCTTTGTAGCCTTCAAGCGCCTTGATGGCAATAATATGCATACGTCTAGAAAGTTAAAGGGACTACTTTAGCTGCTCCATACGGATCTTGCCTGTGTTTGATGGAACATACGAGACAAAATGGTAGTCACATCCTGTGACAAACTGATCGAAAGCTGTTCTACTATCGATGCCAAAAGTTTCTGCAAGTGCCTGACATATGCCAGCGTATTGAGGAATGGCAATTTCGACAGTAATGCTGGAAAAATCCTGGTTGAACCGCAAGCTCTGGTATGCGTCAGTGATGGAAAAGCCGTCTCGAGTGGCTGGAAGTAAATACTTTCGAGTTTATCAGGGTTCACCCAGAGACTGCCATGCAACATACCATACTCAAGTGTCATTTTGAACGCTCGGTGAATCGCTTTCTCGGTGGCTCGATTTGTGTAAGTCCGTGATAGTGTTCGTACTGGTGCTAAATGTAAGTCACTTGAAGTCCAATACCTTTTGTAATTTTCCCCACTTACTCCTGTTCTCGCCATTTTCAGTCACAAAGGTGGATACACTAAAGACATTGAAGTCCTCAGAGTCCCTTGCCATCTTCACTGCTCCAAAATAAATATCTGCCATGAGGTGTGCAGATCGTCCAGCAATGCGTGACATGGCCACACTCTGACAGAAGATCATAGTTGTCTGATCATCTGGCATAAAAACTTCTTGAATGTATTGAGGATGCTTTTCTGGATCCTCTTCATGCTTTATCGTTGCAGCACTAGTCAGCGTGTATCCGTTGGTGGTTGATAAGCGGGAACAACTGCTGTATCAGGACCTACCCGTGCAATCTCATCTTTCATTTCTCGCAGACAAGCCTCTAGTCCGGTGCCTAGCTGCTGTTGTTTGCCGCATCTGGTTTTTGCGGCTTTGAGGCGAGCCAAAACGTCCTTATTATTCAGTGAAGGATGTACTTGGTGAGGCCTCAGATCGCCGAAATCTGGTATCTTTTGTACCCCTGCAACGGAGTTTGTATCAGCCCCAGTCCGCGTCTGTGCAAGTCACTGAACAAAACAAAAGACATCCCTGCACTAATTCTTGCTATGGATGCTTGCGTCCCAAGGATCTGTACACCCCTGAGGAATTGGGCCTGCACCTTCAGCGGAACTATGGACCTCGGGGGAGGGGGATGGCGGTGCCATCCAACGCATAAAATTGCAAACCAATACTTTGCTGACTCCTTGTTACATGGGACAAGTTTGATAAGCCTCTTTCCCTCAGCCCCATTTTTGCGTCCACAGGAGTTTAATGACATCTCAGGATCTTCATTGCCATGTCGGCAGCATTTCTTTCCGGTGGCAGTGGATCCTAAACTGATAAGATTAGGGCATCCTTGAACACCTTCATTCAGATGGAACGCCTTCTCAGACTCTTGAAGAAGCGACCCAAGCATTGTAGAAAGCTCTGCACTACGTGCAGATGTTTTGATTGAGACATCCTCCAAAATGGTTTGCAGCTGATGATAATCAATGTTCCTGGGAATCGTTCTCGAGAGGTGTGTTTCCCCAGACCGCCATTTGGAGCAGCTGATGAAACGTTGTGGTGGTGGCCGGCAGAAGCGAGGGTCTGTCGAATACGGTGTTACAGTCGGGTATCGGGAAAAATAAGCTGCCGGTCTCTCAATAGCAGAAGAAGAGATCTCAAACGAGAGCGTCGTCTTGCCACCTTAATATCCAGGTGCTTTGAAAGGAGTCCTTCTTATAATACGGGGTCGGGAATTACGGGTACGGGTACGAAATACAAAATTGGGAATATCTGGGGGGTTGGCTACAAAACAAAACAACAGGGTTATCCACTCTCGCTCTCAGCTCTTCTTACGAGATTCCTTAACTATCAAGTCCTCGGCGACGTCAGCAAAGTACAAGTCGCGACACTCGGGGTCATCTTGTCCAAGCTCTCCGGGTCTATGAGCGCGCCTTGAAAGTCTGTCTGAAACTGAAAGAAGTCGTCGGGAGTAGAGAAGTAGAAAGCTCTGTTGTTGGTCGGGATCTGTGTTCTGCGTATCGTACAAAGGTCTGGGGAAAACAGGCGGGTTTTTATATGGATTTTTGTAGGCTACGGGATTTTGTCGAAGTCCAAACTCTCTACTAGTCGTCTCTAGAGGATTTAGCTACGTCGGGGTCTTTTTCTCTTTTCCTGCGGCGGTCCACATAGTTTTTCCTTTTTCCATTCGCAATTTTGGCGCTGATACAGTCTTATCGCTAATCTTTTCTCGGGGTTTTCTGCAATGTTCGGCGTATACGGCCACCGGAATTTGGTTTTCTCGTTTCGCAGGTGATCTCTTCAGCGTTTCGGGCATCGTGGGAGCTTCTGGTTAGGTGAGAGTCGCCTCGGGGGTGTTTTCATGTGTGAGATCCTCTCCTACGCCTACGTATTTCGCATGTCAGTCGTATCCAAGGACAAAATTCGTTGTGAGCCAAGGTTTTGGTAAAGGTAGTTGTATTTGGTAATCGTCGGAGTGTCGGGAATGCGAGTGTGTCGATTTATTGTTGGAAGTTTTGACGGTATTAACGTTGTCGTATAAAGGTCAGTTTAGTCGCTCGTCGAAGATTCTAGGCGTATAATCGGCGTTGGAATATTATCGATTTCATGCGCAATTCGAAGCGCAATACTACATCTTTCCTTTTGTCGAATATTGATGTCCTCATCAATTCTCGTCCGTAATGTTGTCTTCTTCGTCTGTTTCTTCTTCATCGTCGGTATTGTCATCAACTATCGGTTTTGTCTGGGTTCGAGTTGGAAATATCTTCAATCGGTCTCCGGCTACAGGTTTGCGTATCGGTGTCTGGTCTAATTCTTCGATATGATACGAGCCGTTGTAGTTTGAATTGGTAATTCTGTATGGTCCGAACTATTTGTTGTCAGTCTTGCAAGTTTGTTGAGTCAATAGTTTTGTGTTGTGCAGGAGAACTATGTCGCCGGGTTCGAAAGGTCGATTTCTGTGAAAGTGATCAGGTTAACGGCGTACGAGGAGATGGGGAGATTCAAGGGAAGATTAGTATTTGTGCGCGCGTGACCAGGCGTGATCAGTAGTAGGATAGAGACACACCCCCTTCCCCGTCCACTATAAAAAGGATGACACTGGCGTAGATTGCCCCGGGAGCATCTTACCGGCTATAGACTAGACCATAAGTTTGTACCATAGGAGCTCAATTGACCCAATTGACTAGCGTACCTACGCCTAGCAGTCTGGGGTTGCCAATATACGGAGTACGCCCAAGCGTGTCTACTTGTGTGGTGAGAATAGGGATTTACTTGGTCTCTACCTTTTACCTTGCACTCTCCACAAGTAGATTACCTCCACACGCGAACGACCCGATTTAGGACCTATCTCAGGGAATAATCGACCACTTTCACAGTTTGGGGGCTCGGCCGGGAATCGAACCCAGGACCACGCGCGCGCTCCAGTGGCTCCACCTCTGCTTCTTCCTCGCAAGAGGAACACAGCCGTCGTCGCCGGAACAAGAAGAACAATAGGGGATTCCGGCCCCAGCAACGAAGATCCCTGTCGACCATTCTGAAGACGGCCGTCCAAATTGCCCCGCCAAGTCCCATGCCCACCGCCGACTTCGAGGAGCTAGCCAAACAGGCGGCGGAGAACAAGATAACCAAGTTCAAAGAGGAACTTCGCTTGACCGGTAGCCGACGTGGACACATGGGACGGGCCGTACACTTGGCGGAATTCGACGACGACCGGGATGCTTACGCCGGTTACGAGGCGTATATGATGGACCGACGACAAGGTTCATACCCCCGCCAGCCGTATGAACGCAACGACTACGCCCAGCAGAGGCAGAACGACCTCAGTACGCAAGTAGAGGAAGTCGTCAAGAAAGCGGTTGCAGAAATTGCCGCGCAAATGGCCAAGGTGCAGATTAACAATGGCCAGCCCTCGGGAGGACCACCAAGGATCGGAGACGGAAAGTGTTACGCCTGCGGAGGCGACCACTTCAAGGACGATGTGGACCGCGAGACAGGGAGACCAGTATGCCCCAAGAAGCAAAGCCCAGAGGCGGGAAATGCCAACGCTGAGAAGCGGCATTTTCCCCGCCAGGGCTAGGAGCCGAGAGCTTCCTAGTCCTGGAACCAACGGCTCTTGAGCAGGAAGACCACGGAGAATCGCTGCCTCAAGGCCAGGATGAAAGTCTGACCTTTCCTGCTCGGTCACCATCAGAACCGAGAAGAGGCAGTGATTCCGACTCCGAAAGCGACGGGGGAACGCGCGGAGAAATAACGACAGCTGACGAATCGTTACAACCCCAACACCTGTCCAAGTCAAGAGAAGAAAAACCCGACTCGGAGGACCCTGACCAAACACGCCTGTCTCCGCCACCCGAAAAGGAACTTTACTTGATCAACCTGGTTGACAAGAACGGTTGGCAATTGCACCCGGACATCTTTCAGCAACTCGATGACGGACCCTGGGGAGGCCCACACGGACATACTGTGGACCTCTTCGCCACGAAGCAGAACGCTCAAGTTTCAAGGTACTGCTCGGTCGACCAGACGGACACCAATGCAATTGCCCATGACGCCTTCAAGATTCGCTGGGACGCCGCAAATGGCTGGGCCAATCCCCCTTGGCTAACCATTCAACAAGTGCTCGACAAGGTCGTCACGGACGGAGCGACCATTACGCTGATTACCCCCGTATGGCGAGAATCTCCATGGTACCTTCAGCTCCTGACGCTTCTCGTTGACTATCCGAAATTGCTGAACCACGAACAAGACCTCTTCGCCAAGGGTGGCTTCCGTGACCAAGACGAAGGTATTTACGGGCTCCCGCCCTGGGAGCACACTGCGGCATGGAGAATCTCCGGTGACTCTGCGGCCATTCACCACTTCCGAGACCGGTTGCGCCAAGCGTGGACCTTCAAGACCGGCGCCCGCCATGTCAAGCGCCTGCCATTCCAAGACTGCTACGCAGGAACTCTGTCCTTTCTACGGATTCCCTTCCGGACAATTCTCTCCATCCGTCGACGCCCACCAGCAACAGCGGGCAAAAAAGGGGAGGAGGAGGCCAAGGCGGTGGCAATTGACACGGCCATATCGGAAGCACACAAGAAGGGTTCACTGGAAGAGATAATGCTTCTGGAGAAGACAGTCGAGCGACGGAAACGCAAGGCATTGAAGAGAGAATTCCTCGACAGCCTTGTCTGGAAACAAGTCGGAACGGACGAGTACGATCCCCAGGCGCAATTCTTCCTGAAAGACTTGACGATAGTCACGGGAGAATTGCTAAGCAAGGCAAGACGGTACCTCGACGTCCGAGAAAAGGAGGAGATCACCGCGCATCCTGGGGACGACCTACCCACCCAGGACACCTGGATTGCCCCGGTGGCTGGAAATGAAGAAAGATTCCGCATGGAAGGAAGCCCGAGAGCTGTACCTCATGGACGACCGCATGGTCATTCCTCCCGATGAAGGAAAAGAGGACACCCTCCTCGATTCCCTTCATGCCCACGTTGAAAAGGACACGACAAGTAGTCCTGACCTACGCAAGATGTACACCATTGCGCAGATCCACAGGAAGATTGAGGACACGCCTCTCGACGAGCTCGTTGTCGACACTGCAGCGAGTCTCAACGGCATCAACGCTACGTTCTACATGATGCTGAAGACCAAGCACGGCTCGAAGACCAAGGCCACCAAGTACGAGCGAAAGCAGTCGGGAATTGGCGAAGGCCGTTCAATAGGCCACGTTGAACTGAGGGTCAAGCCCGGCATCAACGGACGGCACAGTCACAAGTTGAAGTTCAACATCATACCCAACTTGGGACGCCCGGTGCTTATCGGCATCCCAGGGCTCGACGCAATGGGGGCAGTCATGGACATGGAGAAGAGATCATTCGCCTTCCGACTACTGACCTGTTATGATCTTGACGACGGAGGCGGAAGCGAAGTAGAGAAGACAGGGCGAGAGTGATAGGCGACAAGAGATTGTATTGGCGAAACAAGAAACAAGGACTAGAACAGGAGATGAGAAGAACTGGTGTTGATCTGCTGGGGAGGAAGGGAATGGACGAAGAGAGGCCGGCTATTTATAGATAGGCAACCCAGCAGATCAGAGAACAACAACAACAAGAGGGGACTGGGGGGGCGCCAGCTATGCTCCTGGAGCGTGCGTGGCGAGCGTAGAGAGCATAGCTAC